GGCATAATCAGGTGTCTATGGGTACCCATGGGACCCATGGGTATTCCCATGGGTGGGACTTGGGACGGACCTTAGTCCCATGGGAGTCCCATGTCAATGTCTAGCTGATTGGTTGGCTAGGCCTATAAGGTTATTGAAATTGGGCTGCATGAGCAGCCCGTATATATAGGTTCCTCATCTATATCACCTTCTTTGCTTGTTCCAGAGGATGTTCTTTTATGGACCACCGGGCAGCGGTGTAGGAGAACATTTTTATATGTATTTCCCTTAGAAAATAGTTCTCAGGAAAAGGGTATAAATATTGCCCTGAGAACGAGCAGAAAATATTATCAGAATTTACTATTAATTATCTGTCCATCTTCTTTTCGTCTGATCATCTACTCTTCATTTCTCAACAAAGTGTATTATTTGAGGGTTGGAGGGTCCGGGTCCGGGTCCGGGTCGGTGAGGTTGGACCCTGACCCTCGGAGGTGCGGGTGGAGGTTCCTAATCTTGGACCCGCGGGGCGGGTGAGTGTCAGGTCTATTTGTTGAGTCTCGTGATGGTGAGTTTGCGGCGGTAAATAGTGTTTTCATTTTCTTCTCAACTCTTCTGGTACTCTTGAGTAAATCCACGTGACGCGGCACGTACGATGCTCTCCTCGAGAGCTTTTTGGATACTATTCTTAGTAGACATAGAGGATAGAGAAGAAGAGGAATGTTGAAGCGACGAGCGTACCCTTGTGTCCTAAGTCTATGTTTTTCTAACCGTATAATCAACGGGGACCCTCTCGCCTATCTAGGTGAGAATTCTCACCCCGTTCTCACCCCTTTCACCCTGTTCTCCAGTCTTCTCACCTATGTCACCTATATTCACCCTCGATTACTTTCTCTCGCTGTTTTAGAAGGACAGAGGTCCTAAGGGCTCTTTGTGAATTGGCCATACAGAATAGGTGGCTTAAGTACGGCTGAGCGGACGGGAAGCACGGGAAGCCCTGTTCTCCACACCGTATGGTCGTATGTACTGGATTCATGAGGACTATAGAGTATATCCTGCTTTAGAGGAGAAAGCTAGCGTGAAATTAAGGTACGACCTAGGTGAGAAGGGCGAGAAGCTAGGTGATAATCACCCTCCGTCACGCGATGGCTGCTATAATCCTCTCGGCTAAGATATACGTAAATATTATTAAACCGTACCCTATATATTTAAAATGCCTAGTCTTATAGTATCCTGCACACAGCTATCTAATAATATATAAGTTAGATAGGCTAGCAAAGGTCCCTCCACTTGAACTCCTTCCTATTGACTGCCTAGGTCTCCTACTTCTTAAGTTTATTTAAAAATGAAAAGGTCACTCAAAGACGTGATATTCCGCTCTAAGCGGCCTCAAACCTATAGGGACCTAACTCTACCCTATTTTCCTTCCCCTATTTCGTTCCCTAACGGGGCTAAAGTATTAAATATAGAATTGCACTGACGCCAAGGTTGATATCTGCTTCGTCTATAGCTTAAGCGGAGATAGGGACAGTACTTAGACCGCTTATGGACAGTCCACATCTTAGCTAAAGACGCTCCTCCCGCCTACACTCCAGAAAACTCGAATACGAAATATATAAGTACTTTAGATGATCATAAAAGTAGATCCAAGGCCAAAACTTCAGTCTACTTAAGAGAAAATAACTTAAAAACAGTTCATGAAGAATCATACACTCTATTTAAAAACGCATAGATATATCCATAAAAAAAACCGTACACACATTATCGCCCATCCATCTCCAGCAACGAGTATAGAGTGGGATGAGAGAAAAGGGAAAACCTAAGCAAATACTAGGCAAAATTGGAAAGCAGGAGAACAACGAAACAAAATAAAAATATACAACAGTGAGACTATGTTAGGGATCACCTAGCGCCGCCGGTTCAGGCGTAGGCGGCTCGCTGCCCTATCTAGCCCATCTTCAGGCAGATTCAGGCGGCAGTTCACCCACCTGAAGACTTCGTACTCAAAGGCGCAAATTCCCAGCGAAAAGGCCCTTTCGTACATTTGATAGGGAAGAAGGTTTAGCGAGCCCATCGTTTTGACCAGCGCAGCTCAAAAATTCGTGTCTTTCTTCAATTTCTGATCTCCCAAAGGCGATCGATCATACAATGAAGCCAAAATCCGATCTCAAGCCAAAGCTTCCATCTGTTATCGTGGATTTCAACGATCAGGATGACTTTTAAATCACACGAGCATAGTCAGCCTTTTGCAGCAGAAGTTTCAGTGATTTTGGGATAAATGAAGAGAAACGTATCGATTTCAAGGTAATATATGTATCTGGGAAGTAGAGAGAGAACAGAAGTTGTATCAAATTCCTGCAGGCCAAGACCCGGGCACATTTGCACCTCCTTCGGACTCGTCCTACCTCCAGTCATATTCCCGACGAGGAAACCGCATCGCGTTGTCAAGGTGAAATGAGGCTATTGCTTTGAAAAAACCTATCAAGTGGCATTGGGACCGCCACTCCAGCCACTCGATATCAGTTTTCCCCGCTGCCGTAGCAGCGAGAACCCTGGGATATCTGCTTATCTCTTCGTAGACTGCGATATCTATCCACTGCGCATAGCTCACATGACCCGAAAAGAAATTATTGTGATAAGTTCCGCTAAGCAATTCGGCATTAACAGCGTAGATGCGTTGTGTATAAGGGTCTTCATGTTTGTCGCGGAAGGCCCTGGAAAGGGAATCTTGAAGTAGTTGTAGTATCTCTTCAAATGAACCCACCTTCAAAAGCATTGGAACGATCGGGAAAATAGTGGATGACCCATGCCTGATTTTGTGTATCTCTCCTGAAAGTTGGAAGTCGTCAAGCACCTCGAATATGTCACAAAACTGTTGTCTGATGTTGCTTATTTCAGCATTCTGTTCACGTGCCAGGTCCTTTGTCACTGCGAAAAGTTTGTTTCGTTCAATCTTTTTGTCCGCTGTCAAGATCATTCTAAAGTCCAGGCCACAATTTTCCAAAGCGTTGATCCATATGTCGAAGTTTCCCGTGAATCTTGCAAGATCGGTCGGTGTGCCATACCGTTCCGAAACCGCAAACAAATCAGCACCGTGTTGAATGAGTAGCTTAATTCGCTTCTTCTGATTAACACGATCCTTTTCGTCATAGAATGGACCGCTATTCTTCCAATGGGACATATTCATCGGCGCCAGGATTTTAGCCAATTCGATATCAATGGTTCTGAGTTTGCATCCTTTGTTTCGCGGTTGAAGACAGGCTATGGCAGCGTGAAGGCAAGAAAGCCCATTCAACCGAGGTGAACGCTGGTTTGCAGTAATTGACAAGCCATTCCCATTTCTCAATTGCCATTTTAGTATCTCAGGGTCTTCAAACAGAAGAATTCGTATCCCCTTTCGCAGTAATTTCTCACTGAGCGTCGATCTTGCTTCGATTTATTCCTGCATTTGCAAAAGGCACTAGAATTGCGAGCACTGATTTATCCCTTCACTTCGAAATATTCGGAAGCTTTCGTGGAACCCAGTGCTCTTCTTTCCAGCTCTCAGCCCCAGCATCCCTCAACTCTTGCTCGGCCAATTGATATTTTGTTTGCCCATGACGCCTCTCCTTGTGTTTGAAGTCCTGCTCCGTCTCAGCATTCGTCCAGAAGTAGAATATCACACACGTCTTCGGTTTTTCCCCATCGTCTTCTTTCCTTTTATCCCAGAGTCCTATAGGGATGCCTGCATGTGCAACCGTCACATATCTGCGTGCGTTGGGCATAACAGTGACTTTAGATTCGAGGGCCTTGACTCTAGGCTCCTCGTGGCTTTTCTCCAGGCCCATTGAAGCTGAGAAGTGCGCACATATAAAAGAGATACGATAGCTTGGGTTCCTCAACCACGGGGTTGGAAAGTTATAATCAAACTCATAGACCTCTGGCGGAATCGATGAGTATCGACATAATGCTGACAAGTAGGTCTCGTGTGATGATGAGGCCCTGAATCGATTCAATTCCTCTTGGGATGTCCACACTAGAGAATTTAGTATCTTTGTCACTCGTTAAGGGAAGGTATATTACATGTGATCAGAAGAACATAATTTAAATGTTCCTCGATTCGGCCCCATTTAGAAACATAATGCCCGGGACAATCTTTCAGGTTTCGTGCGAAATCTCCCCAGTATTCGTCCTCTAGACTTGCGGTCTCAGGCACGTAAAATTTGGTAAATACCATCAGCTACGGAGTTGGCATAGCTGCTTATTCAGACCGAGGAGATAAAGAAAACGATAACTTCGGGATATTAAACGTAGTATGTGAAAGTTGTTCGTGCAAGTGAAAAGTTCCAGCGCGCAAATAAACAAGAGAGAGCGCAAGTGAAAACGGAAAGCGACGTCAGGCCATCGGGCCGGGGGCCGGGGCCGGGGGGCTGGGGGTCAAATGCACCCGTGGCGTTCAGCTTTCGCATTCTTACAAAGTACCTACTCTAGTACACAGCACTTTCATCAGCGTTCTGATTTACGCAGATGAGACAAAAACAAGCGGCTGTTAGTCTCAATGATTCCATAAGGTTCTGGTTGATGTTCATCTGGAACTGATCTATTCCTGAAATTCTTTCCGGACATATGTCGATTTCTCCCTAATTTGAAGTCCTTCAAACACGACTTGGAATATCCAGCCACTGCACCAGTAGCAATGTTTTGCAGTACAGATGATCGTCGGTCACAATCTAACTCGGAACGCCTGATTCTTCATGGCTTCTCCAACTTGAATTCGTCCGCATTAAACCTGGCTCAACAATCTACCCCTGAAATACATAGCCCCGAGCAGGACTAGTAGACTCTCTATAATTAAATGAATGCTACGAATCAATGCTGTTCACAAGAAATTGGGGGCCGCCCCCTGCTAGTAAGCCCACAGCATTTTCCTAAAGATAAATCCCCCAATGTGCCACTCCGTTTTCTAATGAAAAGGTCATTCTCTCTCACTTCCCCGAGATTAGACGGAAATCACGAAAAATATTTCTGCTAGGGATCGGAGAAGTATGTCATCGATCACCGTGAAGATTTTGGCCTTCTGGCTTTTTTACATCCCTGTTGCCTTTTCAACCGAGATTGGTGATATGTTTAATGTGAAGCAAGGATCCGAGAATGGCGGTTTTGACTCTCACTTATCGGTCCTTAGGCGATGGTGGACGGAATCTCAAGCCATGGCCTCCGCCCGTATTTCTGCGTTTGATGACGCGAAGGGTAACGCTGATGACACAAAAACAAAGAACGCGAAACATGCTCTTCAGAAATACTTGGGTATTAACGATGATACGGACGATGAGGACGTGGATGATATCAAATGTAAGACATCAGGCCACCTCTTACTACCCTCAAGCCAAGTGTTTCATTACTTTGCCTGAAAGGTACCATCTCGGATCCGGATTTTGGGTTACAATAAATACTATAGCAATTCTCGAGGAAGTTCAATCGTTCATGATCAAGAAAAGCTCTATTCCAGGAGGCACGCCGTGGTTGTTTTCCGACAGCTCCTGGCTGGAACAGAAATCCAGGATAGATAAAATTGAAGAGTGTGATGAAGAGGTGGAAATTCAAAACTCCGAGGAATACGGATCGCAATTAAAAGTAGCAAAAAGTTTGGTGCCATACTGGTCTTCAGACCTTGATCAGTATATCATAGATCAGGCCTATGGAGAAGGAGGTTTATGCAGTGCTTCGGGCGAACTGGGTGTGACCCAAGTGTGTCACGGAGCCAAAGACCGTCACATTATGCCCGAGGGCCTTCACAAGAACCGACGTACAGACAGATTTCGGTGTCGATGCTCAAGGCAAAAAGCTTAGCGACGTGCTCTCTAAAAGTGCGACCTTGTTCCATGAGTTATTCCATCTGGTCCTTGGCAACGACGACACTATAGATGCGACCTGTACGTCCACTAGTACTCTGTGATGCAACTTGAATCCGAGACATAGCTGATCCGCTTAACAGATAATCTTGGGACTCTTTTTCAGCGTGTTGGAAAGCCTTACACAATACCTGCTAAATCTGAATGGGACGGTCAACGAAATGCTTTGAAAAACGATGCTCGCAAGACCAATATTGAGTTGGTTCGCACGAATCCTGAGACTTAGGGGTTCTTCTGCGCCGATTACTGGTATACTCTCAACAAGAACTTATATTGGGATACCACGGGAGTATCCAACACAGCTTAGAGATATCACTTGATTTTGATCTGGAAATTGGAGACAAAGTTGTCCGGGTTGGGCTGGGTTTGTCTGCAGTGTAATTATGCTATCAAATTTATCTCCAAGCGCAGTGTCAATAATCATAGGTGAAGACCCTTTCACTATTAAGCTCACAATATTCTTTTCACAATGGCAAACCAGACCTGTCTCACAGAATTTGGTCGGAGTATGCCCATTGGCAGCTATATATTGACTAACTCTAGAATCAATGTGGTTCAAAGGTGTTATAGAAGAAACTACTTGGTTATAAAGTGTGTGAGTGTATGTTACTAAGTTACCCTAAGTTTTAATATATCCATTAAACTGTATGAATATGAAATGTATCATTCTTTGAGACGGATTTGCGTTGGACTATGATAAGTCGCGCGTACTTTCCGATGCGATCTGCCAGACTACGGCTGCCACCTATGGCTGGCACTAACGCGCTTCAGGCATGGCGGTCTCGCTAACGTCTTCAAGAATAACATCAGTTGCCTTCTCACTGATCATGAAGATGGGAAGGACAATAAAGAATCCAGGAATGCGCGGGAAGACAGATGCATCAACTATTCGTAGGCTTTTCACGCCGTGAACACGAAATCGAGAATCAAGAACGGCTTTTGGGTCTCCATCTGGCCCTATAGGGCAGGTACATGAAGCATGATGGCCCCACGCCTCATTCCTGATAAACTGCTTCACATGATCTACAGAAGAGACTTCATGGCCAGGTGACTGCTCTTCAAAGGGCTCATTACCGAACTGTGAGGTCTGGTCCATGATGCGGCGCGCAAAGTCGACGCCTTCGGCAACGGCGTTAAGGTCCCGCTCGGATTCCTCTGTCGCGGCCGCACTTGTGCCAAAGTAATTGAAATTGATATCAGGTACATCCCGAGGATCGGCTGATTCGAGCCTGACAGTTCCCTCGCGGTTACGCGTGTGAGCCTTAAGTACGGCCCACGTGAAATGTTTCTTGTCGAAGGTGGCGCGTTCCGAATGCCCAGGATAGTAGCCCGCGAAGAGGGTAGGGCCACCGAAGATGAAGAGATCAGGGTCCCCATCAGCATGTCTGGACTTCTTCGTCATGCCAATATTGAGTCCATTCGATAGATAGGGTCCACACTGGTGCTTCCACTCTTTAAGGGCTGGGTCGCCAGGCTTCCCAAACGCGCAGTTTGCTATATTTTGGAAGTCATCCTGTACTTTGCTGATGACAGGAACCTCATAGCGGTCCTGGAGATTGGTGCCAACGCCCTGCAAATCTTTAACAACAGGAATCCCAAATCTCTCTAACTCGTCTGTCGGGCCGATACCGCTCAGCTTGAGGAGCTGCGGTGTGTTAAAAGCTCCCGCCGCAAGGATGACCTCTCGAGAGACGAGGACGCGGTGCTTTGTGCCGGCAGCGGATAAACTTGACCGTGGATCAGCCTTGTACAGACTGCTGCCTTCGAGGAACTCGACACCAATTGCCTTGGGCATGACAGTATTCTCCTCGAAAAGCACTCGTGTAGCGAGGCAGCTTGTCCTGATATGCAGCGGATACTCCTTAGCCGTATTTACGAGAAATTCTCGAGTGCCGCTTCGCTTTGCCTGACTCTTGGCCAGGGGTATATGATAGATCCCTTCAGTCACATCCCGATGAGGATCACTGGAATTCACGTCCCGCTGCAGGAGTCCAAGTAGTTGGGAAACTTTATCGGGGATCAGGCCGAGGATAGTATTTCCCATGGCAGTAGCAGCAGAAGTGAGGATAGAAAGGAACTTAGAATCCCGCAGGGTCAACTCCAGATCAGCGCGGCTCGTATGCAACCAACCGGTGAAGCCGTGACCAGAGCTACCATTTGGAAGATACTCGCAGTGTTCCAGGCGCCTGAAATACTGGCGCATATTCTTCGGGTCCCACGAAGTGTCGCCGGTGAGATTAGCGATGTTTGACCAGTCACTCTCGTGCGGATAGATGGTGATCATTGCATTGTGTGCCGAACAGCCACCCAGCGTTCCTGCGCGCGGGTAGAGGATGCCTTTCGGCTTCGATCCGCTTGGTGGATTCAATCCGACATAGAGTGTTCCCGCGGCTGTCTCCCAAGTCATCTTCGAGTCTTGCCGCGCAACGGTCTCATCCGCATAATGCTTGACAAAATAGTCCCAGCGCATCTTCTTGTCCTCTGTAGACAAGAAATGAAAGCCTGGAACCTGCTGGTGGATGTTGGATCCCTGATCATCCCCTGCTTCGAGCAGAAGAACTTTATGGCCGTTCCGGGCGAAATTCGCGGCCAAAGGTCCACCGCCGGCGCCTGAACCAACTACGACGTAGTCGTAGTTGTCAAGTGTGTCGACAGCCTCCTTGGGAAGCGCGTCATTGTCTGCACCTATGGCGCTTACAGCTGGCCCGGGCACGCTGGTTGTGAAATGTTCGCTCATGGTTACATGCGCAAACTCAAAAGTTTTCTTTTTTACGAGTCGCATATCTTCAGCATTAGTCTGCGAGACCGTTTTAAAAACAACCTGTCAGTGCAGAACAAGGCTGACTAACAAGATAGTCGAGAGCGTCATCCTCGTAGACAACCAATAATACAACATGAAGTAATTATTACTCGACGGCTGAATTGAGGCATTAATGGACGATTTATTTTTAAGGTAGTTCAGTGTCACCGCACAGGGAAGCATTCCAGACTGCTGTGGTAGACCGTGATGGTTCTGGTGTAAATCAGAGGAAGATTAAGAATTTTTATTTTATTTATTTTAATTCTTTAGGACATAAATTGAGGCTTTGTATAAAATATTTAAAAGTCCTTGTTTTTGAGTTGAAAACGACTGATATGTGCTGGTAACAATCCAAGGTCACAATGGTTATACCGCTGATAATTAATGAAATATCTTTGGAGTTCATAGTGGATGCTGCCACAGGTATGTTGGAATCAACCTTCTTCGATAAATTAGCCTTTGTCCATCTGACGTAATTAGTCTGAGAGAAAAGCTAACCGCATTTGCCACCCAGCGCGACAGAACTTTCTGCTTAGTTCCATGCGACACAAAATTTCTGGATCCAAGGAAAATACCTCCAAGAGGATTTAGACTCTAATCTAGAGCGTTGGTGGCGCTGCTGCGTCGTGTGTTATCTTCTTTGCATGACTTGATATGACATCAAGTATAGTGAATAATGCACATATATTCAGCCCCTAACGGTATCCATATAACCATTATCCTTCCTCTCTCATATCGAACAACTGTAAATACATCCATTCAATAGTGAGTTGATTTGTCATACGTCATCTGCAGAGCAGCTATCAACTTATCCACAACAGACTCACAACATATCAAGTAAATTTGTACGCCATGATTCGTGCTCCTCGCATCTTGCCAACTGATCCAGCAGTACTGCTGATGGAAGGTGGCCCTGCTACGATTCAGCCGCAGCATTCCCATCGTCCCGGTATGTACGACGATCCTAGTGCTATTACACAAGGCACCTCGCAAATTGAAGTGATTGATCTGAACGTCCCACCGAGTGGCCCCGGCTGCGTGGATTGCGAAGCTGCCAATAAATGGTGGTTCCATCTACGTCGTTGTGCCAAGTGTGGACACATTGGCTGCTGTGACTCGTCTCCATCACAGCATGCCTCTAAGCATGTTATGTCGACGGGACATCCTGTCGTTCGCAGCTTTGAGCCTGGCGAGGATTGGTTCTTTGATTACCGCACGGAGGAAACTTTTCTGGGGCCGTCCTTGCAGCCGCCATTGCATCATCCACTCAGTCAGCCAGTACCCGGGCCCAAAGGAAGGGTGCCACGGGACTGGGAAGCACACTTGCATCTATGATGAACCCCGTGTCTTTAAAAGTTGGTGTTTGGAGGGCAAGTTTTGTTATTCGTCCCTCCTTTGTTTCTTTGTGTTGCAGGACCTTGTGATGTCCTCTTCTTCCTCTTCAGCTGGATTCTCAGCATCCATCTAGCAACCCCAGAATGCATCATCTTGGCTCCTGTTTTCCTTTCTAAGAGGTTACGAGCCCGGTGGTTCACTGCTAATAGGATCTCACCGTCCTATTAGCATCCTGAGTTTCGTCAGTTTTATTAGGAACCTCCCATGTATGCCACTTGATGTAGTCCCCTATAATGCGGGTAACGACGACATGATGTATGCTTCCATGATGCTAGCAACTGCTACATTACAGTTTTCGAACACTGTGGGAAACTTCAGATGTTGCAGTTTTCGACTGGAGGGCCATATTTATTTTGTTACATGATACGGTCTAGATTCAGAGACGCAGAAAGCCGAGGAACCTACTCCGACGAATCTGGTCATATAAGGGGGATGACTTTCCGCTGTCTGCTCTTTGTGTTTGTAGCCCGACACCTCACGAGATAGTTGACATTGAATATGTGACCCTTCTCTGTATCCTTGGTGAAAGTTCTCTTTCTTTTTTCATTTGCCTCTTCTTGAAGTAAATGCATGCAAGAAGCTAGACGAGCCAGACATATTGACTGCTATACAAGATTTAAGAGCCGCATTCCAAGTTCAAATGTGGCTCATCGACTCATAGTCCTTGGGTATTTGTGAAGACATTGCTAGCGCTTTCCCCTTCCGACTTTTGATGTCTGGTTAGGGGGTTGGTGGGAGTGAGACGTAATGATGCCTTCTGTGAAGAAGTGTAGTGAATTGTACTTTGTTCGTCACTGTCTCACTGCCGTCGTGAAAAAGCCGATCTCACTGCGCCCATAGTTGCTAGATCTAGTCTTCTCGTAAAGAGACGAGTTGGTCAATGAGACGCCAAAACATCTGCCTCGTATCGTGGAGCAATGGCGCTGCATCTACTGCATCCCGAAGAGCATCTGTCCATAAAACTTTATTCCACAAACGCTTAAACAGCCTGTCTGTCTGTATCTTTGTCTCTCCTCATTACTAGATTGCGTGCACACGAAACAGATTCCCTTAAATATACACACGCGCTTCTGTTCCTTAAACGAACCAAACAACCTTGTTTCCTTGTTCGATCTCTTAATTGACTAGTCAGTAGTTACTCATCAATCACTTTGTGTAGATGGCTCACTCTCGTCCGTCACCGTAACATCCTTATTAGCATCGAATTCCACATCCTCTGAAAGCTGCCAGGGCCTTTCACAATAGGTCTGATAAGGTCCAATACAGAGGATTTTTCCAGTGAAATTTCTTTTGGTCTCTCCAGGGCAAAGTATAATTGAAGATTCATCCGTATCGTTTTCATCGTTGAGTGTCAACTTCACATCGGCATCTTCCGACACAGTGATATTGTCATTGACAAATCTTGCTATACGCGTGGTAGAATTAATATTCATGCTTGGTATAAGAATATAAGGGCTCGATGAGGTTGTGGTGAATGCAGTCTGCCCATAAAATTTCATAGGTTCTGCTAAGTTCGTTACATGACCTCATGTCGACTAGTTATATATTGTGCGTGATTGCTTATATGACGTCAGAGTATCAGCTGCATCTGTCTTGATATCCGTGGGTTCCGTATATTGTAAGTTATGGTTCAATAAAAGACGCAACATACTGTTACAGTTATCAAACATAAATCATGTAATATATCCAGTCAGATACTGGTGTTATTAGCACCGCCGTCTAAGTAACTTACTGAATCTGAGCTGCTTTGTCGCCAATTCCCAATTCTCCTGGTATTGGAAAAATGGGAAACATTCCAACGCAACCCTTAACTCTTCTTCGAGATCAACTTTCTGTCTCAAAATAAATCATTGAATTATAGTGTCGCGGGAGTGAGAAAATGTAACCATATTCACCATAGCTCTATGAGACTTCAATCTTACACCTCTCCAATCTCTGCTTTTTTTGCCTAACGTAAAGTCCGCAACGAATAGACAAAAAAGCCAAAACAAAAAACAAAACATACAACAGCAGGGATTCGCTGGTGGTCACCCACCCAACTACTAACCTGCCGGCGTGTGGCTTAAGTACGGCTGAGCGGACGGGAAGCCCTGTTCTCCACACCCTATGGTCGTATGTACGGGATTCATTGGTACAATAGAATATATTCTACTTCAGGGGAGAAAGCCAGTGTGAAAATAAGGTGCTGAGTAGGGTAAGAAGGGTGAGAAGTTAGGTGATAATCACCCTCCGTCGCGCGACAGCTACTATAATCCTCGGCTAAGATACGCGTGAACATTATTAGACCTACTGGTCTATTTGACACGCCTAGTCTCTTGGCAAACTGCACTATAACCACCTAATAATATGTAAGTTAGACAGGCCAGCAAAGGTCCCTCCACTTAAACTCCTTCCCACTGACTACCTAGGCCTCCTACTACTTAAGTCTATTAGAAAATAAAGAGGGTCACTCGTAGACGTGATATTCCGCTCTAAGCGGCCTTAAGCCTATAGCGACTCAACTCTACCCTATTGTCCTTCGCCTGTCCCGTTCCCTAACAGGGTCGAAGGATTGCACGATTACATTAACGCCAAGGTTGATATCAGCTTCGTCCACGGCTTAAGCGGAGACCGAGACAGTACTTAGACCGCTTATAGATAGTCCACACCTTGACTAAAGACGCTCCTCCCACCTAAACTCCAGAAAGCTCGAATACGAAATATATAAGTACTTTGAATGACTATAAAAGCAGGTCCAAGACCAAAACTTCAGTCTACTTTAGAAAAAATAACTTGAAAACAGTTCATGAAGAATCATACACTCCATTTAAAAACGCATACATATATCCATAAAAAAAACCCGTACACACATTATCGCCCATCCATCTCCAGCAAAGAGAATAGACTGGGATGAGAAAAAAGGAAAAAACCCAAGCAAATACCATCATGACAAATATTTCCATCGTGAAAAAAAGAAAAAAGAAAAGGGGTCAATAACTCCAGGGAATCAGAAAAGATCAAAACTCCAAGATCAACCGAACTTATTTGCGCCAGAACATGGCCTTCCCAAGAGTCCGACCCGCAGCCCAGCGGGTCTCAGCAATGCGGTCCTTAACGGATGGTTTGCCGGAGTACCGAATAGGACGCGAAGAACCACCTCCTTCAGAAGCTGTGCCAGTAGAACTTCCCCCATAGGAAGAAGGCGCGAAGTTTGTGATGTTTCCAGCCTCAAACTTGGTCTTTCCTTCGACAATCTTATGGACGAGGTTGAGGATAGCGTAGGTGGTTGAGCCGATTGCGCGAATAGCAGCGAGGACAGCGACGGACCAGAGAATGATAGCGAGGTAGATGTTCGTACCGCCAGAGTCGACGCCGTAGATTTCTGAAACGGCCATGCCGAGGATGACATTGGCGACCATCCAGATGGAGACCATGTACGTGCGCACAGCACGGTAGTAGTCCTCCTGCATCTGGGACTCGGGAATCGGAGGCTCGGGGACTTCAAGGCGGTCGCGGAGGTTCCGAAGGGCGGCATCGTAGCCACTGTCGATGTCGAGTTGTTCGGAGGGCATTTCCATTACCACGGTGGTGCCGTTGATTACCTTTGCGGCACCAAGATCGGTGTTCAGCACGTTGTCGCCCTTTGTTCCCCAAGTTACATCGTGGGTGTTGCAGAAGGCGTACACTTGCAAGGTGCAGATGTAGCTGGGCATGAGGAGGAAGTATTGGGCGGAGGAGGTGAACATATGCCATGGGTCCAGGTAGAGGAAGGAGGTGTAGAAATACAGGCCGACGGTAGAAAGCATGGATAAGACGATGTTCATCATCAAGGTGTTGGAGACCTCTATTGATGAGTCGCCGGCCCCGACGCGAGATAGGAGCTCCTTCACCACGAGGTACAGAGCACAGAAGACGGTGTAGAACATGACGATGGCGTACACGATGATACCGGAGAGGTAAAGGTTTTTGGCACTGGGATTTGTTAGTGCGGTTCATTGAGGTATGGAGCGAGGTGACTTACCCTTGAGGTCGATTACCAAGAGAGATGATGAATTGCAAACACATGACCAAGACAACGGCGTAACGGAGGACGATGAAGATGTACTTGCCCATGTTGTGTCCAAATGGATCAAGCTTCTCGTTGGTAAGGGAACCGGCGATGAAGTAGAAAGCGAGGTAGAAGTTTGCAAGACCGAAATAAGTGAACAACAGATTGAGAAACTGGTACACAAACTCAATGTGCAGCAGGACCTTGCGAGCAATAGTGTGATCCGTCTTCCAAATCTGCTTGGCATTGAAGATGGAGTACACGGCAGCGAAGAAAGCACCGTTCAGCCAACGGCGACGCTGCGAAATAAACTCAGGCACCGTCTCGGGCACATCAGTCTCTCCAACAGCGCTCTTGACAAACTTCAACACCCATCTTTCTTCTCGTTTGGCCACCAACTCCCAGCAAAGAATACGGTCCTCAGCCAGGTACATGTTGGCAGTGAAGACATCGGCATCCTGACCATGAAGAGTCTCACCCTTGAAGTACTGGTTGAGTGGGCCGTGTCCATCGGCATCGTTCTGCAGAGCGAAGAAACGGTAGGCACTGAGAGCACCGGGCAACACAGTAATGTAGCCGAAAACAGACTCAAGGGGCTTATCGAGAATGTTGGACATCTTGTACTCGAAGTTCTGACTGGCGACGAGGGGGTTGAAAAGACCAAGCCAATGCTTCCCTTTGCCAGCCTTAATCTCACCCGCGGCACCAGCAACATTGGAGTCCTGATCAAACGCTTTCCACAAGTGGTACAAAGCATCCGGCTCAGGCTTGGTACCGACATCAAGCAGGATACAAATGTTAGGTTGTAGAGCACGACCAAAAGCATTGAAGAACCAACGGTGAGAGTTGAGCTTCTTCTGATTCTGCTCCTTCAGACAAAAGATGACCTGGCAGGGCACGATACCCTTCTCAGCGCCCTTGAACTTGAGATCAGCGTCCAGCGACACCTGGGTTGTGTACTCGTACACGTGCGCTGTGACGGGTTTCTGGTTGACAATATTCTTGGCAATGCCCTCTTGGTAAACACCCAGAGCCGCGAGAGCGTTGAGGGTTCGCGGGTGAACCTTCTTACGACCATCGGCAACAATACAGACGACGATCTTCTTCCAGCCATCCTTACCCCAGGTACGAGACTTGGTACGCTGACAGAAGTGGCTAATATTCCGCATGACGCCGTGCATGGTGCGGGTAAAGCCGATCTCGTCTTCGTTGTACATGGTGATACAGATGAAAAGCTCAGTCTCGCGTGCCGTGCTGCCAATCTGCTGGCGAAGCTTGTATCCTCGGTTGGTGAAGTCATCAGGGTCGGAAGTCACAGCAGTGTATCGCATGTGGGTGAATTCGCGGTCATCACGGCGAGGCAGGAAACTGTGCAGAATGGTGGGAATCTTGCACTCCAGGATCAGCTCACCGTTGATCAACTGGACCTCCTTCTTGACCATCTGAGTAGAGCGAACGCCTCGGCGGCTTTGCTTGTCAGGCGCGGGCCCGTAGTGAAGATTGGGATCGATCATGATGGATTCATCGTCGTCCTCGTCCAGATCAACCTTGGCCATCTCATACTTTTCGTCGCCCATGACAGTTGACTCGCTCATGAACGAGCGAACACTGGAGCGAGAGCCATGGTTGATGGTCTGGCCACCACCACCGAATGGATCTTCGCCAGCGACTCCGTCTCCAATATCAATGCTAGTGTCTGCCATGGACGGCGCAGGACCAGAGAAAAGAGGAGCAGGGGGCAACGGTCGCCGAGGACTTCCGCCATATCGTGAACTGGGAGTACCGGGTCGGGGGCTGCCATTGAGATCGGCACGTTCGTAGCCGACGCTCGACACGGACGGTGGGCGAACATGACCCGGGCTCCACGGGCGAGTGGGAGACCCCGTTCGCGGGGGGATTGACGGATAAACCGATGTGTCCGCTAAACTAGCAGTAGGAGGAGGGATATTCGGGATAGTGCCCACACTGGAAGGTGGACGTGAAGGAGAAGCCGCGCTGGGGACCTGATAGAAGCGATCATCGTAATGAGCCGCCTGGCCGAGCCTAGAATGACGGATTCGAATGTTAGAACGCGGTCGCGTCGGACTCGGAGAAAAATGCAGCTCGTCCGCGTCCATATTGAACAAAGCCGGCGGCTGTTCCGTTCAAAGTGGAGATGGGGTGTAAGTTGAGACAGGTTCTATGTGGATTGTTTATGGCCGGCCAGCATCGATAGACAGCCAGAAACGAGCACGGTCCCGCCCAATGGCGGATCTCGCGTGCTCATTCCTGGCGCGCCTACCAGTGCCGATGCCTGCCAAGGGAGGAGCCAGAACTGGCGAGGGGAGCATGTGGTTTTCGTTGTAGGGACAACGAGTGGAATGTGCCGGAGAATAACGTTGCATTTGCAGGTGGGGATGTACTTACGGAGTAGAATCATCATAGTCTGGTTGATAGGAAGGGGCCCGGGGGCTGCCACTCAATTCGCCGTTTTCACCGACGGTGGGCAACAAGCGCATTGTCGCGCCATTGCGAGACGCGGCTGTGGGAGATTCGGGGTCGGACAGGAATGAGGAGGTCTCGTCCAAGTAGGCGGGAGGCTCCTCCCCATAATTGGACGGTGGGTGACGGTTCATGATGTGGAATGTGGTCTTTGGATCACCTCAGTTCTGCATAGTAGGGTTTGACGCGGTCGAGATGAGACAAGTTGCGCAATGAGACCCGATGCTGGTGAACTGGGCCGAGACAGGTACGGTCTGACGGGCTGGCAGTGATACCGACGATGCTGACAATACTGACAGTGTGTAAAGTAGGAATGCGGAGAGGAATGTAGAGAGTAGGAACGTGGAAGCGAATTAAGAATAGAGAGGTTCACAACCGGATCATCCGCGGCTGCGATCAACAAGGTGGAGGTGGAGTGGTTGTCCCGGCAACGCGCTTGCAAGGAGCTGCTGCACGGGGCCTCAATATTGGGAACTCGTCCCGAGTGGCCTTGAAACTGTCTATTCGACCATCGATCAAATTCACTCTCGGCTCATCAAATGTTATTCACGTCCTTACGCATGGCTGATCGTTCTTCTACGGTATCGGCATTCCGAGCATCCAGAATCGATGCTCCACCGACTGGGTCGCATCAGTGCGTCAGCGATCATAAACATTGCATTAGATTCATTGTGGGATATTAAAGTCCATGTACCAATTCCAGGTATCATAGTGCAAAGGAAAGAACATTCTCTGTATGCAACAAAAAAAAAGAAAAGAAAAACAACATCAGTCAAGGTACCCAGGTACTACCGAAGCCAACCACATTTTCTCGTCCCGCCACCAACAACACAAAACCGTCGGTTTTGAATCTCCTCTGGGTTGGAAACCCACCTACCAACCGCCTACGCGTCGTTGAGCAAAGGCTCTCTCTCCCGATCAGCCGAGTCGGGGTGAGCAACGCGGCGGAACAGGCTGTCGCGACCGGCGTACTTGGTCGTCGATACGTAGACCGAGACAACGGTGAAGATCGCGAAAATAGTAAACGCGAAGATCCACTGCAACGCAATGATCTTCATCGCAAGCTGCCGAATAGCCAGAGCTGCACAACATTAGCAAGATCCTCTAAAATATATTCCAAGGCACAACTTACACAGCGTAAGTAGACTCAGGCAGTAACCCAGAATATAATCCTGGCGCAGCACGATATGCTGCAATCCAATCAACATAATCACCCAGATAAAGATGTTAGCTACGATCCGACCGGGCAGGTTGTGGCTGTGCACCGCGACAGCTCCGTTCCAGAACAGCGCCGTCAGAGTCCAGGCATAGGGCCCCGCAACGGCAGGCAGGTGCACGAAAGTGGGGAGGCCGCGATGGCGCCAGTAGGCAACAGCCTGATTGATAAAGTGGGCGATGAGGATAATCTCAGCCCACCAGAAGTAGTTGCGAGTCCACAGTAGGATCCAGGCCACGATGAAGACGTTATTCAGGATGAAGTGCGTGGCGACGTTGGCGGCGGCTGCTACCAGGGCCGTGTCTTTGCTGAATAGATGCCAGACATAGCTGAGCTGGGAGAGGAGGAGAAGGATCCTGCGACGGTCAGTGGCCGGACTGGGAAGGGAATAGAATACATTCCCCCGAGGGAAACGGTCTCACCAGTAAATCCCAGTGACGGTAGTATTTTGACTGAAAGGCGTCTTCTGCTTCCTAGCCTGCTTCCAGATCTTCTTACTATGCTTCGTATCGTCCGGCGAATGGATGGAATAGTAAATTCCGAGCACGACGACAAGCAGCCAGGTGAGGGGCACCAGAACGCGGTAAGTAGTTAGAGCGTTCGCATGATGCGTTTCACGCCGAGCAAAAGGATTATAGGTAGGCATGTTGGAGAGAAAGTGGCAGCGCCTGCCTAAGAGTGTACGGAGCGGGGAACGCGCGTTTTATAGTTTGATAGAAGCACGAACCAACCCCCGCAAGGTCGGATGACTCGGCTTCCCACCAGTCATGTTGCAGCTCGGATGGCGCCATTTGCAGATGAGGTCAAATCGGTGATGTCAGATTTACCGTCCGGGTGGGGACCTTTCTTATCGATAACACTGCAAATCCCTGTTTCTACTGTAGCACCGCTACCTGAGTGCGCCACTTTGGGATCCACTTTCCGGTGAGTTACCAGAATTTGCAAACTGAGGATGGATTTTCGGGGTACCCGGGTGCCCAAGGGTTAGGTCTTTTAGGGTGCGACAGGCTGAGACTTTGAATGGTGCAACTCCCGCGCCGCCGTCGATCCTGTGCACGGTCCTACGCGGGGATTCTGTGCTACACCTTGGTCCTGGCTCTGGTAGTTTATTTTGTTTGAGTTTGTAGCAAAAGAAGTAGTGACAAACCCAATTCTATAAGACGATCTTTATACATTAAAACCTGAATCTCTATCCGTCTAAGTAAACCCCGTCTGCCAGTGTCAAAATGAGGACCCTGGATGCGCGGGGTACTAGCAAGGGGGGGAATGCCTACAACCCTGCATATATACCAATCGACATGAAACATGAAAACCATAAATTCCAAAAAGGGTATCAGTGCCGTGCTCAGACCGCCAGGTCGTAGATCCGGGGACTCAAATCCCCATCAAGACCGTCGTGCAACACGAACAGCCTCCAAAACCTGTCCATGAATAGAAGCAGGCGCCACGACCATGCCGTGGCACCCTGCCAAAGTCCTTCCCAAGCCGCAATCCACGGGATTCCCCTCAAGATCCGTAACCTTAACTCCAAGCTCAGTCGCCAGAAGCATGCCGCCGGAGTGATCCCAGATCTTCGACCGATAGCTCTCGTCCAGCGGTACCTTGATGAAGGCATTGCACGCGCCTACTGCGATCGCCACGTATCGCATCTGCGCAGACCATAGGTCCACGGGGTTCGGCCATAGACAGCTCAGCTGTGCTGCTGCCTTGCCGTGCACCTCCAGGTTCGCTGTCACGGAGGCCTGGGTGTCGATGAAGCGCACGTCGCGCGGGTCGCTGATCTGCGGCACGCCCGGTAGCATTGATCCCGCTATTAACGCCCCCGTTCCCATAGGCTGTATCTGAACTCCGTGTCCGACTACCGCGGACAACATCTGGCCGTAGCCGTCCTTGTCCACAAGCTCCTCGGCCACATGCCCGGTCCCCCGTAGGTTCGGACACCCCAGGACTCCGACCACTTGTTGCCCGTCCTCGATCAGCGATAGACACACGGCGTACTGCTGCCCGCGCATGAAGGTCGCCGTGCCGTCTACGGGGTCGAGTGTCCATGTCCGCCCAGTGCGCCCGGCTTTACCCTTGGCGCCTAGATCGATCAATTGGAGCATCTCGTCCTTTGTACTCGGGGTGTAGAGTAGCGCTTCGCTGGTCTCGTCATCGAGGTGTACGGATCGAGTCAATTCCCATGTTCGCTCGAGAAGGGCAGCGTCCTGGCGTAGGGTGGTGGAGTCTTCTTCGCCGACGATCTGGTCGTCTGGGAAGGTGTTGTGGATTGCGCCGATGATGGAGGCTTGGGCGGCAAAATCGGCAATAGTCACGGGTGTAGAGTCGATCTTGTCGAAGGAGCCTTTGTCCACTGCGGACAGCAATTGCTTCGTCAAGAGGGCTGCGCGCTGCACGGCGAGTCTGGCGAGGTGAAGCTCTTTGGCGTAGGGGTGAGTGCTCATCTTGTAAGGATTTGAGGTGCACCTGTGTTGGGAGAAATGAAGAGGAATTGAGTGTCCCCGCGTGATGGGGGGGGTGGTGGGATGCTCTGGTCTCCGATCCCAAATATATTTCCGGCGATCGGTGTCGCGGGTCACGTGGAGCAGCGTCATTGTGCTACAAACCTGGAAATCTTGGAAAGGAATACTTTGGAATAAGAAATTTACAAGGAATGAATAAGTTCCAAGATTATTTACTGAACATGGAGCAGATCATACGCATAAAATCATAATCAATTGACGAGTAAAGCCCAGACGTATCCAATTACTGATGCAGCATTTGTCTGCGACCGTCTCTAGGAAAAAGAAAGAGTGCCCAAGGTATATCTCTAGAACGCCATCCCGGAAAGACAAATCAGAAAGGAGCAAAAGCAAGCTCGTAGGCAAATGCCAGGCTCATCTTCGCATGCTGCAGCATGTGGTCGAAGCTGAGGTACTTGATCTGGTCGTCGGTCGAGTGGATCTTCTTGTCACTGTTCTCGAATGAAGACTCGATCACAAAGGCTGAGGGGTAGCCGAATCGGCTGGCGGAGGCATGGTCGGAACAGGCGTAGCCGCACTTGGTTTCGACGTAGGGGATATCACAGTACTATCATTGGGTCATTAGTAATGGGTTTTTTGGATCGGAGAACGGGTGAACTTACGGTGGTGATGACCTCCTTGATGAAGTTGGTCAGGCCTTGGTCAACATAGTCGACAATGACACCGACAGATTCCTTTAGCCCGGCATCCAGAGTACCCTGGACAAAGCCAGTCATATCCTGCTGCAGCATGGCCTTGACTTCACGCATATCCTTCTTGTACTTGGCGTAGACTGCCTGCGAACCGAGCAGACCGCCCTCCTCAGCCGAGTACCAGTGGAACTCGATAGTGTTCTCAGCCTGGCCCTTGGCAATAGTCTCGGACCGCAGCAGAGCCCGAAGAGTCTCCAAGATCGTTACAGTTCCACTGCCATCATCGTCCGCGCCCGGCGCAGCCAGGATCGATGGAAGGAACAGGTTGATGCTATCCTGGTGGGCACCCAACACGACCGTGTTGTTGGTCTGGCCGGGGATACGGGCGATAATGCTGAATTGGCCCCAGGGGTGGTCGAACTTCTTCACAGAGGCACCGTGCTTGCCGGCGCCAGAATCCTCGACTACGCCGCTGACCTGGTCGTACAGCCACTCGGCGGAGTCGATGCCGGTCTGGGACTTGTAGTAGCGGGTGTGGAAGGAGGTGAAGTACTCCAGGTTCTTCCTCATATTGCTCTTCGACAGGTCATCGCTCAAGGGCGCAATGGCATGCTCATGCTGCATCGATCCTGGATAACGGACGATGCGCTTGCTGTGGAGGGCACCGTATGAGCCGGATTGGAACTCGTCGGTGACATCAATGAAATTGACGCCGTCCTAGAAGCGTCATCGTTAGACAAGTACGTAAACATACATAAACATTGTCGCGTGTTAGAATCAAACTTACCAACTTCAATGCCCACTTCTCCTCCTCAGTTACCCAGCGGGTCTGGTACGGAGCCAACTCGATCAACCACTTGGTGGTTTGGGCATTCTGGACGACGGAGGGGATTAGAGGTGCCTGCTGGGGGATGACCGCAGCCAGAGCGGTAGAGACAGATGCGGCCAGCGCAAGAGGGGCGAGGAGCTTCATGATTGGGATAAAAATGAGGATAAAAATGAAAGACTGCAGGGCCTCGGGGGTTTTGTAGGTTTGAGAGCTCACAGCCGCAGCAGGCTTTCGGGGCCGGGCTAGTGTATCACGCGCCCTTGGCAGCCCCCAAGCCCGTTTCGGACCCCGCGCTAAGTGTATTAATAGGCGGGCGATAGGCCTTGCCCTTGTATCACCCTTCTCTCTTACGGTCCCTTTTCGTTGTACCCCTTTCTCTACGTGCACTCAGTACATGGTGTGCGTCCCAAGATGATTCACGGGGCATCGGTTATGGGTCGCGCGGGGAATTGGGGAGAGTGGAGCACCACCAACTCCACATCGAACTATGACTCGTCTACCGTAAGCCTCGGATCGCCGTCGGGTCCCGTGAGTCACTGCCTAGACTCGCCCGGCTGCCTGGCCAGTGAGGCTGCCACGGCACGTGCGACTCACGTGCCAAGACGCCGTATGACCCGATCGGGAAAGTAGGGTTAGGGCCTTGACTGGATACATCACATTCCGCCAATCAGCAGCCCGTCAGCCTCCCGTGCAATCGCGAGAGGGGAGATTGGCGTTCCGACTGCGCGCCTTTATCTCGTTATCTGGCCCTCTGTCATTCATCCTTACCTATTCTTATACCCCCCACTCGTCCTTACCGCGATAGATCGATACATACTATTATACTATGTCCATTCACCCTCAACTGCGATCCCGGGCTTCTCAGGGGCCCCTGTCTCCCCAGCAGGCCGTGGCTATCTCCGCGTGGACAGAGCAAGCCTCGGCTTCGCTCGAGAACCTGACTCTTTCGGAGTCAAAGCCTGAGGGAACGTCATCGACACCGTCGCGCTCCGGCCTCCAAGGCGCGAGCGTGTCCATCTCGATTCCCCTCGATGATGAGACCCCGGCGACTCCATCGCGCCTCAAGCTTGCCGCAGAGACGCGCCCACCAACCGTCAGCTTCCGGCGTCGCGAGCCCCTTCGCCAGGATGGTTTCAAGCGGCGCGAGGCTTTGTTGAAAGGCAAGGATGGAAGTCGTCGGAGACAACGATGGGAGAATGGTATGGCCTATAGGGTCCCTGGGACTCCGTCACGAGGATAAGTTGAATGCTGATGATCACAAGACCGCCTGCTGCACAACCCGTGGGCCGAACCTCCATCCTCCAAGGACTGGGATATCCAGCCTACCTACCCTCGACACGATCCTATGCCATACTATCTCGCACCGCTCTGGGACATTAACTATTCCAAGATGGCTGACCACGCAACCAAGAATACCGTTGTTGACAAGCACCGTGTGCCCAAGGAGTTGCGCACGAAGTTGAAGCGCGCTCGTGCTGCTCGGGGTATGCTCCAGGATCTGGAAGACGAGATCCGCCTGTTCATTCGCAAGTGGAATGAGAAGCAACTCTTTCTCCTAAGTGAGGGTCTACAGGATGCACCCGGGTCAAGCAGCGAAGACTCCGAAGATGAGATCGTCTTTATCGGCCGAAACGGCCAGATGCACGACTCGCCCGAGCGAAAACAGAAGCTGCAGCGACTGCGGGAAGGGATGAGCTCGCATCATGAGAAAGACGGCGAGAAGATGGTATTTGAGAGCCTGGTCGATGACCGTTCAGCCAGCTTCGGGTGAGTTTGCTTCGAGTGTTTTATCTTTGCTTGTGCTGACCGGGGATCCCAGCCGTTGGCTCGTGCACTCTATCGCTTCGTACTATGGCCTACACACCTGGTCCGTTACCGTGGGCAACCCTGCCCGACGGGAAGCCTATGTGGGTTTCCGTCCACCGGCGCCAGGTAGCCGAGCTGGCCTCGTCACTCATCCTGCTTGCCGTGCCGAGGAGCTGATAAAGCCGGGCGACGAGCTCCCGCGCCCTCTTTATATGCAGGTTTAGAATCTGCCTGCCGAGTAGATAGTGACTTTTCAAGGTGCGACGTTGGCCGGATCCAGTTTCGGCATGGTTGGCCTCAGTATATATAATTTTATTGAACATGTTTCGATTTCTCGGTTGGACTTGGTCAATAGAGCACGAGTACATCGAGAAACATGAGATAGACAGTGCCTCCATCCAGTTCAACTTGAACTGCGGTACCGTAGAATTCGAAAACAGATTACCCTTTGAACACTGACGCTTTCTTTCCCAGCTTCCCAATCAGACCGCGCTAAACTGAATTCGATCATACACTAGTTTTCGAAATCAGTTTATATCTCCCCACCCTTACCACTTACTTTCCGGAAAATAAATCCGAAATTACCCGAGTCCTGCTTGGATTTGATCGACAATCCCTGATCCTACCTTAAAGAAATGTGCTTAACACGAAACTGACACGAAAGTATGACACACGCTACTTCTGTACCTCTTCTTTCCTTCCTAGGCAATGAGTGCCTGGTCGGTACCGGAGCTTGCGGGTGACATGCGATACTAAATTCTATGAATGAATAGACTTTCCTTATCCCAATCCCTCACAGCAAGCATCATTTAACCGTGCGACACACTCTGATTGTTTCAACTTTCCACGGTGAATTCTGAGCCTCACTGGCGAAGGTCTGTGGTTGGAAGTCCTGTGGTTGTCTCTATCTTCGAGTTCTGCTGAGCGCCGAGCAGAGCCCTGGCATCGCTGAGGCTTTCCAGCAAGCTGTCCGTTGTGTCGAGAAGGCCGTAAAAGCCGGAAATAGCATCGACTTTAGCGGGTTTGTTCACGTTAATTGAATTCAGGATGTCATAAATAGCGGGGGTGTCGAGAGCGATTCACACGTTCTTTATCTCGTCTGCGTTCGCGCCAGCTTGGAAATTGAAGGTGGTCTCACCACTAGGGTCGAACAGCTGCTTGTCGTTGAATGTCGCGGTGTCTAGCTCGCGCTGGGTATCGGTTCGGAGTTCGTCGATCTCAAGCTGGAGCTCGTCGCGGTCTGATTTAACCCTGGCCAAGGGGGCTGCCCGATTCACTAGGTTCCGAATCCGCTGTATCTTCTCGCTGACGTTCTCTAACACGCCCTCGGCGGCTTGCATCAGGTTCTCTCTGCTCGCTGCCTGCTCTGCTGCTTGCTGGAAGTAGTTGATCTGACTCCTCATCTTCCTGTTTATGTTGTATCTTCTCCTTACTTGGTCCACGTTTCAAAAATTTCCCTACTTATACGAGGATCTACGATGACCCACTGAGAACCAATCGACGAATGCACTATTAAGTTTTTGCGTAGTTTCGTAGTGCTTTAGAGCTTCGTTGCTCTCTCGCGGTGGCCTATCGGTGTGCTAATAGCCCCTCGGATGTTTGGCTGCTGCAGGGTTGTACTGCAGAGGGCGGCGGATCTGCAGGGTACCCCGCGGCCGTGTCCAGTTGGTCAACACCACCAGTCCTTCGATACTTGTTCCCAGCACCGCGTAGAGGTATTTGCCCATCGCTGGGGACACTCTTCAGTTGGAGCCTAAATCAATTTCCCTTCAGATATTGATTCCCGAATTTCATGGGACACGATAATAATCTATATATGGGGTTAGCTTCGACCTCTGCGCCAAGAATGGAACTTATTCTAGCGGTGTGATGTAATCTGCAGATCTGCAGGTTGCTTTGAGGAATGCTAACTTGGGGATTCACCAATCACCCAAAGGAGCTGCATCCTTGAGGATGTTTAAATACTGCTAGACGGCTCGCTAAGATTTTGCTCGCCTTGCCATAGCAGGCTTTCGCACATGTCTGATTGAAAACACTTTTCATCCTTCCTATCTCAATCGATTTTGATACTCGCATTATTTTCTTTCGCATACTGAGCAAAAAGCTCGCGGCTATGGCGAACGAACCTGGCGTTTTATTGGAAGATTCGCTAGAAACGAAACAGGCGCCTCATTTAGAGACAGCGATTCCAGTTTTTGCGGTTGGCGCCGAGGTTGGCATTACCCAGACAATCCGGATAGAGACTCTAAATGAGTTTAAAACCCATATGGGATCCTTCAATGCCTCACAAACATTACACGTCGCCGTGCGGAGCTTTTTCGATAATGGCGGTGCATTCTGCTACCTTATTGCCACCTCCCAATGGGTCTCAGAGATCCCGAAGCTAAAGACCGTCACCTTGCTGGTGGCTGCCGGGCAAGATATCCTCCAGCCCGTCTCCCAACTTTGCCAGCCAGGTGCATGCCTATTTGCGCTGTTAGATGGACCCCAGGGAAGTCTTGCGGATGAAAATCTCGCCCATTACCCCTCGGCTTCTCATGCCGCGGTTTACTACCCCTGGCTATCAGCAGAGTGGGCAGGAACTGCCATTCCACCTAGCGCTGTTATGGCAGCGCTGTACTACAAGACGGACAAGGAAAGAGGTGTCTGGTCAACGCCTGCCAATATAGCGCTCCAAAGAGATTTGAGTCCCCTAAGTTCGGTCACCGATGAACAGCAAAGGCAACTCTTACATATCAACATGATTCGCAACTTCCGTGGCCGAGGTACACTAGTCTGGGGGGAAGAACATTGGATCAAAGCTCGACCGAGCTTCGGTATATCTCTGCCCGTCGTCTTGTCGATTCTATCGAACGAGACCTTCGGTCAATTCTCAGCACATTCTTGTCCGAGCCTAACACACCTAGGACATGGCAGAGTATACGCGCGACATTCGAAAATTATCTGATGGAGATATTGCAGAAAGGCGCATTTCCACTTACTACGAGCCAATCGAGTTACTATGTTCAGGTCGGGGAGGGAATTTCAATGACCAAAGATGAAGTTGACCAGGGCTTGCTCCGGGCCAATATCGGAATTGTTGTTGTCCGACCAGATGAGTTTATCACCCTGGTATTTTCCCAGAATCAAGTTTAAAGCCATCATTTCTCGGCGTGATTTCATAGCATTTCCTTTTCTTGCTCCACATGCATCGATCTCGGGGAAGTCATAAAATTCTTCGCCTCCAACGTCTACAGACACTTCGTTTAGGCCTTACAAAACTTAAGAGAGTCCTTTACTGCGGAATATACCTTCACATATAAGAAGCGGATCAAAACAATAATGGCGGGAGAAATGGAAGAAAGGAGCGGTCTGCGGGTCAAACCTGATAGGTCTCAACCACGCATACTAATCCGCGAGGTAGAATCTAATGTATTACTGACCGCTCCTTCACCACCTCGTACGTGGCACTGGCCCTGACAGCAGCACCGGCACCGGCACCCGTACGCTGCGTAGACGTAGATTACCATCCAGTCCAGTCCGTGCACCGATGATCTTATGTCGTCAACTCGAGAAGCGGTTTATCGGATTTCGAACCCGTTCTTCGTCATGCCATGGCCCCATGGTTCGCGAGATTCCGAGAAACGCGTGGTCCGATCGGATTTCAATCGTGGCGTATACTAGGGGTGTTTGCCAGAGCCCCGCGAGAATCATTATCGATAATACCGCCGTCCTTGGTGCAGGGCGCGGGTGTAGGCGTAGACTGAAAAGGTCGGATCCGGTTCGGACCGCCACCCCACCGTTCCCCATCATGACGTTTCCGGCATTCTAGGGCGAGGGCGAGCATGCCCAATTTTCCCGACACGCGACGAAGCGCGATCGAACCCTGAACTGTTCATGTTAATGGCATAAGTCTCTTGCTGATAGGAGTGATCGAGCACTTCCAGAATACCACCTGCGCCAGCACCTCGTGTCCAGACCCGGTCGACGCTCACCCCCGCTGACCGGCCACTTATCTCGCTGCAGGTGGGGACACGCCGGGGTGGGAGGGGTGGTTTGGCAGCGAATGATGACCCGACACAAAGCTCACTGGATATTTCAGTGAGGTCCAAACGGAGTCGGTCATCACACAGCCTTGATCGAGGCCCCGGTGTGTGAGGTGCCTCGAGGACCCGATGATTCGCCGATGGTGTTGCGGCCCGAGTGTGCTGCCTGTACGACGAGGGGTCGTGAAGAGGTTAGTCGATGATGAGTGGATTATGGGATAGAACGCTCTTCTTTTTGAGGAGTGAGTTGGTGAGGGATCGTCCACGAAAGAAAACAAAACCGGGAGCGCATTCCTTTGCCTCATTCTTCACCTGAAATCCTACCTATCCGACTTTCATTGCTGGTTGTTTTCCACATTTCCGCATTTTCTCTTTACTTTTTTTTTAATGAAAATCTTTATTCGAGCGGCCCCTCTTTTTGAAGCTCATTTCTTCATACCCTCCCTGGCTCGGCCTTGTGTACCTGATTCGCGACGCTCCTGATTCTTCCACCTACTCGGGTCCTAGGTATCTAGCTCGGGTCGTTAGGGAACTAAGGGAACTACGGGAACTACCTAATCGTGTGCCTGGTCTCGAAATCGCCCGATCCCTGTTCTCCTCCCTGGGGCCATCATATGATTCTTCTCCCCGGCTATTCCCTCCGATATCACTACCTGGGGGGCATTCACTCTACGTGAATAACCATCCCTTCTTTCACGCTGGTTCCGGCTCGCTGCGTCATGGGAATTTGACTCCCCCTGTCTCTCGGAATTTTGACCGGGCAGCCTAGTCCCGATCATCCGAATCGTGATTTCGTTCCATATTTTCATGTCCCATTTTTGTCCCTTATATAATTCCCACCCTAGACTTCGTCTTACATTCAAGTTCTCTGCCCCCCGCTGTCGATCAGTGATCATGGGCTCCTATAAGTCCTGCCAAGACCGCGCTGGCAGCGGTGGCAGCTCTAGTTCGACTGATACTGACGCCTCGGTCCATTCGAAAAGTACTGCTCCGACGGTGGTCAGTAATCACACAACTTGCACAACGAAACAGCAGGACTGGCCTGATTTTCAGGATGACGGTCCTCGCGACTCGATCTCGACGTATGCATCCACCACTCGCTCTCTTGCTGACCCCCCGGAGGAGCCACGGTATGCGGTCGATGAACGACAGGAGACGTTCCCGACAGATGCACTCGCAACCACACCGTCTTCATTCGCAGGGTTGTTTCCCTCGACAAGACGATTGTTGATCCGACATGACGACGCCACAATCGACGGCAACATGAACCTTCGAGTCGACACCGTTGTCCCACGCCGTGGCGGCTACCAACAGGACGTAACCCTCTTCCACCTCCGCATGTACGACCTATTCTCTCGAAAGGTCTCCCTACGACGATACTGCCGCGACTCAGGCCGCGAAATATTCCATTCTTCCCGCAAAGAAATCTCCCCACTCACATTCCAAGGCCCAATCCGCCGCCGCTCATGGAGCAGCGTCCTCGCCAGTCTCCGACCAAGCACATATGCCCCAGCCGAACCAGCCCTTCAACGCCATAAATCAGCACAGTCGGGCAAAACCCCAAGCGAAGAAGAAGACAAAAAACTAGCCGACTCAATCATCCTAGAATTCTCCAACTACGCGCACGTGGAGCTAAAACGCCGCGGTCCGGGCACCGCCAAGCGCTACGAGTATGAATACTGGTCCACGAAATACCAATGGCGCCGCGAGTTCCGCAAAGAGGGCGATTTACGCGAAGTCTCCTACTACCTCGTCGACACCCGCTCCTCCTGCACAATCGCTCACATGGTCCCCGAGATCCTTACCCCCCTCGAAGCTGTCGAGGAGGATAGCAAGGGTGGTTGGGTGCCGCCGTGTTCCTTGTGGATCAATGACCCCTCCGTGTACGAGCGGATGCCCGACGTTGCCGAGTGAGTTTCAACTCCCCCAGTTCTATATTTATTCTGCATAGAGAGGCGCCCGCACGTTAAAAACTGGGACTAACTGGGCTTAGCGTGATTGTCGCGACAGGACTAGTCGCCCTCGTGGACGATTGCATTCGTCGACGCTGGCATAGCGCCCGCCGCGTTCCATGGATCTCCCCCGCACGTTCCTCCCTCTCAAAGGGACTGGAACGCATGGGTCCACGACGTCTGATCGGCGAGGTGCTTCACCGGAGGGGATCCGCGTAGGTCGCTGATCTCGCTGATCGCTGATCTCTATGCACGTAATCCCCTTGGGGTGATGTGTTGGCTAGATTGCTTTTCGATCCATGGTTGAAATGTTTTATGAATTTCACGATTGCCAATGACTTCCCTCCCCACTCCGTCTCGCTAAGAGGGGTTTCTATTTTTTTCTACTTCTTTTTCCACTTACAATCCCATGTTTTTCTGCTCGGGGTTTGGGGTGGTGCATCGAGAGCTATGCGCCTGGTCTGCGTTATTTATTGGACCAGGGTTTTGGACGCTTGGGAAGATCAGGTTATGGCGTTTTACTTGGCATGAACCCACCAGCAAGATCTGGTGGCTATCGACAGTTCAAGATCAAGCACGATCAATGCAAGCTTGCGTTCTATTTTCATTCCCCCCCAGGATTCCAAGGGTTTCCTCTTTCGGCGTATACATGGGTATAGACGTAGGGTTTCTGCGCTGCTCTGCTGGCGATGCATGGGTCCACACGGATCTTGTATTCCGAAGCCTGACCGCCGCTTCATCTCATCACTTTCCTGCTTCCACTACTCCGGAGCAGGGCCATGTGTACATTGATATGACTCGCGCCATGCATCATTCAGCCGGTCTAGGTCTGCCAGCATCCCCACCAGCGCTGAAGAAAAAGCACCTGCTGCTACATAAACTAGTACCCCAAACAAGCTACTCCTCCTGTACGATAGGTCGCTGATAGCCGTCTACTAGCTAACTTTAGACGAAGGATCCAATCGATTGGCTATGGATGAATCTTTTTTTTTCATCGCGCCCAAAACCTAGGCGGCACTTGCTTCCTGAGATTTACTTAAAGCTTGCCCGTACTTTTTACAACGGCTCGCCACGAGTCCGAGCCGCATTGCGCATTGCGCATTGCATTGCGAGAAAGGTCCCATGGTTTGAGTGAAGCTGCAAACTGCAGGTATGCCCAACTTGCATCGAGTGGTGAAATCTTACGCCTTCTCTTCCGAGTGGGCAATTGTGGACAGGACGGGTATGATACATAGGGCGGTTTAGAAAGCGAACCTGTGGTCTCCACTGTGGTTCTGTGGCTCACCGGCAGAATGGTATTATTTGCATGCATTCAGGTGTATTGTTTGGTCTGCCTCGCACTGGCCATGACGCTTCTGTCCTTGACCCCAGTTAGCAGCTCATGTTCATGCAGGGCGGCCCGGTGACGCAGTTCAGCTTCCTTTGAACCCTCTATGAATGATCTCATCTACCTCGCGCTGAGAGTCAAGTGATGTGCTGGCAAGCAATACACAGAATACGGCCCAACTGGGAGTACCTAAGACACACAAGTCTATCACCTGGTGGTCCGCAGGTTAGAAAGGTACTTTGGGCGCCATTATGCAAAACACCAAGCTATGGGCCTCACCTCCGCCTTTGGGCAGAGATCGCCCCTCCGCCACCACGCAATGTAAATACTAATTCATACAGGGTGTTCTGGAAGCCGTTCCGACTGCTCGGGAGCAGAATGCACGCCTGGCAGATGAGGCAGGGACAAGGCATCGAATATCAACGTGGGGTTCTCTGAGTTGTTCATATTCGCCGGCCAATCCCCGTCCAAGGCCCATGCGGATTTTCACTCCTACCTTTTTTTTTTCTCCTTTCTGCCGGGTTTCCCTTGCCTGTGCCTGTCAATGGGTCCCGGGCATGCAGTGGGAAGTCTCTCTCCCCTTACTTAGCGTTTCTTCAAGGGTACGAATTTGGCCTGGTCGGCGTGCGCCGGGCCGTTCCAGCTTGCAGCCTCAAGAAATGATCCGCATGTCTCTCCCGCGCCGCGTCTTTGGCAGGTGGATAAGGCGAGGAGGGGGTGAGGGGACTTTGACTGGTACCCACGCAACCTACAGTACATGCATAAGCCCGGTTTCCGCTAGGTTTGACGGTTAGGCTCCGTTTTGTTTGTTAAAGGGGGAGAAATTAAAAAAGAAAAAAAAAAATGGAGGGGGACCCGAGAACGGCAGTTTTTTTTTTGGTGATTCTGGAGCCGTTATATGCTCCTCCCGCCTCCTCATACCTGAAGTGTAAAATGTCAGGGACCCATTAAGCTGCTCTCGATTATATCTACTTCCTTTTTCCCCGGAGCTTTTTTTTTTACTTTCTTTCCCACCCCCTCTCCGACAGTTTGAGTTTTAAAACTCCGGCTTCTCTCCCTTCATTTCAAATTTCGTTCTCCAATTGAGCTTCTATATACCCCGTTTACAATGTCCTTGCCTACCAGCCCCCAAGCGAGTACTGCTACGCGGCCGAGCTGGCAGGAACAACTCAATGGTAAGCCATTGACCGACTTTTGAAAAAAAAGCCGTCTAAAAATCGTGAAGACCATTGCAGAAGAGCCAAACTAGTCGCCCCTGTCTTCAACATTGTCTCCGATCGGCGAGGTACCTATTCGTTTCCCCGTTTCCCTATGTTTTGTTCCCATATTCCCGGAGTTTGAACGTCCTTGCGTGTCCCTGCATTGCACTGGAGCTGCAGAAACACTGTACACCGACTTTTACTTTTACCTCCGTGCTTGACAGCGGATGCTGATTGCCCTTGCGTCGGAAACCAGGAGGTCGTACCGCCTGGTCCAGCACGGTCTGTGTCCAGGGCCAGAATATCGCCGCCCGCTACTGGTACGACGGCCAGTATATCAACAACGCCAAAGAAGACGCCGCCGAAGTCGCCTTGAAAATGCTGAACCAGCAGCCGAGACCCTCCACCGTCTATCAAGGGACGATCCCTTCCCAGCCGTCCCAGACAGGCTACGGCCGTGGGACCGGAGGCGTTTGATTTCTTATACGTTGCTTTTTCCTTTGTTGGGTGGTTATCTCCAAATCTCTTTTTTTGGGGGGTTTTTTCCCCCCGACGTTGTGTGCGCCTAATTTTTCCTTTTTTCCCTTTTTTTTTTTTTTTTTTTCCCTCTCTCACCTGCAAGCGCCTCCCTGTGCGGGTCCCACAGTAACACACAGATCTCTATTTCCTTACCGGGGTTTTTCTCGAGTGCAGCGAACAAAAATATTCACCATGAACCCGCGCCTCGATGCCTCGGTATGCAGCCCGGATCCTCGACCCGACTCCCCCGGTGAAATACGGACGCTCATGCTGTGATTGCAGATACGGGCTTGAGGATGCGGTGGAGACATCCTGCTAGGCCCGGAGACTAGCACACGGCCTCCCGGATATGCCTTGTCAGAACCTCGTCACCCGGTCTTGGCTTTTGTGCGACACAGTCGTGATACCCACTCGTCACTCGATGCCAAAGACCCAAAGACCAGGAACGGCTTTCCTAATCCTCAGGCCGAGACGAGAAGATGCGGAATACGTGATTGGCTGAGAACAGACAGGGGATATCCAGGATGTACTCGGGACAGCGCGGAGTGTCGACAGTTAAAGTGTTGTCTACACCTCCGACTGACATTTGGGTTCCCGCGTTCCGTGGTTTTCGCTGGAAACAGTGGAGAGGTCTGTGGGGCCCTCCCGTCAAGCCACCCGACCAGAACCAAAACTCTCCTTTGGGCCATCCTGGACTTCTACTTTCAGTCTACCCCCGAATTCCGCCTTGATTGTCCTGCCTGTGCCTGTGCCTGTGCCACCTTCGGGTAGCTGGCTGTCCTCTGAATCCCAGACACGATGCCGGTGGCGGTGAATAAGAGTTTCGGAAAGGGGGCTTTCCAAGTTTCGGGCTTGGATTTGTGCTATTTGAGTTGTATGCGGGAGTTTTCTTTGGGCTACTCTGCTTAAACGGTTGCATGTTGGATTTTGGTTTGGACTTGGTGCGTTGGGTTGGGACTTGGCTTGAAACTACGGCTCAGATTGGCATTTTCTTTTGTCAACAAGATTATCGACAGGATTTTTTCAGACAGAATACTCTCTCATTGACTGAATATATGACATTAAAGTAAACTTGGATCTATTTGAGCTTTGGTATAAGGCTTTGGCTTGTGCTACCTCGTCATGTGTATGCAAACATTTATTCCCGAGAGCTTGCCTTTGCAGTAAAAACTTCCAGAGAAGATGTGTTTGAAGCGTTCCGAGGTTAAGTTCCCGCCCGTCATAAAACTAGGTAAAGAAGTACCGGAAGATATTTGGAACTTCCTGAGGTCCAGTGGAAACGATGGCTACGTCGCAAGGCAGACTAGAGAAGAAGACACCGTCAGACAGCCAACGTCTATGAGAGCATTATTTTTAGACATTCAATCCGACAATAGTCAGAATTCATATAATAGCCCTTGAACCCCGAGGCTTAAAGGTTGTATATAAGCAGGCCCTATCTGGTTGCCTGGCACTAAAAGAAGCAGACCATTTGAGTTGATCGACAAACCTCCTACCGCGTTGAGGCGCATCCGGCCCCCAAATGATGTTGATCGCAGGACCCTGGTCCTTCGCGATGAAAATCAGCCCGGTGGCTGTGCGGGGCGCTCCAAGGCTGATTCTCCCATTCCCTTAAGTTTTGGCGCGATCCTCATAAGGGTGGTTAATCCCCAAGGGCTTAGAACGTCAAGAATAACCCCGGAAGCCATCGAGGCACCAATACTCCCATCTACAAATCCTTTAAGAGAATTACTTCCAGCATTCAAACAATACCTTTGGTAACAAGCCCGTCATGTGCTTCGGCTTCGCAGACGACGATAAATACCCTCCTCCAAACCCAATCCAATATGGCAACGACTACGATCGCTACCTCCGCGACCGCGACTCGTACCAGAAAGAACACGAAAAATATATGAAGCAGAAGAAAAAGCGCAGACGCAATAATGCTGGCTTTTTTACGATTATGGCTGGGGGGACCGGTGCTGCTGGTGCTGCTGGTGCTGCTAGTGCTGCTAGTGGTGGTGGGGGTGGTGGATGTTGATGGTTGATACGATGCGCATCTATTGTTTGTATTGTCTGTTTTCGTTTTGCGGATCATCAGATTCAATAGGGTTCGATACCGGGTCTGGGTTTGGTGTTTTTCTTATAAAATGTTGATGAGAAGAACCATGCTTCCATTTTTTTACGACAAGATCGTGGTGTCTGGGGCGCGGCTGCTTCTGTAGATAGGCTCGAATAGCTTCATCTCTCAGTTCTTTGCTTTTGTCCTGTCTAATGAACTTTCGGTCTCATTCTTCTATTGATATTCACCCAATGTCACGATGAGTCTTGAGATGATTGGGCCGGGAAGAGAGCGAAGTTGTCATTTGAAGCCTTGCATTTCTCCCTGCTTGCCACAGTTTACCACAGCTGTCATGTGGAGATTCAATTACAAAATGACTCATCACGCCTTTCAAGACACTATGCAAATACTATCTTTCAGCTGCATAATCACGTTCCACAAGAACCCCTAGTCTCACCCACATATAGCGCTCTATACATCCAGCCCCATCCAGCTGAGCTGTCTAATACGCATACTTCTTTCCGCTTCCATCAACACTTCCCCGACTATTTCTCCACCCGTAATACAGTCGCAAATGTATGCATCCCGCTGCCACGAAGAGAAGTAGTGCTGCGTTGGTCCAGTGTCCTGTTGGGTAGCCTATCTTCGCTTCGTCACTCTTGTAGATCCAGACTCCGACGATCTGACCCGGTGCGCCAAATGAGACATTTAGTGCGATAGCTAGGCCTGCTCCGGCTGTGGATCGTAGATTTGAGGACAGCCAACCGAGGAGTGGGGGGATGCAGGCGAAGGCACCACTGGCTGCGACGATGAGGCAGCCGTAGCGGGACTGGGATTGGATTCGGTTAGCTGGTGATTTTAGTTTAATGCATCGGCGGTGTCGGCTTGCTTACGAGGTATGCCTCAGCTGGGAGAACTGCAGATGCTAGGAAGCCCATGGCGCCGATGAATGAGAAAATGGCGGAGTGGAGTCCGCGGCTGCATGACCATGTTAGTCTGACTGACTCAAAATGAGTATAACCCTAGTACATACCTGTTAAAATAATCCGCAGACCATGCCACGACGACTGTCACCACATAGGCCACTGCATACGGAGGCACAGTCATCAACTGCGCGCGGAGGTTGGAATACCCCAGTCCAGACGTAATAGCCGGAGTAAAGAGAGAAAGACTCGAAAACGGCGTGGAGATGCCAAAATACACCTATTTCAACGGTTAGTTCCCGACACATCCCAGGTGCACTACGGATCAAACATACTGCATAATGAGCATACAGCCGCCAATCTGTCAAAACGGCCTTCGCATCACCCCAAGACATAGCACTCGCATTCCCATGCGAGCCCTCAAGCCTCAACCTCTCCGCCGCAAGCTCCTTTTCCTCAGCATTCAGCCAATGTACCGACTCCGGATAATCGGGCAAAAAGAACCAAACCAACACAGAAGACGCACAAGATGGCGCACCCTCAATAATGAACAGCCATCTCCACGCAGAAAGCCCATGGGCACCATTCATATGCCCAACGCCGTAGGCAATAGCCCCTCCAAAGGCACCTGCTAATGTCGCCGAGGCTAGAATCAGCGCAACGCGCATCGAGCGCTCGGAGTTACGGTACCAGAACGTTAGGTAGTAAACAAAGCCTGGGAAGAGACCGGCTTCCGCGACTCCTAAGAGGAAGCGGAGTCCTGTTACTTGGGCGTAGTTGTGTACGCCGCCTAGGCCCATTGTCGTCGCGCCCCAGGACAGCATGAGGAATGCGATCCAGCGCTGGGAGATGTTAGTATTGAATTCATGATGGCAGTGGATAGGACATACGCTCGGTCTGAGTTTCTTTAGAAAGTAGTTTGATGGAACTTCGAATAGCGCGTAGGCTATCAGAAATACCATCAGGGCGATCCTGATACCGTTAGTTTCGTCAGATAATTGGTGAATGGTACTCACGTATATTGATAGGAAGTCATATTAGTTTCCGAGAGTAGATCATTATGCGTATCTTCGTTGAGGATCTTGGCATTTCCTGTTTTCGATCAGCTCAACCTTCCCCTTCTCATAGATTAGAGAAGGAAGCACCGATATTCGACCGATCCAAATAACACAACAGATAAATCCCAGCACATAGAGGCACAATTCTCAAATCCTGCTTCCAAACCAAAGCTTTCTCCCTCTCCCCAAAACCCAGATCCAAGCCATCGCTGCCAGCAACGGGGTACTGTCCGAACCTTGTTTAGCATACTCTGGCGAATCGGGTTGGAAGAAGTTCTTACAGCCTGCTCCACGTCCTGGGTGGGCTTTTCTGCCGCCATGGTGCAGGCGAGCTGGTCAAATCGATCGCACAGAAATGGCCACGAATTTTGGAGGACCCCTTTTGTCTGCTTTTGGGGTCTCGGCATCGACCTAAACTCGGGGAATGGACCCCACATTTTTGGCCCGCACTGGCCATCTCGGCCGTGCTCCGATCTAGGGTTCACCGACTTCCGGGTGTTTGTTTGGTTCGGCTACTTTTCAATTAAGTAGTGGTTCAATGTTATATTCAAATCTAAAAAGGGGTTCAAAAATAAGTCTATCAAGGCCTGTTGGATAGTTTGTTTGTAGAGCTGCCACTGAGATTATTTCCGAGGTATAACCGCCGAAGTTCAATCAGACCTTTGAAGTCATTTCTAAAGATTTAAAGATTTAAAGGACTGAGCCGGTATAGTTTCTATCGAGGCCGGCAATTTCGAATGAAACAAGACCAACCGGTCTGCGTGATTCCCTGGGTAATGGTTGGCGTTTCTCACGTGCTCCAAAACGTCCATTTCACGTTCAGGCATTCGATTGGGAACCCCTGACTTTCAGAGTGCAGAATACGTTCTCTTTAGTTCCAATTATCATTTGAGATCTAATTGATGTATTTGCCGCAGGGTGAGGACGGAGTAGTTCGGTTACTGAAGATCTCGGCGAAGCAAACACATGCCATAGCCAGGTTTGGAAACAACTCGCTATCTCAAGACGAGTACTTTGCTTATACTGGAAAATACTCGATTGGAGCGAACCCTGGAAGTTCTTGTTCTTCAGTTTCATGGGCATGTTTTGACGAGACTGGTTTCTGGGGAGTCGCGTGCGGGCAGCGGACGGTTGATAATACCACTCAACGCGCGATGAAGGAGGGAGACATTTGTTACGATGATACATTAGGGCCAAGCGTACCTTTTAGACATCTCCCAAGGAATGCTCCGAGTCAATGTTAAAAGCGTAGTTGGTGTGGCTGCCATCACCATAGACCAGCAGTGCAAACCAGACAAACGTCCTTATCGGTTGATTGTGCCTGAGCGCATCGCAAACGCTGCCATCGTGACACCTCGGGTTTTCTTCATGCAATGCCACCGCTCGCTGGCCAGACTTCGTCCTAGAATATTACACTCGCTATCCTCGATCGCGACCATGTCGACCACCGCAGAGCCCGCCCGAAAGGCCATGCCCTCCGCATTGACATTCGACCGTCATGCGAAATGTTCGGTACGTCTTCCCTGCCCCTCCAGATTTTTAAATAGGCTGTTCCAAGCGATTGACTGTTCTGTTCTTTTCAGACCACCAAAGCACGCGCGAGTACCCTCAAATTACCTCATGGCGACGTCCCTTTACCCATCTTCATGCCCGTCGCGACGCAAGCTGCCCTCAAAGGCCTGACATACGATCAACTGCGCGATACAGGATGCATGCTTTGTCTGAACAATACATATCACCTTGGATTGAAACCGGGACAAGAAGTGCTAGAGGCAGTGGGCGGAGCGCATAAGTTGCAAGGTTGGGATCGGAATCTTTTGACCGACAGTGGAGGGTGAGATCTGCAAGTTGCGGGAACTCGATCGATAGGCTGACCGAGTCATGTGTGCAGTTTCCAGATGGTGTCTCTTCTCAAACTAGCCACGGTTACTGAAGAAGGCGTGCGGTTCCTCAGTCCGCACGACGGCTCGCCCATGTATGAAGCCCCCGCACTCGTCGCACCGGATGTGTCTAATCACTATATGACAGGCTCCTTACCCCAGAACACTCGATTTCTCTCCAGAACTCTATCGGCTCAGATATTATCATGCAATTGGATGATGTGATTGCCACTACGTCCCCAGATCATGCCCGCATCAAGGAAGCTATGGAGCGGTCTGTGCGATGGTTAGACCGTTGCATTGATGCACACAAATACCCCGAAAGACAGAACCTCTTTTGCATTATTCAAGGTGGTCTTGATTTGGAACTGAGGAAACAGTGCTGTGAGGAAATGGTCGCTCGAGATACTCCTGGAATCGCCATTGGTGGGTTATCCGGCGGCGAGGCCAAGGAGGAGTTTTGCAAGGTGTATGTCTTGTCTTACCCCCAAAAGTTGCAACGCTGACAGTTTAAAGGGTGGATACATGCACTGATCTTCTGCCAGAAGATAAGCCCAGATATGTGATGGGTGTGGTATGTTTTTGGCCATTCTCGCAAGTTGATTTGTACTAATTCTGGTCAAGGGATACCCGGAGGATATCGTTGTAGCAGTAGCGCTTGGAGCCGATATGTTCGACTGCGTGTGGCCAACACGGACAGCGGTAAGTCTGATCCATCTCTACTTTCAATAGCACATACTAATTGTGATTAGCGTTTCGGCGATGCTATTGTCTCTTCCGGTACTCTGAAACTGCGCAACCGGCAATTCGCCCATGACTTCAGCCCCATTGAAGATGGTTGCACCTGCAATTGCTGCCGTCCAAAAGATAAGGGCGGCCTTGGGGTAACCAGGGCATTTATATACCACATCACGGCTAAGGAGACCGTCGGTGCTCATCTGTAAGATCCCGTGCCTGACGTCTATAGTTTCCCTGCTAACATACCCTAGTCTCACAATTCACAACGTGCACTACCTCTTGACCTTGATGGCAAATGCACGACAGGCTATTATGGAGGACCGGTACCCGGCCTTCGTTCGTCAATTCTTCTCTAACATTTATCAAGGCGATAAATCGAAATACCCCGAATGGGCCGTGGGCGCATTGCGCGGTGTTGGCATGGACTTGCTGGCAGACTGATCCGGGTGAAAAGACGGTTGTGATTTCGAACAAGCGACGATACTTTGCATTCTTGCTATAGATAAGCGCATGCATTCGAGCGGTGTTGGCCTCCAGGCCTTGATGATCGAAATGTCATATAAAAGATGATTGCAATCTCATGAAAATCTAACATGTGTATGATCTTCTAGTAGAATCAATCAGTCTTATTCTTAGTGAACGTCCCCGTAAATTGCAGAATAATGTACACAGTGATGGCCACATTTGTGTGATGAACATGCAAGATGCAGATGGCCATGATGTGATAAGATAACGTCACGTGACAACGTGTCGCGTCGACGCGCACGGGTTTCCTTCTCAGATTAATCGGGAGACCCAGGAATTGAATCTCCAACTCACCCATCCACTCATTCTCAACCATGACACAAGAACAAGTTGTCACTCCTGCCTCGGCAGCGCAACCTCCCCACGATCCCTCGCACGAGGAGCACCAATACCTCAGGTTGATTCGCACGATCTTGTCGCAAGGAGAGCATAGGCCGGATCGAACAGGGACAGGCACGCAGTCGATCTTCGGTCCCCCACAGTACGATATCCTATAAACGGGGCTCTTCCTCTCTGGACAATAGACTAATTTTTCAAATCCAGGCTGCGATTCTCCCTGTCAAAACCCAATCCCGACGGTGGCGCCCCGATTCCCATCCTGCCCCTCCTCACCACCAAGCGAGTGTTTCTACGCGCCGTCCTCGCCGAGCTCCTGTGGTTCATCTCCGGCTGCACATCATCCCTACCCCTCTCCGAAGCCGGCATTAAGATCTGGGATGGAAATGGCAGCCGCGAGTACCTCGATAAGGTTGGACTGGGACACCGAGAGGAAGGCGATTTGGGCCCTGTGTACGGGTTCCAGTGGCGACACTTCGGCGCAGAGTACGTGGACGCCAAGGCAGACTACACTGGCCAAGGCGTCGACCAGCTCAAGGAGGTCGTGAACAAGATTATGAACTCACCATTCGATCGCCGCATTATCATGAGTGCTTGGAACCCCGCAGACTTGACCAAGATGGCTCTCCCGCCATGCCACATGTTTGCTCAGTTTTACGTTTCGTTCCCGCCGGGTATGAAACTCGACGAGAAGACTGGACGCCCAACTGAGAAGGGTACCTTGTCTTGTCTCCTCTACCAGCGCTCTTGCGACATGGGTCTTGGTGTGCCCTTCAACATCGCCTCCTACGCTCTTCTTACCCACATTCTTGCCCACGCTGCTGATTTGCACCCTGGTACTCTCATCCACACGATGGGCGATGCTCACGTGTATCTTGACCATGTCGATGCGCTGAATGAGCAGTTGACTCGGGAGCCCACAGAGTTCCCCGAACTGCGCATCAAGCGTGAGGACCGGGGCAGCGCTGTCGTCGACGGCTGGAAAGAGGACGAGTTTGAGGTCATTGGGTACAAGCCCCATAAGATTATCAAGATGAAAATGAGTGTTTGAAACTGTGGTGTTTTGCATTGCTATGCTATAATGTCTAGAGTGGTTTTCGCAACCAGTTATACCTCCACAATCTCATGATTTAATTCCCGGAAAAGAAATCCGAAATGCGCTAATTCACTTTACTTCACGCTCCATGATTCGGCATAACGGTGGTCGTAAGACTGAATGTCGTTTTGACACCCAGCGCCTTCTGGCACCTGGCATTAACCCCCCCCCCCAATCCCCCCTAGAGAAAGCTTTCGACGAAAAACCGCCTGTCACCGCTGGATGAGTTCGAGAAACGACACACTACCCTCAAGATCACGTACAGATAGATCCCTATCCCTATGCTGTAATCTATTTATAAATATGAATCCTTGACATTCGTGTCCTAGCTGTCTAAAAAATGAATTTCACTCTCACAAGTAGCCCGAATTTCCAGGATACCACAACTTTTCAATCTATTGGCGCAAATATTTGTCCATGAATTGCGCCAGATTCTTGATAACATCACCAAGGTACTTGTCGTTGTCGTATAGATCCATATGCGTAGCACCCTCAACGCGACAGCTGCTTCGGTTCAGCCGCCTTTTCATAAGCTTCTTCGCTGTAATACATCGTATCGGCCTTGGTACCAGCGATGAGAACGACCGAGCTGGTATGTACCTGTCAAATTGATCGCGGCTTGGCCCTTCTGTATAAGCGCGCTCCCTAGTTCCAGGCAAGAGGCGTCCGCAGGAAATGGTGATCCAATCAGGGAATGCATGATGGGGCCTTTATTCCAAAAAGAGATATCACATCTGAACCTTAAAAGGCCCTTGAAACCCTATTACTAATGCGTGACCCTCTGGTTTTGGTCTTGAACTGGGATTTTACCCGATGTCATCGTCATTTACGGTCTCGGTTGAACGAAAAGAGTGTCAATAGAGTGGGCATCTAATAGAATGGTCCCGAATATACGCTCGGATTGCCACTCGCATACTGAGGGTCGTTAGAGGAAGTGAAAACTTGCTAAGTTCGCGCGCCTTTCGTGTTTGAATCGTTTGTATTTCATGGCTCCTGTTGGAACGACAATTATCTTGCCATAACTTGACTAGCGCGTTGCTCGGGAATTAAGTGATAAGAATGTAGAGGTATAAACTGATTTCGAAAACTAGTGTAGACGATACCAGTCTGTTGATGTAAATGTCACGGGTTAAACATATTTCCCAGTTCATGTATAATACACAGAAGCTCAAGATTGCAGAATCAACTATCATTAAAGTCGTAAATGCTCCAGGTATATATGTCAAGGTAAATGCTCCAAGATGCTCTAAAAATGGCAAGAAAATGCATCTCATCATGAGTTCTCCAAAACCACCCCAGCGCCTCGTAACAACACAATCGTATCCCCCGACTTGACCTTTCCCCCAATAGAATCCGAAAACTCCAAGAAATCCCCAGACTCCACATGGAAGATCCGCAGCCTGGCCTCCTCCCCTCCAACGCGATTATTCAAATTCTCAACATGCAACCTCCGCGCCGCATCATCCAACACCCGACCAACCTTCCACCTCGAGTCAAAATAGAAATCACCCGCCGGCGGCTCCGCAGCCTGCGTATCCGCCGTACCAACTGCATGCACATACAGCCGTTTATCAGCCGGAACCCCAGCGTCACCCTTCGCAGCGCGCTTCATAGCATTCACGCTAGCCGCGCGCGCCGCAGGGCTGTTCGGCTTGACCTTGGGCTTCGGAATAAGATTCGCGCCGGCCGCCTGCTTCTCCTTGCCCCAGCTGCGCACGCGCGCAAACATCGACTTGATCGTATCATTCGCCGCGCCTTGCCGCGCGCCCAGCGGGGTAAGCTTGGCGCAGTCGTGTTCCTCGCGCAGCCGGTGCTTGAGACAGTACTGGCGATTGCAGTTCGGACAGCGCACGCCCGGGTCCTTGAGTGTATTGATAAGCGTCTTGCAGGAGGCATGGTAGCACTGGTCCGAGTTATAGATGTTGGGTTTCTCGGGCGCGACTCGGTTTTCTTGGTTGATGCCTGCGCGTCGGCGAGCCCATTCGCCGGCGTTGGGGCATTTGTGGGCTGTTTCGCTGCGGTGGTCGAGGCAGTAGGTACTGCGGCAGGATTCGCAGCGGAAGGGTAGGAAGTCGAGCTGGCCGCAGTATTCGAATTGGCAGTGGCGGCCGATTGCTTCTAGGTCCGTGTCGGTCATTTGCGTGAAGGATTCGTTGGGGTTGGAGGCGCCGCCTCCCTTTGATATGCTGACGGGAGACATGATCGAGGGTGAGAGAGCAAAAAGAGATGCAATGCGAATGCTAATCGGGGCAGATAAAAGAGAGGAATGTCTGGCATCGAGTAGAAGGTGCTGGCACCGTTGACTAATGCGGAGGCGGGAGGCAGATGCGCTTAGTAAGGATGTGCGGAGATCGCCCCCCACGCGGCAGCCACTAAACGTAACTGGCCTCAAAGTGTCCGTGGTTCTATTCTCTTGTTCAGGTACGGTCACTTTGTACGTCCCGAAACCGTTGTCGCCATTTTACCATGAGTATCGACTTCAGTATGTGGGCAGTTCCAGTATGTCCCTTTGGGCAATAGTGTCACGAATGATACCGAGCACAAATCGAGCTCTAGTTGCTGTTTCCTGAACATATACAAAAATGACCATCATGTACTTATTACAATCTTGACTGGTTGCACCGACAGAAATGGAGACAAAAAGGGAGGGTTTGCTTCTAAGCGATGGATGGATGACGATGCCTACTTCTTTCCGAATGCATATGCTGAGAATAGGACATGGAATCTAATTTCTACAAAAGTATCCGAAAGAATAGGCCAGATTACACGAAAACTCAGACCACAAATCCCGAACATGGAATTTCCGAAATCGACAAACTCCATACAAAAGGGGTATATGAGGCAAAAAAACTTGGAGCTGACAGAGTCTACTCCATGACGCCAAAGATCCAGATCCAGAATCAAGATACAGATAAATCGCAGGTATCTCACAGCGGGTAGAAAGGACGTGAGTCCTGAGAGCCCGGGTTTTGAGGGGTTTCAGGCGCGGACGTTGGGGGAGGACGGGGTTGTCCCTGGTTGGGGGTTTGCGTCTCTGGCGTGGCGAAGGGAATGGGGCTGCTGGACGTGAAGACCGGCAGGGCTTGCATTGGGCCCCGTGGATGGCCTTGGGGTTGGGTTGGGGGGAAAGCAGGTGAAGCGAAACTGGGAGGTGGGCGTGCGGGTCCGTTTCCCCTTGAAGGGTCCGGCATATTATTAAGTAGCTTCGGCATGGACAATTTGACTCGCTGAAGGCCACTTGTGAGTTTGTCCATGTTATCGTCCTTCGGCGCGGTCACTTCACCGGAAAGTTTTGAAGGCATGAAGGCCGTGGGCACTTTGGGCACGGGAGGGGCCTTTCGAGGACTGGCTGTGCGTCTGGGAGTACCTGGTCGCGAACCACCACTGGTTTTTCTCGAGGTGGGCTTCACCGGAGATTTCGAAGGGGTAGCAGGCCCATTCTCGGTGGTCTTATCGTCGATGGTACTGGCCAGGTCAAGACCGGTGGGCGCAGCGTGGGTTGCACTCTTTCTGCGACTGGCATCCAGGGATGGAGAAGATTCTCGGGATGGGTCTGGAAGCTCGTTTGCATCAATGGTTCTTCTGCGGTTCTTGTTGCGCATCGCTTGCTGGCGCGGAGTGGCAGGTCTGGGAGAGAAAGGGGTTGGAGATTTGGTCTTCCGAACGCGAAGCTGTCGCTTTTCCTCTGTGCTTGGTACTTGCGGTGGTGGAGGGATGATGGCAGGGTTGATACCACCATCGAGTGCCACCTGACGATCACGGCGCTGACGAGAAGCCTCGGCGTTCAATTCTTCGGGTCGACAGCTCTTCGTCTGCCTATGTGAAGGAATAAGAATCTTAGATAATTCATGGGTTGCAGTAGCCCAGCCAACTTCAGGCAGTGGTGGGATACTTGGACGCGGGCCCATTCCAGGGGAGCTGAAAGATTTGCGGTCCTGAAGATTGACTTTCTTGGCTTTAAAGGAGTCTGTCTCATTGAACAGCGTTGAGGACGTTTCACGCTTGATCTGCTTGGGAGGAGGATCCACAAGTGCCTCCACTTCGGCAAGTAAGGACGGAGACCACCACTCTTTATCGTAGTCGGCATGAGCTGGAGGCTGTTGAGTAGTATCCTTGGGGCTGATCTCGGTGATGTTCATCCCACTAGTCATGGCAGAGGCCAAGCGGTCATCGGCTGATTCGCTTCCCAGCCCAGAGATGTGACTGAGAACACCGCTCATCAAAGCTCGGTCACTGTATCCACCTTCCAGCACACTGATGACCCGACCATCAACACCGAGACCCTCTTCCTGAGACATTCGAACGACGTCTGCAGTAAAACGCGCGTAGAACTCGGTTGGCACATTGACCTTGTGTCGTTGCATGCCGGTACTTTCCCACTCGCTCGCATCGAATCCTGCCGAAATGAAAATGGCCGCTTTGGGACGCGGGCCATTGGGGTTTGCGGAGAGTCGCTGAGTGTGCTGTCGGAGGAACTTCCGTGCCTTCTCAAGCAAGACGAGATACTTGGTCCGGTAAAGAGTCCAGAACTCGTCTTCCGTTTCCCAGGTGTCCAGATGAATATTCCAAATAGACTGCCCATGCGCACCGTCGAGACAAACGCTCGCATTGCGCACTTTATCCGGATCACCGGCCTCGCACGGATAAGAATTGATATCATGCAGACTGTAATATCCGATGGCTGTCTTCTTGTGAGGAGCAGCATTGCGCGGAGCAGTCGCCGCCTTGTAATTGTGGTTCCAAGTAATATCTTGGGAGCCGTCTCCATGATGCAGATCGAAATCGAGAATGGCAGCGTGCGTCAAACCATGATTCAAAGCCGCATATGAAATGCCTACGTGGACATTATTGATCCAACAGAACCCTGACGGCCAGTCCGCTGAGCAATGGTGACCCGGAGGTCGGATACAAACAAATGCACGCTTTGTCGGGCCCGGTCCGAGGACTGTGTCGATGCCTTCGCAAACACCACCAAGAGCACCCTCGAAAGCATTCAAAGATTCCGAGCATAGGTAGAGGTCTCCCTCATGAAGAGCAGATCCACTGGCTTCCTGGCCATTGGGCCCCGGCGGCTTAACCAGTTCCTTGCCAACCAAAGCCAGACGTGACTCGGCAACATCGCACATACTCTTCAGATCAGTCATCCACTGAGTCCCATGAACATTCGTCACAGCACTGTCTGAAAGAGCCAACTTGCGCGATGTCTTGCGAATCTGGAACGGCGGAGGCGGCAACATGTGCACATCTAGATCTGGGTGCGGCGCATACCGTTCGCCTGCATATCGACGTCCAAGACGGACATAGGCCGCAGAAATCCCCAGCACACAGGCGCGAATGCGCTCCGGCCTCTCGACTATCTGGGAAAGGTAGGTCTTTGTAGTACGGGGGCGCGAGAAGCGATGGCCGTAGCAGGCGTCGTGAACAATCACGGCAGTTTTAGATTTGAGATCGACAACGTGGTGCAGGTCGAACTCTTTTTGGAAGTGTTCTGCCGCGATCGACGCTGCCGTGGGGAGCTGGGGCTCCGGTGGGAACGCGAGCCGCTGGGGCATTATTGCGGACGACGCGGTGGCGGTCGGTGACCCCGCCAAGTTGGCGGAAGAGCGACGCGACGAGTCTGCCAGGGGAGAAGAGGAGCCGGTGTTGGCAGATATGGAGCGCAAAGATGCAGCGGACGCGCGCTTCTGGAGGGAGGGTGTCGACTTGCGGCGCTCGTCGCGCAGTGAGCTGGAGCTGGGAGTGCGCGGCGGCGCGGGCGTGTTTGCGAGCGAGGCGCGCGGTGTGGCATCTTCAGGAGATAAGAGGGATGGAGAGGATGGGAGAGGAATCGCGGCGGCACTTGCAAGAGTGAGGCGATTCAAAGAGTCTGTCAGATCACGATTGGACTGATCCATGGTGGGCTGATTGTTTTGGCTGTTATCAGCGGGTCGCGGAGGCGGAGGTGGATCATCCTGAGAGGGTTTGAAGGGGTCCATGATTCATGAAGAGCATAGATTTGAAAGAAGCAGTAGAAAGAATCAGCAGAGTGAAAACAAAACTGCTTTGTCAAGTGGCAGGGGGGAAGAAAAGGAGATGCGGGATGTGAAAGTGTAGTTTGGCTCCCTGTGGTTGACGCTCTTCAATATGGCAAGGGGCTGGTCGATCACATCTCCATTCCAAACAATAGGCATTCTTTTATGGGATTTACGATCGAGCTATCGCCTTGTCTCACTCTGATATTTCTCCCTACATTTAGCTCTTTGCGGTCCACGGGGCAGGTTCCAATAGTTGCGCTGGCTTTACCTCTGGCCGCATTCCCAGTCTTCTGGACCTAGATTTATTACTAGGGCCATTTCTCGATAGCTCGGTTATGCCTTGGATGGTAGAGTCCTTCTCTAATCCTCTCCGTATCCTTATACAGATGTACCCTGTTATGAATTTACCGTCCAGGGCCGCTAAGATTAGCGCCTGTCCAGCGTGTTCTGGAAGTCTAAATACCTTCCGGGGCCTACTTTCAGCCACATTCTTTGTGTCAGATAAAAGGAATGACGTTGAAACTCTCTATGGGTATTCTACCTGAGATCTCTAGCTCTCATCGGAAAAAATATGAAGCATAACCCATGAAACCAGAATCTCGTGAGAGACCATTGAACCCTCTTGAACGCCTCAAAAACTCTCAAATCGCAATCTCCCGAACCCCAAAAAGAAAAAAGAAAAAAACCCCAACCCGAAACACCAATGCTGAAACAATTCACAAGGAAACAAAAATATCAGAACCCCATATCCCTACCGCAACCGCGACACCCTCCACTGATACCACTGAAACCAGCGCCTCCTGAAAGAAGCCTTCTCATCCATAGAATCCTGGCCCACCTTCTTCGTTTGATTCACAGACTTGAAGCTGCGCGTTGCGTGCGAGTTGCAGAAGCAGTGCATGTGGACTGTCTCGATGCTAATTCCCGGACAGCTGTTCCGTCGGTGGCCCGAGCAGACGCTGTTTCCAGCGTCTTCTTCGCAATGGCACCATTCGTACAGGGTGAAGTATTGGCGGCACATCTTGGTGGAGCTTATTGCTAGCTATTTTGTGATGATCGACGGAGTAATTATGGGATTGGATCCACACTGTCCCACGGTCTAGTGAGGTTTGTAGTGATAGCGGGAGCTTAGACGTGTGCGAATTTTGGTCAATTTTTGAGGATTGAGGGGCTGTCTTTTTGTCCGATGCGGGATGAGAAATGCGTGGGCTGGTGCCAATCGTGTGAGTTGGGAGTGGTGAGTGGTGAGATCGAGAAAAGGAGGTCAATAATGTGAGTATGGCGGATGCACCGGATAAGAGACCGTCCTGCCAGGGACGAGGTAAAACGAGTTGAAGGTTATTCAGGCCAGCTGAGAGGGGAATTGATGGAGAGGGGAAGTAAGAGAAGACAAGAGAAAGTGGATGCAGCCCTGCAGGCTACTTGTATGTTCTAGGTCTATTAATGGCTGAAGGCAGACCAGCCTTACGGTAATAATGAGGAATGGGTTAACCGGACCACGAAGGAACCTCGGTGGGGCTGACGTCAAAACCCGAGATGAGTTCATCCTATGAACTCCTGGAAAAGACCCCGATGATAGTTACAAAGGCGTGCTGACTGGCGGATTGCCCCATCCGTCTAGCAAGCGCTGGGCGTGGTTACATCTTCGCGCCCAGGTCGTATTGGCGCGGGGATCTGGTCGGCGGTACAATTACTTGGAACCAGTAGCTCTCAGAGCTTCGGGCTCCGTAGGGACTGCTCTGGGAAATCCTTGGCGACGGCTTTGGACTAGTAATATGAGGTAACGGAAACAATCTATCGGTCTTGGCTGTTGAAGGCGCCCTGGGAAAGCAGAAATCTTCCTACAGCCTGGAAGCTGCACCTGGGATGAGTCAAGAATGGGCGGCTCTGCGGGATTATAATTAGGCTGGAAAATAGAGCTGCACCTGAGCGGGTTGAAACTTAACGACAATCTGATCGACACAGGGCTGCCGAACTGTCAGAACCTGATCTAACGGGACGAACGGGGATCCGCGCTGACCCGCAAATGGGCGATTTCTTCCGGCGCAGATCCTTGATTGGCTGCGCGTTGGTTTGGGTTGCCGCCAGGACCCGGAGGAAATGTGCCGAATCGTCGACCGAGTTAGCGTTGGGGTAGAGTAGTATGTATGAACGCCCGACATTCCTCGCGTCGCATGGAATCCATGGTTCGACAGCATTCCGCACCGATTTTGAGATGCAACCGGAAGGGAAAGGTTGTGGCTGTGGTGGTGAAGCTGTCAACGAACCCGCGTGGAATGGAAGGCGGTGACTCGCTTTGGTACTGACAGATTCACGTGACCCGGGAATCTCCGCGGAGTGCTGCCTCAGGCCTCAAATCTTTATCGGACTAACAGCTCTATTTGCATTGGTTTCTTCTTTTTTCCATTGTGTCTGCCGAGTGTGAAGATAGTCACTCTCTGCTCCTGCAACTATACCTTGCTACTTCATTACACTCTACAACTCCGGCTCGCACCCAACCCACCACTTCCAACCACCTAGCATTGCCATGACCACCCCATCCACAGGCCAACCACCCAACATGGCCGCCGCCACCCCCGCGCGCACCTCAACCCTGATCGCAAACCTCTCCGCCGTAACGGCGCGCATAACCACCGCAATCAGCACCTCCCAAACGCCCAACAAACCCGTCCGCCTCGTCGCGGTCTCCAAACTCAAGCCCGCCTCAGACGTCCTAGCCCTACACCAACCACCAGCAACACAATTCCACTTCGGCGAAAACTACCTCCAAGAACTCCTCGAGAAATCCCGCCTCCTCCCACCAACCATCAAATGGCACTTCATCGGCGGCCTACAATCCAACAAATGCGTCACGCTAGCGCGTGACGTGCGCGGCCTCTGGGCCGTCGAAAGCGTCGACACCGAGAAGAAAGCCTCACTACTCGATAAAGGACGCGGCGAACGCAAGCCCGACGCGGAGGAAACAGAAGCACAGACTTCGTCCGGCGATACAGATACCAGACTCCGCATCTACGTACAAGTCAACACATCCGGCGAGGCAAACAAAGCCGGCATTGAACCCGCCGCAGCGCCAGCCTTGGCGCGCTTCATTCGCGAGAAGTGTCCTCGGCTTAAGTTGCAGGGTGTCATGACCATTGGAGCGATTGCGCGGTCGAAGGCTACGACGCCGGAGAATGAGAATGAGGATTTTGTGTGTCTGCGTGAGACGAGGGATCGCATTGTCGAGGAGCTTGGGTTGAGTGGGGCCGAGGCAGAGTTGGAGCTTAGTATGGGGATGAGCTCGGATTTCGAGGGTGCTATTGCCCTTGGGAGTGATCAGGTGCGTGTTGGGACTAATATCTTTGGGGATCGGCCGCCCAAGGCGGAGGCGAGGGTTGTTTAGATCGGGTTGGTTACGAGTTATGAATTGCTGCATATGCATGATCCGGCCCAGGTTGAGATGGGTTGGATAAAAGTTTGGTTGAAGATGCGGAGGGACTGGGTTTACTGTACTCTATATCACTACTGGTCTTAAAGAATATACAAGAACAAACGAGGGTTCCCACGGGACCCTTCCATGTTTGGTTCGGGAGCTGGAAGTTATACATGCATGCTCCACCCTGCAATCGCCTTTGCTACTCGTATCACCACAATCAATCCTTGTTGCTCATTCCTTGCGACAGCTTCTGCTCCATCTGTCGAGCCATTCCCTGCGGGACGCCTTCCTTTGTGGCACGGATGGTAAGCCGGTACATCTATAGACTGTTAGTTTCATGCCATATGGATCACGGAAAGATGGACATACCGATTTCTCGTAGCTGGGCTCCAGCCGCAACAAGCAGCCTGTCTTGCCTCCCTCGAATTGGAACACTGCACAACCGACAATGTTCTTCGGGTTCGGGTCCACGCCGTCCAAGATCTTCCATCCAAATCCTTCCACCATCTGTCGAGTGAATGACTCGTTGATGATCTTGTTCTTGCCGCTCAGGCCGAAGGTATTCTGTGCTTCTAGCGGGGAACCGCCGATTTGGCGCCACCGCTTGAAGAAGTCCTCGGCTGATAGAGACGACGGCTCCATGTATCGGTGCATCAAGACTGGAAGTTGCAGCGTGTATGCCTGAAGTGCACCAGCCAGGTAAGAGATACGGATGGTGGGCGCCTCTAGGAAGGGTCCATGTGCTGCACAAAACAGAGTCTGCTGGGTTTGACCACCGGCAGGGACGGTGGAATCGGGAAGATTTTTGGTGTCGATCTTCAAGTTCGGGGAGGAAGGGTTGTCGACGGTCGTAGTCAACGAGCCGATGCCGTATGTCGACTTGTTGCTGATGTACAGCTTCACAACACCGATATGGCCACGGTACTCGGATCGCATTCCGATGTGAATTTGTGCATCCTCGAAGAGAACACCTTCGTGTGAGAAGTAAAGTCGGTTGTATCCAATATCCCACTCCGGCGTCAAGTGGGCTGCGCTGGCCATGTTCGGGGCAGGTGCCGCTGGTCCACTAAGATCCAGACCAGCCAAGTCACCCGATGCGCTGTTTGCACTCGTAGGAGTCCCGTTCGAGCCCGTTCGAGTGCCGTGGACAATGGTAGTAAAGGTACGCTTGAGGCCGGTGTTCTGTGCCATGAGCACTTCCTGCTTGTCAGCGTTGGCATCTTTGCCACCGACCACCCAAGTCTTTTTCTCGCTTGTGCCTGCCGTCTTCTGGTGCAGCCGGGACAAGAGGATAGACGTCCGATCCGAGAAGGGGGGCATCTCATCGCAGACAGTCCGCAGCAATTCATCAGTCGGGAGGGTTGCAAGTGACAGGTACTCAAACGCTCGCTGTTGCAGTTCCGAATCAGGGGAGTGGCTGTATAGGCGGAAGATCTGCAAGAGTTGAGGTTTGATCTCGGGGAACAAGTTGACGAATTTGACAAAGGATGAAAGAATCATGGCGCGCGCATTGTCGGTACTGGTGAACATCTTAGCCTGAAGGGCCAGGAACTGTTCAATCGGGCTTGAGCCCGCACTGTCGGCGATGAGATGACCGAACTCGCCCAGAACGTAGCAGCCAATCTTGACCAAGCTCTCGTGGCAATCGGCCTTCAAGTAAGTGAGAAGCGTGTGGGCAGCATATGCCTGCAACTCTTCGTTGTTGGTCACAATCTGGATCACTCGCTGCCACACTTCATCGTTGACGTGGTCACCAGCAAGGGACAGGAGTTTCAAGGTCATATCAATGTACCACTGCGCGTCTGTGGCGTATTTCTCGGTCAAAATTGCAACCTTCAAGACCATTTCTTCTCGAATAGCGTAGTCGGCGGTCTGAAGGTAGCGCAGCAGCTCGTTGACAATGGGCCCGGCGTTTGTTGTGTCGCACATACTGTACAACAGATCCAGACCCTTACGACGAACACTGATATCTCGGTCTCGCAGCGAGCCCAGAATAATATTCTGGTGCTTTTTGATCGGGTCAAGTGTCTCCGCTCGGGCAGCGAAATGGGTCATCGCATCCAGACCGAGGTATCGGACGTTAGTCTCACGAGACTGAATGTATTTGCCCAAACGAGCAGAAATTTGCATCATGAGTTGGTGCTCGGAGTCGAGATGAATAAGGAGATTGATCGCTTCGAAGAGGATCGCGTTTTGCGCATTGTTTTGCTGGACGTTCTTAGGTTGTTCCATGGCAGACTGCATGATTTGCGCAAGTGATTCGCGGATGATCTCCCGCACGTGGCTGTCTTCAGACGGAGGATAATACTGTAACAGACGTAACAGCTTGACCTGGATCCATGGACACGGCACGCGGTAGTACAGGTAGTCCGGAGCGATGTCGTTGTCAACCACGATGCGCTTCAACCGCTGTGCCGCCTTGACGTAGCTACCCCTGTATTCATCTGGCAGGTCCTGAGCCAGCGCCATGACAAGGGAGGTAACCGAGAGTGTGACACCCATGTCAGGGTCATCCATGATCGAGATAATTCGCTCGGCCCATTCATTCCGGACAATGCCCGGGTACTTGCGGTACAGTCGGAGTAGTGTAAGAGCAGCCTTTTTCTTGACAAAGGCTTTCGAAGTTCTAGAAAGAAAGTGTTAGTGGCTGGTCTCCAGTCAAAGGCAAAAAGTGCTTCACTCACGGTGAGATCAGGAGTCTGTGGACTTCGCTCGCCAGCGCCTCTCCGAGCTCTCGGCCACCGACATTGGCAACCGCATGGAGTGCCAAGCAGTTGTTCAACTCGTTATGATCCAGCAGGTCCTTGCGAATACTATTGACAACCAAGTGAAGCAGCTCGTGCTCCTCATGCAGGAAAAGGGTGACAGCCAAATACCCGATCTGCTTCTCAGAGTATTTATTCGACGAGATCAGATTGACGGCCTCGAGGTGGCCAAATTCAACATCGTATCCCTGGATGTAAACGTAGAGCAGCTTGCACACGTATTTCTTCTTCTGGTACCCGTTGAGATTTCCCGACTTGAATTTCTGTCGAATGTTGGCCAGCTCCTTATTCACGCGCTTCTCCTCCAATTCTCGGGCGCGGGCATTTCGCAAATCCGCAATGAACTGCACCAGTCCTCGCATCGACGACATCTCGGCGTAAATAGGCCCTGGCGGCCTCCTTCACGAACACACAATTAAACGTTAATCTCGGGGGTAGTGTGGGGTTTCGAGGTACAAGCTCGCATGCGTCGCGATAATTCGCCTTTCAGGGGGTTCGCGATCGGATGGATACCGTCACACAACCATGTCCGTGCTGTATTGTTTCGACGATGGTACATTGGCCCCTCAGGGTCCACGACGGAGATTGACGGCGGTTCGTGGGAGCTTGGGAAACAGGGGGTTACCGGTCGCGGAGAGTTCTGGAGGCAGTCAGCAACGGAGTGATACAGCCGAGCGATCCGAGATCAGCTAGGGCCACCATACAAGTACTGGACTCAGTTCGAAGTCCCCGAAGAAATCCCACGATTAGGAGGAGTGAGGATCCCCATAATACCGCAACCGCGCCAGCTTTGAGGCCACTTCCGCCGCCGATCGTCCGGCTTCCGCTGTGGCGTCGGAGTTACTTTGATGCGCTGTGGCGGTGCAACCATGCCAAATGCATTTACTGTGGTCGATCCCATGATTTTCAGGGTTCTTAGGTCTCCTTGAATGCAGTCTACCCATTTACTCGATCCTGAAAGGATTCAAATCCATGCAAAAAGATATTTCATGTCTCGTAACAAGTAACCACCGACATCACCGCCGAACTAGTGTACAAAGCATCACCGAAAAGTTTCACCTGGACGCCGACCTTCCTGAACCAGCCGTATATTAATGCTGTTCATAATGGAAATGCAAGATTCGTTGAGAAGAAGGAAACAACGCAGCTATTTATGCGCGGGTGGTGAAGTCCTGCTCAAGGGCAGACTCGACAGCATCAGCCTTCTCGCAAGTGCAGGAAGCTGGAAAATATGTTAGATCTTGCTCGTAACTAACTGTGATTCTTTTCGCCATGAAGAATAGCTTGCATGAAACTTACCAGAAGGACGGCTGCCACAGGCGCAGGTTGCACCCTCGACGGCCTTGTTCTCGGACACGGAGCGCTCGCAGGTACACTGACCAGCGGGACGAGAGCCTATATGATGGATCAGCCGCTGAAAATTCGCAGTATCTTCGTTGTTGGGTAAACTTACGGCATGAGCAGCGAGGGCCAGAGATGGCGTTCTCGGTGGAGGCCTTGTTGCAGGAGCAGTGGAGAGCGCTCTCCTTGCCGCACGAGCACTTAGCCTGAGCGGCACAGATGCAGTCGGCGCCCTGGGAGGACTTGCAGCAGGTGGTGTTGGGGTGGACCATTTTGAAGGTATTTAGATCTCGTGGATGACGTAGACGTAGAGAAATAAGCTTGCGGCTCAAAAGTAGTCGATCGGCAACGCAAGTGTTTGAAAGTGTTTGAAGATCACAACAATGATGGGTTCTGAAGATCAGGAATACTGAAGAAAGAAAAAAACAAAAAGATGGACAGCAGACAGGAATCAATTTATACTGGATGCATGCGTCACGGCGAGTGGCATGATTATCAATTGGGGTGTTTTGATTGGCCGAGAGCTCGGTCACGTGGTAGACGGCGAGGTTATACCGCGCGGTTGATTGGCCGCCCTGAGCAGCTCTTCTGATGATGACCTTTCGCTTCTTGTTGATTCGACAGATCCTGATCTACCTACTGTAACAGTTTATTTGTTCTATTTATATTCACTCCTAGTGTCTACCGCAGGTTCAGGGACAGTCCCAAGTCAAGGTGGTCCATGCGGTATCATTCGAAAACCGATTCACCCATGGACTCACGAATTCTTTGTCAGCGGGCCACTAATCAAAGATGGGTCACCGAGGCCAACAAAGAAACCTCGCTAGTCTCTAGTCATGTGTAGTTACCAGTATTCGAGCGCGTCCAAGGACTATACCATACTCATCCCCAGTGGTCAGTGGTCGAAATGTACACCGTGAGCGCAAACTTGCCGCATGTCCGGCGTAGGCTGGACTTGCTTATCACGAAGAGAGCGGAGGTGGATGTTCGGGGTGTAGATGAAACACACCGTTGCACTTGGCGGTAGCCTCTGACCATTTAAATGCAATTAGAGCTCGGCGTGGGACCTGGTCCTGAGGAGTTGCTGATGCGCTTTAAATATATTTTGAGGTACGAATTGACGCCCATCCCTTCTAATGATGGAGCGCAGACCAGGAAAACGAAGAGAAAAAAGAACGCGAAGACCAGTGTATCAATGGGCACGCCACCACGGAGGAAGACTCACAAAGACGCGGAGCACCCAAGAGACTCTCGATCCCCGTGAGCCTCGGCTTTCAGACTTGTTCTGAGCTCATCAAGCTTTCTGACCGTTCTGACCTATCAGAATGCTAAGAGGGATTGTTCGCTGTTGCTCTGCCAAATTGTCGCCCGGGGTGTTCCCCACGTTTCTTCGCGCGATGCTTTCTTTCCTTTCTTTCAATAGGTTGGATAAACCTCTCATCATGTTCGCTATCTCGTCGTCCTTCCTGTAGATCGCCTCTCCGAGACTACTGTCGTAGTCTTTCATTACTTTTAAAATGGGTGTAAAAACAGTCAGGTCAACAGTGAAAACAAGTCTAGGCGGAACAGGCTTAGCGTAGAAATAGCCCTTCGTGGCCGTCGGGTGGCTGAATTCCATGTGGGTACGGCTTGAGCCGCATCAACAACACCTCTGATCGATCTACACCACGGAGGTCAAACATGGCAGCAGTAGCCTTTTACTCTCCTGGGTATGGTCCTAAGTCTGTATCTTTGACCTGGCCCAGACATCTACAATAATCGTCAAGGCAAGGCATTGAGCGAAGGGAGAGAAGATATTGTGCAATTTCATGTTGAACGCAGGCGCAATGGTATAGGGAGTGCTTGGAGAGTTGACACCGAAGGAGATGCTTGAGTTTCAAAATTTGCCTTGTCGGTGGGAAGCTCTGGTTGTGGGGAATGTAATTGATGGAGGACTTGACCCTCAGCACAAAGTATCGGCCTTGACGTGCATGCCCTAATCGCAGTTGCCCCATTTACGATACCCTACAAATGGTGCCCTACAAGGGAACCTCTCCCGGCAACGTCTTGCAGCTCAATAGCAGGCACGTGTTTGCCTTCAATAGCACAATACATCCTTCTCAATAGAACAATACTAAAGGAATATCCCGTGGGATCTAGTCATTCACTCGGCTCGGCCAATGAGAGAGCGCGCCCAGGACACGTCCTGGGAGGCAGCTGATCAAATCTGCTCGTCTCGACCAATGAGAGGCCTCCAGCGGAAAGTCCCAGGCCACGAGACCCACCGGGATTAGGCGAATGCCTTTATTTCCGAAAAAGGAAGCATTGAAGCTGTGTCCCGTGATTGGTTCCCCAGAATGTATAAATACCCCCGGCCACCCCTCTTCTTCCTCTTCTTTCTTTTCTCTCTCGGGCCCTTGGGATATATTCAAGGCTATTTTTTTGCTGCCGCTTCTTGGTCTGAACAGGGGACGGAGGGGAGGGAAGAGGAGGGGTCTTCGACAACATGCTACACGGCGACACATCGACTCCTGGCATGTCGACACCCGCATACGAACCGAACCGAACCGAACCGAACCGAACGAGCCGTACACGAGAAACATGGAGAAGGGCTGGTACTTCGATACACGGGCGGGCCCCGGCAGCCCTGACTCGAAGGGCTGGAAGGGGAGAACACTCTGGAGGACAACACCAGGCGGGCGAGACCTGACTCACCGGTCAGACAAGGGGAGCACATACGACTGGAGGACAACACCAGGCGGGCAGCCCTGACTCGACGGGTGGAAGGGGAGCATACACGACTGGGGGACGACGCTGGCTCAAGACAGCACACGACCAAGGACGGGTTGGTGGGAAACAATCTTTGGAAACCATTCCATGCATAGCCGCTGGTATCTTTGCCTCTGGGGGATGCGTTTGACTCCGAGGGAACCAAAACCAAAACCCCGCTAGACGCGAGTCTAAGGGGGCACCGTGGGACGATGGAGCTTGTTCATGCCGGTTCAGCGACACATTGGGTATTCGTCTTCTCAAGCCTCGACGTTACTTTAGCAACGGACAATGGGGATTGGCCTCTGACCTGGTCCTGACTGTGGTGGTGATCGGGGGATACTGTTGTTTCGGGGGAGTGTTTACTCTGCTGGCGCTCAATGATGGAATCCGCATTGAATGATTCCCTGCCATTCCTCTTTCCTGTCGGGGTGATATCCTGACGACTGAGTTGAGTGCCTTGGAATCCATTCTGTGAAAGGAGACAACCCTTTTGATGGCCGGGCAAGCCGGAAGGAGGGCTCTCTACAATACTCTGAGAGCGCCGTTTCTGATCACCTTCTTGTATTATTCCATGTTCTTTCTTTTGTCTATTTTTTGTTGAAGTCTGTTCTTTTTGATACTGCTCCATTGATCTCCATCCTGTTGACATTTATCCTGTTGGTGTCGGTGCTGTTGAATTCCTCATTGTGCTCAATGATTTTCTACAAATTGAACATCTCCATGTTATACATCCTCGCTTTAACCCTTTAATCTTGCCCAAGTAAATTTCCCGGTGGCTTCACGTATCTATAAGCCGGTAAGGGACAACTGGACTGACCCGTCGGACTGGTATGTATTCGAGCAAGACCCCAACGCTCCTGGAATACACATGGCCGATGAGCCACTTGTGACAGGGCCATACCAAGAAGATAATTTCACCAAGGCCAGAGGCACAGCATGCCCTCGGTATTGCCCTGGGAGCACCATACAATTTGGAGAGTATCGGCAGCTCTGGACCTACGCAAACCCGGCGATCGGCGATCCGTACTGCGTGCAGCTCCAGGATGGGTTGGCTGAAACGGCAGTCATCCTGTCGGTAAGTCCTGCACTCTACACGATGAATACCTGCACTAACTGAGCCGACACTCCTGTACAGGTTACCCATACGAGGCTCAACATGACAGCGCGAGGGAATCGATGCGGTATGAGCTGAAATTCGGATATAGTTACGCAGTGACAACGGAGACCAGAGGATGCAGCACGACGAAAAATGCTAAACAGAGAGCATCAGAACTGCCCAGGGGTAGTTCTGCACTCGGGGACGAGGCTTGTTGAGACTACGTTCAATCTTTTGGCAAGTCTCCTCTCCTACGGAGTGAGTGTTTACAGCATTCGACTTGATGAGACGACCGTGGGCTGAACTAACACAACCCTACAGATCATTCTCATGAGAGTCGTTGAACGAGCATGAAGGTGTCTCGGTGATCGGTGATCCTTATCGATCAGGGAAGACAGGATTCTGGTGATCGCCAGAGAGTCGCAGGGGTGCCAAGGACAATGATTGGAGATGGAGGCTGGGAACTGCGCGGACTCTGACATGGCATATCTTGGAGCTGAAACTCGTCAAAACCGACCCCAGCAACAGAGATCCGATGTCTGTAGTGATTACAAGCCACGTCTGTGCCTTGGAAGACAGTTGGTGCAACCGAAGGCGACATGGCCGTTAAGTGATGGACAGTGTGTTTCGCCATGATGCGAGGCATCAGATTTCGTGCCATTCCACTTTCCATATGGCCAATGCAGAAGCAACAGCGTCGGATGCGAGAGATGCTCGCGTTCCCGTGATGTCAACACTCTGTACCGGGCGTCGTCACCATCATGTGCTGGGATGGAATAATAGGTGTTGGGATTGAATTCATCATTATCATCAAGTTCCAATTCGATAGAAGACAAGTCTAAATTAAATAATTAAATATTAACATGAATAGATATAAACTCCACAATCCTGCATAACACATGTCCATAACTCGAGACTTGGAACGCAAATCTCATTTACTTTATTGCCAGCCTCCCTCGAAGCCAACACCAGCTCCCTGGCTGCGTCGGTGGGCGCTGGAGTATTTCCGCGCGGCGGCGAAGTAAAGGCGGTCCTTCTCATCTTGGCTCTCACAGCGCTTTTGCTGAGCCTCTTCGTCGAGGACACGGCCGAAGCTCCAGTTGCGGTGGGCCTTGGGGCGGGTAGGGTTGGCTAGTTTTACTTGTTAGCATGTGTTGATCGTGCGAAGAGAATGGGTATAGAAACGTACCAGGTGTGGCCTCGACAGCAGCAGGCTCGCTCTGGATGGACTGGGACCTTGAGGGCCCTGCCGAGGGAGACTTGCAAGACGGGGACTTGAGGGACTTGACGGAGTCAAAGGAGTCCTGGCGCTGTTGCTTGAGAATGTCGAAGCGGAAAAAGCCAGACATGGTGGAGAGTTTGTGGTTGGTAGTGGGTAGAAGTTTGAAAGTGCTTGATGGCGGGTTGATGTTATTAGATGGTAGTTTGGTAGTGTTGAGGGATTGGAATAATTATTGTGCATAGAATTGGAAGTGGAAAGGAAAGCTCTATATAGGTTTTCAAGCGGGTGATGTCACGACACCCGGTGGCCTGATAAGGACAGGTTCTGGGATAAATTCTTTTAGCGTAAGGGTGCAGATGGTTTTGGCCTCCCTTTCTTGGTTTTTTCTGGTGCGATCGGGTCGTTAGCATCATGAGTGGAGACTGGTCGGCAAGCCGGTTCCGAGAGCCACCACTACAATAGAAAGAGAGAACCCGAACTCTACCGACCCGAACTCCCCGAAAGCTTATCTATTCCTGGATTGAGCAATCCCGTGCGAATTCAGATATAGTGTTCCTCCGTCATTCTAATTTTAATCCTTGACTCGATGAATTACTTTGTGCGGGAAGTGTGTGCGAGCAACTTGGCCACCGGTATTTTGCGCGATGTGGCTCTAATGCGATTCGACCGCCTGGACCTTGAACATCAGTGGGTCCTGGTGGCTCCGTCAAGATAAGGAGTCAGCTGCAAATCAGAAAAAAATAGACAGGCGGGCCCACTAAGGGACAGAACACGGTCTAGAACTAGAAATTTTGTTGGATGATCTTTGAGTTGTTTTTGATGATGAGTCGAAGGGGATCCCCTAGCAACTGCCCCCGAGCACCTGCATGAGGATTTTCACGGTCTTGGTTTCGGGTTTTAAACAGATTCCTTGATTGCGTAACCTTCGTAGTCACTCACATTCTGCATATGTTTCCCACGTGTTATAAGCAAGCCCCTAACACGCTGGAGATACTTTAATAACGGGGTTCAAACAACGCGTAATGAACGGATCGGCATGGAGTTTCAGAAATGCCGTGCAGAAAACCATGTTCCTCTGCAATATGTATAATTTACCGAGTGGAAGTCTATCAAATGATCGAGTGGTCTGTTCGTCTGCTCGAGTACCCACTTTTATTTGGGTGGCGCTTCAGCCGCAAGAAATCCTTAATTTGCAATTTGGAGTTTTCATTGTCACTCCCAAAGGGTACGAATCGGGCCGAAGAAAGATCCACAAGCCGTTCGCTCCGCATGAAGCTCTTCAATACTTAGCTGATTACTAAGGACATGATAACCCTGGGAAGGGCGATCGCAACTTGTAAAGTATGGAGAGTGGATGTCGCAGTTGTCGCACACGAGACCAGTGTTCCAAATAGTGGAGCAATTATCCGCATCAGGACCCGGCCTTAGGAATGCTAAGCCTTATATTAAGGCTTGGCCCATGAAATTCACTTGAAATTGTCTTAACTGACGCGCAAGCCACCGCGCAAGCATGTAGTTCCCAATTGATCGTGCTTGAGAGTTCAAACACATCTTTCATCAGTATAGTCCCCGCCTCTTCCTTGTAAAAACTACATTCTATCGTTCGGCATGCCCACACCACGTGTGACTAAAATTGCATTTACCGATACAGAACCTGAACGTAGCGGACGGGTTCATCGGCGCCAGAACCTCAATACTATGAAAACTTCGAAACGCGATTTCGTCCCTGCTCTTTCGGATTCGAGCACGAAAGTGACGAAATTTGATTGAGACACCGGGTTGAAGAGGAATCCTTGTCCGGCGGGGAACGCGTGACGTAATGTGTTAGGATCAGGGTATTCCAGATCCGAATGTATGGAGTACAGTACTTGAAGTCAAGGATATTGCTTCGTATTATGCGATTGGTTGTCTGCTAGATTAGATGGAAATATGCCTGGGATCAAATCCGGGATTTTCCATGTCGTTCACTGTCGGTGTTCGGACATTAAGGATATTCTGCGACTGGTTCCCTCTCGTTAATTCCCCGACCACAGCCAAATCTGACATTTCACATAGATAATTGCTACATACATCACGCAACTCCACTTTTTCGGGAAAGCAAGGTCAACGAAGTAGAATCCAATAAGGCGGCGGTCTTCAAATATTATGGTGGGCTAAATCAGTACGGGCGGCCCAATTGTTATGAAAAATCAATTGAAAGCTAAAAATACAATCTATGAAATCAAAACGGACACAATGATGCGACATATCTTGCACTGTCCATCGGAGACCACGGAGAAAATATGATTGGTTTCCGCTACAACCCTTGGAAAACGTCGCCGATTATCCAGATCTCAGCGCCCGTTTTGAACTCTCAAGTACCTAATCCCTGGAGGTGAATATGTACAGTTATTCTACCCCATAGTGCGGGAAGTGGAATATAAAAGTCCACGGGTTTCCCATGATTACCTCTGAGAAAGTACTTCTGGTGATCAGGATACACTATCTAGTAAGTTTCCTCTTTATTCGCAATGACAGACATCCACTAACTAAATGAAAGAGTCTTTAAAATCCCTCTATAGGACCTTTAAAAAAATTATGAAGTTCACCTATCTTTTTGCCATAATTGGCCTTGCAGGAACTGCTCTTGCAGTTGCGGCACCAGAGCCCGGTTGGCGATCCCCCACATGATAAATGTATATTCCAGTACCTAATGGGTCCGCAGCTGCTGGGATCGTGGAGAGGGACCAAGAGGCGCAGGCCAATGAGGCTGCTACTCAAGGTCAGGAATGGGGTGGCCCTGGTTGGGGCGGTGGATGGGGTGGTCGCGGCGGAGGATGGGGAGGCGGAGGTCGAGGTGGTGGATGGGGTGGACGCGGCGGAGGATGGTAGAGAGGTAGTTTGGATGTTGTGAAACACCAATTGATAGGGAAGAGTGGTTTCTGGTAGCCGTTAGGTGGTTGCTAGATATAAGTAGGAGATCAAACACGTCGCTCTTTATTCAAAATCAATTACCACTGAAAGCTTTGAGAGCTGAAAAACTAAGGAACATCGTATTTTGAAAGTTAAAGCTACCTAAAATGTTGAAGAAAAGTAAGAACATTACACAGAACGACCGAATAATGTCAAATTTGTTAACATGCCATCTAATCAAGGAAGAGATCGTTGAGGTTCTGTCTCAAGAACCACGCCTAGAACGCTCCTCAGTGAGATTGCTTTGCACGAGGGGCCGTCCTACATCGAAGCTATTCATTTACTTTTCGACCCCGATCCAAAGAGGTGGGGGTCTAGTTTGCGACCCAGATACGGAGGCCTCTTTAAAGTTGGCATCGATTATATTCAGGATATCTCCCAGAGCTCTGTATGACTATCTTTAATGAGACGTCGCACATGGAGCGTATCTGTCCATACCCAGATCTACACAAAGCTGTTCCGGCGCATGAATGGCTACCGTACCCTGGTAAAGAGCTGCCCTCGGCCAAGTGGTAGAGATCCTGAAATGGTAGTCAGAATGGACCTCTAACGAAAGAGGCTTACGGAGGGATGAAGCGGGGTTCTAAGGAAGAGCCAAGGCAAGAGTTGAAAACGGCCAAAACTAAAAATTCTGAGGCCATATCCGGGGACGACGAAGTTGAACTCAGTAATTATTGACCTCATGTTGGAGGAGAAGATAAGATATGAAGTAGAAGAAATTCTCAAGAGTGATTGCAAGGAACTAGAAAGAAGTATTAATTAGGCGGTGTTTCTTACAACAACCGAGCCCTTTTGTACCCAAGGGTTGTTTGTAATTTCGTCCCCGAGAGACTTCCATTAGTGCAAGGTCCTTTAAAAAGGAAAGAAACAGGCTTGAGGTGTCAGCTCTCTGCAGCTAAGTACAGAGATCCCTGTTTCGATTGAAATAGTAGAACCGCATTTTTTACGGACATAAAACGCTCTCGTTTCGTACGACTAGACCTTCTACATCGATCTCCATTAATATACGTTTATAATAATTACTTAGCATCCCCCTGACCATGCTAACTAACTACCACGTAGTATCCTCCAATCTCAGACCACGGATGCGACCTCACCTTCACGTCCTCTATGCGCTCCGCGTCTTCCACGACCCTAGTACAACCCTATTCAAATCGACCCACACCCCCCACTCGGCCCTTTTGTCCTCATTCTGTACCGCAATTGCGTCCCAGAACTATAAGCGGTGAAAAAAACAGTGAGAACTTCAACAAGCTAAGGTATAGTAGCCAAAAAATTCACGCAGGAGGGAGAGGTTGGTAGAATCGAATTCCTAAAAAATACGAACACATAATTTTATGAAAATCGCAAAGGCAGGAATTCACAAGCGAATACAGGAGTTAGGAGTTATATTCAAGTCAAGTGGTTCATATTCTGCGGCAAATACTTGCTCGAGCCTACTGAGCAAGTTTCACAGTTCGCCCAAATTGTAGATAGAATGATCGTAGCAATCCCGAAGCATACTCTGCCTCTTGTGTGCCTCCAGCCCCTACGACATGCCAAAGGCATGCCAGTAACGGGATCTAAACGCAAGCGGGAGTCAGCGGGAGAAGCCCTGTCTAGCCCGACGGGCTGACTGATCAAGTAACGAATGAAAAGGTCCAACGGCGCTGTATCTTCGACCTCAAAGCTCCAGAGTGTGGAATACTGGAGCACAATTCGCCCTTCTTCAACGAGAATTTGAGTGATTCTGCCACGCTGCTTACGTTTAAATGAGAAAATTAAAAACTATAAGGTACAAATGTAATTAGTCTTCTGTTCCGCTATACATTATATAGACACTCACAGGGTAGATGGGATATTTTCGGCGAGGCCCACGGGCTCTAATAACTATCATTCTGATAATAGCTCTCATCTCGTGAAGGGTAAGGTTCTGATCTGCAAGGGTCGCATCGACGTCCGCAATGATAGTGCAAATTGCATGTGGAAGTGGTGAAGTTTCATGACGGTCTTGTACAAATATCTCGGATGTCCAATATAGCGGGCGTGCTTCATACATAGGAGGGTTCCCGTATGTTTTGAGTCTAAGAAAAATTTAGTATCATAAATTAGTAATAGTGCGGGGATTCGGTTGTTCACGTACATCAACTCCCATGAGGCGAGATCGTAAAGGCAAAAGAAATGGAGGTCCGCCCTCTCGTATCGCCCTGAGCTCGGGTCTGATATGACTTTCGGTCCAACTAGCGTGAGAGTCATCCCAGAAGTGGTATTCTTTAAGTCTCTCCTCAAGCAAATTCTGAGCCACTTTAAGAGGGTCTTCCGAGACAGGGAGGCTCTCTTGTACCGTGTTGATGGCGTCTTGGAGCGTAGGAACGCATTCTAACCGACCGTAATTCCGGTTGTTTGCGGAAGCATTGATTGGATATTTTTGAAGGACCCCTGCTGGATGGGGATCAAAGAAACGAGGCTCAAATTGTAGAACACCTTCGTCTGTGATGTCTACTTGATATGCCTCAACGCCGAAAGCCTGCAACTCGGTGGATGAGAGGAAGATAGATTGGCAATATTCGACTTGCCGATATGTTGCCCAGAGAATTTCTCGGGCCCTGTGTCTTGCTTTCGAATCCATCCCGACAGATGGGACAGGCATAGAGAGAGAAGATATGAGCACGTCAGATGACACCGGTGAGACGAAATCGATGAGTAGAATGAATACTGTTGTGCTCTGCGAGTCGAGAGTGTAAATACAACTAAGATACGACAACCGACTGGATCAAACCAAGGGCAAGAGAAGCTGTCAGATGTACGTCACTTACAGATGCTTCCTCGCCGGTTTCTTGTACTGTAATATCAGCCGTTACTCAAACAGACGTGCTTCGGGAAGCGCTGCGCACCCCTTCTGGACTGATGTCCAAGGTGTACACTGTGACTATCGACGCAGATGGTGGGTAACGTACCCTCGTACCTGTTGGCACGGCGCGTGTTGCTCATTCGTTTTCCACGTGACTATTTTTATCCCCGAAAAGACGCTGTCCAAGGCTGTTCCAGAATGTAGGGAATCGCCTAATTTGGGTAAACAGAGCCAGTATGGAATAGTACACACGTAACGCGGGCGACGTCACTGCCCTTGGAATTCTCGGTCAAATTAGGTATAGTGGCCCGTCGGTCACGTATACCAGATTCAGGAGTCTAAAGCTTGGGCATCCTGCCTTTATCTTCTCTACAGCCGGACCAAGGAGATATTACAATTGGCCCTCAATACTTTTTTCTCTTAGTCATTCTAGATCTACTCCTGGGTATTTCTATAAACGTCTTTCTAGACATCTTTTGATTCCATTTTCCCAGGTACCTTTCTGAACGTCTTTTCAAAACTCCCGAACAGATGATCACTACCGCCTCAATAGACCCGCTTACAATATCTTCTTGGTCCAGCTGTACTACCAATCATTCCACGGTAGTTTTGGGAAGGTCTCGTTATAAGTGCAATCAATTTTCTCCTTGAAAATAGCAGCTTTAAGGGGCCCAACGATTTTGACTGTTGCCACTACCCCAGCTCACCTTCAAATCAAGATTGTGACGGTACCTTGGCGATCCTAAACTTTTGTTATATTTTCTTTCAGTAAAACACTTACTCGATGAATGGCACGTTTCACACCTTTCCTCCCTCCGTGCAAGAGACTGATGAGAACGGCTGCCTTGACTGATTGTTTCAAAGCGGATTGAATCAAGTGAGCTACTGATGACAAGCAGAAGAGGCTGCTTCCAAGGCCCCCGCTTCCCCATCCTCCAGCGAGGCTCATGCCTGGAAGACCACAGGTAAGCAGTCCCCTGAAGTCTTCCTTACAATGGCCCCGCGCAAGCCAAAAGTGTATTCTTCTATCCCAGCGGATGCCACGTGTCACACTGTCCCTGTTTCACGATCCCCCTTTCACGAAAGGGGATGGCGAGGATCATGTGCTCGGGCCGACAAGTCTTGCCGGCGGTGATGCCAGCAGCAAGGCAACTCGGAAATTCCGCAAATCTCTCAGGGCAAATTTCCAAAATGGAACTGAGATGCCAAAAGTGCACCCATTCTCCTAAAAGGATTAGCTACTCGAAGAAATAAATTTTATATCGCTGAAAAAAAGTGTTTTATTACAGTAAGAGCAGCAGCGATATGTGCTACAAGTGAACGAGATGGGATTTCCTGGGATATAAATGTACAGAAAATTAATATACAAGCGAGCCATGTGCTCTATGTCCTCCGAATCAAATCTTCAAATATCTCTCTGATCTGGTTTATCACAATGCTTGCATGGGTCTCATCCACCAATCTCAGATGGGCATTCTCACCCAGCCTTGCAGCTATCTGGACACCATGATTAGGTGGAACGAAACTGTCGAGCTTCCCATACCACAAATTCACAGGTAGATCATGGCGAATGTCTTCGACTCGAAAACCAAAGTCCATGCACATCAACTTACCATCTTGCCATACACCTTCAAACCCCTGCGAGAAGCTTTCCCGAGAAGATCGCAAAGATAATGGAGGCCATGCAGACTTCATAAACGCAATATCTTTCTCATGGCCAACTGGCTGTCTAAGCATAATTTCGAGACGCTTCTCATCAGTCAAGTCTAGACGTCCTAATATATCGTTTTGCCAAAACCATCGGGCAACAGTGAGGGGCGCATAGCGAAATCCATACGGAAATCCAAGCTTATGCATCAAATCAGCCCCGCTCATACCGATATCAGGAGGTCCCATGGCACAGACAAGTGAGACACACCTAAGCTTGTTGCTAGGCATTGCTCTAGCACAAGCAAGGGCAGATGGTCCACCTCCTGATATTCCCTATCGTAGTGTTAGCAACCGGTCTTCGGCAACCCTTGCCATATGATCTGTACCAGAACACTGTAGTGATCCAGTCCAAGATGTTCCGCAAGTCGTTCCAAGTCTTTCGCATGATCGAGCAGTGTTCGATTGGGGTGTGGTGAGCTCCACCCTATACCAGGTCTGTCCGCGGAAATAACACGGGCGCCGAGCTCTAAGCCTAGGGCGTGAAAGCCGGCACCTTCTAGGCGAGAGCCTGGAAGGCCATGCACCAAAAAAATAGGCCCTCCGTTTAGCGAGCCATATTGTGCATACCCGAGTATTCTTCCATCTGGGAGGGTCAGAGTATCCGAACTGTCGGTATCCGTACGGAATGGCGACTGGACAGGTTCAGCTGTAAGGGCAGCTAGAGCGTTGGCTGGGTTATTATTGGAGGCTGTAGAGATGCCAAATAACTGAAGAAGCCATGTATTCGCGCTTGATGTCGGAGACATGTTAAACGTGAGAGACTAAGGAGAATTCTTTATTCGCTCAACACGGTTGATTTTGTTTTATGCTGACAATAGACAGCTGACGGCAAGGCCCCCTACAAAATGACCCCCACTTGAGACCCCGCAGTTATACGAATGAGTCAGGGGAATCAAACAGGACTCGGAATAAATAGTTATTTACGAATCTAATTAGATGGAACGCGCTGCCGAGGGACGTGTGTTCAGAATCCAGCAAATCCTGTGTGGCACTCGCTGCTAAGGTAGACATTTCCAGTAACTATGTACTAGCACAGTTCTGCCCAATTAATCGAGCGATGACCCCAAACAGGATTAGCGTATTTCGGAATTATTTCCCAGGAATCAAGTCTAAAGAGTGAGAGGTCAAACTGAATTCGAAAACTACTGCATTAGATTTTTCTCATGGTTGGTAAAAGAGGTTTGATTTCAGGGAAGCAAAAAAAGAATGGCCCGAACCGCGATTCGAACGCGGGACCTCCTCGAATCAGGACTACTTGTAATTTTGCAATCACAGACTAACCCAAACGAGGCATAATACCACTATACTATCCGGGCTGAACACATGGATTATTCCAATAATTCAATATTAGTAAAACTTGTTTGGTAAACGCTTACAGTAAACACTTCTATAACTTAAGTTAACCAGGGGGTATGTGCTATGTCTGAAGCAAGCCTTATTATTATAATATAGAGGAAAGTAGATTGAACATTGACTATAGAATTTCTTAGCCCGACCTATCGCGATGCTGTGAAGGATGATCCGCTATGGACATCTACAGACGCAAATGGGAACACTATTTTGCATGTTGCTGCAGGCAGCATCAAGTTTGATATACCTCCTTCAATAGCACAGTGTTCAAAAAGAGACGCTATGGAATGTTCTATGGACAAATCCTGAAGCCAGTAGGACAACACATAACGTCAATGGGTTGACAGAATATGTTTCGTCTCGGTTGGCAGGATCTCAAGCATGGATGTATATGTGGGCAATGAATCTCAGGGCCCCTGGGATTTCGGATGCATTTCGCCTTGAAATTCCAGGCCGGAACATAGTTGGTTTTTCTCTATGAATAAGTTAATGATGGAATGGTATGTGTGACAATCTGAAGTCCAACAAGTCTATGAGATTCATGAGCCTCTGCAATTATATCACGACCTGTCGAAGACTTATAGTCCCAAGCGAGCCATATGCGGAAATAGTGTTGCATTATGAGCACGAGTGGTCTCCTAAATCTAGGAGCTCTTCACAACGTAATAAGGTCATTGGTTCAGTCGCTACTATGCCTTTCCGAAGAGCCATAGACAGCGATGAAATAGCGGCAAAACTTTCGGTCATGGAGGGCCTTGAGGACGGGGTTCAACAGCTTCCTGAATGCAGGAGTGACCATGATTTTGTCAGTGGACTGTGTAGACAGGAGAGAATGGCACCCTTTTGCACCACAGCAATCAGGTTATTAAGGATTTGTGCTACGAGTCTAATACTAAGGATCATGCCAGTAGCTCCATCTCTACCTGAAACTGGCTTCGCCTTTTATCTATTCAGATTTCAGTGCCAGATTCAACCTTGAAACTGTTCACTCACGCTTAAGCGTGAAGAAGTTCACCAACGTTCACACTTTCCCTCTTTGCTCCACCTACGTACAGCAAATGTAGATGGACTCGTTTTCAAAATGACTATTTCCGAGGAAATTATGTCTCAAGCTTGAGATTACCCTAACCGGCAAATTCTAATCAGGAATGATCCGAGAAACTAGTTGTGGAAAACAGAATATCGAATAATCCCACCAAGAAGAAAACTCGGAAACACCAATCTCGAGGGTCGCCACGAAAAGCCCTGGTTGCAGGAAAACGGTGCTAATATCCTGATCACTGGCATGACCTTGGCCGGTGGAATAGCAAGGTGCTGTTCCAGGCAGCAGTGATTGGTGGCAAAATCAAGAGCGTGGCACTGTGTTTCCTGAACACAGCTGTCGAAGTATTTTTGGTAAGAAGAGACGCCAAACTCTCTCAGAGTATCGGTGGCGACATCTAACAAGTAGCTAGTACGAAATTATGTCATGGCCTAGTTGGGCAGTTCAAAACATACGAAGGCCACAAAACTGCTTATATGTCCGGCCATTATATCTAAAGACCTTGTCATGAGCGGAGGGGCCTAAAGGATGTTGATTGTCAGAAATTTGCTCGGCAAAATAATGTGAAAATGAATGTCAAGACTGTCTCACACTGAGGACCCCACTCGATGGGTGCTCCAGGCTCCAGTTGAGGCTCTGGTTCTGCTTCAAGCATCTTGAGGTGTTCAATCTTGTGGAGCCCAGTTTATGAGGGTTAGGCAGACACCATCGCTATTCGCCTCTTCTTCGACTAGATTTCAGGCTAGACTTTAGGCCAGGCTGGGTTAAGCGAGGCTAAACTATTGCTAGCTCGGAAAGATCCGTGCTCGCCCCTGATCATGAGATCTCGTGTCAGGCACTACCCCTATTACGAGTAGACGATTCTTGGCCATATGGACAAGTCGGCTTTCAAACCACAATCAGCTGCGGGGTAGCATTCGACCAATATTTTGGACGAATAAGACGACTGATCCAAAAAGTGATTCATATTGGATTCAATTGAAGTCTCAACTAAAGAGTAGTAGGAGTTACATTATCCACCCAAAGAAACTAACTTGGCCACCCGTTGGGTCGCATCGTCCCTCCCCCGATCGTCTATTGTTACATCCTCCTCCCTGTAGCCACCATTCGGCCCTAGTCTCACTGGGGCTGTCGGGCGCCTGGGTGACACCCCTTCACCGCTCGCCCGAGCTACCCAAGTAGTTTGGGTCTGCCCTGGCTCTTTCACCAGCAAATTTTATTCTAGCTGTTTCTTTCTTTGCGCATTCAGTTCTGACTTACAAAATATTTTCGCGTCAATATCTCCTTTTCTCCTTCGACATAGCACGATGAGACGAGTTCTGCAGGTCCTTGCTTGTTGCCTTATTTGCCCCCTAATCGTCTCCGCAGAAGCTGATCCGAAGTACAACGCATCTTTTCCATTCCGACCGAGCAATGTGACAGGACTGACTGAACTCTACCTTTGGGTTGGATCGTATGTCAAAGTTCATTCCCTGCTTCGCCGTTACTAAATGCCTAGTACAGATATTACAATGCCACAACGAAGATAGAGTTCACACCTAAGATCGGATCGACAACCAACACATCGGTATGCAAAAATCTCCAAGGCCAAACGTTCACTGCGGAGTTTCAATCGTTCCTCGCTATTACCGAAAGAGGTCCTTACAATGCCGGCTCAAACCCAGTAAATGCGCTTTTGACCCTCTGGAACTCAGGCACAAATCTTTCATCGCTCTCAAGCTCCACCACCACGTTTCCATGGACCTCATCATCCCTTCGATGGTATCTCGAATCTGCCCCGTAAGCCATACTCGAAATATGACTCACATAACGCTCTTTATCTAATTCCTTGTAGTTGGGTACTCTATGCAACTAATACCACGACCGAAAGCGACTCGCCCACCGCCCTCCATGATATCTTCAACTTGACCTTATCGCCTCGCGCCAAGGAAGCTCCATATAATCTGACAGGCATCATCAAGAATGCAGACGCAAGGCTGGATACCTTCGATTTGGATCTAAGATCTTGCAATACTTCCATTGAAAGCAGCCAAAATTATATGTCGCTCATTGATCGCGACTGGTCTAACAATGCTGGTTGGAACTGGACATATCCATCAGTTGACCTACAATTTGACAGCCAAACAGCAAATTTTACTGTGAATGGATATGCCGCTGCCTTTCCGTATTGGCTTTCCTCTACTGCAAGTGGCGAACATAGACAATTAGGCCCGGATGAGGTACAGGGAACAATAAAGATTTCCTTCTTCGGGGTTATCGACCCCTACCATTCCGATACCCTGGTAAACACCAGCACGACGCCTACTTGGCTGAGAACGGTGGGATTTGGAAACAATTCCATGAACATCGGCTACGATAGTGGGGCTCTTGGCTGGCCTCGTGCATCGCATTGGGAGGCCACTGTATTTTGTTCCGTTATTTCCTTGGCTTTGATGTATTTCTAACTCCTCTACGGAGAATTTATATATGGAAATTATACTTTTTGAAGAGATGAATACAAAATCACTGGGACAGTTCTTCCTAAGTTGTTCGGTCTTTCTAGTACAGTAAATTCATTCTTATTTTCGGCGCTTTCTATGTATACTATCCCGACTTAGCTCGAATCGTCAATATCGATAAAATAATATAATATTATCTCTTACGGTATACTACCCCAGCGTCAAATATTTTACTTTTCTCTACATGGGTCTCACTGCCTCAATTGTGAGAGAACCTTGAAGCTATTACAACTTCCAAGAAGCGTCACGGAACTGCTTGGTTCGGCAAGCTGGATGCCAAGCCCCCGAAGGAATGCACGGAACCCTGTGCCTCGTACCTGGGATGCCAGAGTGTCAATTTCCACCAGCGAACGAAGAAGTGCTACCTTGGAAAGCGTACTTCAAAGCCTACTCTTGACGCTCCGAGCTGGGCTACGGCTTAATCCCTCGGTTGCGCGGGAGCGTGTGATCAAGGTTCTTGCGACAAGTCCTGTGGCTCAATAACAAACTACTCTTCTCCACCCAAGATTATACTCCCATCGCAACAGCAACAGTAACAACAAAAGCTTGCCGTTCAAGCCCTGCCTCCCCCATCTAAGGAAGTAAAGTGCAACGATGATGATAAATCGGAAGTTGGTCTTGATAATACAAAGTACCACATTCGATGTGACAAGCAATACAGTGTAAATGGCACTGTCCGGCTCTCTAGGACTGGTATATCCTACACAGAATGTAAGTATAGATGCTATATGTCGTACCTGTAATAGAGTTTGTACTCGGACTTAGTGGAGTTAAGGGTTGGGTTTCGTGGGTGGTGGGATCGACTCAGCCTGCGTGCTCGCTAATTGCACGGACTTAGCTTACCCCCGTCATTGATTGCCGACTCTCGGGTCTAATCCTGACCTAGATCAGTGAACCAGTGCCATGCTTAGAGTGCAAATTGGTGCCAGAGAGTTTTGATTGTGAAAAATGTTGAAGACGCTGGGATCCAGCATCACTAGCGTTGTCTCTCACGTCATCCACGTTGAGCACTTTAGGGGGAAAACACCAATTCATCCCTTGGTCAACATGCAGTTCTCAATTCATACCACTTGTTAACATGAGCCTATATCAGTATCTGGGCAAGTCTGGCCTCAAAGTTTCAAGAGTTATTCTGTACTCTATACTACCCAAATTTGTCCCTCTTCTATGCTAACATTGACAGTGGAGCAATGAGCTATGGGGCACCAGAATGGCAAGGTTGGGTTCTAGACGAAGAAGATTCACTTCCTCTACTCGAATATGCATACAACGCCGGAATCCGCACTTGGGACTCTGCAGATCTCTATTCTCACGGACAGTCTGAACACGTTATTGGTGAAGCTATCAAGAAGTACAACATTCCTCGAGAAAACCTCGTCATCCTCACAAAGATCTACTTCGGTGTTACGACAAACTGTCCATTAAACCAGCCAGGCATGACCGCTCAGAACGATGGCGATCTTCTCAACCAAGTCGGCTTAAGTCGTAAACATATTCTCGATGCCGTCGATAAGAATATTGCAAGACTTGGAACCTATATCGATGTGTTACAGATCCATCGCATGGATCGTTCGATACCACCAGAGGAGATCATGCGAGCTTTAAATGATGTTGTTGAATCTGGAAAAGCACGATACATCGGAGCGTCCAGTATGGCAGCATGGGAATTTCAACAGCTACAAAATATTGCTGATCGCCATGGCTGGCATAAGTTCATCTCTATGCAAAACTACTTCAACTTGATCTACAGAGAAGAAGAACACGAAATGATTCCGTACTGCAACTACACTGGTATCGGCTTGATTCCCTGGTCGCCTGTTGCACGTGGCCCCTTGACCCGCCCATGGGGTACTCGAAACACTCTTCGAGAAGAGAAGGATGCTCTTCTCCACATGATAGTTCGGTCAAGAGATGATAAGATCGATGAAGAAATTATCAATCGTGTTGAGGAGGTTTCAAAGAAGCTCGGAAAACATATGGCTCAAGTAGCGATCGCTTGGATTCTGAGCAAGAACATGTGTCCCATCGTTGGCCTGAACAAGAAAGAGAGGATTGATGAGGCTATTGAAGCGACCAAGATCAAGCTGACCGAGGAGGATCTCAATTACCTCGAGGAACCGTATTTGCCCAAGACGCGACTGGAACTATGAAGGCTCTATCTACTGATTAACGTATGGGTATGAACGGACGATCTTTCAATCATTCTTGATTGGGTTTTCTCCTCAAGAAAAGGAGGTTTCCTGTGTTGGGCAAGTTTCCATTGTGAAGTAGGGCATCGCCGAAGTCAAGGGTCCTACCCAGGTAGATAGAACGAGTCCCTAGGAGTGCTCCGTAGTGGCAAGCGGCTCTACTCTCTTCTCGTCTTCCTCCTGCACGCCTGTCCGAATCACATTATCTTTCTTTTTATCCTGCCCCTCAACCTCATCTTTCTTGACAGACTTCCACTCAATACAAAGAGCCGCCACAACGGTCAAGCAAGTGAGCGCCAGCGCCAGATAAAACACGTCAACAATGGCATTATTACTGGCGCTCTTCACCCCTTCAACATACTTTTCCGGCACCGTCTTCATGATTCCAAGCGCGCCATTCTTTAGCACAATACTCGGGTCTAGACCGGGTACTTCCTTCGCCAGCTCTCGCGTGAATCTGTTGGTGAACATATTCTGCGCGACTGAAAGTGCCACGATGCCGCCGATCTCCTGTGTGAAGAATATGGCCACTAACGCAGTTGCAACTGCCGACTCGGGAAGCGCAGTCTGGACAGCAATGAAAGGCTGCTGAAAGGCTAGGCCTACGCCGATACCATATAGGATCTGATAGGAGATCCACTCTGAAGGCGGGGTGGTTGGGGAGAAGGTCGTGTAGAGACCCGTTGCGATGACCATGAGGACGGTACCGGTCACCATCACGGGGGTGTAGTAGCCGATGAAGGTGGTGGTGGGCCCTGCAACGAGAACCGCGAGGGCAAAAGGAACTGCTGTGGGGAGGTACATAAGACCGGATTGGAAAGTAGTGGCGTCACGGACGGCTTGGAAATAGATCGGAAGCTGTTGAGTTTGTCAGTCAAGATTTCGCTGAAAGGAGTATCGGACCGCCCAGAGCATTCGCTGAGTCGAGGTTGGAGAAACAAGAAACTCACATAGTAGGCCGTCACGAACAGAGCAGCCGAGTTACAAAATGTGAACAATGCGCTGAACGCGACCGATCGCTGATAGAGCAGTCTCAAAGGAAACATGCTATCGTCCCCGGAGCGGTATTCCACCCCGAGGAATACCACCAAGAGGACACCGACCAACACCCAGAGCAGAATAATCCGCCAATTGGTCCAAATGTATTCGGATCCTCCCCATTCTAGAGCTAGGATCACACTGATTGCCAGTGGGACGAATGCCATGAACCCAGGAAGGTCGAGACGCTTGAACTTTTGACGGTTTGGAAGATTGGCGTGCTCTGGGCGCTGGATGTCGTTCACAAAGAAGAATATCGACAGGATAACCACCACACCAACTGGAATGATGATGTAGAAGCTAACCCGCCATTGGGAGTACCGAGTGATGGCACCGCTGATAAGGGGGCCAAAGGCTAGCGCGATGCATTCCACGCCGCCTGACATGGCTGTATAGATAGGTCGATGTTTCAGGGAGGTCGTGTTTGCGACAATACTTTTGTGTTTTGTTAGATTAAAGAAATGTAGGCGGATTGGGATAACGAGAGCAGGGAGTACTCACATACTGCTCCCAGCAAAGACACCAGCCGACCCAAGACCACTCACGGCGCGTCCAATGATGAAGGCAGTTGAATTGGGCGCCGTGGCGGCTACTACCGAGCCGATGATGAAGACCAAGAATGACAACATGTAGGCCGTTTTCATTGAATAAAAGGTATACACCTGGCCATATATAAGGACGGTAGAGCAAGATGCCAGCAAGCTGCCGTTGTAAAAATGTTAGTGATGTATCGATTATCGGTGCTTAGATTGGGAGCAGGAATGGACGGACTTACTATGAGGTTCCATACCATCCGATCTCATTGAGATTGCCGAATTCATCCGAGATTACCGTCGTGAGTGTGGCGACGCAACTTGAGTCCTGGAATTCCGGGTTAGTTATCGGAGTCGCTGCAAATAGAATCGAAATCAAAGTCCAAGGTACTACGTACATATCCAACAAAGAAATCTCCGGCAAGGATGGAGAGGAACAAAATCGCAAATCTAATTCCCTTTGGGCGCGAAGGGTTCTCAGTCTCCTCTTCGGTGGTGTTCACATTCGCGTTAATAAATAGTTCCTTATCAGGGACCGTCGCTGTGGCTGTGTTCTGGTAGATTTCGTTTGGCTGAGTGGAATCGCAGACCGGCGGGGGGTGGCGCTAATCACGTCCATCACGACTGGTTTTGGGAAGACAGGAGCCGATTTGCAGTAGAGGCCAACTTGTGACTCTTACTGGACCTGCTAGCCTCATTCACGAGCACGTGATCTCACCACTTGTCTTCCTTGTCTCCCCACAATAGTACTTTCGGCCAATCATAATTACTCCGTCCTTTAATCGCGGTATCACAGCCGATTACATCTCATATGCCGTTGGCCATAACGTACGCAGCAACGGAGGTTGGAGGTCTTGCGACTATGAGGAGTCCATGTCCATTCCCAGATGATCAGGTTGAGGGGGACTCTATATTAAATCCGGATTTGATCCTCCTGACCTGATTATAGCGCCGTGTTGGGCTTCCAAGCCGCAGTCCCTGGGTCATTATTACCGACTGTGGGACTTCCACTTCCACCAGGGTTGTGAAAAGTACTTCGACCAGCACTGCGACTGTGACAAAGACTGCTCCTCTTGATCTCAGGGTAGGTGTTGATCCCAAAAACCTACCTGTATTAGACTTTTTACGCAATGTGACCGTACGACTTCAGATCACTTCCATTTTGGGCGTTGATACCATCCCTTCCCCCTTGATGCCATTATTTTCCCGCCTGAATCATCAAGCCACCAATTTTCACTCCAGCGACCCCAACAACTTTACGTTTTGGAATCAAATCACAAGTTTTCGAATTTTTTTGGTCATTTTGGAGAGTAGGTACGAACAAAGTCAGAAGAAGACAGTTAATCAACCAGAAGGAAAGCAAAGGGGAGGGCTTCCCTAATCCTCTATCCCCTCCCTGTTGTAGCTGCAAGCGTCTATTTCTTCTTCCTCGCCGTGATGTCAACGTAGACGTGTCCCAGAGGGCCAGCCTCTGGGCTCCATCCCCCATGCACGACTCTATACTTTTCACTTTCATCAAGTGTCTCAACCAAGTTGACATACTCTCCGCCACGATTCTCCCAATGAAGCTCACAAATCTTGGCATCGCCATGAAAAAGGTCTAGACGGCCCTCACTGCCCCGACGGCTCTGGGCACCAATCTCCCCAATACCGCCACCCGAGATCTTGATTTCGTCGATCTCTTCTTCGGTGAGGGACTTGCGGCGGTCTTCAGGGTTGTAAAACTCGCCACTGCTAGGTGTTAGTTGAGGCATGATGAACACAGGACCTTGGGTATGTACCCTTCAATCACAGTGTGGTGCACTGAGACCTCGCCATCCTTGAGATGGTCCCGGATGTGGAAGGAGACCCATTGGGAATTGTAATTGTTCATATTGGAAGTTGAATTGATGAGTGTGGATGTGTTGTGTAACCTAAGAAAGGTGGACGATCTGATCTGGGGAGGGAGCGGACTCTCGATTATATAGGGATTACCCCGCAACTTTGGAATGTGGGGATTGCCTAACTGGGGTGTCGTGTGATGACTCTACGATGTCATACATCAGGCCATTTTCCAATGGGATGCTCTGGTCATACCGGGGCTGTCGCATGATGTCATTGGCCAATGAGAGTGCCAACCGTGGAACCACCCGTTTTTAGCTTTCTCAAATTTGCGGGGTGTTCATTATGCTCCTTATTATATATTATTCTACCCTATTGATGTCTTTTGAAGTTCATTCTCGTTATTTAGAAAGTGAATTCGTCCGGGGCCCATGGTTATCAACGGCATCACGTGAGATACCCATATAGCAAGCTCGTGTTAAGACGGCAAGACTACTTTTACGGGTAAAAATGACTACCAAGTAGAGCCTAAACAAATTTGAAGTAAAAAGAAGTCCAAAAAGTCACGAAAAATAATAAAACATACAACAGCAGGGATTCGCTGGTGGTCACCCACCCAACTACTAACCTGCCGGCGTGTGGCTTAAGTACGGCTGAGCGGACGGGAAGCCCTGTTCTCCGCACCCTATGGTCGTATGTGCTAGGTTGAGTATTTTCAAGGGTCATAATGAATATGATGGTAGTCACCTAGCGACGACGGTTTGGGCGTAGGAGGCTCGCCGCCCTATTCAGACACGCTTCATGGTGGCTTCAGGCGGCTTTCGGTGGCAGTCCACCCACGTGTATTCTATATTATTGAAGTTTTAACCGAGTCTCCCTAGCCTAGGCACGATATCGGTGAGATAGAAGAAGGAGCCCTAAACACGGACAATTACTAGATACAAGGAACTATGAATGAAGAGTAATCAAATAAAATTTCTTGGTTGCATAAGATCAGACCTGCCTTCTCCCTAGCGATCCCATTTCAGTCATGTAGATCTATCACGTCAATTTGCTTCTTTGCTTTGAAGATTTTGTAAGTCTTTCCGTTAGAAAGTGACTTTTCAACGAATTTATCGATATGATCAATGCCTTCCTTTTTGGCCTCGCAGTACACTTCAATATTGAACTCACCTTCTTCTGAAAGAGAGAGTAATCCAGCTTCCAACAGGAAACAGATCAAAATCAATCCTATCACGAATAGGAATGTCTTTCATGCTGAGACAATTGATGCCAGCAATAGAGATTGCCTGAAAGTCGACTGTTTCAGCACACATGTTGAATCGCATATCAAGCTATTTCAAAATTGAAGTCAGAGCATAGAAACGAAGGCAGAGTTAAGAGGAACAATACCTGAAAGGGCCCTTCTTTGTAAAGAACCTTCCCCCCGCCACCTGAGCTCTCCGCACTCACATAGAATGGCTCTTTTTGCTCCTTCTTTTGTATGATCTCTATTTGTTTAATGAAATGTTTCACCTCAACGTAACCGTCTATATTGTTGTCAGAACAAGGGATTGCTTAGAGGCTAGGGGAGCTCCTTACTGTCGATGGGAGGCTCGATAATCGACATACTGGTTCCGGTATAATAGGATAGTACTAGAGAAAAAAAAATCACAATGGATGTGAGAGGTCCTAGAAGGGGAAAAAGTAGATGCGTCAATTTATATTGAGGATGGTGCGGGACAGCTGAAAGATCATCCACGTAGATATGCACTGGGTATTTTCAAATTACATCATAAACCCCTCATATCCTGATGATAACAGATTATCGTCCTCTACGTATAACGAATATGTGACCCTCCATTGCCTGTACATCATGTACCCACTTAGGGCTCCTTCGTAGAAATACAAAATCATTACCGGTCCACGTTGTAATCTCGCCAGTCCTCGATCCTCGATCCACGCGAGATCTATGGAGCCAATGATCTGTATTCAGCCGCTCGAAGTGGGACTTGTCGTTACATAATGTTTTTGTCTTTGGAAATGTGGCTAGCTGAACCACACACCGCTTGATTCTACGATTGATTCCTTATCTCCCAAGTCTGTGCTGTATAATTTGGAAGGAGACGGTTTGCATGACACAATGATTGGCGACCTCTAATGCTTTACAGCACAATCTCTGTACAGCCTGACTGCAGATGTAATTCAAACCCACCGTTTACCCACCAACCGACCGCCTGCCTACCTAGACAACCGATATGGTGGTCTGAGAGGTCCTAGTGGCCAGATGGGCAAGATAGAACCGGCAAAATCCAGGTGGCAAGTTTGTGGGTTTCAATTATATCTGCTGCTGTACTGTTCTGGAGATCCTTTTCACACACCGCTGATCGACAGTATTTTTAACTAATAGGTAACGTATACGTATATATATATTCCACCTAAAGGATAAATACTGGTTACGAGTGAGAGGACGGACGGAGGAGAAGGGGAGGGTGCGCGACGAGCGTTGAAGTGAGGCCAGACGAGTGAGAGGGAAAACAGAAAGAAGACTATAAGAGAGAGCAAAAGAAGGTGATGAATACAAAATCGAATCGACGCCCTTGAATCGGTTTCGTGATCCAACCTCCATATCAGAACTGAGATTATATGACTAATATGGTACTGAAAAGTGCCTTTGGCATTTTTATTCAAGCGGTCAGATCTCCGACACTCCATAACTGATAACTGTCCACCGAAGGGTGACAGAAACGATCGGAAATTAAATTTATTATATATCTTGGACTTTAGTATGATAAAACTGTGATCGTACGCTCTATCCTATTACGAACGAAGGAGCACTATGGCAAGCAGGAGGTTGTTTTGGCCACCAAAAAAGGATGCTGGTGCACCGTCCGGGGTTCTCTTGCAGCCCCGAAATGCAGTGTGGTGGTTATCTAGGCAATGTTAGTAAGTGCTGCTCGCTCGACCTGAACGTCGGAGACTCGACTGGGTTGCCTGTTTCGAGTGGTCTCAATTGAGCGGTATTCATACAGAAGAAAAGGCAAGGGATATTGTTTCCAAAAGTGCTGACGCTTTTATACTCGACTTCTCTTGGCTTTTAAGATGGTCTTAAAATCTGATAAACCATACATTTCAGGCATCAATATCGAACTGCCTTCCCGCTGCCACAGGGACCCATTATCATCCCGCATCTGCCCCATCCAGTTGTTCACATTTTTAACGACACGCCTTTCGCGTTGCAGATTATGGTTACGATGCCCTTGTCATTGGTGATTGTTTGAGGAAACATGATGAGCAGTGGGTCTAGTACCTACTCAAAGCTATTTACCCACTTCATCAGATCCGAATCCTCATCCAGCCACGCATTGAAATCCCCCGCTAGCCAATCCATCGGCACAAAATTAGAAGTATTGTTTCCCGCAGCCTCAACAGCATTCTCATTGGAATGAGGCATGGTTGCCCCCGACGGAGGCCCAGACAAGACACGGTCCAGGATATGTCGTATCACATTTCTGGCCTGCTGGCAGATCTCATGATTGCCTGCTTGACGGCAAACGGTATGTTCCAGGTCTGCAGCAAAACGACTGAGGTTTTGAATGATTTCCGAACGTGGAAATAATGGATAGGGGTGAGGGTTCTGGAATTGGCGAAGGAGCTCAAGGGCCAGGACACCCGCGGAAGGGAGACCAACGTATGAGATCTATGAGTGATTAACTTCCTTCTAGTGCAGTTTGAACATTCTTTTTTCTTTTTTTTTTTAGAAAAAAGGGACAACGGAAACAGAATCACAACTTACAATCCACACTATCGAGTTGACGTCCTCCCCCGCAGAGGATCGATTGGCAATGAGAAGCAGCAGATTGCTCAACAACTCATGAGCGACATTGATCAGCTTCTCAGGCCCTTTATTTGTCCGCTGCACAAGGATTCGTTGCAAAATGAAACCATTATATAAATAATCCAAGTGAAGACACAGAGAGACTTTGCTGGCTTCCGGTTCTCGTTCAAAATCCTCAATGCTGCCGATTCGCCATAAAGTCGGCGGTAGGTCACTGCGCATCTTCTGCGCCAAACTCCAGATCTCCCTAGATAAAAAGAAAAAAGAGCGTTAGCCTGGAATGATGCTCAAAAAAAAAAAGAGAAAGAAAAAAACAGAAGAGGAGAAGAAAGCATAAAAATATTTACTTACGATATTTTCTCTTCTAGGTTCTCAATTTCGGGATTCATGGAAAGTTCCAGTACCGACTCTCTGATGGAGCCCATGAGAAAAGATGCGCGTGCGTACGACACCCGAGTACAAACGCCTTCTGCATTCCAGCCGTCTTGATCAAGCCTGGCAATGGCAGAATCCCGGACTTCGGGCTGCGCCATGATATCTTCAAACGTCATATCGAGTGGAAGCTCAATATTTGTATACCGCCGAATCATGCGAGGAGGGCGGCCCAGAAATGTGGATAGTTCTTTATCCATACAGTAAGTGGAAACGAGAAGCCGTTTCCGGTGTTCCGCAAGGAAGAACGGGAGCTTCGCACTGCTTTCTCGCTGATGGAAACCGAGTGCGAAGATGAGCGTACATAGAGTGCCGAAGGTCTGCCAGGGCCGATAATCTATTTATTCTCGGGTTAGAACACACCGATGTGGCCGAATATATATAATGAAGGAGAAATGAAGCTTACCATAATCTCCGTATAACAGAGTAAGCAATGAAGTATGCTCAAGAACGACCCAGCAGAGCTGCTCAGTAATGAGTCCGGTATTTTCGCAAAATCGCAAGCATATTTCGCCAGCCGCTACACATACAGCAGCGAGACTTTTACGATCTAGGGGTGAATTGCTGGAGGCGGAATACCCGATTAATTCCTGTCGTGGAAGAAGACATGCACTGGAACCGATGACAGAGAATATCAACCCGACGATTTCCCATCTGTTCGGCATGGCCGTGAAATATTCCACTGGACTCATATTCGGATCCACATTGAGAGGTTTGGAAGATGCTGCAAAGATACTGTTAGATAGTGTGACCAGATCAGGTAGTGGATTGGATTTATCCGAGATGGCTTCGTTCAGCATTTTCCGGATTGACGAAAAGATTAGGCGTAAGGCCGGCGTAGCAAAGAGGTCGCCCTGGCAGTGGTCGAACCGAGCGGTTGCCATTCGCTCGTAAAGCGTTAAGTCATCAAACAAGATGAGTAGAAGTTCCGATCCAAGCTGAATCTGCCCATCATCGATGATGGCGCTTCGATTATGTTGGAGTGATTTGGCGAAAAGTGTCAAATCAGAGGATGACCGGGCGACCGCATCGTCACTTTCACTAAGAACCGCCAGGTAACTGGTTGGCCCGAAGACTCCCGTGCTGGGGATTTTCCGTTTACTCCAGTCGGCAAAAGCAACATAACGGTCTCTGATTTGTCCTCCAGCTACTGGTGGGGTGGATAGCTCGCGATGGCCTTGATTTTGCTGCGGACTGGGTAGGGCAGTCTGATCGGTATAAGAAGTGGTGCTCTGATTGTTGTTGAGCTGCGAAATAGTGCCGGGGGAACTTCTATCGGCTACATCCACAGCGCTTTTGGTGGTCATCGGAGCGGGGTGGTAGACACATAGTGTTGGTTTTCGCCTGCGCCGGCACCTGCCGCAGGGGATGGTGTGGTCACAACGGAGCTTGGATTTTCTGCACGGCTCACAGGAGCTTAGCACACCATTCGAACGGAGCAGAGACATGACTTTTTGATTTCGAAAGGCCACCGGGGTGAAGGGAGGCGGGTTAAGGTCTACCTTTGTTCCTGCTGTCGGAGTCGGAATCGGAGTGGAGTCCGACAGTACGGTGGTGGTACAGTGGGTGTTCGTAAGTTTGAAACTATGATTTTACCGCCTATTTTCTGCCGCATTTTCTGCCGTCTTAAACATTCTGTTTTTTGTGCTATTTACAGGAACCTCTTTAATATTTCGCAAACTATCCACTAGCCCCAATGATACACTAACGAGGTATACAAATAGCATATAGAATATTAAATTACTCTATTGCGCGTAGAAACGCATCGGGTAGGCGAGGTAGACAGTGAGGGCGGTGAAAAAAAGGCGGTAAAATCGTGGTTTCAAACTTATGAAACTCCACTGTATGCCTAGTCAGCGCCAATAGAGATCCCTGTCAATTAAACCAATTCACTCAACTGGGCGTAAATCCTCCATTCTCCGTTACTTATACTAGCTTGCTGGAGTTTCGGTGCTTCCCATTTCAATAGTAAAAGATAATAGAATTGCCCTCGAACAGTAAAGTACACTGATCGATCTTCAAAAAAACCAGTGACTACTCAGACGGCTCGAAGCGCTGCCTTCCTAGTTCTTCCTTCTCCATGCTGACCTCTTCTGTGAACAGCGAAGAGATGAGTCCAACACCGGCACAGACGATCAGTACTATCCATATCGAATGAAATGAATGGCTGTAGACTCCCGTGATCTTATCTAACGTCTCTAGCGGTACCGATGATTTGAGATCCTTCAACTGAGGAATGAAACCGATGGCGTTCTGGCTGTTCTCCAGCGCCGCCAGACTGTTTGGCAGTGGACCTAAATCTTTAACAGACTTTGCAAAGACACTGTTGAACACCGTAGCGCCAATGGCCAGACCGATCAGGCCGCCGAGTAACCGGAAAAATACGAGTAGCCCCACGGCGAGGCCCGTGTCGTCCACGCTTGCCACACTTGCCTGCGCGGGGAGTACGAGAACAGTGAAAAGTACGCCAATACCCAGGGAGGCCACCACTGGCATGCCAGTTCGGAAAGGGACTGATGAATCTGGCTTGATGAGGAGAAGCAAGCCAACACCTACTGTGAGGAACACCCAACCCAACCAGATATTCCACCGATATTTTCGTAGATAGGCAACAGAGATCGGTGACATACAACTGAAGAAAAGGGTCAGGATATTCATCGGTAATAAGGTGATGGCGGCATGAAGAGGTGTTTCGAAAAAAGCGGCTTGGTAAAAGAGCGGGAGGTATGTATTCAGAGTGTAAATAATCAAGCCGTGGAGAAGTCCGCCCAGGAACGTTGTGGTCGATGTTGCCGAATTGAAAAGATGATAGGGTAGAACCGGTCGCTCAGGTATGCGCTCGTAGAAAACGAAGACAAGGAGAAGGAGGACGCCGAGGATTAAAGGAAGAAGGGTTCTCCACGAGCCCCAGGTGTACAAAGCACCCGACCAACTGCCAACGCAGCGCATCCGACCACAAAGAGCCCCATGCCTACCAGATCGAGGGATCGAAACCTCGATAGGACAGATCCCTCCAGCGGTTTCAGTCGTAGGAAGAAAAGCGTTAAGATGAAACTGAAGCCGATCAGCGGCAGGTTGATCCACCCGATCCATCTCCACGACACGAACTGGGTAAACAAAGAGCCCACAACTGGACCCAGAATAGCTCCAGCGGCCATTGGAATGGCAAGGATGCCGAGATACATCGGACGCTCTTTCATAGTGGTCATGTCTGCCGTGATGGTCTCGTTGAGAACGTCGAGACCACTGCCACCCAGACCCCGAATAGTTCGCCCGACGATCACTGTCGACATATTCGGAGCCAGGCCAAAGATGACGGAGCCAATTGCGAAAAGGAAAAATGCAGTGTAAAGGGGAATCTTGCGACCAAGAACGTCCGATGTGCTCATATATAGGGGTTGAACCACCGAGACAGCCAGCATGAAGCAGATGCTTGCCCAGAATGATTCGAGTGTCGTGCCACCAAGATCGTGAGTGATGACAGGGGTTGCCACTGCCAGGGTAGTAGTGTCAAGAGACACGATAAAAACCATAACGAGCATTCCGAAGAAGGAAAGATGGAATGAGAGCGGCTTCTTATTTTTCGTATCGATTGGGGACTGCTCCTCCGACTGCGTTTTCCCTTCTTCTGGAATATGCATTATCACAGTCCAAATACTCTTCGATAGGTTGATCAAATCTCATTGAGAGTAGACAAGAAAAAGAGTGACGGCCGCTTAATATAGGGGCTGACTGGCCTAAAAAAACATCGGAGTCGGGGTCGGAGCCCCCTCGTCGCTAACAATGCACGCTACTGCATCAGCCAATGCGTATGAGAAAAAACAGTGGGGGAAAAGATAAGAAAGCAGAGTCAGAATAAATGAGTATCTAGATGGGTGTTACGTTGAAAAGGGGCGTGGCTCGCGGCAGTTTTACCATTAACAAGCCTTCCGGCCCAGTTTTCCACTTACTTAGGCTGACAAAGAGAGCGACATGAATCAACGGATTTAATTACATTCCTTCGGGGTAAATCAGGCCAGGAGGGACAGATAATCATCATGCTATTTAGTATTTCCTTCTCTTTGTGATTTTCCTTCTATTGGAAAAATTTTGTAGCCCCATCTAGTTGGGCTGGTCGCAATACGCCGAGAGGAGAAGCCGCCAAACTCATGTGTGTGCGATTAAAGATTGTCATATGATACAATCTATTCGGACCGGTCGAGACCTTATTTGCCAATCAAAGCGTAAACGTGACGCGCAGCAGCTGGTAGCCTTGTTCGATCCCCTTGCGCCAAGGCCTTCACCTCCGCATCTGTATTCGATGCATGGAATATAAGTCTCAGTCTCTCTGTACCTTTAGGAACTACAGGATATGGTATGGGGAAGACCGAGAATCCTGCAAGCTGCAAGTGGAACGCGAGATAGAAGTTGTGCTTTGTGCGCGTCCAGAGGGGAACGATCTGGGAGAAAATGGGAACGCGAAGAAGTCCAGTGTCACTGGCCTTGGTCGAAACTGGATCTGAAGTGAGTTTCTTGAAGAAGAGTTTCATGACATGTTGAACTCTGTCTTGAGCCTGAAGTTTCATGTTAAAACTTTGAAATATGGGTTAGATTGAGCGAAATCTGGCATACCACTTGCATCTCGCCACTCTTCAAAAAAGCTGATACGTTGCTCGAATGGAAGCCAGCATTGGGGAAGCTGGTGCCACGGAATACATGATGCTTCATGCGTAGTTGATCAGCATATTAATGAAGCTTCCCCGGAGATGCGGCTCGTTCGGTTACATCTATAATTTATCTATGGAGTACAGGGTGTTGCGGCCTGATCTACCAGTAATATGGTCTAATTGGTACATGGATTGAGACCCCTGTAGTCACAGCCAATTATTGCCATTATTTGACAGATTACACCATTTGGGGGTTCCTTCCAGTGGGGCAAGGGAAAGGGGAATCCTGCCTTCTCCACGCCTCCAGGAGGCCGGAACATATGATCAAGCTAGTGAAATGGAAGTTGTAAATATATTAATATGAATGCTTGTTTAGTCCGGGGGGCGCCAAGCACTTTCGCCCCCAAGGCTTACGTGGCGATATGCAACTAGATAAGCCACTTTCAGCAGTCTTGACTAGAATCTGCGGGCATCCTCCTTTGATCTCGTCGTTAGAAATCCAACATTGAAAGTGAATCTGCTAAATCACAATCTTTATCATTCATTCATATATCAAAATGCCTTCCCGAGAAGACGGCCTTGCTGGTCCACCCAATGGGCAACGGGTTCAGACCAATGGTACCGCTACCACCTCAGGAGGAATCCCTCCCATCGCGATATGTGGCATGTCCCTTCGTCTTCCTGGCGGATTAGGGAGTCCACAGCACCTATGGGACTTCTTGATGGCCAAGGGTGATGCCCGGAGCCGCGTACCAGAGTCACGGTACAATATATCGGCATACCACTCTCTATCAAAGCGGCCCGGCACAATTGTGGCAGAGTACGGTTATTTCCTTGATGAGAGTGTTAAGCTTGGCGCGCTGGATGCGTCACGCTTTTCGCTCAGTCGCGCCGAGCTTGAAGCTGCTGATCCCCAGCAGCGGCAGATGTTGGAAGTTGTGAGAGAGTGCTTCGACGATGCTGGCGAACTCAATTTCAAGGCCCAGCCTATTGGATGCTACATGGGATGCTACGGTGAGGACTGGCTAGAGTTACAAAATAAAGACCCTCAGCAAAATGGGGTGAACAGGGTGGATGGCTATAGCGACTTTATGCTATCGAATCGGATCTCCTACGAAATGGACCTACGCGGGCCGAGGTATTTATTGACATCACGAATTTGTTTTCTTCTTTTGAGCTGGGAGCTAAATCAACACAGTATGACTATCCGCACCGCTTGTTCGTCAGCGCTAGTTGGTCTTAATGAAGCTTGTCTGGCAATTCAACGAGGTGATTGCAAGGCAGCCGTAATCGGTGGTTCCAACCTGATATTTGCACCGGGAGTGACGGCATTCATGACAGAAAAAGGTGTTCTGTCTCCCGATGGTTCCTGCAAAACCTTCTCTTCTGACGCAAACGGGTACGCGAGAGGTGAAGCCATCACGGCTGTGTTCGTCAAACCACTAGATGCTGCCCTTCGAGACGGGAATCCAATCCGTGCTGTGATTAGGTCAGTCATGTCCAACAGCGACGGGAGAACGCCAGGCATCTCGCATCCCAGTACCGAGAGTCAGGAGGCATTGATCAGGAAAGCATATGAGGCGGCTGGCATCGCGGATTTCTCCAAAACTGCCTTCATAGAGTGCCACGGGACCGGCACCCCAACGGGAGACCCGGTTGAAACAAATGCCGTGGCGAGGGTCTTTGGGGACTCCGGTGTATTTATTGGATCAGTAAAGCCAAACTTGGGCCATTCGGAAGGCGCGTCAGGTCTCACATCTTTGATCAAGGGAGTACTAGCTCTTGAGAACCGTACCATCCCACCCAATATCAAGTTCTCGGCTCCTAACCCGAAGATTCCTTTTGCAGAGGGCAAGTTGACTGTGCCTGTGGAGCCGACGCCTTGGCCCGAATCACGATGGGAGCGTGTCAGTATCAACTCATTTGGAGCTGGAGGATCCAATGCGCACGTCATTCTAGATTCTGCTCGGAGTTTCCAAATCCCTGACCCTACACCAGATGCTTTACTCGCCGGTCCACAATTGTTGCTTCTCTCTGCCAGCTCCACAGCATCTTTGCAAAAGATGGCCAATAATTTCCAAGATTGGGTCCCTCAACACCAGGATCAGCTTCGAGACCTTGCCTACACTCTTGCAAACCGAAGGGAGCATCTTCCCCATCGGGCTTTCCTGGTGGCTGGTAGAGATCAAGACGGCACCCCATCACCAGGCAGGAAGGTGCCAAATCCATCCCCGAGTCTTGCCATGGTCTTCACCGGGCAAGGTGCTCAATGGGCACGTATGGGGCGGGAGTTCCTCCTTCGCCCAGACTTCGGTTTCCAAAACACCATCAGGACTCTTGACAATTATCTGAAAGCTGCACCTGATGCTCCCGAGTGGACATTGGAAGAAGAGCTCCTCAAACCTGCTATGACTTCACGGGTTCAAGCAGCCGAACTCTCTCAACCATTGTGTACTGCTGTTCAGATTGCTTTGGTGGACCTCTTCGCCGCTGTGGGAGTAACCCCCACTGCAGTGGTGGGGCACAGTAGCGGCGAGATTGGTGCCGCCTACGCTGCTGGAGCTTTAACAGGGAGAGAAGCCATCATTGCAGCCTGGCTGCGAGGCCAGGCTGCACAGAGGCAAAAAAGACCCGGCGCCATGGCCGTGATAGGGCTTGGTTGGGATGAAGTCAGCAGCTTCATAGCTCCTCCCAAAGTTGTTGTCGCCTGCGAAAATTCGCCCAAGAGCGTCACTATCTCTGGAGACGCAAGTGAAGTCCAAACAACTGTCGAGCGGATTAGAAATGAGCATCCAACGGTGACAGCAAGGCTACTTAAAGTCGACAAGGCCTATCACTCGTATCACATGCGCGAGATTGGTAACGACTATTATTCCCTCATCAGCAGGGATTTGGTAGGGAAGCCGCCGGTGAAACCTTTCTTCTCCAGTGTCACTGGCAAACAGGCACAAAATTTTTCTCTTGATGCGACATACTGGCAAAGGAACCTAGAATCCACCGTGCTTTTCCGTGCAGCTGTCTCCGATCTACTTGAACATGTTGAGAACGTTGCCTTCTTGGAGGTCGGGCCACACCCTGCTCTCGCAGGACCCGTGAGACAAATCCAGTCTACGGGGGATCTTTCAAACCGAGCACCGTATATAGCGGCCATGTCCCGCGGTGAAAATTGTGTGGAAACGTTCCTGACTGCTATTGGAAAGCTTTTCGAGCTGAACGTGCCGGTCAACTTGAACGCACTCTACCCAACTGGATCTTGTCTCCCAGGCCTGCCACAGTACCCCTGGGACCACAGCGTTGACTACTGGCGCGAATCAAGAATTTCACGTGAATGGAGATGTCGCAAGTATCCTAGTCATCCTCTTCTGGGTGAACGCCAGCTCGAAAGTACCAGCCTTGAGCCTAGCTGGCGAAATATCCTTCGAGTTGATGACGCCGGCTGGCTTCGAGACCACAAAATCGAGGACAACATCATTTTTCCGTGTGCGGGCTACATAGCTATTGTCGGCGAAGCGGTCAAACAAGTCAGTGAATCTCAAGGTAGCTATACTTTACGACGCGTTGTGCTCAGCTCAGCCCTGGTCCTGAGCGATGCAACACCCACTGAAGTGGTTACAACATTTCGCCCCCATCGTCTGACCGATTCTCTTGGTAGCCAGTGGTGGAATTTCACCATAGCCTCATACAATGGCAATATGTGGACAAAGCACTGCACAGGCCAAGTTTCCGGTACTGTGGCTGAGAAGAGTCAGACCCAAAATGCAGCATTGAAGACTTCTCTGCCGCGAAAATTGAAAGCAAAAAAGTACTACGACATCTTGGGTCGCGCTGGCTTGCTATTTGGTCCTCTCTTCCAGCAGCTTACTGACATTCAAACGGGTACCATACAATCTTTCGCGAGAGCGAAAGTGTCTGGTGACAAGGCTGGAGACGAACAGTATTACCATCTACACCCCACAGTCATTGACGCATGTATTCAGTCAGCTTCTCTTGCCGGCCTAAGAGGGAGTGTGCAAGCAAAGGATTACAGACGAGTTCCTACTAAGATTGAGCGGGTGATTATATGTCAATGCCTCGCCAGTGTCGACGACATGCAGGTGATGGCCTCGGCAGCATTTGTAAAAGGCAATGGCGACGTGGTTGGTCAAGTGCAACAATGTATTGCGGACGGCAAAATTGTCATGCACATGGAAGGCTTGAAACTCTCGCCTCTAGAAGAGGCCGCTGAGGTAGGAGGAATTAATGGCCTTCAAACTACAGCACGAGTTACATGGGGGCCACACATCGACTTCTTAAATGCAGCAACTCTGATCAAGCCATCGTTTCCTCGTCATGTGTACACACCATCCTTGGATGTGCTGGCTCGACTATGCATGGTATACGCCAATCGACGCATCAAGGAGGCTCACACTTCGTTGTCTCATATGTCCATGTACCGCGACTGGATTAACCTACAGGTGGAAGCTATGAGCCTTGACGAAAAATTGTCATCCTTCACAGCAGTTGATGATGTTTTCATCATGGATGGGATTCAAAGCCTTGTGCAAAACCTGTCAGAGACGCCAGTCATTGACTGTGCTCTCGCCCTCCAGAAAGTGGCCACCGACATCTCAGCATTATTCTCAGGTGAAATTGAGGCACTAGATATCCTTATAGCTGATGACACGCTTTATAAACTATACGTCGTCATCGACGCCTGCGACCGATCCCAGTTCATGCGACACCTGGCCCATAGCAAGCCCAACCTTCGTATCCTGGAGATTGGAGCAGGCACAGGCGCGACGACGGCCAGCGTGCTCAAGCTTTTGACCTCATCGGGCTCTTCTACTTCCGGGGGACCGCCTCTGTACTCAAAGTATACATTTACCGATATCTCATCTGGTTTCTTCGTGGCTGCCAAGAAACGTTTCAAAGACGAACAGAATATCGAGTATCGCGTGCTTGATATCAGTGCAGACCCCGCCGAGCAGGGTTTCGACGGTGAGAAGTACGATTTGATTCTTGCCACCAATGTTATTCATGCGACAAAGTATATCGGCGAAACCCTAAAGAATGTCCGCAAACTACTCAACCCGACTGGCCGATTGCTTCTTCATGAACTTAATTCCCCCTCTAAGTGGCCCAACTTTATCTTGGGCACTCTACCGGGCTGGTGGCTTGGTGGGCCGGATGGAAGACCCGACGAGCCGTATGTATCACCGGCCTGCTGGGAGTTGGAGCTGAAACGCGCCGGCTTTGCAAGCTTAGATGCAGTTGTCCTCGATGGCGAAGAGCCGTATCATTTGAATGCTATCATGGTTGCAAAACCGGAGGTCGATAACGTTTTGACATATCAGAAGAAGACAGTTAGTCTGCTGTGTGAAGCCACTGATGACAGCCACGCAGACTGTCTTTCTCACCAGCTCAAAGGCAGGGGATATGGGGTCCAGGTATTTCGGCTCGGGGACGAGCTTCCAAAATCTCAGGACATAATCTCCCTACTCGATTGTAGTCGTCCTTTCTTTGAAGGTATTGATGAGCCTAGGTTTCAAGCTTTTCAGCATCTTTTGGATAACCTTGGTCAGTCAAGTCTGCTATGGGTCACTCACCTGTCTCAAGTGCAATGTCCCGATCCCAGCTTTGCCCAGGTCATTGGTGCTGCCCGCTCGATTCGCACGGAGATGTTGTTGGAATTCGCTACGTGTGAAGTGGATGATATTCTTTCATCACTTGACAAAATAGTCGACGTTTTCGCCAAATTCCAGGCAAGAGAGGAGGATGAATCCCTTAAGCCCGACTATGAGTATGCTATTGTGGACGGTACCGTGTGTGTAGGAAGAATTTACCCTTTCTCGCTAAAGGAGGAGCTCTTCTCGGTGACCAGTCCAGAAGACCGGTTATTTCTTGACATGGAAAAGCCCGGCCATCTGACTTCTCTGAAGTGGAGTTCTCGGAAAGGAAGGCAACTGATCGGTGACGAAGTCGATGTTGATATCTATGCTGTCGGCTTGAACTTCAAAGTAAGAACTGTCCCTCTCCTGCATGTTTCATGTCTACAAAGCTAAGTTTTCTTCGGTTAGGATGTCTTGGGCGGGTTGGCAGTCGTTCCGTTCTCGGAAGAAGGCCTTGGATTCGAAGCAAGCGGGATTGTTCGCCATGTTGGCCCTGAAGTGAAGAGGTTAACCCCCGGTGACCGGGTCATGCTTCTGGGAGATGGTTCTTTCTCGACTCATAATATTACCTCCGAGCGGCTATGTGCGAAGATTCCTTCACTCTTAACCTTCGAAGATGCAGCAACATTGCCGGCCGTGTTCGCTACCGCAATATACTCGATGTTCGATATTGGCGGCTTGCAGGAAGGACAGGTAAGCCAAATTTCATATTACCAATGTCATATGAGCCAGGCTGATGGTCAATACAACCGTTGCAGTCGATTCTTATCCACAGTGCATGTGGTGGTGTGGGACTCGCTGCTATCCAGCTTGCGCGGATGGTGGGAGCTAAAATATATGCCACCGTCGGTAGTGACGAGAAGGTGAGATATTTGAGGGAGACATTTGGCCTGCCTATAAACCGGATATTTAACTCCCGAGATGCGAGCTTTGAGGAGGGAGTCATGCGCGAAACGCAGAACCAGGGAGTAGACTTGGCTCTGAATTCCCTTTCTGGGGAGCTTTTGCATGCGACCTGGAGATGCATCGCCGAATTTGGCAAGATGGTTGACATCGGAAAACGCGATATGCTAGGCGCTGGTCAGCTTGATATGGACGTCTTTCTTGGCGGCCGAACCTATTCTTGCGTCTATTTGGACCAGCTCATGGCCAAGCGACCATCTACATGCAAGCGGTAAGTCGAGAAATCCCCTGCAGAAGAAAGCCCATAATCTGACAAGATATAATGAAATAGACTTCTCCTATCTATCCTGGAATATTTCCAGGCTGGTCACATCACGCCGATTAGACCTATCGCGACTTTTGATGCCAGTTTAGTTGAGGGTGCGTTTAGACAAATGCAACAAGGCACACATATTGGCAAACTTGTCATCTCCGTGCGAAACGTTGAAGGGAGCGCCAAAATCGACACGGCCTCTGTGAAAATGGCGATGAGAGTAGAATTAGACTCCACAGCATCCTACTTACTCGTTGGAGGGCTTGGTGGCCTAGGACGAGCAGTGTCGCGACGCCTTGTAGAGCACAACGCTCGCCGTCTCGTCTACCTATCACGGAATGTCGGACTAGGTCCGGACGACAAAGACTTTGTCCGAGAGCTGGAGAGCTTGGGATGTGAAGTTCAACTCATCAAAGGCAGTGTTACTAGCGAGGCTGATGTGACGCGGGCCATCAAACAAGCACCCAACCTGAAAGGCATCGTGCAATGTTCGATGGTGCTTCGGGACCAAGCTTTTTCGAAAATGAGCTTAGACGAATGGAAAGCAGCTGTTGAGCCGAAAGTCCAAGGAACGTGGCACCTTCACAATGCGACAGAGGCAGCAGGGGTGGCCCTCGACTTCTTTGTGCTTTTCTCTTCCATGTTTGGAGTTACTGGGCAAGCCGGTCAGGCCAATTATGCCGGTGCAAACACCTTCCTCGACGCCTTTGTCCAGTATCGGACCAGTCTCGGCCTTGCCGTCTCTGCCCTTGATATCGGAGCTGTCCAGGATATCGGATATGTTTCGCAGGACGAACCCCTGCTGAAGAGAATGAAGTTGGCGAGCGCGCATGTAATCACGGAATCGGAGTTGTTGGATGCAGTTATTGCCACAATTTCATTTTCCTCGATGGACAACGCAAAAGCCGATGGCATATGGGGAACAACGGGTTTCGTTGATAAAAAAACGCTCATCCTCGGTCTAGGAACGGTCATCCCGTTGAGCAGTCCGGAATGCCGGGCGTTCTGGAGAAAAGATCGACGAATGGCTGTCTATCATAACTCCGTCATCAAGCCGACTGTGAACGAGGCCCGCTCTGACCAGGGCAGTCTTCAATCCTTCCTTGCGAAGGCCAAAACCGACCCTAATATCCTCGGAACCGACGATACAGCGGCTTTTCTAGCGAGAGAAATCGGGAACAAGCTTTTTAGCTTTTTGCTCAAGACGGGCGAGGATTTGAACACCTCTCTCCCGCTTTCTCAGCTCGGTATGGACTCGTTAGTGGGGGTGGAAATGCGTACTTGGTGGAAACAGGCGTTCAGTTTTGACATTACCGTGCTTGAGATGATGGGAATAGGTAACCTTGACGGTTTGGGGAAGCATGCGGCTATGGGACTATTGAAGCTGCTCGGGGATGACTCTTCTTAGATATGTTATTGCGTGTATGGAGTATAGCAGGGTGGAAAGTAGGTGAGAATCCTATAGGTCAGTGTGAAGACCCCACAGACCGCTCAGCTAGATCTAATTATCTGTGTTACTGCCGAGCGGCCCGTGCTATGATGCGTCCAATCCCGCAATAGACAGGGCTGAATCCTCACTCAGTTCCACTTTCGCTCCACCGCCGACTTTCTTAGTATTACTATGGTAAAGTATCCTCATCGCATACCCTTCGAGCTAGGAGGACTAGCCGAGGGTCCTGAGCCCCGTAGATCTGCAATCCGTTTCTTTGCAATTTGTCGAACTACTTTCTTAGTTCACCCCACTGAAGCAAGCGCCCTGCTGATGCTTTGAATCGTCACATGGTTTCCGAGTTCATCTCAGAGAAAGGGAGCCATCTCGTGTTGATATAGAGTTTGCTTCTCCATCAAATGGTCAAAAAGAGCTTCAAGCATAGTTGACATGTTACTTCGCGGGCTAGCGCGAAGCGCCAACGGGCTTGGGCGATAGGCGGTGAGCTGGGCGGTATGTCTAGCCACTGCCATTTACTGTGGCACTTTAAAGGGGTTGTGTATTGATTCATGCGCGTCAAGGGAGTAATCATCTGCACAATGCCCAAGACACTCCCACTTTTGAGAGATGAGATCACCTACTCCAAGGCTAGAAAAGAAGAGGTCAACATTTTACGTCGACTCGAGTATTACAATCGACAGCAAGATTTTTTTGCCAGCTTATCTAACAACCGGGATTGGATTAAGCATGTTATAACTCATCATCTGGGCCTTCCGTCGACTGTCTTATGCCAAGTGGCCGATGTCGAAGATTGGCTTCATGGAAGTTTCAACGTCTGTGTTCCAGTTTCTATTAAGGACTGGGAAACCAGAAAACAGCCTGGAACTCGAGTTCTCCTTCGATTACCTCTTCCATACCGGCTAGGCGAGGAATATTGTCCAGGGAACTCCGATGAAAAGATACGATGCGAAGCGGGAACGTATGCTTGGCTTCAAGCGAATTGCCCTGATATTCCCATTCCTCGCCTATACGGCTTTGCTACTTCTGATGGGGAGACGGTATTGTCTTTATTCTCCCTGTAATCAATGGAGGCTATACTGATATATTTTCTTAGCTGTCACATATTGACAACCTCCCTTTTTTAAGCCGTATTTTCCAATATTTCCGCCGTATGCTTCTTTCGTGCTTGGGGCGTCCTCTACCTTCGTCATATGTTTTCGATTCGCGAGTGTCGAGATACGAAGGGAATATATTTGCTTCAGGCTACTTACTTGTCGAGTACATCGAGAGTAAGAGAGGGCAAATGCTTTCGTCAACCTGGCTGGAAAGACACCAAGATCCTCGCTACCGCCGCACACTTTTTCGCGATCTCTCTCGAGTACTGTTGAGTATGGCGCGTATACCTCTTCCATCGATTGGCTCTTTCATTATCGACAATGACGGGTATCTTCAATTGACAAACCGTCCCCTTTCACTTGAAATTCAAGACCTAGAAAATGATCACATCCCGACGAATATGCTACGACACCACACGTATGCGGCCGCTGATTCATACATCGTGGACCTTCTGGGACTCCACAATAGTCGACTCAGAAATCAGGCCAATGCAATAAACGATATGAGTGACTACATTTATCAAGCATCGGCTTTGACTGCGATGCAAGCCACATTCCCATCGTTCTTCACGAAAGAACTCTGCCGCGGCCCTTTCGCTTTCACTTTCACCGATCTTCATCAGAGCAATATCTTTGTTGATGACAATTGGCATATCACTTCGTTGGTTGACCTTGAGTGGGCTTGTTCTCGTCCAATCGAAATGATTCGCACGCCTACCTGGCTTACAAACAAAGCTGTCGATGAGATTGCTGACGACGCAGTCGAGTATGATACAGTCAGGTCCGAGTTTCTTGAAATCATGAAAAAGGAAGAAAAGTTGTGGGACATGACTTCCGACAAAGCAAATCTTCCCGAGATAATGGACCGGAGCTGGCGATCTGGAGCTTTCTGGTTCTCTCTTGCACTTGCGAGCCCAACCGGTCTTTTTTCGGTTTTCTACAAGCAAATTCAGCCACGCTTCATTCAATATTGTTCAGATCATCAAGATGCCTTCCAAGAGACAATGCCATGGTACTGGTCTCAGGATTTCGTGATGGTCGGGGCGGCGAAGCAGCGCGATAGAATTGAGTACGATACTCGCTTGAGGGCGGCCTTTGAAGTTCTCAACGAGGCAGATTGAAAGAGAAAGTACAGAAATTGCCTAAAAGTTCAAAGTATTGTCACCTTTGCGACTTCATCCTAATTTCTCCTCCCTTCTTTCGACCCGCCTTCATGTTTGGCCATTGCCTCAATAGCTTCATTTAACTTCCGCTCAGCTCTTTCATGCTTAGAGTCATCCCGGTGTTTCTTGGCAGCTTCCGCCGAAGAAGTGAGCTGCTGCAATGTTTTCAAATTGGACTTAAGGCCAACAGTTGCCTCTTCACCTTTTCCTGGCCCAGGATGGTCTGGCATGTTGATGATCAAACGATATCCCTGTGCTATGAATTAGCATATGGTCTTTGCCACTTCTTTGTTCGCTTGAGGCCTTACGGAGATTGAAAATAGGGATTGAGAATATGAAAAGTGTTCGGATTGCCAGCAATATCAAGATTTGACGTTTGCCTAAGGCCTTCACTTACGATTTGTAGGTACCATCTGCTGGGTAATTGCGAAGGGTAGGGATTCTGGATCCGTAGCAATTTCTCTAGGATTCCATTAGGTTTTTCTACCGCGATTTCATTTGCCACATCTAAGACCTACTAGCTCATTGAGGTGCACCTTATCACTTTACCCCGCTCTTGCGACTTCTCCTGCAATATTCGGAGTCATGCATAGGGGGCGCATGGCGGAAATACGACATACCCAATAAAAGATACAAGTCGTGCGCTTTGATGCCGAACACATATCCGCATGGTTCAAGAAACAGGGATCTCGGGGTCTTTGCGCCCTCTTTCACGTTACCTCCATAGAGGTTGCTTGCGTTGCCGAATGGTTTCCTCCACAATTATGGGTTCTAAGTGTTGAAATGATTACTCCGGAGCAGGCCCGACGGCAGACTGTGATTATCCAATCACACTAAGTGTATGTGAGCGGCCTAGTAAATTAACATGCGAAGGAATGTTTGTATTTGCTTTTGATCAATGTCGTACACTATGTATATTCTTGATAGGAGAAGAGTTTGTAAAGATGATAAATGAGTTTTGTGGCCTGGCGGGAGCTGGGAATATTTATAAGTTAACCAGCGTGGTAATGTTAACTTCGTTCCTCCCCTTCTCGAAATTAACCTTTGCAGAAAACATCTCTGACTGGCTGTCTTATCTTAAAACGGACAACCCTTTAGTAGCCAGTCACTGGCGGCGTAGGTCTCGTCCTCTTGTAGCAGTTCTCCTCTCACCATGTTTTCAGAACCGTGGCATCGGGCGTGCTATCTGTGCTGCACTGGCTCAGCAGTTCCCAGGCCCCTTGATTCTGTACGCAGCCTCCCGTGCCGGGGGTTTTATCGACTTGACTGGCCTGTCTAATCCCCCAGCCGTGCAAATTCGCCCAGTTCAGCTGTCCCTCACCGACAAGGCCAGTATCACCGCCCTCAGCACGATGGTCAGCAACGAACACAGAAGCTGTGACGTTCTCATCAACAATGCCGGGCTCTACTATTTCCAGGAGAATGTCACCGCCGCACAGCGTCAAGAGTCTCTCGACGTGAACTACCGCGGCACCCTCAATGTAGACCATGGGATCCCCCCTCGTCTCCTCCTCATCGACACCCACTAACCGCCCCAGGTCTGTCAAGCCTTCTTACCAATCATGTGCAAGAGCGGCCGCACCATCAACGTCTCCTCCCAATCCGGCCAACTCAAATACTTCCATCCTCGTTTGCAGGCGCAATTCTTGAAGCCCGATCTCACCCTCACCGAGCTGGACGCTCTGGTAGGCGAGTACAGCGTACTTTACTTCGATTCTTTCTTACTCTCTTTCCAGTCTGCCATTAACCACCCAACTCTAGGGCTCAGCAGACCAGAACACTGCGACTGCGTTGGGCTGGCCCCCTTTAGCCTACTTCACAAGCAAGGCCGCTCTGAACGCCGCAACGCGGATTCTGGCCCGCCAAAATCCCCATCTGCTGATTAATTGCTGCTGTCCTGGGTGGGTCAGCACGCCGCTGGGTGCGCAGGCAGGTCAGCCGCCCAATTCTGTTGGTGAGTGCGGGGTTATTCTCTCTCGCGGATGCGTCACTCACTATTTCAATAGAGGAAGGGGCGAGGATTCCGCTGCAACCGGCGGTTGGTGATATCGGACAGGTTATTGGGCGGTACTGGGCGAATGATTCGGTGGCGAGTACAGGCAATGGGGCGGTTCGGGATTGGTAGTACTTGAGCATTGCCAAAATGAGGCTACATATAGGCGATTCAAGTCTCAAAGGAGTTAAATGCCGATCATCAATATTGATTGTGCAATAATTGGGATTTCATACTAAATGACTGCTTTCTCGAAAGGTCTTAGAGAAACTATCTATTTGGTTCTAATATCATTTTCAGGACAAAAGAGATCCCAAATTACTCAATTCACCACAGAAATTCTGGTGTAGTGCGTGATGAGAAATACTTCACCGTGACTAATAAAATCCTATCCAGAAAAGACGCTGAGGGAATTCAGACATCTTATGGACCGCCGGCAGCGGCCGAGACGTTGCACCGTTCATGCTGTACATAACACTCAGTAAATTAATTTTCACACTCGGATTAAATCCCACTTACCGCCATAAAGACCGAGCACACCAAGCTTGCGGCAGCAGCCGCACACACGCAGATGAAGCTTTTCCCCGAAAAATCAGTATCTCATCCCTCCGGAATGAAAATCGACGACACTTACATATTATGCCATGCAGACACGATGATAGCAAGTGCTTGATCGCGCAGCGTCTCGGACAGGGACGATAGCAGCTGGCCGCTGGTTCCTGATAAGATCTGTCTGACTTGGGATTGCGGGTATTCTGGGAGCAGGGCGAACAGGTCGTTCGACGCGATGTTGACGAATACGGCACCGCTGATGGATAGACCAAGCGTCATGCCGCTTAGTTGGGCTGTGTAGTCTGCGTTAACGGGGAAATCTAGTAGGGAAGCAAAGTGACGAACCCAGTAACATAAGAGTCAGCCCGTTGGGAGCATCGGCCGGGTCTACAACAGCCTGAATGACTGCAAACGCGGCTTGAGTGTAGGCGCCAGCTCCGAGTCCGAGCACGATTTCAAGACCATATATCACGCCTGATGGGGTATCTACATTAACAATGGTAGCTGTTGGTTTGGGCTTTAGCACATAATCACAGGAAAGGCCCAATCTGTGCGCAACTTACTCATCAAAACAGCCGGGATCAGTGCAATTATGCTGCCGCCCAGGTACCAAGGTTTGTAGTAGCCGATATGAGACATCATGGCCCCGCTAGTCGGAATGGTAGTGATTAGCAGGAATATAAACGGGAGTAGTCGGACGGCAGATCTGATCGCGTTGTCTCCTCGGGTGAACTGGAAATAAATAGGGATGTAATAGACACTGATGTAGGACACAGACCCCACTGCCGCACAAGAAATAAAGAGTAAGACTGGCTCCTTCTGAGCAAACAGGTGGATCGGCAAAATGCGCCTCTCAATTGATGTGGCTATTTCGAACCCTTGCTGGAGGCCGAAGATAATCCACAGGGCTCCAGAGACAATAAACAGGGCAATTGTGTGCCCGCTGCTCCATGGGTAAAGGGTCCCGCCGAAGTTGATGGCCATGACCAGAGTGGTGAATGCTCCGACACTGAGTATGGTGCCCACCCAGTCGAAACTAACCAGTTTCCGCCGTCGCGACATCCCTGGTAGCGGGTCGTTGGATGGGATGACGAACAGATAGGTTGGCAGTAAGATGGCACCAAACAGCAGGTTGATTTAGAATGCCCAGCGCCAGATATACAGCTCAAAGCCGCCGCCGACAACAGGACCCAGAACCGTCCCGAGACCCCAGACCAAACCGCTATGGTTAATTGTTAGTGTACCATCTGGCAACTCTCAGGAAGGATAGGCTTACCTCAAGCTTAGGTATTTCGGCCGTTCCTGGCTGGTAGTGTTCATGGAAATCAGAGCAAGCAAACCGAAGTACATTCCATTGCCGCCCGCACCAGCAAAGGCTCGCCCGATAATCTCGGCGTCCATGTTAGGCGCCCCGCCACAGAGTGCAGAGGCTGCCATGAACACGACTGTGGTTGCAATGAACACCCACTTGGCATCGAAAAGCGCATATAACTTACCAAATGGGAGTACCATTGCCATCCCTCCAATCATGAATCTATGTAGAGCGGAGCTTGTCAGCCGGCGACTTCCTTCTGATAGTTAGTCACTGTTATCATCTACCGCATACCCCACCGACAGCCATGGCAAATCTTCGACCGCGTTGAAATCGTTCACAATTTTCTAAATAGTAAACAAAAGACTAGTCAGTATGTCTCTCTCTCTTGGACGACGGGGGCGACGGGGATAGTAAAACGAAGAGGTAGGGCTTTTGCTTACCGGAGCAATATTGGCAACAATTGTATTGTCCAGAGAGTAGACGAAGATGGCCGTCAGGGTGCTGACCAAAAATATAAACCACTAAGGCAGTCAGCAATTTCGTTCTCTAATATCGGATCCAAGGCAACCAAACTAACCTTGAAGCCAGTAATGTGCCGCTTTCTCTGCGCACTCAGCGATGAATCACTCGGAGTGAGCTTTTCGGCATCGTGAAGGAGCTCGGGACCGGACGACGTAGGGACTGCAGCCATAACGATGAATCAAGGTGACCAAATCTAGAGCAAAGCGAACAGGACACGATATGGATAAAAACACTTTATAACCCCACATATTAAATCCAGGTGCCAATTTGTCAAATCGGGCCAACTTCTTTCCGCGACGAAGGGTTCTGCCACTGGCGGACCATAATTGGAGGTTTGTGAGGATTCCATTGCTGCACGAAAGTTGCCGACTGTACGCAGTCCGCTTCATGATTTGTCAATAGCTGCCCTGTGGATGCGGAGACTGTGTACAATAGATCTTCGGCAGATCTACACGCCGACCTCGGGGACATCCGCCAACGTTGGAGAAAGTCTCCGCCTTCATTACTAAGAGCCCTAAGTACCCCGTGAAATTTACTTATTCCCCTTTATATGAATAATGGGGTCTGACGACCGCGACCCCCGAAATGGCGGAGCCAAAAACAAAACATACAACAGCAGGGATTCGCTGGTGGTCACCCACCCAACTACTAACCTGTCGGCGTGTGGCTTAAGTACGGCTGAGCGGACGGGAAGCCCTGTTCTCCACACCCTATGGTCGTATGTACATGGAGCCTCCTAAGCATACATTATATAGCACCTTCCTATTCCTAGGTAGATACCGCCCATATAGGGTGTAGACTCTTTACCTGTCTCGTTGACATAGTGACATAACCAGGATATAATAACAGTAATTTGTGTAGGAAAAGTATGGAAGACCAGGCCGAAGCGGGTGCTTGGCAGTGGTCCTTGGCAATTTCGCGCCAAGAAATGCCAAGTTTGCGAAAGCTATTGAAAGCCTCCCACTTGACCTCGCTCCCCCTTGCTCCCCCTTCCCTTTAGAGTATATGTCCTCTTTATACTCATCCGAAACTTTCTGGGAATTGTTGCTGTTTCGCAGCAATCTCAGGATGCCCTGCACCCAAGAGCCACCGTATGGACCAATAAAACACCAAAGTACACATGCTGTGATCAATAGGGCAACTGCTGCTGTGGCAACCATATAGGCAATGACAGAATGGTCCGGGATCCCATTCATGCTGAATAGACTGGCTACAAGTCCCGTTGGCAGGAAGAAAGCAGTGACGTATGTGAAAATGGTGATATTCTCTGCCTCTTTGAGGGACTTCTTAGACCAAATGGCATCTTGTGCATTCGTCACAAGCGTGATGAGAAACTCGATACGCGCTGCCGTTGCCTTGATCTCTCTGACGTAACTTTCGATATCGGCGAGTTTCTGATCAATTGATTTGCGATTGTGATACTTCTCTTCGTCGCTGCGAGCCCAGCGCGGCCGTCCTCGTCCCCGTGCACTCTCCCGATAGTTCCACCGTACGATCAATCCCTGGAGGCTGATGATATTGTTTTTTTCAAGGCAACCAGCAATTGGAAGCACTTGAGATGTTCATCCGGATTGCGAGCTTCAAAACTGTCCTTCGAAAAAATACTTTCAATCAGGTCTGATGTGCGATTGAACAACTTTTAACTCAAGGACCTTGCGCTGTTGCCAGTGTTTACCCTGGTGGTAGTTTCCATCGGATGGGAAATATTCCGTGTTAAAAGAGGTCTGAACGATATGGCACGTCCAGTACCGGTCAAAGGAATCCCTCACGATCCTACTGGGCATTTGTTTATAAAATCCCGAAAGCCTATGGGTATCGTCCACATTAAAACCCGAGTTCTATGGACGAAGAAGCGCTAGGCAGATAACCAGACGGTTTCCATCGTCGGGATGCAACATTGATGAATAATCGACACTAGTCCCGTTTGGACCTCGGTTCATTCGAGGCTTACATTTACCCGTGCTGGATCTGCCTTCCTTTCCCCGCATATCTCCTTTGTTTCTTGTCTCAGGCTTGCCAAGATTGGGAGTAAAAAGGGCCCATTTTCACCTCATTTATTTCATGTGTGGATCTATTGCGATTACAAGTAAACTGTCAGTGCCCTCGCTAATCAATCTAGACGATTCTATTAGTTTTACTCTGTTGCCTCGACTAGACTACGTCACTTTTCTTTGTTGCCTAGCACGTTCGGGGCTCTAGATAAGTGTATTGGGGGCTGAGGAACGCCTCATACATAAACTAGCTGCGCCCTATTCTTCGACATCATTTCGTTGTTTTATACTTTTGTACCATTGGTTTCACGAACGGACTGAAGTCAGGCAATTCTTCAATCATGTCCGGGCTTGTGGTTCGTGGGGGCATGTCGAATGACTCCTACTCGCCAGTCAATCAGACCAGCCTCAAATCTTTTGGCCCTGTTACTTCCGCCGGCTTCGACTTCACGCCACTTTTTGAAGACACGATCCTCTCGTTGCTGCCGTCGGCACTTCTCTTGCTATGCCTGCCATATCGCGTAATAAGCCTCTATACCCAACGGCCAAAAGTGTCTCCCGGGGGCTTTGTGCGCGAAAGCAAATTAATTTTCTTGGTCATGTTTGCCGCAATCCACCTGTCGTTGCTGATTCTACATATTCTGAACTCATCGCTACGCACGATTGCTACGATTCCCGCGTCGGCACTGGCATTCCTTGCCAGTCTGGGTCTCTGTCTGCTTTCGCGGCTTGAGCATTCTCGTTCTATTCGTCCATCACCCATCATCAATGGCTATATCCTTCTCACTTTGGTCTTTGATATTGCTCGCACGCGAACAATGTTCCATGATACAAACAGCAGATTCATCGCTGGAATATTTTCCAGCATGATTGGCGTAAAGGTGATGGTTCTACTTGCCGAAGCAGTCGAAAAGCGCCATATTCTCTTGGAGCCATATCGTGACTTATCGCCAGAAGAAACAAGCGGCATTTACAGCAGATCGTTCTTCTTCTGGCTGAATCAACTCATGACATCTGGATTCCACCGTGTTCTTCAAAACGACGACTTGTACCCGATCGATAGTGATATGTCTTCCCTGGCACTCCAACAGCGAATGAAGAATGCGTGGAGTGCCGCGACACACAACAAACGAAGAGCTCTTTTCTGGGCAGTGTTACGCGCAAATTTGAGGCCACTATCTTATTGCGTCATCCCACGTCTTTTACAGATCGGCTTTAAATATACGCAGCCTTTCCTGCTCGCGCGGACGATTTCGTTCGCAAATGATGAGTCCCAGCCAGATAGCATTGGTTGGGGTCTCACGGGTGCATTTTTCATAGTTCTTCTTGGTATCGCAGTCTCAAATGGCGTTTCCTACCATATGGCATTTCGCTTCGTGACGAGCACCCGTGGCAATTTGGTCAGCCTTATCTACTCCAAAACGGTCGACCTCAGCGTCACGGCACTTAATGAGTCAGTTGCGGTGACTCTGATGTCCAGTGATGTCCAAACCATATGTGACGGCTTCGAGTTGATCAATGATCTCTGGGGAGTACCTATTGAACTAGCCATTGCCCTTTATCTATTGACTCGCCAACTTGGCATTGCGACGCTCGTCCCAGCCATTCTCTCATTGGTATCTACTGTTTCTATCATGTCCATGGCAAAGTTCATGGGGCACGCCCAGAAAATATGGATGGAGGGCATCCAGACACGAGTTGATGTTACGGCATCCATGTTAGGGTCTATGAAGTCCGTGAAAATGCTCGGCTTCACTGACTGGCTCGCGGGCATTGTCCAAGGGCTCAGAGTAAAGGAGCTTAAGGAGGCAGAGCTCTTCCGGAAGTTGCTTATCCTGCGTGTCTTCCTTGCAAACATCCTCAGTACTCTGGCTCCATTTGTGACATTTGCTATCTTCGCAACTATCTCAGGGAGAGGGCATTCTCTAAATGTGAATTCGGCTTACACAACCTTATCGCTTATTTCGCTGCTTGCTTTACCGGTTAACAACTTTATCCGAGCCATCCCTGCTATGAACACCGCTTTGGCGTCTCTCAACCGCATTCAGGAATTTCTACAGTCAGAGGCCAGACGCGATCATCGCATCTTTCTGGAAGATTCTCCAGCCTCAACACAACAGAGTCGGTCAAGCTCGGAAGGAACAGAGCTATCCAATCTCAATCCCTTGAGACACAAGTCATTATCGGAAGTCATTGTCGCCCGCGATGTGAGCTTCGCATGGAGCCATCATGCAATTTTCTCGGTCCACGATATCAATTTGAGTATTCAGAAAGGTCAATTTTGTCTCATAATTGGTCCTACGGGCTGTGGCAAAAGCACCCTCATGAAAGGGATTCTAGGTGAAACACCATCAACAAAAGGCTTTCTGTACACAAAATGCCGAGAGACAGCATTCGTGGATCAGACACCTTGGATCCGCAACACGTCATTCAGGGATAATGTTTTGGGTATCTCAAATTACAGCAAAGCATGGTATGACGAGGTCGTTAGCGCTTGTGGCTTGGATCAAGATGTTGCAAATCTCCCAAATGGCCATTGTGAGTTTCTATTTCCTAAACGGTCGATCCTATTGCTAATCCTTGCTTCACCTTTCTAGCGACCAAAGTTGGTTCCTCTGGAATTTCTCTGTCGGGAGGACAAAAGCAGCGGCTGGCCCTGGCTCGCGCTGTCTATGCCCGCAAAGATGTTGTCATGCTGGATGATATTTTTTCGGGCCTTGACGCCGACACTGAAGAGCATGTCTTCAAATGCCTTTTTGCGAGAGGGGGATTGTTTCGCCGACTGGGCACGATTGTGCTACTAGCTACACATGCCGTGCACAGACTCTCTTATGCGGATCATATCGTCGCCATGGGAAGCGATGGCTCCGTTGTTGAGCAAGGCACCTTGGAGGAGCTCAAGGCTGGCGGTGGCTACGTCACACTCTTGAAAGCACAGTATAAAGACCAAGCCAGTGACGAAATAAACCCCCAACAGCAAAGGGATACGAAAGTCGCACTCGCTGACTCTGACCAAGGAAACGGCATTGACACCGTGGAAGAAGATTTGGCCAGGCAAAATGGGGATTTTGCTCTCTACTTATATTACTTTGGTTCTGTGCACTGGGCATCCAGTGCTTTTTGGATGACTCTCTTTTCACTTCAAGGAGTGTCATCAAAGTTGAGCGAATTACTCGTCAACATATGGGTGAGCTCTTTGGAAAAGAATGGCAATGCTGTCAACTCCTTCTACCTAGGACTCTACGCCTTGCTGTCCATCATAACGACCATCACGCTTGTGGGCGGAGCCTATCATTACTTCTTGTATTTTTCACCTCGAAGTGCTGAAAGCCTGCACGAGCGTCTTCTCAAATCGGTTATGCATGCGCCCTTGTCATTTTTTACTTCGGTTGATACTGGCACTACTACGAACAGGTATGTATACTCCGTTCAAGATTTGCTCCTATTTAAACAATAAGGGATTGTCTGACCACCATATATGATCAGGTTCAGCCAAGATATGACCTTGATTGATCATGATTTGCCATACTCTGTAATCGACCTTGTACTTTCGCTTTCGAGCGGATTCATGTCTGCAATTCTGATGTGTATATCGGCGCGATATTTCGCCGCTGTCATGCCGCCTGTCTTCCTTTTTATGTGGATGTTGCAGAAATTTTACCTGCGTACATCACGCCAAATGCGACTGCTTGACCTCGAGGCCAAGTCACCGCTGTTTTCTCAATTTATTGAGAGCCTTTCGGGCCTAGTGACAATCCGTGCCTTCGGCTGGGCGTCTGAGTTCGAAGACCAGAATCTGGCGCTACTTGACGCATCGCAGAAACCATTTTATTTGCTTTTCTGTATTCAACGATGGCTCGAACTAGCACTGGATTTGTCTGTGGCTGGTCTCGGTGCTATCCTGATGGTCCTCATTGTCAAGTTGCGAAGCGAGGTTGGCGCGGGATATGTCGGTCTCGCCATTCTCAACGTCATCACATTTAGCCAGTCGCTTTCGCAAATACTTCGCAACTGGGCCAATTTAGAGACTTCCATTGGTGCTATCGCTCGTATTAGAGACTTTGTCACCCATACCGCCTCTGAAAACAAACCAGACGAAAACGAGGGTCGCAAAGCGACAGATCTTGGGTTGTCCTCCTGGCCATCTAAGGGTGCAATCGAGTTTCAGAACGTCTATGCATCTTACAAGGCAGGCGGCGATCAGGCGCACGTCCTCCGCAACTTGAGCCTGTCTGTTCAGCCCGGTCAGAAAATCGGAATCTGCGGCCGCAGTGGCAGTGGCAAAAGCTCGCTTCTGGCTACCCTGTTCCGAATGCTGGAAGTTGAGTCACAGAGTCGCATTATGATTGACGGCGTGGATATCACACACATCCCGCGTCAAATTACCCGTGCAGCTCTTAACGCCATTCCACAAGAACCCTTTTTCACGCACGGTACTGTGAGTGCCAATATAGACCCTTCTGGTACGAACATTCCCGAAGAAATGGAGCAGGCTCTTCGTCGTGTTGAGCTGTGGGACGTTGTTGAGGCCAAAGGCGGATTGATCGCGGCTCTGGATGCCGAATTTTTCTCTCACGGTCAAAGACAACTCTTTTGTCTTGCCCGAGCCCTGTTGCGCAAAAGTAAGATCGTGGTGCTTGATGAAGTGACCAGCAATGTGGATGTTGTTTCCGACGCATTGATGCAACGGGTTATTCGTGAAGAGTTTGAAGACTGCACGATCTTGGCCGTTGCTCATCGGCTCGATACAATCATTGATTTTGACCGCATAGCAGTCATGCAGGATGGCGAGTTAATTGAGTTTGATACGCCAGAGGCACTTCTCAAAACAGATAGTGCGTTCAAGGAGCTTTACGAATCATGATTTGGAAGTTGAGCGGTCACTTGAGAGATGATCATGAGTCAGTCGTCATACATAGAATCAAGATAGAGTCGAGAATGCACTATCTCAACGTAAAAAATGACGTTGGACTTGTGGCAGCAGTATATCTATATACCATGTATGCCGGGGTGATGCTTTCCTGGTTTCTGGAGCACTTCGGGGTCTGGAGGTCTCGTAGGCCTTGCGGCTTGATAGGTCTCATATGGTTTACTCAAAAAATATTTGTGATATATAATGAGGGTCCGCTTGTACAGAGCCTGAACACATTGATTGAATACATACCCATTCCACGATATCCACCTTGAAGCTTTAGAATTATTCTTTCTATTCCACAACGATTTACAGCACTCTATTCCACCGCATGTAGCATTTAGATAGAAGGGAAAAAATAAGGTAAACCTTGGAACATCTCTATACCCAGGGAGGCAACGCTCATGTTGGTCATCATATCCACAATATATCACCTGCTCCTATGCATGGATCTAAACGCATCAACGATTAAAATTAAAACAAATTTTCACATCCCAGACAATGTATCGACGCTGGACCGCCATGAAACAGAACCGAACAAAACCCAGGGCACAGACCCTCAAAATGGACCGACCATTCAAACAACCTTGGAATGCGAATAAACAAAACCAACTTGGTTATAGACACACAATATAAACAGGAGAAAAGATAAAAAAATAAAAACCCGAAACTATCGCTGGGTGCTATCAAAGAATTAGAATTAAAACACGCTCATATGGACTGGCCGGGGGCCTAAAACAAATGACAAGCAAATCCAATTCCGGGATTTCTGAATGGACGGAAAAGAGAAGGCCAGCCCAGGCTGGATGAGACTCGCAGAGTTGATCTTTTTATGGTCCTGCCTTATTGCTGCATGTAGCCGGCATAGTTGAAGGATGGGTTGCCGAACTTGCTTCGCAGGGATTCGATGGTTTGCGGATTCTGCTGCATGTCTTGGGCGGTGGTGCCGGACTCGGAGGGGGCAAAGGAAGTGGGCAGGCTTAGGGTTGACACGTTGTTGGCTTGGGGGTAGGGTATTGAGGAGGTTCCGTAGGGATAGGGGCGGTATTCTTGGGATGCGGAGACGGGGAGACTTTGCAGGGTGGACATCGGTTGCCTGTGCTGGGGGATCTGCGCGCCCATCCCTAATCCGCTGAAGTCTTTCTGTGTTGATAGGGCGAGTTGTGGCTGGTAACTTTGGGGCTGAGTGCCTGGATGGGATTGATCTGTTAGGGTGTGTTCTGTGTGTCCTGTAGGAAGGAACTAACCAAGATTGCTCATTTCGTAGGAAATGTGTGCTCCCTGTGAGTCTGTTGGTGACACTGATCCTTCGAATGTCTGATGCTGGTCGTATGCTGGCACCATTGCGCCGGGGTGAACCCCATACGGCTGCCGCCCATAGGGTAGACCGGACGGAGTAGGAGGGCCGTATCGACTGGGGAGTTGCATTCCCATGTGATATGATGACGGCTGCGTAGACGACTCGGACATACTGCTGGATCTGGTGATGGAGTAGTCGCCCCGGAAGGTTCTGTGCAGATCGGACATAGAAGCAGATGCAGCGGGTCGGCCAAACACCATGTTCGACTGTGGCACCCCTTCGCTTCGTCCCTGTCCAGCAGAAGACATGTAAGTTCCTGCGGTCGACGCAGAGCTAAGGGGCGAGACAAGGTAATCGTCTTCATGTGGACGCTGGTAGCAGTCGGTGCGAAGTCCTCTCAAAGCCGCGAAATTGGAATTTGGAGCGCCATAGTCTTGTGGCGACGGAATAGGTGTCTGACCAGTGGACCGGCTATCAAACGGCGTTCTCAACACTTTCGTCGTATCGAAGTCATCCGGAAGCGCCCTCGACTTTAGCATTCTCTCACGATCGTTCGTAGTCAGCCGCTTCAACTTCGCCCGTCTGCGAGAGTCAGCGTTAGGATAGAATGCTCTGGTGAGTGGAAGACAGTCGAGCCCTACCTGTTCTGGAACCACACTTGGACTTGCCGTGGCGTCAACCCAGGAATCTCCCGCGACAGACGTTCTCGGTGAGCGGCATCAGGATGAGCCTGGCGAGTGAACTCGCTCATCAGGAAACGGGTTTGGTTATGTGTCAACCTGGAAACCGAGTCAGCACGCCATCCAGCACCTCGAGGCACAACCGACGGGTCTTGTAGAAGTGCCTACCGAAATCGCTTCATCTTCTTCTTCTCCAGCGATGGCGAGGTTTGGCTGTCATCGGGATCCGCCGTTCCTTCTCTCTCGTCCGTCGGACTAACGGTTGACTCGTCGTCATGGTCCTCCTTGTCGTCAAGGGTCATCGAAGCATTTGTCGACTCTCCAGGGTGACCGGCACCGACGTAGGGCCACGACATTGCATAGTTTGCACTGTTACCACCCGGAATCTCCAGCTTGATCCGGGGAAGCATATCGTTCCTCTCGGTCCCAGGCCGCTGATGGGAGATCTCTCCCCCAGAATACGGACCGGGTCCAGCCGTGCTCCCAGGCACCGGGGTGGTCAAGGCATTCTCAGCCTTCACACCGGGTCGTTGCATGTCGGATGACAATCCGATCGAGGCCCCCATAGAAGCACCAGGCTCTCTTTCCCTCGACAGTGGCATTAGCGGCGAGACAGTTCTCGGCGCCGAAGAAACCCGCTCTCCGTGACGAGCAACCGCGGACAAATGGGACAGGCCTGCGGACAGAGGCGACGAGACCGGCGAAGATAAAGATGACACCCAGAGACACGGACCCTCGATTGACATGGTAAATCTCCCGCCTATGTTTCTTACAGAGGTAGAGAATACCGCAGGATTCGAGTCCCTCGTCCGACAGATATGGTCGAACTCGACGAAGACTCAAACGCACCGAACCCAGAACACCGATGACACGAAACGAGGAAGGGAAAAAAATGAAAAGGGACAAAAGAACTAAAAGCGCCGTCTTCCCCGAGATGAAAAGAGACGGGAGGTGGGTCTGATCGAAGTGCCGGGGCGCTTGCGCAGCAATTTCAGGGTTCCTTCAATTAAACGGAGTAAAGGGTGAAGTCAAATCAAACGTGCAGCCCTTCGGTACATGAAGGGAGGGGGGGCTTTGTGTATTTCAGTAGGCGCCGGGAACTTTGAGAGATGATGCCGGTGTGCAGGGAAGTGCGTTTCCGCCACTGAACCACTGGACCAGGCTCACGATACGTCCAAGGGATCTCAGATCGCACTTGTCGAGCCCTTTGAAGATCCTTACGCAGCTCGGCAGTAGCAATGGCCAGAGCATCCACTCACGAGTGGTACCTGGGTGTAAAGGGTCGAAGGTAAAAAGCCGGTAACATGGGTAGCTGGTCGACGGGATTAACTGGGTTAAACGGCCCAGCGAGGATCGGCCGGAGATCTCCTTGGGACGACCCAAGCGATGTGTGGAAATAAACGGGTCGAAATATTAAAACGGACGCCCGCAATTGCCCACAGGTCCACAGTCTATACCTGGCCACAATCCTAGGACCTGGGACTACCAACGTCTTTATCCACTTGGCTACTCTTGGTTACTTAGCTTCTGACTAGCACTGAGACAGGAATGATGTGCATGTGTGGTTGGTCCGTTCGTGGCGATCTCTGCAACGGTCAAAACGGTCAAAGTCAAGAGATGACCACCACCGGGACCAAACCCTGTGGCTTTTTCTTCCAGAGGCTGTAACGGTAAGAAGGTGGGCCAGAATCAGGAAAGGAGAAAGGGCAGAGAATATGCGTAAGAACTGTCAGGACAGGTTGAACCATTGCATTCGGCTCGGCGGCAATGATCAGCAACAAAAGCCCACGATCCTCGAGTGATGCCCCACGCGGGAAAGTCCATAGATGTAACCCCGGGCTCTAAAACGCAAGTTACGAAGGCAAGTATCAGAAACCTAGATCTCCCAGAAAGGATTGTAGCCTCACATCTGGTGCCCACACTCGTTACAAAACGGAAGGTTTTCCACTTTGCTGGACTGTGAAACTTCACGGAGAAGAGGAGTGTCGCATAGTACTACTAGATACGTTCCAGTATAAGCAGAATGCTTGACCTGGAGTACCCATCCCGTGTACCGAGGAACAGGGTGCTCACCATCCCAGGTATGGCCACGCCCAGTGCAGCCAATGCAGAGGGAACAAGCCCATATCCACAACGCGTCTGTAGCGAATGACGGTTCTGCCCGAGCTGAGAAAAACAAAGCCTGGTGGGAACGGACTAAGACTAGAATCCTCAGACCAGGAGGACCCAGACAAGCTCTGGAATACAGAGACTTGGGTCCTACTAGGCGGCTGGAGCCACCGAGCCCGGTATCAGGGCTCCACCGGACTCCAGAGCCAGATGTGGTGACATGGTCTCTGCCTTGATGGGCTCTTGGTTAGAAAAATTTCCGACGTGGACCTAGTGGCTGATTTGTATGGTCCGTGAGATGAGCGTGGCTGCAAAACTATCGGGCATGGACCACCGACAAGGGCCATGAGACCCTTGCTTTCCTCACCGGTTCGCTTGTTCCTTTGCTTTTTAATTATTCCTTCAGACTTTTTTTGTTTTTGCTTTTTTTCTTCTATTGACCATGTGGAAGGGAAGACCGGCTGAGCTAGCGGCTCGCTGGCTCCATTGGCGGTCGGCCTAAAGCTGCCGGACCCTCGGGGCCATTTGACGGCCTAGGAGCAGCCACTCAGCGCGCTGCCCGCCACATTTCCGCGCCAAATAGAGTGAGGATTGCGAGGTTGGATGGAGTCGGGGTGGAGATTTTGTACCAATGGAGTGGTTAGAGGCGGGAATAAATAAAAAACCAGAAGAAAGTAATTAGAGCAACCCCGCGATTATCCATGGACACTCTGTCTAGAATGGAATATGGAAAAGCTCATTGGTCTTTGCGAGGCCCTGAAACTCGACGGCAGGCACCGGCTACGCGGTCCTAGCAGGAACGGTGGGAAAACCTGGACTCCTGGTTCAGCACGCGAATTGCCTCCGCCACAGCCGTCAGTCACTTCTATACTTTTTTCTACACTTTTTGGGTTTCTTTTCATCTTTCGTGTGTGGTTGATCTTGTTTATTTTAAATCCGTTAGTTCGTTTACTCCTAGGAATCTTACTCTCAGGAACCTGCAAAGCCGTAGAGCGGTCTCTGAGCAAGTGCACGCTAAGCAAGGGCTCGGGTCTACCGTGGCTCCGCCGCTGTGTCAGGGTTCCAGGGCTCTCCACCGAGAGAGGGGAGCTCCTGGTCCAATCTCCACATCAGCCATGAAACGTTCCAAGTCGCAGCTGGAAATGAAAGAAATTACCCTGTGCCTTCCTGATCTCGTGATCTATAGAACCTGACTGGTGACAATGAAAATTAGAGTACCTGGATAAATGGTGGACCGTGTCCTCGTCGACTCTTCTGGACTCTCCTTTGATTACCACCAGGACTGATGACCATTGACTATGAGATAGCGGAGATATAATCCAGCTCAGATCGAGTAGAAAACTGGCTGACGGCCCATCGGCCATTGCACACATGATTCCGATGAGCGGAGGCCCCTAAACCCATCAGGGCAATGGTCGACACTGTGATCTTTTCGCTGATTATTCCCAACGTTCACGCAACAACAGTCAATAGTCGGTGGGGCATAATATGTAGGACCACCTTGGCACAGTTCCTGATCCTACCAGCGTGGAGACTGGGGCCCGTTTTTGCCATCGCATCGCACGGCTTTCTCGGAAGGGAGAAAACTCGGGGCCGTTAGAGATGATCCCGAATCATCTCGCGCAGACTAGTCCTCCTCTACGGCCGAAACCCTTGCTGATCATCTCCTAGCCCGTTTAGCCCTTCGATCTTCCTTGGGGCCCGGTGCCTCCGGGGGCGGGAAGTCTGTTTTCGATCTGTTTGTGGTCTTCCGTGATGGGGCCAGGACGGGAAGCTGCGCTGTTTGAGCTGGTTCTGGAGGATTGTCGACGGTGCCTCGGTTTGACTTCCGTCCTGTGCAGGCGTGTCAACCTTGTGTGTTTGGAGCATTCTGGAACTAGTCCTGCGGGGAATACGATCGAGAGCGCGATCGCACCCGGAAGGATAACTGTGCGCAACTTTAATTTCGGCGTCCTGTGCCAAGCACCGGTCGCGGACTCCCTTGAATTTCCCGGACGCACGTCGTCATCGTGCTGCAAGTTCAACGATCGAGGGGGAAAAGGTGACGCAAGCCGATCGCTTGGCCCCTCTTGGATCGTGCACTCCGGCTATTTGGGCCGAATGGTCAGCGCAGATCCAACCGTACAGTTCAGTCGCTAGCTGGTTGAGCTGCACTGAGCTCCTTTTACCTACATGGGTATGTCGGCGGCTGCAGACGCTCGGTTCAAGCCACACTTCGGTCATCCGGTGTTCAGAGCGGGTCAATTCCAGGTTGAAACTCAGTCTGACAGCGACGGCCCTGTTGTTTCCACGGATCGCACGATACTGCTGATTTGGGAATGGCGTGAAAATTATCTCTCTAACGCCGCGATCTATTGAACTTGGCCGTTTGTAGTTCCAAGACACACTTGGCAAGTGCTCAGATCGGAGTCCATACAGAAGGGAAATACTCCTTCCGCGTCCTGTATAGCGTCGACTTCGTGCTCCACAAGTGGATTTCGCAGCTTTCCGACTTTGGGCGTTCATTGCTGACGCCTCTCTGCGATCAGTGCGTCGGCCTTCGAGAACAATCTCTCCTGCGAACGGCCCCGTGACCCGGTACCACCTACCACGCGGACCGTTATTGTCTTGAATAGCTGCAAGGTACCGGGGGCCATCGTGTCCACCACGCTTAATTCACTAAACTTCCCTAACTAGTTCAAATTCTCCGACACCGATGCCTCCCCTAACTCTTCTTAGCCCCCCCGTTGCGGCGAGAAAGTGAAACATGGCTGCGACGGTTCGCCCGCCCTGCAATCTGGGCATTGACTCGGATTTCCAGGGGTCGTGGAAATATTCCGTCTCCTCTAGGCAGAATTATTATTAAAAAAAAAAAAGAGAAAATATTGCCAAAAAAAAACAAAAATAAAAAAAACAAAGCCTTTGTTGACATTTCATGCAGGAACACCACTCAACATCAATAGAGTTGCCGGTCGGTTAGAAAAGAACTCCCTTTCTGCAGGTGGGTAGCTCAAACTCATGACTTCGCTTACGAAGATTATGGTCCTGCCCCTTCGGTTACAGGTGCTGTCCTACCTTCCTTTACAGCCTCGGTGAGCCCCAGATCAAAGACACGCGGGAGCTAAATGCTACCGTGTTCATGTCCGGCCCTGATCGACACGAAGAAGGTTCTGTAGTCTGGTTCAGTGGGCCTGGATGTGAACATCACTGGCAACATAGGAAGGAGGTACACGATGCAACATAGGAAGGAGGTACTCGATGCAACAAAGCCTTGACGCGCCGTGGAAGACAGGAGGTGAGGTTTTGAGTTGCAGCGGTGTTTGAAACCATGCGAACCGGAAAGATCATCCAGATCACGATCGTATCCCATCGTGATACTCGATGCACTAGGAATTGCCCGCAAGCGAACCAGTTCCTTGGACTGTGGCTTGTGGCTTATGGCTGAGCTACCTTGGTAAATTCTTTTGGCGTGGTATTAGTTTCTCATTCGCGTCTAGCTCGATAAATACAATGGAGATGCTACCAGATCCAGTCTGCTAGTTCAACAGGGGCTAGGGCGCATGCGTCCTAGAAAGAATAGAGGTTGATGGGAGAGGTACCCTGCCCGCTGAATGATACCCGTTGCGGATATTCCTCCGCAGTCCCCAGGAAAGGGGTCAAAGCCTAAAGCATCCTGCGCCATACCGTCAGGTTAAGACTCTTCTCTGGTGTTATCTCCGGTTTCCACACCGGACCCAACGCCGGGATCTTGCTCGTTCATCGGCTTCTCGGCTGGGGTGGCGCTTTCTTGTTGATGGGTATCATCGGTGACGTGATTTTCAGTAGGGGTTAGGGTATCTTGTGCTGCTTCCTCTTCGCCGCTTTCTTTGCCCGACGCCTCGGGGTTTTCTTGGGTGGTTTCTTCGCCTTCGGGCTGTGGAGTCTCTCCGGGTGGCGCTGGGGCTTCGAAGAGGATGTTTAGGTTGTTGCCATCATCGATCTTGTCAAATGCGGCCATCTTTGTTTTCGCGGCCAAACGGAGGATACGCCAGGTTTTACTGTACTTGGCGCTGAGCGCGGCATCCTTGTCCTCCGAGGTCTGTGCCATGTCGATGTCCATTTCGTCATCGAGGATGCCCCCCAACAACGATTTCGAATCGGGAACGGCAAATCGATCGGACTCCTTGAGACGCTCGATATTTGCCAATGCCTCGCTATCGGATAGAAATTTGAAATCCAGTGCTCCCATTGGGGAGGCACGAATGCGTTTGTCGGCATAGATTTTGACTGCATTGTCGCGTGCAGCCACGTAATCCGTCACGGAAATGGCTGGCTTCTCAATTGGTGGACAGCCCTCGGCTTTCCACCGCACCCAGTTCTTGTCCCTTGACAGAACGGTGTCGACCATACGATAGTAGAACATCCCTCCGGGTCCGTCTCGAAGGTACCCTTCGATTTGTCTCCGGATATTCGATGCCCATTTCGCATCCTCCTCACTCAAGACGAACCCGTAGAGCACGGACTTGTTCGTCAGGTTGGCCTGCCGTTTCTTGGCTTGGGGCGCGAGAGAGAGCATAAAGTCCAGAAGAATAAGAGCCTGCACCAAAACATGCCTGCGGAATGCCGTATCGCTGACCTCCAGATCAAAGAGATCGCGACTAGTAAGATACTTCGGGTTGAAGTTGCTACTGACTTCAGGCCCATCGGCTACGCGCTTCCGCTTATTGGATTTGCGCGCGTCTTCTGACGACCGTCCGCCACCCTGACTGTCAAGTTCGGTGTTGATATTATTGAAAGCGGACAATGTTGCCTCAAGGCCGGCCTTGAATGATGCCAAACGGTCGGGGTCGAAAATCTTGCTCGGGGCAGAGAAGTAGGCTTGTAGACTCCAAAAGACAGGGTACAGAACATCGAGGTCAACAGGTTCCTTCGATTCCTTCGATCTCCTCTTTTTGTCGTCAAAAACAACAACTTTCGGGACCTGCGACTTTTCCTCGGCTCCTGTGCCACGACTATCGGGTCGGCTTGTACCACCTGCATGGCTTTCTGTCGGCGTAGAGTCGTCGCCCTCTGTCATTGTGATATCCTCCTCATTGGTATCGGGTATGGGCTTAACGATGTCGTCGTAGGTGGTGATATTCTCAGTATGGAATTCGCCGCGAAGATTGACTGAACTCTTGTCTCCGAGTGGGAAGCTCTGGAAGAGGAAGATGAAAACACGTCCGCAAAATACGGTATCTTCTGCACGGGAGAGACGGCGAAGGAGCTCGTTACATGATCTCAGGATGATAAGGCTTTTCTGTTTGAAGTGTTTCTTTATGGGGTCAGTCCAAGGGCGCACGCTATGAAGCCATGAAGAAGCGTTGCGAACCTTGATGTTCCGTTCTCGGCGCGATTCCAAATAGTCAAACACCTTGCGGCAGCCATTGATGGTTTGACTATCAAGTAGTTCCTCGATAAGCCAGAAGATCAGACCAGGTTCGCATTGTTCTAGCAATCGTTAGAGAACATCATAGTCTGAATTCAGCGTGCGACGAACCGTTATCGGAGAAAATGGAGACGATGTCGAGGAGATTCCAGATATGGATGAAGGCAGGGTCTTCGATGGAGGTAGTGGCCTGTTTCGACGTCGATTGTTAGCAGTCACGTCCAATCGTCATGGCTCAAGGTGAGTTAAGACGTAAGCGCGCCATACCAAGAGGTGATAGAACTTCTCGCGAAAAGCAATTTCCACTGCAGCAAGCTGTGTCTGCTGGTTCAACTGCCTCACAACCCCCTTTTCCTGCTCCGGGACCTGCCAGATCCGATCGCCGAGAAGCCCTTCGCTCAGTGGGGGTTCGATCTGCTCGGCCTTGACCTGCGTCGCACGGTTCAAAAGACCCTCGACCAGGCCATTGTAAACTCGAACCGCCTCAAGTTCCACGCTTGCCATCTTCGACCAAAGTGAGTCTAGTGACAGCTGTGGCGGGGACGAGAGGAAAACACGGCGAGGTGGTGCCTACTCAGGCATTCAGGCACTCAGGCACTCAGGCACTCAGGCACTCGGCAATATCTCCTGGCTTCGCTCTACATGGATGACGATGGATGATGACAAGAAGCCGAGCGTACAAGCTGTCTAGAAATTTCACTTACCCACCTTCTATCTCATAGGCATTTCCGCTCGGCATTACTATTGGTATTTCACTCTCTGTGCTCCTGGACAGACTAGTAAAATCTTTCTAACCAACAACATATCAACAACTTCAACGTCTATCATGGCTGAAGAGGGTCTTTCTGCGATCATGGCTGAAGAGGGCCTGCCTGCTACAACGCCAAGGTTCCAGTATAAAGGCGTAGAGCAATGTCTCAGGAACTTTCAGCTTGAGGAAGAGCATCATGACGAGGCAGGCAACCCCGGGGGGTACGTTATTGTTTACAACGTGGATGAGCGTTCCTTCCTCGAGTGTTTTGTGAATTCTGGAGAAAGCATCCTCCTACACGCGTGGAAGACCTACAACTTCACTTCTCACACTGTTATCCTCAAAATGGCAAGCAAAAGCCATGAGGTGGCCATCTCGTCTTTTTCTTACACCGTCGACTCTTGGTCTCGTCATGCACAGACGCTAGTTCTTACGACCCTGGGGGCACAGGTTCAGGGCCTAACGAGGAACAAGCGCCCAGATTGTTCCTGGGTGCCAGCACCGGCACTAGGTGGGCAAAATCTGAAGTGGCCCCCAACCATTCTCGAAATTGGATGGACCGAGACCAGAGCCAAGTTAGAACAAGATATGAAGTTCTGGCTTCAGGAGTCCAACGGCGCCGTGAAAGTGGCGCTCTCAATGAAAATCGAACGAGTCCAACACGGAGCAAGTGTTACGATCCAGCAATGGGCTTTACGAGGAACCCGACAACGGCAATCACCCAAGCCCGTGCAAACGTTGAAGATCGTTCGAGATCCAGCGGGTCGTGACCAGATATCGGGCTCGCTGATTATCCGGTTCAAAGATGTATTCGGTCGCCCAAAGCGTGGAAATGAGACAGATTTCAGGCTGTCCCATAAGGATATGAAGGAAATCGGAGAAAGGATCTGGAGTCTGCAGTTCGCCGGGGCTCAGGTTTCGGCGGCTCAGGGTTCCTCAGCCGCGGGCCCCTCCTATTATTCCTATTATTTTCTTCTCTTGCTCGTTTTCTGTCCTTCTCCTTTTTCTTCTTTTCCCCTTTTCTATATTTTTTCTCTTTTTGTTGTTCTCTTTCTCTCTTTCTCTTGTTCTTTTTTTCTTTCTTTTTAGTTCCGCATTCAAAGTAGTGACCTCCAACGTGTGGAAACGAAACGGAGTACATAATTGATTATCCTTCCCGGAGAGGGCGGCTGAATACTATCTACTGTTTGCTTAAATAAGGCTTCTAACCGTACGGAAAGCGAAATATAGTATATTCGTCCTCCGGGTGGCCCTGGGGACCACAAGCACCTAGCTGTAAGGTCACGGGACCACAAGATAAGAGGGAGCCAAGACTTTTTGAAAAAGCTCCCCCCAGCTTCGGCTTCGATGGTCGATTGCGACATTACCCTTCCGATCCTCCCGCTCACCCCTCATCTATTTGGATAAGGGTCAATCAACTGCGGCGATGGCGCAGAGTCTGGAGTCCAGGCCGACGGTCGTGGATTTCCGCGAGGACAGCCAGTGGGTGAAACTGGCCAAGGCGCACTGGTTAGACACCAAGGTGCGCAAAGTCAAACCAGATGTGATCAAGAAGCAATTGTGGGATCCGCTGGAAGCCGAGGGCTTTACCAGTCGCTCACTCTTGATCTTGGAGAATTTGAATGTTCTGGAGAAGTCAGTTACCTGCACTCGATGATTCTTATTACCGCAGGGCTAACGCGCGATCCAAGGTATCTTTGGCCGGCATACACGCAGGATGCTTCGAATCACCATATTCTCTTAATCGCTCTGATTGTCAGCGTCAAGTATCGCGAGCACTTGCCGATATGGGGTGAGTGAATATGATAGGAGTTTGGTTGAGACAGCGACTGACAATGAATGCAGACATTTTCTCCGACCGCGGCGACGATTTCTCAAGCTTGTTCCACCGTACCCTCTCGATGAGTATTGATCCTTCATTGTCGACCCATTCACGAATGTCCATTATCTCGTTCATCATCAGTGCCTTCCAATCGCTCGAGAACGTCCTGATTCGCCAGCAATGCGCCCCGCTCGTCGCTATCTCTATCTGGCACAACCTGGTCAGCGATGAAGCCAGAGAACACATCATTGCGAAGTCGCCTACACTGAAAAAGGCTTGGAGAGCTGCCGGCAAGCGCTACGATGCCGGAGACGAACCTACGAAGGCGAAGCTGCGATTTGAACGGTCCTGGCTGTATACGATGCTGTTGGATTTCCTGCAGAAGTTAAATGGCGTGGAGAAGGATCAAAAGGAGAATTTGCTCTACTGCGAGCGATTCATGGAGCTTCTGGTAGACCTATTGAGTCAATTGCCGACCCGTCGTTATGTCAACACGCTGCTGAAGGACCTCAATTTGCTCCCCATCATTCGGCTTTCGCAATCATACCGCACGCCCGACAATGCGCTCTTCCGCGACCTGTATAGCCTTCTTAAGCATTTCATGGACTTTGCCATTGATGACTACTCTGGCGAGGCACTTTCGCCTCAGACAGTCTACGATTTGCACAACCAGGAACTAGCGCGCCTACAGAGAACCGCCATGAGATCTTTCAAGGAAAAGCTTATGATTCTTGCCCTGTCAAACCTGGGGTCGATCGAGCAGCGCTCGGAACTGGAGAGCCAGTTGTCATCCCTGGATGAATCGGAACTTCAAAGCCTATGCTCCCAGCTAGGATTCCGCACAAGCTATCCCAAGAAATCAAATATTAAGCCTGACAGTCATTTCCTTATGGAAGTGCTTTTGACCTTCTACGAGCGCAAGCTCTCATTCCAGGATGCTGCGGCTAAGTTGAACATTGTCCCAACAGAAGACAGTCTCTATGATCCCGCTTTGGTGAGAAACGAGACCTACGATGGCTCACGGCCTCTTGCAATTCCCAAGCTCAACCTCCAGTACTTGAGCATTGGTGATTTCCTGTGGCGTTCATTCCTTCTCTACCGATCCGAGGCTTTCTTCCAGATTCGCAAGGACATGGAGTCGGTTGTCAAGCGCATGCAGCCTCGCTCAAACCGCGATGGCAGTCTGACTTTTGATGGCTTTTCTCGCATGGCAATCCCCATCACCAAGCCTGCCATCATCGAAGTGGCCCCAGCAAAAGTTGGCTCTCTCAACCCGGCATTTGTTCGTGCCGAGATCGCAATTGAGGTAGGAAGACTTGCAGACCACATTCGGAAAGAGTGGGACTCTCTACGCCCTGATGACGTTGTCTATCTCTTGGCTGTTCAGTCGCCTGCGCCTGCACAGCTAGGTGTCCGTGGCCAGAATGCAGAGGGACCACAAATGACTTACCTTCGTACCGCCGGGATCGTTCAAATCCTTGATGAACAAGGTCGTCCGTTGCGGCAGCAAGCTGGCAGTCAGGCAAATGGACACCATGGACGACCACGAGTCCGCAAACTACTTGTTAATATGGATGCGTCTGCATTCAAGACGGACAAGGACCGTCAAGCACGGGGAAAGCCGGACATCTACCCTCTGATCAATGTGGTCGCTCGCAGGAAGGGGAGAGAGAACAACTTCAAGTCAATCCTTCAAACAATACAGAAGCTCATCGTGTCGGATATGACTCTGCCGTCTTGGCTTCAAGACATCTTCCTTGGATACGGAGACCCATCAGGTGCTCAATATACCCAATTGCCCAACCGACTCAAATCTGTTGACTTCCGGGACACTATTTTGGACTGGCCTCACTTGGTGGAAAGCTTCCCCGGCAAGACCATCGAGCCTTCAGGGTCAGAGTCTTCTAGCTTCGGACCACCGTACGTTCTCGAGTCGGTCGAGGATGCACCTGCCGAGGCTCCTGCTTCCCCTGCGAAGAAGCGCCGCCGAGCCCAAGCGGGAGACGTGGAGCAAGCGTCCAGCACGATACGTGTTTCAACATACAAGCCACCTAACCCTGGCCCTTACCCCGTTGATGCACCCAAGCTTAACACTGTTCGCTTCACTCCATCACAGGTCGAGGCAATTGCTTCCGGTACCCAGCCTGGTCTCTCCGTCATCGTCGGCCCACCTGGTACCGGCAAGACTGACGTTGCGACACAAATTATTAACAACCTTTATCACAATTTCCCCAACGAGCGCACTTTGCTCATCGCGCACAGCAATCAAGCTCTCAATCAACTCTTCCAGAAGATCGTTGCCCTTGACATTGACCCACGTCACCTGTTGCGTCTGGGTCACGGTGAGGAAGAGCTGGATACCGACTCCAACTACAGCAAGTATGGTCGGGTTGAGTCCTTCCTTGACAACCGCAACCACTATCTGTCAGAAGTGATGCGCTTGGCAGCATCTATCGGTGCAGAGGGGGCTCACGGCAACTCTTGTGAGACGGCAGGTTACTTCAATACGGTGTATATGCAGCCGGCGTGGGCAAAGTTCTGGGACCAAGCACACTTTGAGGGAGCCTCCAATGATGATATCATCGCATCGTTCCCCTTCCACGCATACTTCTCCAATGCTCCTCAGCCGTTGTTTGATTCTGGTGCTTCGAAGGAGGCGGTATTGGACATCGCTTCAGGCTGTCAGAGACACATTGACCGGATCTTCTCTGAGCTTGAAGACATTCGACCTTTCGAGATCTTGCGCCAGCCTCGAGACAAGGCCAACTACCTTCTCATCAAGGAGGCCCGCGTGATCGCAATGACCTCTACACACGCAGCCATGCGTCGACAGGAGATCGCGGATTTGGGCTTCCACTACGACAATGTGGTCATGGAAGAAGCCGCACAGATCACCGAAATTGAGAGCTTCATTCCCATGGCTCTTCAGAATGTGAAGAACGGCGAGCTCCCTCTCAAGCGCGCTGTCCTCTGTGGTGATCACTTCCAAAACTCCCCTGTCATCCAGAACCTCGCATTCCGCCAGTACGCCCATTTCGACCAGTCTCTTTTCCTCCGCCTGGCACGGCTTGGCGTACCGGTGATAACCCTCGACAAGCAGGGCCGATCTCGTCCCAGCATTGCAGAGCTCTTCCGCTGGCGGTACCAAGATCTGGGTGATCTCCCATCCGTCGAGACAAACGAAGAGTTCAAACTGGCCAACGCCGGCTTTAAGTTCGACTACCAGTTCATCAATGTCCCCGACTACCAAGGAACCGGTGAGCGGGAGCCAACGCCCCATTTCATTCAGAACCTTGGCGAGGCAGAGTACGCAGTAGCACTGTACCAGTACATGCGCCTGCTCGGCTACCCAGCGTCCAAGATCACCATCCTAGCCACATATGCTGGACAGACGGCGCTGATCCGGGACGTGTTGACCCATCGCTGCGCGAAAAACACCCTATTCGGTATGCCCAAGATCGTGACCACCGTGGATAGGTACCAAGGAGAGCAGAATGATTGTAAGTCCCTACTCAAATCATCAAACCTGAGGTAGCTTCTTACTAATTTGCGCAGACGTAATCCTCTCCCTAACCCGCACCCGCGCCGTCGGCTACCTGCGCGATGTCCGCCGTCTCACAGTCGCACTATCCCGCGCCCGACTCGGTCTGTATATCCTCGGCCGCCGCGAAGTCTTTGAATCCTGCTACGAGCTCAAGCCCGCTTTCGACCGTCTGCTGCAGCGCCCGGATAAGCTAATGCTTGCTCCTGGCGAGATGTTCCCCGCCACTCGAGCGCTGGACGCTGATGTCGAGGGCACCCCCATGGAAGGCGTTGAGCATCTTGGTCAATATGTGTTTGAGATGACTCAGGCCAAGGTTAAGGCTATGGGTGATGGTGAAATGGTTGTTGATGATGCGACCCCGGATGGGGAGGATGGTCTTTTGGATGAGGATGAGGATATGCTGGGTGAAGAGGAGGATGACGATATTGTATGATCAGAGGGTTCCAGGGTTCTTTGTCTACAGATGGATTTTAAAGCGGGCGTGGTCCCGCGTGAATGATATTGCAATTCCGATTTGTATTTCACCTAGGAAGTCAACAGCATTGATCCACTTTCGTAGAGCCGTGCTTTAGAAAACTTGTGGAGATTGCGGTCTACACAGATTAGGAAATCTACAAGACTCAAGGGACAGAGGAATTGTATGCTTCATTTCTAAATCTGTACAGGAAAACGGGCACCTTACTTGACCTTGTTGATCTCCTCCACAATATTCTGAGGATCCTTCCAAGCAAGAGTGACATATCTGTAAACATTAGTACCTAGTTCTGAAAGATAGGAGGTAGAAACATCTCACTTTGTGTGGCTTCCTCTCGCAACAATATCACCCTTGCCATTGGTGAACTTGATGTTGGTGTACGCAAGAGTTTTCCCAACTGCAAAAAGTCAGTAAAGCATTTACGGGAATGGAACTTGACGTATATATAGCATACACTTATCGCAGGTGACCTCCTAAATGGAATTAGTATGGGGTATTGTAAGTTCACAGATGGTGGATGAAAACATACCGCTAGAATCTTGTCACCGATCTTGCCTCCAGAGTTGAGATAGGTGACTATTTGAAGCAAAATGTATTAGCATCAAATCCAAGACAAGTAACTCGCAGCATTCCGTGGCTAGCTGCTTACCATTGAGGTCGGTAGACACGCCTGTCGCAAACAGACCGCGGGAGGCGACAGCGAGGGAGCCACCTAGGTCCACTATATGCATAGTAAGCGATGGATGCACTTGGGTATGCGTTTCAGAAGGTACAAACCCATGCTTGCAATGGTGCCTCCATGGAGGATGTTCAGGCGGTTCTATACAAACGTTAGCTTTACAGCACAAGGGACCGGTGGGCGATGGGTGTGCATTTGGGATAATAGGACATCATAGTTATAAATCGAGGAGGTAGCAGTGTATTAATACTTACTGTGTGTTCCTTCTGGATCTCCAGTTCAAAGTTGACAGTGCCAGGCCTCGCGGCAGTTACTTGAAGCTAGGGACATCAATGAGCTATGTTGCAAAGCTTAACAGATCTCTAGGAATTTTCAAGATCTCACATTGTTTAAAAGGCTGTAACGCACATGTTAGGCTTCATAACAACCGATTGGGGCAAATCACCTACCGCGGCTCTAAGCCCGAAGTAGCCCGAAAAGACTCCCAAACCTGCGAGATTGAGGCGTTAACATCACATCGACTATAACACCAGCTAGACACAGGAGGGCTCACCGATCTGACAAATCTGAGAGCAGTCATTTTGACAATTGAACTCGTGATGGAGATGTTGCGGAGGCAGAGAGCTTCTCGGCAGTCAACCGGCGCGTCGGTCCCCGGAATTGCATGATTTGGCCGCTTCGTCCGCCGTATTCGGTAGTAACATGACTTCACCTCGCGACATCTTCTATCTTCCCCTAGAGGCGCCAGGTCTCTCGGGCTACTAACATGGCGGCATCTACATCGCGACCTCTGGAGTACCTTGAGGGTCTCCCCGGGACGACCTTCTTCAAGCTATACCAGCAGCCATCCACCGCTCTCGCCATTTTCCGCCGCATGCTGCCTGATCTGGGTATCTGGAGCTCTTACCTCATGCGCAAATGCAGAACTAACAGTGAGAACAGCAAAATGCTTCGTCATGGCCCTGTTATACTTGAAGGATCCCCTTCCTCAGGCTGATCTCGAACTTTGGGTCAAAGCTGAGAGTCGAAAGTAAGATGTCTTCGGTTTTTTTTTTTTTTTTTGGTGGAGTTCCGCAGCTGACCAAATGACAGGCAACGCGATAACGCCCTGTCGATCTTGGGCAGACTGCATATCTTGTCGCCGAGTTTGACTTCTGAGAAAGCTCGCGCTTACATGGTCACGAATCCATTCGCTTCCTCCCTTCGCCAAGCTCTCATGGGCTCCGCGGATTCCCTATCCTTCGGCGTTCTCTCCAACACACCCGATAAATACCCGGTCTCGATCAATTTCCTGGATGATTATGCGCGGCGCCAATGGGAAGCAGTGCTTGGATACATGGTTGGAACAAGTGCCTTTGAACAACGGGGACAACGGGATGGAGCCAGCCTGAGCGAAGGCGTGAAGCAGCTGCTCCAAGCTGGCCATCTGGTTGAGCTCCGTGGTCGCAGTGTGGACATCACCAAAGATGGATTTGGCTTTGTGTTACAAGACGTCAACACGCAGGTGTGGCACATCTTGATCCTCTACGTCCAAAGTGCCGAGCACGTCGGCATGGACAGCGTCGAGGTTCTTTCCTTCCTGTTCCTCCTAAGTAGCTTGGAGCTCGGTCAATCTTACGAGAAGAAACATCTCACGCCCGATCAACTCCGCACTCTGAGTGGTCTGGCCGACTTTGGCATCGTCTACCAAGAATCGCCTGAGGCCACCCAGTTCTATCCTACCCGCCTGGCAACCACACTTACCTCCGACTCGAGTGCCTTGAGTAACCCCGTCACTGGGTCTTTGGGGCCTGCAGGCCAGCCCGGCAGCTCCGGCTCTGGCTTCATCATCATCGAAACCAACTACCGGCTCTACGCATACACATCATCCCCACTACAGATCTCCCTCATCTCCCTATTCACAAACCTCAAATACCGCTTCCCAAACTTGGTTACCGGCAAAATTACCAGACAGTCCGTCCGTCGAGCCATCGAGATGGGCATCACAGCCGACCAGGTTATTTCGTATCTGCTCACCCACGCGCATCCCCAAATGCGCAAACACAATGCGGGCCACTCCACCTCCAACACTGGAAGCATCCCGCCCTCGGTCCTACCACCCACGGTCACGGATCAGATCCGACTTTGGCAGCTTGAGCGAGATCGTCTGCGGGCCACTGCCGGCTTCCTCTTCAAAGACTTTACCAGCTTCGCCGAATATCAAGCTCCATGCCAGTACGCTGCAGAGGTCGGTGTGTTGGTCTGGAAGTCAGACCGGAAACGCATGTTCTTCGTCACCCGGCATGAACAAGTCGCGGCGTTCTTGAAAAACAGAAAATAGTCACTCGGCATTTTGCATCTCAATTGACTTTCGTTGGGCACAGGAACTGTGATCTCCAACTGGCGTTCGGCTTGGTAAAAAAGGCATCTCACGAAATCATGATTCTTCATAGTTCATATCCCCCAAAATGTGTATAATACAAAAATTCATTCATCCATTCATAAGCTTCCAGAGCCCTCCTATGCATCCCTCAGGCACTTTGTGAGTGAGCCGCCAGCCACGCAGAACACCAGGACCAACCTTTCAATCAAACGCCCAACTCCAATTCATACTCTTCTTGTAACTAATAAACGTGTCCCCAGTCATCTTATCTGGAAGAATAAGTACAGCGGCACTACTAAAGTCTCCAACCCCCTACACAACGCCCTTTCCGATCTAATATACCGCCTACCCTACCTGGCATGATAGGAATCCTAGAAAGAGCCACGCTCGTCGTGTTGCGCATGATTTTTTGGATATTTACGACCACATCATCTTTTGGAACATCTTTTGGAACATCTTTTGGAACATCTTTTGGAACATCTTCTTGGCCTTATTTCAGAGCCAAATAGTTAGTTTAACAAGTATTAGAGATGTTAGCCAAGCTTAGACCGGCGAAAGGCGGTCTGTAGGGGGTCGGAGACTTTTGTGGTGCCACTGTAATGGATGGCCTTGTTCTATTGCTGAAATGTGAATCGCTATGCGTTGAACGTACATGCTGTGGGAATCATCCACGGGCCTTAACCCCGAGTCGAATAGCATGATTACAGGTATCAAAGGAAGCACGGAGTTACAAGTCAGCAATTGGCTTCTTACGGCCTGGTCCGCTCGACTGGGTGAGTTGTTATTGGATGTCGCGGTTCAAAGTGGACTCCAAGCGATGTAGAAGTGTATTTCCCAGAGTCTACCACGTCTGATTGGCTCTGTTAACGGTTAACCCCGACGTTAAATCCGCTCGATTGAATCACTCTGAGCAAAGGTGTATAAAGGCAAGATCATGCCGAGGAACCCGTCTTTCACCACAAGCTACCTTCTTTCAATAGCGTCTCCTCAAGCACAATTCCAATTATCTCAATATGTCTCTTCCTACTCGAACCCTCGGCCAGGATGGCCCTCAAGTCAGCGCCATGGGGCTCGGCCTCATGAGTATCGGCGGTAGCTACGGAAAGGCAGGCCCCCTCGAAGAGACGATGGCTTTCCTGGACCACGCCCATGCCACTGGTCAGCGATTCTGGGATACCGCCGATATGTACGCCGACAGTGAGGACATTGTCGGCGAGTGGTTCAAGCGATCTGGCAAGCGAAGCGATATCTTCCTCGCTACCAAGTTCGCCGTCCAGCGCAATGCCACGGGCATGAGGATTCGTTCCGACCCGGAGTACGTCAAGGTCGCTTGTGACAAGAGCCTGAAGCGACTCGGCATTGATACAATTGATCTATACTACTGCCACCGTGTGGATGGAAAGACTCCCATTGAAAAGACCGTCAAGGCTATGGTTGATCTTAAGAAGTTGGTGTTTCTTGGTCGTCACAAAAGTCAGGTTCACTAACAGTATAAACAGCCAGGGAAAGATCAAGTATCTTGGATTGTCCGAGTGCTCCGCCGCAACTCTGCGTCGCGCCCACGCTGTCCACCCTATCAGCGCCTACCAGGTGGAATATAGTCCATTCACCCTGGACATTGAAAGCGACACCACCGACCTGCTGAACACCTGTCGCGAACTAGGAATTGCCGTTATTGCCTATAGTCCCATTGGACGCGGTATCCTGTCCGGCCAGTACCAATCACCCGCCGATTTCGCAGAGGGCGACTTCCGCCGCCTCCTGCCCAGGTACTCTCAGGAGAATTTCCCCAAGATTTTGCAGCTGGTGAAGGGATTGCAGGAGATCGCCAAGGCCCATAACAGCACTCCCGCACAGGTTTCTCTCGCGTGGGTGCTGGCGCAAGGATCCGATATTATCCCCATCCCTGGAACCAAGTCGACCACACGAATGGATGAGAATGCCGCCGCGGCCCTGCTCAAGCTCAGTGACAAGGAAGTACAGGAGATTCGCGAGCTTGCTAAGCGCACAGAAGTCCCTGGTCTTCGTTATCCCGAGGGGTAAGTTCTGTTTTCCAACGTCATGCAAGGAGTCCGTGCTGATATGTCATACAGGATGAACGAGTATATCTTGGCGGACACTCCTGCGCTCTAATGTGGCCGGGTCAATAGGTTTTAGCTATAGCACATAATAATACATATCACCTTTGAATGGTGTCAAAGCGATCGCCGCCAAGAAATACAAAGGAGACCAGCTGGGCGCGACTCCAAAATGGGGGCCAAAACATGACGGGCAGGAACTGCCACGGTTTTGTAGACAATCTCAACATTGGCCCTATCAGTATCAGATCTGGAAGTCAACCAACCCCCCTGCAAATCATCACCATCGCGAATAAGCTTAAAAAGATCGAGGTCCGAGTCCCCCTCTCCGGAAGACTATGACGAGGTGGGTCAACTCCCTTTGACTTTTTTGTTATTATTATTTCCAAGGGACGGGACCAAGTCCCCTCCCGAACCCCGCGAAAAAACTCATTCTGGGTGTCGCTTTTCCCTCGACATCGCCACCACCCGATGAAATGTCCACAACCAGCGATGGCAGTCCCGGTAACTGGATCACCGGCAGTTACACCGGGAACAGCATCGGGGTGCGCATCACCATCGCGACCTTCATCGCCCTTGCGTGCTACAATGTACTCGAGCTGATCGTGCTCATTTTCATGACCTTCAAACGCTACCGAGGACCCTACTTCTGGAGTATGCTGATCGCGTCGGTCGGCATTCTACCTTACGCGATCGGCTATTTACTCAAATTTTTCGATCTTACTTCGGCCACTTGGCTCCCGATTACTTTGCTCACTGTGGGCTGGTGGACTATGGTTACCGGCCAGTCGTTCGTGTTATACTCCCGCCTCCATTTAGTGCTCGAGAACCCGCGCGTTCTGCGTTTGGTCAAGGGCATGATTATTATGAATATCTTCCTCTTGCACGTCCCGACCACGGTGCTCACTTACGCTGCCAATTTCGTCGGGTCCTACGCGACGATCGAGGGATACAATGTCATGGAGAAACTCCAGCTTACTGGATTCTGTATTCAGGAAGTTATCATCTCCAGTCTGTATATGTGGGAGACGAATCGCATTCTGCAGATGAGTGAGGACCAGAGTATTCGGAAGACTATTTTACAGCTGCTCGCTGTCAACGTCGCTTGTATCTTGATGGATATCGCGCTCATGATCATCGAGTTCATGAACTTCTATATCTACCAGACGACCCTCAAGGCTACGTTGTATAGCATCAAGCTCAAGCTGGAAATCGCTGTCTTGGGTAAACTGGTCAAGGTTGCTCATCAACATCTCTGGCGAACTAATACTGAGCGTGGCCGATACCCCTCTTTCGTTGACCCTACCCGCATCGATTCGGATATCAATCACCCTGCGTCATCTCTTGATACGAGCAATGGCTCCAAGGCTCGTGCTACTCCTTTTGAGGATATCGAATATGTTGTGAGATGAGGTTACACATGGTGTCGTGCATTCTTTTCTTGAAATCTCCTGGTCGACCCGGACAACCTGTTACGGCCTCCGGTTAGAAACCCATACCTTCGCGAAATGCGATCGCCCTGTCCACCGAACCGGACACATGGTCAATAGACGCAGAGGCGTCGTCGGTGCCAACTCCAGACAGCCGAGACCTCGAGTGTCCGTCAGATTAGACCCGAGGTTAGAAGACCCGCGACTGCAGTCCTCGTAAGCAGGCTTATTCCAATACACCTGCTCCTTGGGTGCCTCCAGACAGTTGCTCGGGACTTCCGCGGCGCTGAACCCATGGATCAAACGTCGTTCAAAGATACAAAACTGCGTCAGCTCGCAGACATGGCCTTTACAAAGTCACAATCGACTCTAGTCATCGTCGAAGCGCACTTCTGGGCTTCGTACGGTACCCTACATCATAATAGGACATCTATGAACCAGACCCGTCTGGTAGAAATTCAAAAGTATTATTCTATTTGATCCTCGTTGAATGAAGGGAGTAATTTCGCCGAGAGCGATAAATCCGGAAGATGATTGTTGAAGTAGGGATAATCTATAACAAAAGTCTGGGATCATGTATCCTTGACCACTAAAGCACAGACGGGACATGCAAGTTTTAAAGAACTTCCACCTTTTCCCATCACTCAAACGCGGAGCATTCTCGCCGGAGTCATAACAAGCGTTCTCGTCCGAGGTCGGGGAGGGGGAGGAGCCATCTGGGCATCCAAATATTATTTTCCAACATACACAACCACATATCGGCCACAAAACATTAAGAGCAATCACCCATCCACCGCCTGGTTCAGCGCATTGATACGATAACTCTCACTGCGCTCGATAAGCTGCGCATGAGTCCCTTGATCAACGCAACGGCCATTCTCAATGAGAAAAATCACATCCGCCTTACGGATCGTATACAATCGATGCGCGATAGCGATGACTGTCATGTTTTTCGCTGCCTTCTCAAGTCCATTTTGCAACAACCGCTCCGATTCCGCATCAAGGGCACTCGTCGACTCGTCCAACAGCAAGAGCTTGGGCTTTCGGATGAGTGCTCGCGCGATCGCTAGCCGCTGCTTCTGACCCCCCGACAACCTGTCGCCATTTGACCCACATGAAGAGTCATATCCATCAGGCATCTGCATGATCGTGTCATGGATATTGGCTATTTTGCATGCTTCTTCAAGCGCGTCTTGTGTCACTTTTTGTCCAGGTCTAGCGCCGATGGTCAGGTTGAATCTGATTGTTCCGTCAAACATGACGCTCTGTTGCGGGACGTAGGCGATCTCGTGACGGAATGAACCATCGCTGTATGCAATTCTGTGGCCATCAACTTCGATTGAACCAGAATCTGGCTTATAAAGCCGCTCAACGAGTGAAATTATTGTAGACTTTCCTGCACCACTCGGTCCGACGAGTGCGGCGAATTGCCCAGGTTTAATGTTCAGATCAAGGCCATGAAGCACCCGAGTGTCCGGTCGTGCAGGATACGAAAATTCAACTTGCTTGAAGGAAACGCTGATGCCGCCAGTGGATGACGAAATGGCCTTCTCTTGGGCGGGCGCAATGGCCTCGATATCACCAAGTAGCGTGAGAGGTGCTGAAAGCTGCTTGGTCGACCCAATTTCGAGCAGGTTCAAGAGCCGCCGAGTGGCATGGAATGCGCGCGAGACTTCCGGCACCAGAGCGAACATCTGGCCCCAAAGTTGTGAGCTCACGAGCAGAGCCAGCTGCACAATGAAGAATTGGGTTTGTGTATACTCGCCCGCGATGATCTGCTTCGACCCCCACCAATACGCCAGTGCATAGAGGAAGTTGCTGAGTCCATAGCCGACGGCCAGCCACAAGTTCGCCCACGCACTGTGCCTGGCAATTTGGCGCATCGGTCCTTGCAGCGACCGACGGTATGTGACGAGAACTTCGTGTTCCAACGAAAGCGACATCACCGTCTTGATTGAATTGACGGCCTCTATTGTAATGGCATTGGCATTGGCAAACGCTTCCAAATGACGCTCCTCGAAGTCGGCCAACGTGGTGAGACGCATCCACCCAGCACCAAGCAGCAATGGAACCACCGATAGACATACCAGGGCAATCTTCCAGGCAATGATGTGTGTCATGGTGATCGTCGCCACGAGACTGACGAGGATCGAAATTATGGTACAAACCACGGAGCCGGTCAGACCTCCCAATGCGTTGCTATCCTGGGTCACCAGCGAGAGTAGTAGCGAAGGATTGCGGTCTTTCGACTCGTGCCATGCCAGATCTTGTTCGAGAATCGATCGCAATGATAGTACTCGCACTTTGTAAATGACTTGTTCTGCTATCCAGCCAAAGAGCGACCAGCTAAGGAAATTAGCAAAAAACTCGACAATGGCCAGAACAAAAAACATGAGTCCAAATAGAGATCCGGCGTGGCGGATGGAGTCAGGTTCATCGCAGCCACTCAGTTTCCCCACGACGTTACCGAAGATCACGGCTGAACCACAATATGTGCCACCGATGACCACCGCTCCGGTGATGGCCAGGATTAGAACAAATGAGTACGGTCGGAAGAGCGAGCCCATGGAGCGTATGGTCGATGCAAAACTCCGCTGTTGCTCGGATTCTTTTCCCGGGGCCTCCTTCTCGGGCAGAGCAGCATTGCCTCCCTCCGTGATATCATCCACGACCTCTGTTTCACGAGCACCTGTCTTTTCGTGGAACTCTTGTGTGGAGGAGCCAGAGCTAGACGAGACACCGTCGGTATCCCCACTTTCACCGCCGTGGACATTGAGGTTTTGGAGACGAACAAGCTCGGCATATGCTCCATTAGCCTCGATAAGATTATGGTGCGTCCCTTGCTCAACCAGTCTACCCTGTCGCATGACGATGATATTGTCGGCATTTTTGATAGTCGAGAGCCGGTGCGCAATAGTAATGACAGTTCGACCAGCTGCCACGTTCTCCAAAGCCAGTTGGATACGTGCCTCTGTTGCCGAGTCGAGTGAAGCAGTAGCCTCGTCGAGAATGAGAATTCGCGGATCTTTCACCAAAGCACGCGCCAGTGAGATACGCTGTTTCTGGCCACCACTGATGAGGTTTCCCTTGGATCCAACAAGCGTTCCATATCCTTCCTCCAGTCGCTCGATGAATCCGTTTGCATCGGCCAGCAGAGCAGCATTAAGCACTAATTCCACGATCTCTCGGGCGTCAGGGCTGTTTGCTAATGAGGCTGTAACCAAGTCTTGACCGTCTCGGACTGCTGTTGCAATCTCAGCCAGGGAGTTGCTCATCAGTAATGTACGCAAATGCTCATGCTTGGGTGAGTTGACGAGTCCCAGGGCTATGTTCTCCAAAATAGACCGATCCAGGAGGTAAGGCTCCTGTTGTACGAGACTGATATAGCTTCGGACAGATCGCACATTGAGGTCTTTCACATCATGCCCATCCAAAAGAACAGTTCCATCGTCCACGTCGTAGAACCGAGCGATCAGCCCAGCGACCGTGGATTTTCCACTGCCTGAAAGGCCAACGATGGCTGTCTGTTGGCCGGCTGGGCAGGTCAAAGATAGGTTCTGCAGCACGGGCTTGTCTGGACGGGACGAAAAAGTGAATGATACATTGCGTAGCTCGATGGTTCCTGTCACTTCTGGTAGCACATGGCCAGTTTTTTCAGAAGTACCATCAATGGCTGATGGGTGCTCGATATCGGACTCCAATTTGCGGAACGCCACGGCGGCGGCGTCGAAGCTTTTTAGGAAAGGGGCAGCTTGGCTGAGGATAAGAGACGCTGATAATAAATATTAGCTCATTTTCACGCTCACAAATTGTGGTGTAGAAACTTCGACGTACCATCCACAAGAATAAGAATGACAGTGAAGATATGGCCGACCGAAATACCACCATCCGATTCAACGGCGTCGGCTATTTGCCGGGATCCTTGCCAAAAGGCAATACCATTCGCTGAGAAAGCGATAAAATATAACAGCCCTGCTTGACTCGCCATGGCGATTGATTTCCACACTCCAGCTGCAAGGGTTGGATTCAAAACTTCGACGAATTTCTCCTCGAGACGAGCATTCGCTGAAAAGGCATGGACGATCATTGTGTTGGAAAAGGCTTCCAGTGCAACAGACGATGCCTTGGTCGTGCCCTCCATTGCCTGTGCAAAAAACTTCTGCACAAAGTATCCACCACCCAATGCCATCAAGAGGTATGCTGGGGTGAGTGAGACCAGTATACCAGCAAGCTTAGGGTCCTTTATAAACGCCACCACATAGGCAGCGATAAAGAAAGAGACACTATTGATCACAATGCCAACCTTTTCATTTGCACCTTGCTGCACAACAGATATTTGTCCAGTAATCCGCGCAGACACCTCCCCAGCTGGCAAATTATCGAAGAACGCCGCATCCTGGCGTAGGATAGCTCTGAAGTATTTCTCTCGCAGGCGCTGTGCCAGCCGCTCACCTGAAAGATTCCAGCAAAGCGAGTAGATGTAGATCAAGGCGAAGTAGGCGATACCGACGTATACGATCATCAGGATCTTGCTATTGATCCCCGACTGGTACGACTCGGCGGTGGAGTTCTTAACCCCGCAAGTTGCCGAGTTGAGTCCGTCGACAAGCTGTCCGAAAACAATCGACATTATGGGGAATGGAACGCCAGAGGCAACCGAGGATATGAACCCAATGAGGAGGATGACGAGGTCTGAAGACGAGGGGTTTCCGTAGACTAGCAATCGACCGAAAGTAGTGGCCCTGTGCCAGATCTGTTTATGGAAGATTTGTGAGCTTCAGCATATCATGCAAAGATAATTCGACACCGTAACTCACACTCGGCTTGGATGCCATCTTTGCGTCTGTAGACGTCTCAGACGCAGTAGCCATGGTGTCCTAGATCTTCTGCTCTGTCAGTGGCAGCGATACCGAATAGCCAGACACCAGTTGCAGGGATATGAAGTGGGTATTCCCAGTTCACAGCAATTCTGTCCGCAGAAGCCAACCACATGGATCAGGACGTCTAACCCGATCCTCTTTTTCCTGACGGGGTGGGCCGACCTCGGATCGGATTCCAACCGAGACTGTCAAATTATCAGATCCGAGATAATTCTTTCCGATTGTCCAGCTTCTGCCAAGGGACCGGGATGCAGAAGCGATGTATTGGCGGCCTAACCACCTTATTAGGGTTTGATCTAGTAACGTCACGTATTTTAAAATTACAGGACCGTATTGGACGCGTGGGTCCATGCGTTGCAGACCAGGGACCCTGAACCTGCTGACTTGGCTAAGGTTCCTTGAAAAGAATCTGCTGACTGGGGATTGTGATGGTGCAATCATTATCAGATTAGATCCGACTTTCGCGAAAGAAAATTCCCCTTTTTTTGAAGGACTAAAACGCATTGGGTAGCCTGAGCCACAAGCCACGACCAGTTTTTCCGGCTTTGTCACACACTATCGACAAATACCCTAGAGGCCAGGGGCTGGATCAAAATTGACCATTGCTGCCGTACCTCCTTATCTGATTTTAAAGGTGGGGTTGCCTCTGGAAAGTGAAGGTAGCACCCGCCCGCTTTTCCTTTCTCCACAGCTCGTGTTTCCGGGGCCCAGACACCTGGGCTAAATTGCCCAGTCACCGTCAATTACCTCAAAATGAGGCATTAATTACGAATTTATCTTCGCCTTTGCTTTCTGTTTTCGACATCCCGCGATATATTTTTGTCACAATTGGGCTCTATTTTTGTCCTCGATATGCGTCGACCACCTATCACTCGCACTAGGTTACAGAACCCCTTCCGTTTAAGACCACCCACCTCTCCCCTGGGGTGGCATAAACTTTGGCAAAAATACGTCGCGGTGAGAATCCAAGGTTCCCGGGGTCCATCGGGACCTCGGGAAGCGATCATCTAATCTGATCGATAATCAGCGGGTAATCTGACCGAACCGTAAAGTTCACCAGTGCCACTCAATTTAGGCAACGATCGACTCCTGGGCGACCTGGCTCGGTTCAAATCCGATGGTTGCACTCTGCGCAATTTTCCAAGCCAAGTGGGCCGGTTTTCTCGACCATAGCCTCCCTTTTTGGAGCTTTCCGCCCGGCCGGTCCTTGGCCCCAGTCAGCGGAGACAACTTTCCCCTTCATCACACTTTCACCACCCACGGATTTTATCTACGACCTCGCAAAGTCCGTGTCGCAGATACACCATGATGAGTGACAAGGCAGCGGCAATCGCGCTTCCTAACTCGGAGCAGTTTGTTCTGGACAACGACAGGGGTGAACAATACCTGATCCAGTTATCTTGGCCGTTACATTGGCAGGATGATGGCACGTCCGATCGCGGACAGCTTCCAATCATGTGAGTTTCTGCTCGGGTCCCCCTAAGGATGTCCTCTAACTGAATCTAGTTACATCGTTGACGGTAATGCTCTCTTCCTGACCGCGACGGAAGTTGCCTGGCGCCGTGCTGCTTCATCGCATTTCGCGGGAGGAGGCATTGTTGTCGCGATCGGATACCCCCTGACGAATAAACTGTACGACGCGCGCCGTCGTAGCTTCGACCTCACCCCGCCGACTGAAAGCACAATACCTGGATACGGCGGTGCGGATCTGTTTCTCGATTTCATCGAAAATAATGTTCGCCCCGCTGTGAAAGCTCGATTCCCGCGGCTTTCTTGCTCTAGAGAAGCACTCTACGGCCATTCATACGGAGGATTGTTTGCTCTACACGCACTGTTCACACGCCCTCATTCATTTGATGGGTATATGGCCAGCAGTCCGTCGATCTGGTGGAATAGTCGATGCATATTGCATTCCGCGAAGTCTTTCTTAGAGAAGAAGAAGGCCTCAGAGAGGCGACCGCCGACTCTCATGCTTTCCTTCGGCTCCTTTGAGCAGCATCCGCCCCAATGGAACAACGAACCGCTTGATCACTATGAAGCGAGAAAGCAGCTTGCTGCAGACTTGAGAATGGGTGACAATGTGCTCGACCTCTGCAAGATGCTGCGAGATTGCGCACAACTGCATACTCTCTCGTTTAATCCATATGAGGGTGAGGAACACACAAGTGTGATGGCTTGTTCGATAAGCCGAAGCTTGACCACATTTTTTGAGGACTGGCCCTTGCTCGGTAACGGGGAAATTTCTTGAGAAGAATTTATACATAAGCCGATCATTAGATGTGCCAAACTTAGAAATGAGAGATATAGATGAAGTCTGAAGCTGTGCCACGCCCATGTTTCTTTTTGCCTGCTCTTCTTATTTCCTTCACTGAGTTGCATAATGTCGCTTTGCCATGAGGTTATTGCAAGAAGGATTCGATAGATTTGACAGGTACTTTCTGTATCCACCGTCATTTCTTATGACATAAGAGGAACACACTAGAAGGACCATATTGTACGACCAGATACTACCATGTGTTACTGCTTTAAAGGGATACTCAAGTTGACTGCCTAGAAAAATCCCTCAAGCCTCGCTTGTGAAGAATGCCGTTCTGGTATGGCATTAAACCCACTCTATCCTCTTACCAGACTTGGCGCCTAGGCAACAGACCCAAACCCAAGAAAAAGACATCTCGGGCCCCTTACACCAAGCAGCCCGGGATCCGTTGGGAACCAGCGGCAGGCTTGACAGAATAGGCCTAGTTTCCGTCATGTGTACGCCTCGGAGTTACCCGGTCCGCGCCGATCTTACCCAACTAATCTAATCTGATCCGCACCCTAGTATTCTCAATACACTGGATACCGTCTGGTACGGAATATACGGACTAACTGTATGGTAAAAAGGGGGAGTCTTTTTGCTTAATGAAGTAGAGATCGTCTCTAGGTGGCTGAAAACCACAACGGTTTTGCGTGAAGATTGGCTGATTCGACCAGGGTCGGAATCCTTCCTCTCACAGCGCGCATCTAGATCTTGGAAAGTTTTTTGTCGCCCCACTTGCTCGTTGAATTCTCCCATTTGAATACATGGAGCGGTGCATCCGACTACTAACCTCTCTCAGTAGATCCTGAGCCCCACTGTGGATGGTGATGGATGTGCAGGGTCTTGCGACTTCATATTGTCCCAGAATACAGCAGCCTAGTCGCCATGATAGCTATTATTTGTATCGACCTCGGTAGTACTCGACATTATTTAGTGTCTCCTGAATTGTCAACATTGGTACCTAGGTAGATAGTGGTTTCTGGGCCGACTTAACTCGCAGACTGAAGATTTGAATGTGAAATCAAGCATTAAATCGAGCGAACATGATAAACAGAAACTTCACTGGAACGTGGGATACCATACGCTTGGCATCACAGTGCTTAGGTTTATCCATAATCCTTTGTCTAGGATCTTAGACCGTACCTGGTGTGCGAAAAAAACCCCATCCCATGGGATCCAAATCTTTGAAGAGTCTCGGCTATCTTTTTTCCTTCTCTTATAGGAGCCACGATGCCTACTAAGTACAATATTCTTCTGGGGGTCATTGAATAGGACAACCTGTGATCGAGTAAGCGCATCACTAAACTTAACAAACAGAAATTCAGCTATAACCCAAAGTAAAGGGAGAAGGCTGTGTTAATGGTCCCTGACCATACGCATGAGAAAACGCCAGCAGAGAAAGGCAACTAAGCTCGCCGTTGATAGAAACCTATGAGCGAGAGAAGCGGGTCAGGTTACTTCCCATGCTAGAAATATCGCTGCTGCTCCCAAAATAACAGAGATGTGACGGTAAATTGGATCCCTTCGGGGTTATTTCTCTCCATTAAATTACGACGAAATGATCGTCTCAACATGGCTAATCTTGGAACCCTGTTGCTGTGTTCCCGCCCCCTAGGTAGCAGCGTTTACGCATATAAGGAGGGTAGCATCCTAGCCTTGACTTAGACAACCCTCCGAAAATTTGAGCCTACTCACTAAAACGCGAACTCCTCACTCCACCAAGTCCTTATAGCCCCCGACAACATGACCATCAAGGCCCAGACAAGTCTGCGCACGACACGCCTCGAGCTAGTGCCTCTCGGTCCCGAGCACCTCGATTTGACCATCCAGCTGGACATGGACCCAAAGGTCATGAAGTACGTCGCCTTCGGAGTCCCGTTTACCAAAGACCAAGCGCTCCAGGTCCACCAGTGGCTCCTCCAGCAGGCGACATATGTCCCCGGTTTCGGAACTTGGGTCGGGTTTGCAGGGGGCGAGTTTGTTGGATGGTGGATACTGGCGCCGAGACCCATCGCCGACAACCCTACGAAGTTTAGTAAGGAGGAAGCTGACTTCGGCTTCCGGCTCTCGCCGAAGTTCTGGAGACAAGGATACGCCAAGGAAGGCGGCTGCGAGCTCTTACGGCACGCTTTCCAGGATTTGGGTGTCGTGGAGGCGAGTGGTGAGACTATGACTGTGAACGCGGCTTCTAGGGCTGCTATGGAATCTTGTGGATTGAAGCACGCTGCTACCTTTTTCAACGATTACCCTACGCCACCTCCGGGCATCGAGGAGGGTGAGATGCGGTACTCGATTACCAAGGAGGATTGGGTCTCGTCGGTTTCTGGACGGCAATAATTCGCCGCCTATACGATATTGCTGCCTGTATTGAGCTTATTTGTGGTATCTGGAATGGTTTCAGTTGATAGTCAATAAAAAGCCTCTTTGTAGAAAAAATTGCCGACCCATCCAAGGTGGCTGCTGTAAGGTTTCCACTTCCGGGATCATATCACAGCCTGCCGGCCACTCAGTATTTGTGGCGCCACGGGCGCGAACCGTATGCTTTGGTCGTTATTCTAACAACGTATCATCTTGACCAGGAAGTCTTGAGGCTCGCTTAGGGCGGTCGCCAAGTTGAACGATGCCCAGATAGGCACACCTGGCACGGCCTGCAGCGGAAATGTCGGTGCCGAAAAACATCAAGATATCAGCTAGACAGGACGAACTACGCTAAAGCCATTGTTAGTAATTTGACGGGACTGGGGCCAAAAGTCTGGGCAATATAGATTGTAGGTTCGGATTGGTGTTCTTCCACGCGGAGCTAGGCGTAATTAAGAGCCCCGGCTGCCCGTATCGTGCCGTAACGCAAATTAGGTGGTACGTCTAGGTCGGTGACTGGCTCTGTCCTTACGGTCCGTTACCTAGTACAATTGTTGGAGAAAAATTAACTTGCGATCGTCGCCTCCGAAGTCTCGTAGCACCTCTAGTAGGCGCTAGTACCTAAAAGTGTCCGTTCACACCACCTCGGGCTGGGTTAAATATTCGACCCTTCCCCTCGATTCTGTTCGGGTCGCAAGCAATTCACTTTTCCCTTTTGCCAGTCAAGCAGAAATGACAATCTTGGGCAAAGTCAACCATTTGGTCGGTTCGAAGACCAATGACCTGGAGGACTCCAGGGTCGAAGACCCGAACACCCCGGTTGCCATGGAGGCGAAGGCCGGCGACAACAAAGAGTACGGGGCTGGATATACGGGAGAAGCAAATGAAGTGAACGCCCATGACGAGAAAACTCCTGATGAGAACGCCCAATCCGGTGTGCAAAAAATCGAGGCTGTGACTTTGACCTGGTCGAAGACATCCCTGGCCACGATATTGATCCTGTAAGATTCTGCCCTCTTTGCTTTTGTCTTTTGCGGCAAAGAGCTGACACTAAATTCCATTTAACAGAATCTGGATTCTCACGTTGGTCAATGGATTCAAATCTTCCATTACCTACAGCTTGACCCCCTATGTCACCAGCGATTTCAAGGCCCATTCACTTCTGACGGTCATTGACATCGTCGCCAAGGCAATCACCGGAGCGGTGTATATTCCCATTGCTAAAATATTGGATATCTGGGGCCGTGCTGAGGGCTTCCTTCTCATGCTCGGTTTCTGTGTCCTAGGCATGATTCTTATGGCCGCGTCCTACAATCTGGAAACATATTGTGCTGCTCAGGTAACGTTGGAACCATGGCGATACTACTCAAGTCTCCAAGGGTACTAACGCCGCTAGCATGTTAGGTCTTTTACTCGATCGGTTTTGGTGGCCTCGGCTATTGCTGGGATGTGCTTGCAACTGATGTGACAAGCTTGCGAAACCGAGGCTTGGCATTCGCCTTCACCTCGTCTCCGGGTTTAATCACTGCATTTGCGGGATCTAGAGCTGCTGAGGGGTTCCTGTACAACGTCAACTGGCGCTGGGGCTTTGGTTGCTGGGCAATTATCTTCCCCGCCGTGGGCTTGCCAATCTACGCGCTGTTGGCATATCAGTTGAACAAGGCCAAGAAACAAGGCCTTGTCACCCCAAGAGTCAGAAGTAATCGAAGTTTCGCCGAGATGATCAAGCATGTTATCATCGAGTTTGATCGTTAGTCGCCCCGATCACGTTTCCCAGACCCTTCCGACTGCTAACAATTCATTCGGCGAATAGTACCTGGTGTCATCCTACTCGGAGGTGGCTTTGTCGTGTTCCTTCTACCTTTCACCCTGGCTAGCTCCTCACCTCACGGGTGGAAAACTGGGTACATCATTGCAATGATTGTGGTTGGCTTTGTGTCCATCGTTTTCTTCTTTCTCTATGAGGTTTACCTGGCACCGGTTCCGTTCCTGAAGAATCGCTTCCTCCTCAACCGCACCGTCTTGGGAGCATGCCTTTTGGACTTCACGTACCAGATCTCGTACTACTGCTACGCCAGTTACCTGACGTCATTCCTCCAAGTTGTTTACAACCTCTCCGTGGCCGATGCTGGATACGTCGGAAACATCTTCAGTGTGGTTTCATTCGTGTTCCTGTTCATCGCCGGCTATCTCATTCGCCTTACTGGACGTTTCAGATGGATTTTGTTCATTTGCGTTCCGCTCTATATTTTCGCGCTGGGACTGATGGTCCACTTCCGTCAGCCGAACGGATATATTGGATACATTGTCATGTGTGAGATTTTCTTCTCGATTTCTGGAGGTATTTTTATTCTCTGCGTTCAGCTTGCTGTCCTGGCTTCCGTCGATCATCAGCATGTGGCTGCGGTGCTCGCTTTCTTGTTTGTCAGTGGAAGTATTGGTGATGCCGTGGGAAGTGCTATTTCTGGAGTCATTTGGACAAACACCTTTGAGAAGGCTCTTATGCGCTACCTCCCAGAATCTGCGATGCCAGAGGTTGCTACAATCTACGCCAGCTTGCCTGCACAGCTCGCCTATCCAGTCGGAAGCCCGGAGCGACTTGGAATTCAGCTGGCTTACGGATACGCACAGACCAGAATGCTTGCTGCTGGTACTGCCATCATGGTCTTGGGCTTTGTCTGGGTTGCAATGATGAAGGATCTCAACGTCAAGAAGATGACACAAACGAAGGGCACCGTGCTTTAAGTAAAGTTTCTGGTGGCTGTCAAGCATTTATCGATAAGGAAATTGCAATCCTTTGATCTAGACGTCCAAACGATGAGGTTTGCCGCGATTGATATAGATATAGGCAGGCAAGTTTGGTCTTTTCGAGGATTACACGGCCTTCTCGTGACGATCCTGCGACTATAAAGCCATTCCCCAACCACAACGCCCAGAAGAGACATTAGAAAGGAGGCAATAGATAGATGAAATAAAGAGGTCAATAAACTTTGTACCCTTTGCCAAGTCATAAAGGCTTCGCCCCGTGATAATTCAGGAGATGAGAAGCCATTGAATTTCTTCTCTCCAGTCTGCACCAAAGCAAGGGATGCCTTGGAATTATCCCTCCCAAAGCTCCCTCTTTATCAAATCTTAATTCAACAGGATTCCGTTGGCTTCATGGACAGCTCTTGGAGCTACTCTAAAATGGTGTTTGAGTTCAGATGACAGCACTGGAAATGTTTACCTGATTTCCAGCAACATTGATTGCGCCCTCAAGCTTCATTTCTGCAACTTTTATGTGTGGAATGCACCGAGAAACTGCCCTGATATGACATCATCATCGGCAATTCTGTCCCGATCTCCAAGAAAATGGAAAATGTCCGAGGTAGCCGACCAGGAAGAATGTGGGGTTGCACTCCTACGAGAGGAGCCGTAGTGTCTGGCCAATTCTTCACGAAGTTGCTCGAACCTTGACTTCTAGGCACGAAGCAGCCACCACATTTTCTCATGAAGTCAGTTTTGTACCCTGGCTTTAACAGACTTGAAGTGTCCTGTGAGCCGCCGGAGTATATGCAAGGCCACCAAATAACCCTTACTACAAGATACTGTGCTGATAAAGATAGGTATTGGTGCGTGAGTAAGAGGGATTTTGTAGGGCCTGGCCGGTATTCAAAAAAGTAATGGTGACACATAAGAGTAGAAGTGGGAGACTACCGCTTATTGATTCAAGTGCAACTGCAACCTCGAATGGCATGATCTTTCGTAACATGCTTGTCATTCATTCAACCTGACCAGCCACGTGATCATGCAGGTGGCTGGTGATCCATCCACGCGAAAGTAGAATGGATGACTTGATGATCCTATTAACATAGCTTCTATATATGGTAACAACTACCTGGTTTATTAATTCCGGTTACGGCAATCGTGTGAGGGCGCGATCTGGCCATTTCCTTGTGGCAAACTGCCCAGACCCATCGAAACTAGAAAAGTTCCGAATAGTTTACCTCCACATACCTGAGCCTTGCATCTACAGAATGCAGCGTGCCGTCCCTTAGAACTCGCTAAGCCACTGTAACTTTTTTTTCACTCCACTACAAACCCCGAATTAATGATGTCTAATGAAAGTGGCAACGTTGGCAGGATATTATCCCCGGGTGGTGCAGATAAGAAACAACGGCCAAGCCGAGACAATACCAGGCCAACATTCCTCATGGAAGGGGGCTTCACGTAGTATTTGATGTATGATCTAGGCACTATCACGCAGACAGGGGCCGGCCTTTTTGCTGCTGGGCCATGCAGTCCGATAATCCTTATATGGATTGGGGTATCCTGAACCTGGACTCAGACAATGATTACGACGACTCCCAATTGAGTATGCCGATCATGGCTGATCATTTGGGATTCAGTCCACTTACACTACACTATGCTTATTTCGTCCTCATACCTGCGATCGCCAGCATCATATTCTATACGGCTTCAACGCAGATCCACGACCTCCACTATGTTGATGGGTTGTTCATGTGTTTCAGCGCCATTACGGGGACGGGATTGAACGTGGTACGACTGGGTTACTACTTATTCGAGAACCAATGTTGATCGCTGACCGTTTTTACAGATGAACCTGTCTATACTAAATTCTGTACAACAAGGCACCCTGTTCACCCTTCTTATCCTCGGGCATGCTATTCCTATTTTCGGTTTCATCTCTTTAAAACGTGCCTGGTCGCTCAATTCAGCTCTGAAACATAGTTCAAACAAGGAAACGGGAGAGCAGAATGTGCCTCGCACGCCAACGTTGCAAATGCAAAAAGAGCAAATCACCGAGGATATTATTTTGGCTCCAGTGACGGCCAAGGCGAAAGTCACCACTGCAGTGAGAGAGGTTCCAGCGGATGTTTCGTCTCCTGGTGAGCCCGAGGGATCATGGAACGACTATGGCTTCATGGTTGTCACAGACCTGACACATCGTGATCAAAATCAACCAGTCGCTTCCATCACAATAATCGGTAACAAGAAAGATGTCAACAATGGAAAGGCAAAGATTTTACGCGTGAATATTAGACTGAAGAACATGATGCAATGGGCAGCAGACCGCCTGGCCCGCAAAGACTCAATCCACTTCAGTGCGCCCGGTGGGGTGGAGTGTATGGCACTTTTCCTGATATCAGTGCTTGTCATATTATATTTTATCGGGTTCCTTCTTCTCGGTATTGTGAGCCTCGGCCTCTGGTCAAAGTTTGTTCGCCCAGACATTCCACGCGAAAATGGAGCCTCGCCTTTCTGGGCAGGCGCTTTTCTTGCTACATCTGCGCTTTCCAACAACGGCCTGTCTCTTATCGATACCAACATGGGCCCTTATCAGAAAGAGTGAGTGATTCGCGAAACCGTTGCTCAGTAACTTCGTTAACCATGACCTGAGCAGGGTCTTTCCGCTTCTTGCCTGCGGCTTCCTCATTCTTGCTGGAAACACCCTTTTCCCTTGCTTGCTTAGATTTATCATCTGGGCCTTGAGAGCGATGTTGCCAGATAAACCTGCTTGGCAGTCGTGGCGACTAACTTTCGATTTTACTCTCGCTCAATCCCAAAAGGTTTGCGCTTATTTGTATCCTGCTTGGCATACATGGTTCTTATTGGGCACAATCCTCGTGCTCAACGCCATCATGTGGGGCGCTTTTGAGTTGTCTGCCATCCACAACGAGGAAATTCGCTCTCTTCCGACCAACTTCCAGGTCTTAGATGGGCTTTTCCAGGCTTTAGGTGTGTCCTTCCAGGGATTGACACTTTCTGGATAGAGCTAATGAAAGAATACAGCCGTGCGTGGTGGCGGGTTTTCTGTCGTGATGATTGATAGGTTGCCGCAAGGCTTGCTTATTCTATACGGTACGTGCTCTACTCCATAATCATGAATTGTCAACCTTTTTTCGAAACCTGTGCTAACGAAATTTGATTTAGCCTTTATGATGGTGAGAGCTCACACATGCCAAAACAACAATACCAGTAGCTAACTATACCGGGGCTAGTATCTTTCTGCTTTTCCAGTCTCAGCCGCTATCAGCAACAGCACACAAACCACCCAAAGTTGGCCCGTAGATGCCTCTTCTCAAGATGACTGTGGCCCACATTTCTCGAGCTTTGCTCGCGGCCGCTTCGTTTATCAACAACTTCACTCTCAGTTCAGCCACGACATCTGGTGGCTCTCTCTTGCAGTTTTTCTCATAACCATCATTGAATCGGATCACTACAGGGCCGACCCATTGGCGTTTTCCACTTTCAACATCATTTTCGAGGCTATCTCCGCATATAGCTGCGTCGGTGTGTCTGTTGGCTATCCGGGTACAAGCTATGCGTTTTGCGGCGCCTGGCACACACTTAGCAAGCTATTGCTTATCGCGGTTTCAGTGCGAGGAAGACATCGTGGGTTGTCTGCCATCATTGACAAAACTGCTCTTTTTGCTGAACCGCAGGGCGGGAACAAAAAGAAATTGGCTCAGCAGGAGAAAGATGAACATGTAAATATCAAAGAAACGCCAGTTGGTTGCGTCTAACATATTTTAAAAGTGACGCTCATTTTTGAGGAATATACAAGAAACTTTGTCACCAAATTTTCCGCAACCTTATTTTTCGTTCCCCAGGATTTTCTCATCTTCATCTGGGAATACTTTTCGCTTTTGCTAGTTCAGCGTTCCTCGTGTCACCAGTCAAAATCAAGATAGGAAGGTCCTACCAGACGAAACAAGGTTTTCATCAGCACCGGCACAGGTCGGAATCTCGTTTTCGCCGATGCGCCCGCCGGGATGCCCAGAATTTGGCGCCAAGAATTGCCAACCCGAAGGACGGGGTGGGAATTTGCCACTCACCCTGAGGACCATTTTATCAGTCCTTCACTCCTTGGTCCGAGCGGCATCTGTAAGGCTGGCTTGGCTATTACCAATGACGAGGATAGCCACAACCTGCCGTATTTAGCCCTTTTCTCGACCATGGACCATTCCTGGGCCAAGAAGAATTGGGGTATCCGAGGATCTGGACGACCTATGGTGAAACGACAGGTTGCCCCGTGGGTGTGTCGCTCTCAATTTTTAACCGCAACTCGAAGATCAGACCCTCCACGACCAGACTTGGACCACTAACTACTACTCCATGGCTCTCTGGGCCAAGTGCCCAGATCGGGCCCCGCGTCTCGGCGCCAAGTTGAGTATCTCTTCTCTTCCAATGACTGTCTCCTACCAACCATTGGACATGGATGGTTCAGGGCAATGGGTCATGGCAAAGGCCTTGGATATCCACACCGACTCAGTTGTGCCGGCAGAGCTCGCTCTCTCGCGTGTGACCTTAAGAGTCACTGTGTGCCCCGCGCAAAAGCTGCATTCTTTCTAACCCTTCAAGAAACAATTGCTCCAGATAAAATACAGATACGCAAGCAATTTAACACTGGGTACAGATATAACTTTCGACTCAACTAAAAGAAAGTCCAATGCCCGACGAAAAACCTGCCGCAGACCTCGGGTCCGGCGGCAGCCCCCTAAGCCAGCCGGCTCACACACTTCCTTATGAAGCGGTACTCAAGGAACTCACCACCGGACTCGATGAGGGTCTGGCCCCCGATGAAGCGAGTCGTCGTCTCCAGCAATATGGTCCCAACAAGCTGGACGAAGGCGAAGGCGTGTCGGTGGTCAAGATTCTCATCCGCCAGGTGGCCAACGCAATGATGCTAGTAAGGCACCCCTCTCTTTTACCATAATACCTTAGGGTAATGTTGAACACCCGCCAGTTCTGATCAAACTCTTCGTTGCAGGTCCTGATTCTCGCCATGGCGGTGAGTTTCGGAATTAAATCGTGGATTGAGGGCGGAGTTATCTGCGCTGTCATTGTGTTGAATATTGTCGTCGGGTTCTTCCAGGAGTACGCTGCTGAGAAGACCATGGAGTCTTTGCATTCATTGTCGTCGCCGACTGGGACTGTCTCGAGAGGCGGACAGACATTCGCAGTGCCGTCAGCGGAGATCGTACCTGGTGATATGATCGAGTTGAGAACAGGAGATACCGTTCCAGCAGATGTTCGGTGAGTGTAATTCTACTATTTCATTAAAGAATTCTAGGTAGTTTGTAACTTTTACTGACCGTAACAGACTTGTTGAAGCAGTCAACTTCGATACCGACGAGGCTCTTCTGACTGGCGAGTCTCTTCCCGTCCAGAAGGAATGTGATTCGATTTTCAAAGAGGACACTGGCCCCGGAGACCGGCTCAATATCGCGTACAGCTCAAGTACTGTTACTCGAGGTCGTGCTCGTGGTGTGGTTGTCAGTACCGGCATGTTCACTGAAATCGGTTCTATTGCTCTCGCATTGCGGGCCAGTGACAGCAAACGTCGTCCTGTTAAGCGCGGTCCCAACGGCGAGACCAAAAAGCGTTGGTACGCGAAGGCCTGGACTCTCACCGGGACAGATGCTGTTGGTCGATTCCTCGGCGTCAATATCGGCACCCCCTTGCAACGGAAGCTATCGAAACTGGCCTGTCTACTTTTCGGAATTGCCGTTGTGTTCGCTATCGTCTGCATGGCTGCAAACTCCTTCAGTAGCAGCACAGAGGTTATCATGTACGCGGTCGCGACCGGTATCAGTATGATTCCTGCTTGCTTGGTGGTCGTGCTTACCATCACTATGGCGGTGGGCACCAAACGCATGGTTGAGCGGCATGTTATCGTTCGCAAATTGGACTCGTTGGAAGCTCTCGGTGCTGTCACTGATATCTGTTCCGACAAGACCGGCACATTAACCCAAGGCAAGATGGTTGTCAAAAAGGCCTGGATTCCATCTCGAGGGACGTACTCTGTCGGCACATCCAACGAGCCTTTCAATCCTACCAATGCTGATGTCACGTTCACCCCTGTCCCTCCTCTGCGGTTTGATGATGAGAAGGAAGGTCTCGCAGAGGAAAACGCCGAAAGTCTGGTTTCAGGAAACCGTCAGCTCGAAGACTTTCTGGACGTTGCTTCCATGGCCAACCTCTCTCACGTGTACAAGTCCGAAGAAGGCGAGTGGCAAGCGCGAGGCGAGCCAACTGAAATCGCTATCGAAGTTTTCGCTTCGAGATTCAACTGGAACCGTGACCGCTGGACCAAAGGAGAAGGCGCAGTGTGGCACCAAAAAGCCGAATTCCCGTTCGATTCGACCGTCAAGAAAATGTCCGTTATTTTCAGCAAAGTCACACCGCAAGAGACCCGCACGATGGTATTCACCAAGGGTGCAGTCGAGCGCATCATAGATTCATGCACTTCTGTCATTTGGGATGAGGATTCATCTACCCCCATACCAATGACCGATGATCACCGCGACGAAATTCTCCAGAACATGGAGGAACTCGCCAAGCTGGGACTTCGCGTGTTGGCTTTGGCCCATCGCCCGTACACCGATCAGCCAAAAGTCCTCGAAGATTCCGATTTGGAACGTGAGGATGTTGAGAAAGATCTGTGCTTCCTGGGGCTGATCGGCTTATATGATCCCCCGCGCCCTGAAACAGCAAGCTCAATCCAGGCCTGCTACAAAGCTGGTGTGGTGGTCCACATGGTTACTGGAGATCACCCTGGCACAGCAAAGGCAATTGCACAGCAAGTTGGAATTCTTCCTGCTGACTTCAGTACAGTGGCAGCTGATGTCGCGGACGCTATGGTCATGACTGCCAGTCAATTCGACAAACTCACTGAGGATCAGATAGACGCGCTTCCGACTCTACCTTTAGTCATTGCACGCTGTGCTCCTCAGACCAAGGTGCGCATGATCGATGCCCTTCATCGCCGTGGGCGCTTTGCAGCGATGACTGGAGACGGAGTGAACGACTCTCCCTCTCTCAAGCATGCCGACGTTGGTATCGCTATGGGCCTGGCAGGGTCTGATGTGGCTAAAGACGCGTCTGATATTATCCTCACGGATGATAACTTCGCGTCTATTCTCAATGCTGTCGAGGAGGGAAGACGCATCTTTGACAATATTCAGAAATTTGTGCTCCATCTGTTGTCTGAAAATATTGCTCAGGCTTGCACCCTACTCATTGGGTTGGCGTTCAAAGACGCGGATAACCAGTCCGTCTTCCCTCTGTCACCAGTTGAAATCCTCTGGGTTATCATGATTACATCGGGCATGCCCGACATGGGCCTTGGTATGGAGGTGGCTGCCCCTGACATCATGAATCGCCCTCCCCAGAGCAAGCAAGGCATCTTCACTTGGGAGGTGATCATCGACATTATGGTTTATGGTGTTTGGACCGCAGCGCTCTGTCTAGCGGCATTCTCTATCCGCATGTGGGGATTCGGCGACGGCAATCTCGCCCGCGGCTGCAACAAGGAGTGGTCCGAGGAGATCAAAGACTGTGAGCTGGTATTCAAAGCTCGCGCCACCACGTTCGTGTGTCTCACTTGGTTTGCACTCTTCCTGGCTTGGGAGATGGTCAACATGCGTCGCTCTTTCTTCCGCATGCAGCCGAAATCGAAGAAGTATTTTACTCAGTGGATGTATGATGTGTGGCGAAACAAGTTCCTTTTCTGGTCTATCATGGCCGGATGGGTTACGATGTTCCCTATCCTGTATATCCCTGTACTGAACGACGTTGTCTTCAAACACAAGCCGATTACCTGGGAATGGGGTATCGTGGCTGTCGAGGCGGTTTTGTTCTTCATGGGCGTCGAAGCCTGGAAATGGGCTAAGCGGGTCTTCTTCCGTCGACAAGCGAGAAAAAACCCGACTTCGAGTCCGTTGGCTGAGGTCCCAGAACAGGCATAATGAATGCTTTCCCTGATCCGAAATCGAATCGGACCAGGTAGCATGCTACCAATTTTGTGTTTACGCAACGCATTACGGGAATATACTAACTGGATACTTGGACAGTCAATCATACACACCGGGGATACCTTGAGGGGTTCACAAGAATGAGTTGAAGAAGTTTGGACTCATAGGTTTGTATCTTCGGCACTGCGACGCCACACATGGTTGCTCTCCCGCGTAACATGTGAAACTATAGATAGAAGGGATGTATAAGCAGCATAGTCAATCAATCACTCCATAGTTTGTTGAGCCTCTTCCATGTACTATACTTGATTTCAACTAATTCCCGCCACCTTCTCGGTGTTCTCGTTATATGCATTTTGTTGATAAATCTACAGAAACACGCCTAGATTTAGCTATCATGGAGGGAGCAATTTGCGGAGTGATTTTGCTAATGACGGTGACTTTGTCCCGCGCCAGTTTCCGTTTGGGTTAGTGATTGGCGCTTTGACACAACTCCACGGTCAAGTGATATAACCAAGGCCAATCGAGACTGATGGGCGCCAAGATGCCCGAGTTCCTTATTGGGCGCGGTCATCATGCTGCGTTCTAGGCGTCCCGTGGACCCCAACTGATCCTAAATCCAATGAAGTGCCGTAGTTCCATCCGAGGCCGAGCGTGCGATCCTTGCGCGGACCGAAAGACCAAGCGCGGTGGGTGTTCCCCGTGTCGCCGGTGCAAGGCTCTCGGTTGCATCACATTGCGGAATCATTTAAACCAGGGCCCAAATAACTATGGGCTGCAAAGAAACGTGCAAGACCTGAATCGAAGAAGTCCCCACCAGGCCCACGACAGTCACACCGCAACATTTGCAAAAAGCAAATACGAAAATGACGTGTCAATAAATGAAATACGGCGCTGCCTTCCTTTTCCCTGCGACCAGTGATCAATGTCAACGACCTGTCGGCTCCACAACACGTCCGGTGTCGCGGCGTATGTGGTCGCCACAGCAGTCGCTGCCGTGATATGGAGAGCCGTCAACTGGATAGGGGAAATTGATGGTTTTCATGTACCATTACTATCGAGGATGAAGTAAGGGATTGGTCACAGAATCTCAAAAGACTACAGCATGACTTCTCTATCAGCAGAAGCTCAGAACCGATGCCTTGTTGTCATCTTTCTACTAGTGCGTTTACTTCTTCATGAGGCCATTGCCTTTCCACAGTTTCTCGAACTTGATCAAGCGAACCATTATGCTTCCTTGACCAGCAAAGAAGCCTAGCTCCATCTCCGTATAGTTTGGGTTCTCGTATTACCGAAAGATATGTCTCCGCATTCTTCAACTCTTCTTGGTCCAAGGATCCACTTCGGGGGGGGGGCACACCACACGCTTCGATTGCCTCACACCTCAGAATACGAACTCTCGATCTAAGTTTTGCATAGCTCCAAGCCGGCGAGGATCCATCGGGTTTGCTACCCTGCATAACCCGTCTTTTTTCAAACCTTCGCCGGTGTGGGCGGCCATGAAAACAATACTAGCATGGATGTGAGGAATAGTCAGGACCGAGTGCCCCACAGGCATTAGCCGAGAACCGACGTCGATGTCTTTCCAGCGAATGGAACTAGCGAATACCGCGATTTCCTTCGCCGAGATTCTCTCCCGCACCCCCTACATTTCACAATGCAGGTCGGCGAAAGTTTTTAAATAACTAAGGCAGATTTTTAGGGGCGTACCCAACGTAGATCTGGGCCTCGGGCTATTGCAGGAAAGGTCACCGAGGCGGCCTGGGCCGTCCCCCTGCCCCTGCATCATCGGCCAAGCGTCAACTCGGTCGAATAGCAATCACGATTTTAGCACATTCAAGATTGCCTAGGCTAAATGGAAGCATCGTCTGCTAGCTACCGCAGCCGATTCTCGGAAGATCCCAATTCTAGCCCGGAAAAGGCAGTTCTAAGCGTTGATCAGGGCTCGGCTATTGGTCCGTGGGAGAATCCCGGGGAAAGCGGGGAAATTGCGCCCGGGAGATCAGTTGTCCGGACTTCGTGTTTCATCTTTCCTCACCCCTCTCTCAACATTCCCGTTGTCTATTGCGGCTGTTCAACTGACCCCGGTCGCCTTGCCATCTCCTTTGGGTGACCTCTACTCTCTTGAGAAGATGGTTCTAAAGGCATGCGACCGGTGCCATTTGAGTAAGGAGAAATGCACCTTCACAGACGATAATCAGCAGCAATGCACCAGGTGCCGGCGCCTGAAGATTACCTGCTCGACATCCCGACGGAACAGACGTATAGGTCGCCGCCCTGCTGCGAAAGCCTTCCCGCATGGGGAGATGCAAATATGGAGCGTCGATTCACATCAACAATGCCCGTCCGACGCTCGTGATACCAAAGCGTCACCGAGTGTGCCCCGAAAACGTTCAATCTCAAGTACGCCGTCCGATACAACGGAAGAACTTGGAACTCCACAAAAAGTCGACTCGCCCGACAGCGATGACGCCATGCTCTTGCCACCGGAGAAACTGCTCGCCTACCCTGCCGAACTTCAAACAACCCGCGATGCTATGCGCACAGTGCTAGACGTGGATCAATTTACTGCAATTCATATGCCATTCATGTGGGGAACGAGTTTCGTGCCCGAATCCCAAAGGACCGTCTATGCGATTTTATGTCTATCGGGGCCCACGTTAACCGAGGGTTACTTGGCATTCATCGGGCTCATGACGAGCTACCAAAGATCACTTGTTATGCGACGAAATGCCCCCGACATGATGAAAGCTGCGAAAGGTCTGCAACGACTGCGAAGCGTCAAGATAACGCAAAGTTGCGATGCGGTTTGTGCTCTCTTCTTGGGGCAAACCATGTATGTGTTCAACGTACTCACCGCGCACGACTCGTCCACGGCCCATTCCATCGTGCGAAGCTCCCTTATGTCAACCAAAGCCTGGGTCCCGGCCCTCATACAATACCCCGTCATGGACACAATAATCATGACTCCTATTCTCGTCGACACGGTCGAATGCTTGGCGCGTCGCGAGGTTCCTATATTGAAACTCCCGGCCACAGAAAGGATCATTATAGATCGCTATGCGGGCCTCCTTGCAACCCTTTTACCCATCCTGTACGATCTCTGCGAATGCAGCCATGATATGAAGAGGGATATCACCGATATCGGATCTGACTCGTACCCGGAACACTCCCAACGCCTGGCTGAGATAGAGCAAACAATCCGGCATTGGAAGCCTCAAACATCACCCCAGATGTTCACCGATTTCGCGCAACACGAGATCTTGGCAATGGTGACACAAGCAAATGTTTATCGCCTTGCGGCTCTGTTGATCATCCACCGCCTGCGGTATCCTCTAGGCGTCGAAGATGCCACGGGGCAAGACCTCGCAAATAGTATTTTTGCCGAAATGTCCTTTTTTACCAAATCAGCTACCCACAAAACTACCGCTCTGCCAGTCGTGTTTCCCTTAACATTATCCATGTTTGAGGTCCAAGGACCGGGGGAGGAATTACTGGAAAGATTATCTTCATTTACAGTTCAAAGTACAAGTGCATTGAGACTTCAGGAATTTGTCAAGCGGGTCCGAGCATCACGAGAGTTAGGGTTTAGGGGGTTTTGGTTTGAATTGGCTGAAACACAACTTCATGCAGCGATGCCTCCTTGATCTACTTATCCTATCACGCTAAGAAATCCACAAGAAGACACTAATTCACGTTAATCAATGACTATGAGGTCATGCTTCTCCTCTAGACCCACTGACAGGAGGCATATGCCGGATAAAGTTGACTCTACCGGGGTGCTTTCTTGCCTTTAATAGGTTCCCGTGTCAAATGATCCCCCGGCCGTAGCCAATTTCTGGACAAGGATATATACCCCGGTGTCAAAGCTTCCGCTGATCCGGGGTTGAACGAATCTGGAAGTAAGCACCCGGGTCCCTCCAATGATATCTGACCAGATCCCCGTCCGGTCAATGCCCCACCTAGCCGGATTGAGAATAAAGGGGCCGGATTACGTCGTGGAATAGGACGATCCTTTATTTAAGGTATTGCAATTCTCTCGAATTTCAAGATTTGGATTGCATATCTTCTTCTCTTTCAAGGTTTAAAAACCCCTGGGGTCTCCGCGGATCCTCACTGGCAGACTTTGATCTTTTATATTCTCTCTAGCAATGAACAAGCCCGAGTCAAGCTAGCGTCGGAACCCCAGGCTACATGAATCCTTCATTTCCCTTTCCCTGAGACCACAAAATACTCCGTATTCACCCGGGGAAAATTCGCTAGCCGTTTGCCTCCCTTGGAAAAAATTACCTCACATCTGGCACATCGCTATCTCGCGACCTGAGAGTGCCTCACCTTCAGAATTCTTCGAATCACTATACACTTTACTTCTTCGTATCCATCTTCTTTGGGCAGTAAAAAAAAATGTCATCGCCACAAGCCCGACCCATGCCTCATTTTGAGACAGCTGGAAAGGCATGTCATTCTTGTCGAATCAACAAGATCCCCTGCGGCGCCGCCCCTGGAACCCCATGTCAGAACTGGAACCGGCGAGTTCCCTACCACGAGATCGACCAAAGAAGTAGCAAGAAGTAAGCCTTCTTTATCTTATTTGAACAATCAACTTACAAATTGCCAGACGAAGAATGAATCCTAAACCATCTGCAATGTCTCCACCGGTTCCAGAGGGGGTATGGCCTCTTGGCGTCGATACGCACAACACCTACCCATTAGACCTAGCTTCCCAGTACATGGATTTCGGAGACGAGTACGCGATCATTGCAAGTGACCCCGAGGCCGAGTGGACCAAAGTGACCCTTGACCCTGCTGGTGAGCTTTCCCGGATTCAACAAACCTTACGATGCACAACGAGCCTTTGCTTATTGCCAATTAGCTCCACCACAACTCTCTTTGGATACCCAGACAGTGTTAAATTCTACCAACGACGAATTACGGAATACCTTCACCGATTTCAGTTCTGAGGGCTCTTCTCAAGGCTCTCCGTCGTCAACGCTGAGCCATGTGTCACTGTTGCCAGACTTTGTCCATCCCCTTCCACCTGCCATAGATTCGGCAACCACCGAGTTTCTTCAGGTGAACGGTGTCTTTACACTCCCGAGTGAACGTCTTCAAAGTGCCCTCTTGCAATCTTTTGTCGAATGCGTACTGCCTTCCATGCCAATCGTTGAATGGCAGGATTTTCTCAATTCGATTTACGGTCGGGGTGGCCATAGCCCCATTAGCTTGCTCCTATTCCACGCCGTGATGTTTTCCGCGACTACATTTGTTGATTTGAAACACCTAAATGAGGCGGGATATTCGAATAGGCGGGAAGCACATGAATCATTCTTCCAGAAAGCAAAGGTATGCCGAGGAACTGTACCAGCTTGAGGTTCCAACTAACAAAAGAACAGCTTCTCTACCAAGCATGCTACGAAGAAGACACCCTCACCATCGTGCAATCCATGCTCCTCCTAACCCACCGCGCTGACGCTAAAGACGGTGATGACAGCAGCCACTGGATCGGAATAGCAATATCCATGGCCACATCCATCGGCCTCCTTCAAGATCCGAACGGCACCAGAAACTTTCACCACAGCTCTAGACTCTGGAAGCGAGTCGCCTGGGCATGCTACACAACAGACTGTCTCATTTCACTAAGACTCAGATGCCAACCAAATATCCCCAGCATCGGCTTTTGTCACCAGACTCTAACAGAAGACGACTTTGAGCTATACAGTCTCCCCGAAGATAATTGGATCCTGTCACCGAGCTGCACAGTAGCATACGACGCCAACGTTCAGAGAGAACTTGCGCGTATATACATTGCAAATACGCGTTTATGTGTCTGTATCAGCGAAGTTCTCGATTTCAGGGGCAAGGCCAATCACCTTTACGCGTCGGCCGAACCAATAATTTCAAGAAACAGAGATAGCCTCGACAAAGCCACGAGAGTCTCCATTTCAGAATACAAACTAGCAGATTGGGCTGACTCCTTACCATCCTCCTGCCACGCCCCCTCTTTGGAGTCCAGCAACATCAACGATCCGACAATCGCCGTGCAGCGCAGTCTTCTCCACCTGCAGTTCTATACGACCATCGCGATTTTGCACCAAATGCAACCCTTCCAATCATCCAAGTTCTGCGTCCAGCATGCTGCGAGTCAAATTACGTTGATTGCGTCGGAATTATATGAAAAGGGGCTGCATGATCGATTGTCTATTGTTGGTGTCACGGCGATTCTCGTGGCGCTGATTATTCACATGTCTAAGCTGAAGGCGTCACCATCGTCCGAGAGATACCAGGCTATCAAGAACTTCCAGTCGTGTCTTGACGTGATGGTTAGTTTAAGGGATGTTTATTGGGAGGCTGCGAGTGTTACTGAGTGGGCGTCGAAGGCGATTGAAAGCGTTGTTTTTGATGGGGTTTTAGAGTTGGTGGATTGACTGAAGGCTAATTTCTAACTATGATCTTGTATTAATAATTGAAAAGCATGTGTAACGTCGTTAATTATATATAATGCACAACATGAGCTGATTATGAGTTAACTAATGAAGTGGGCTTTTTGAAGTGGTCTGTAGCATACCTCGATACACATCATGATGAATGCTGGAAGGACATAAACATTCGCCGGTCCCAGGTCGGCGGATTGCCATTTCCATTCTAGGTATAGATAATCACCAAGCGATTGTGATACGCTACTTAGTTGCCGTGACGTATGGACACGAGAATCTTGGCCTAGTAGCACAAGGTTTCCGTGGAGAGTTTGGGCTCTAGAGCTAAAACAGAAACACACCCGGGACTTGGCCGACACACATGACGCTTTCAAAGGCTAAAAGAAGACGAAATTCAATTTACTTTCAGCAAAATCCAATATGTCTAGAAAGAATCCAAAACCAGATCATCAAGTCTCCTCGTGACCAAAATCAAGCAGCAACAGCAGGGACCTGCGCAGTCTCCACATTATCCATTACCATGTTAGGCTTCTCCTCCACCTGAGCCGAAGTCGACGTCGAAGCTGTCGTCGAAGCCGGAACAGGATAAAAGTCAATATGTCCCCCTTCCTTGATAACCCCAGTCCTATCCAAAATAGTCCTGGCACGAACGTAGGGATCAAGCTGCCAGTAATTGTCTCGCAGCTTCATAATCACTTCATCGCGACCACTCGGCGGTGGATCGTTCTTCGAGCTTGAGATCCACTCAGAAGTCAACGTGAAAAGCTCATCTCCGAGCTTCTTCCTTTCAGCCAGGATATTTTCACGCGTGATCGTATCTTTGAGTCTGTCATTCTCGTTTGGCTGGGGCTCGATGTATTCGTATTCCCAGTCTTCTTCGCCGCCGAGCTCTTTCAGGATTTGGGATTTGGGGATCATTTTCTCGAGATCCTTCGCGCCGCTGATAAAGTGGACTTTAGCGGCGACTACGGGGTCGAGGATTCCGTGAATGATTTTCCAGAAACCTATGTTCAGTCCAAGTCAATTCTGAGCTAAGATGGTAGTCACTGGGGGCTTGAGACGAACCGGAGAAGATCCAGGGAGCGTTGTAGAAGATTATGGCTCCCAGAGATTCGGGGTAGTTCTCTTGAAAGCTGTCGATGATGAATTTGACCGGTAGGAATTCCTAAATTGCAATTTAGTTCAAAAGGTTCCACAGGGTCAAGGCATCTTCTCTTACCCAGTTAGAAAGACTGAATGACGTCAAGTCGAAAACAATTGCCTAGTTGAAGCTGTGCGTTAGCGTTTCTCCAAATGCAAAATCCACTAATGTGGCTCCTAAGTACTGAGCTTACCATGGTCTCCACTGGGGGGACCTGCAAAAATCGAACGGTCTCAATGCAGTGAATGATGTAGTCATTCAATCCCTTCTGCGTTTGGTCATTTGGGTTGTGTGTCCGCACTCGAATGATACAGATAGGACGACCCCAGTTATCAGATCCATGGTAATGGCCCTTGCCAGTCTTCAGCTGATGCATAAAGCCCTGGCCATCTTTCGTTTCAGCCGAGTCTCCGCTCTGTCGCGATTTCTCCAGTTGGTATTCCTCGCCTTTGAGAAGAACCTCTTCATCAACTTTGTACTCATTGACTCGCCAGTTCAGGGCTGACACGAGCTTGATCCATGCTTTGGGGATGTTCCATTTCTCCGCCCGGATGAAACGTAGACAAAGCGCGTCGGGATGGTCTTGCTTTAGAACTGTAAGCAGGGTCGAGCGCAGCTTGTCTCCGGGGAGCTTTTTCAAAAGCGAGTTGATGGTTTTGATCTCGTTTGGGCCTGTTTCCAAGCTTTGTAGAGTCGAGAGGAGGTTGGCCGGAATGGCAACCGTGTCTTCTTCTGTGGGTTGAGCTTGGGATCGGCCCAGAGAGAAGAAACGTCGATGAGTGCCACTAGAAGAGACCGATGATTTGCGGGCAGGCTCTGGACCGGGAATGGTAGGATCCCAAGATTGCATCAGAATTCGCCAAAACTGGTGCAGTTTCTCTTGCTGTGAAGCATCCAGTCTCCCGACGTATCCAGGGGCTGAGTTCTCTGGTATGTCCGCCATCTTGCAAAAAGGGTTGGAAAGATCTAAGGATAAATCTGGGTGAAAACCAACAATTGATCTGGGGTGTTGTCGTGAGGAGTTCTGGATATTTAGGTCGAAGAATCAGTTTATTTTACAGCTAGGGAGTGGCCGATGAGATCATAATAGTGCCAATCATTTTAAGCACTTTGCATTCTCGGGCCCCCATGTGATTTTTTCTCCTGATTTTCAGCTACCTCGGGGCCTCGAAGCTGCAGCTTCATGCGGGGCTAATGCAGAAAGAGGGGTACGTTGGGCCATGTGTAGGATATAGCGCTAAGGACTAGCCACAAAACGCAAAAAGAAACCGGCTAATGTTGAACCTTAACATTGATCTTCGAACCGCATGGGCTATGTTAAAAGAAAAGAAAGCCATGAACAATATAACTCTAAACCCCGCTCGAGACGTGACCGCGGAACAGATACCAAAATAGTATGAAGCGGCCGGGGTTAACTCCACTGGGTCGAGCGGTATTCGACTGGACAGGTCCGTGTGGCCGGGAGCGACCGACCCCGCCTGCCCCTGGATTCTATGAGCCGTCCCAAGAACGGGCTTGTCAGTGACCTATGTTGAAGCATAACAAGTACAGCGAAAGAATTTGCTAATAGGGACTCGACCATTGTATTTCTTTGGATTTTTGACTTACCAATATCACTCTTTCCTACGGGAGACTGTTTGTGGATGTCCTAGAGATCGCAGATGGGAAAAAAAGAAAAGAAAATACAGGCCAAGGTTCAGGTCGTTTACAGAGGCCTTATCAGGGCAACAATGCAAGCTGCAGCTACCACCAGGGAAACGTGCTGTGTAACCTCTCGTATCTCACTTTTGAATGTTGTGGGTCCGCCACGCGTGAAAATCGCCGAAACAGAATCTGTCGTCACGTGTCCACCATCTCTCATTCATCACGCCAGAAAGAACATCGCGCCGAGGTAAACCAGGGGGCATGGAGGTTCGGAGCAATTTCAAAGAACTGCCCATCGAACCCCACGGCATAATCTGGGAAAATGACTTCGTCGACTCCGAACATGAGCAGCGACTCATATCAATCTTCCAAAATGAGCTAGAATGGCCCGATCGCTCCGGTCGGATATCTCTCCACTACGGCTACACTTTCGACTATAAAACATTCGGCATAGACCCGGAGATCCCCTACAAGGAATTCCCCGAGTGGCTCCAGCCACTCATCCCGACTACCGAAGCTCGGCCTCCGGACCAGGTCTGTCTGCAGTACTACCCGCCGGGTGCTGGCATCCCGCCGCACGTAGATGCACACGGGCCTTATGATCAGCTCTACGCGCTTTCTCTTGGCGCGCCGGCTATTATGCAGTTCCGCAAGGGAGAAGAGCGGGTTGAGGTTGATTTGACTCCGAGGAGCATGATGCAGATGTCTGGTGATTCAAGACTGCATTGGACTCACGGTATTAAGAAGCGCAAGAATGATACGCTTCCGGATGGGACTGTGAGGCCACGCCAGGATCGATGGAGTATCACGTATCGATGGCTTAGGGAAGGTGGGGAGTGTGAGTGCGGGAATATTCATCATTGTGACACCGCTCAGCAGCGGAATGGAACTGAGAAAGAGAAGAGGTCATTGAAAGAGCTGGCAGCTAAGGCAAGTGACGAGGACCCTGTCGCCTTGAGCTGACCGTCACGTATTAACGCTCTTTGAGCTTGAACTGAGATGAACCTTGTCATGAGAAGACGCTCATATCGCCCATGTTTGCAGCGCATTGTATCTATCAAGCCTTTATATACCCACGCAAAAGTCTCGGTTTTTTTTTATCTTTCCTGCCCTGTACTTAAGACGTTGCATTGAGTTGAAGACAGTAAACGTGCCCATCTGACTTCCATTTTGGACAAAATGCCTGACGAAACGAAAGTAGGGAATAAATGGATTGAAAGTGATGCGAGGACTGGCCAGTTTGATGAAGCGTCCAGCGCTTTTACATTGTCTCAGTCCCACCGTCTCGACCTTTGTTCATCCTACGTGAACGTGAAACTCCTCCTATCCCATAAGCCAATAATAACAAACTGCGTAACTCCTATTGCGCGCCTCCCTATCCCTGTTTACCATATTGTTCATAGCTAACCGAAATCTCATCCGTCCTCGCGATACCCCCAGTGCTCCGCATAATAGTCTCATCGCTAGTATTCTTCGTGTTGTAAGAGATGACAGTCTTCTGGTAAGGGCTGCCATCTGAGTTGAGGGTAGAATGTTCGGGGCCAGAAATTGAGAGTTTGCCGTATTTTCTACCACTCCCATACAACGGTAGTTTATATGGTGTGTTCCCGGAGGAGCCGCTCTTACCATCCTTTCCGTACCGCACACGGATGTAGAGAGGACGGAGAACGGGAATTGACGAGCACATGATTGTGACGCAGCTTTCGGTGGCGGACCAGATGAGCATGGGGACGGTATCATCTGTGGATGAGGGGGTTAGATTTGTCAATCTTGAATGAAGATAAGAGGGGACGTACAGATGTACTCGGATGCGTTCAAGCCTGACAAGGCTACAGTGCGGACGATGCCACATATTCCAGCGCTAAAGACTACCACTTAGATGACACCAAGTACATGGAGTGCTCTCGAGACTTACAAAACACCAAGACTGAGGCCGCAAGCAACGGTGATCTTTTCCTTCTGTTTCATGTTGAGATCCCAGACAACGAACCACGGGAGTATCGCAAAGGAGAAGTCGGCACCAACGAACCATGCTGGGAAGTGATAAAATCAGCGATTTCATCACCAATGAAGAGAAGACATCATGTTTTACTCACATCCAACAGTGTATCCAACCCTGGAGAAATCAAGCCAGCAATACCCCGGTGTTCTCGGATCCCAAGTCTTCTGCACCGGCACACACTGCACTATAACGGTGATACACGCGAAAGTTGTGATGATGGCTGTAATCACGATGCAGGCCCAGATAAATCCAATCTGGATTTTATTCCTCACGATTCGAAGTAGAAAAACGCCGACGGCTGCCTTTCCAATTCCAATGACCGCGAGGCCAGCAACCTGACTGAATAGTTCGTACTTCACAGCCGTGAAATAGGTGTCCGGGTCCCCAACAGTTGCATAAAGTTGTCCGAGACCGTAGTAAGTTCCTATGGTGACGAATACGGTGTAAAGGATATGAACAATCTGCAACGTGTTAGTCGTCGCCTAAGAAAAGCCATGCTGCGATTTTCAGTCTCACCAGCGCAAGAACAACGAGATAATCATCAATACCAACGGCGTTCAGAAGGCATTTCCGCGTATATAGTCTCAGCCCGACGAAGATAGCGAAGATAACGACCTCCACCCAAAGGACCGCATTGGTCATTGGCCCTAGACCTCCGTATACACCCATTTTGGAGATGAATAGGACTTATTCACGAGCGAGAGATAGGAATCATGAAAATAATGGGGGAAAGGGAATGCTGCCCAGGAGAATGATGGAACTTTCAGTGCGACAGTCTCGAAGCTTTTACGGGTTGTACAATTTGAGACATCATTTTCCGTTGCCTATCGTTCTGCATACTAACTCAAAGCGGAAGGTTGGAGTTTTAGCATGCCTGAGCAAGTCTCTTCACACTACAGAGTACTCATTCAAGGAAAATTAAGCCAGGATTCAAGTCTTGTTCTCTTTAGAGTTGCATATGGATTACCCACGAGGCTATACTAAACTAGCAGGCGTGTGTATGCCACCAGGTCGGCGCTAACCGAAAGAGGCAGAGATCAGTCGGGCACGGATGCATAGGATCGCGTTCCGAGCCCATCGTTGAAGCCATGGACCCACATCCAGATGGCAGTAAAGATTGACAGATCACAAATATTCTCCTGACAAATAGAAGGCCCACATTTGAAACACTAGGAGCTGTCATGTTAGCCAACGGCCCGCGCGTTGATCCCACGAGCTTCCCTGACAGGAAACATCCAGGCATGAAACGGAGGTTTTGCAATTGGTTCGAAAACTCGATCGTCTGCAGTAAGGTTTTTGCGTTCAATGGTCAGGGCATTTCTCCAAGTTTGGTCTTCTGGACTCTTCAATGTTCTAGGCCCTCGTGCAGTCTGGGCTTTCTCGACAAAAAGGAGTATTGAAATTCAAACGCGTGAAACCCAAGGAATTGAATCAGAAAGCAAGGAAAAAGCTGCAAATGCCGTGTGAATACGACCACGTCACCTCTGAAGTGAGCAATGACATTCACCGATAGAGGTGGCAAACACTAACATTGTTGATACCAAGAGCCCAGACCCGATGTCATTCACACTAAACTTGACAAGGCGCAAGCGCTAGCACCCAGAATTCCTACACGTTCCATTCCTCGTCCGTTGGCATCAAAGCTCCCGGTGCCTCCCAGCGATCCTTCCCAAAGGAGGTCAATTGATTTCGATCATCCTTCGCTTGGGTCCGTATTCCGCATCCGAGAAGAGCAGCCGTTACCTGTCAACAAAAGAAAGTTTTCGGTGGAGGGAATATCCGCCCCTCCTCCACTTTGGAATGTGGGATTGGATGTGCATGCCAAGTATTTACACCCTAACGCTCTGGTCCGTCCTTCCGGAGACCTGATACCATAATGGCGTCGTTGGGGCGCCGGGAGTCCGGATACTACCCCAGGTGCCACATTGCCGGCCACTGCTTAGACAGGGGCTTGGTCCTGGATCGGCATTTTGAGAACGAATTATCGCTCATTTCAGTTAATGCCACAAGTAGACTGGCGTGAGGGTGAAACACCGGCGTAAACTTGCAAGCTACAACGGTGTTATTGCAGTGAATAGCCTGCGAGCCCCCTGTGTAGTCATCTATAGCAGAGAAATACTTCTCCAGGAGTCTGCTGGTCAGTATAAAAAACGCAGTTCGTCGATTCTGGCTTCTTTCATGCGAGAGTTAGGGTGAAATTCCCATGTGTTCTATGGATATCAAGCAACAAGGCAACTAGAACAGGAGCAAAGCCTGTGGGGCATTGTGGGTTAGTGGTGAGGGGCTAACACTATTAGGTTTGCCTTCAGACTCTAGTGAGGTAACAGACTTGTTTTTACTGTTGATGTTTCAGGGAACTTTCCTGGAAGTCTCCGGCCTCGACCATGTGGTACTCCCATGTGGTCATTCCCTAGCCCAACGGCCCATGCGGGCATATAAGTTTGAGTTGACTGACGGTTTGTTCCTTGGTTCTTCACAGCCTTTTTGATAGCCGCCTTTCTAAGTCCATTCATTGAACCCTGAACGTTAAAAATGTCGAACCAAACTCAGCAAATTATTGCTACGCTTGACGCAGTTCACCCTGAGGCGTTCGGCGGTAACGAGGTAGAGCGCCTCGAAGTTCGCGCGGCTGCACGTCGTCTGCTTGCCAGAGTAGAATCACCCTATGAACGCGCATGGGGCTTTTGTTTCGAACACCCTGTCGTCTTTGCGGCTCTGCAAACATGCATCGACGTGGGTCTCTGGAAAGCCTGGACTGGGATTGGAGGTGATGAGAAGACCATTGATCAGCTGGCAAAGATGACTACCCCTACCGTTGATATTAATCTTCTGCGTATGTTCTCATCCCCAAAATAGCATGACCGAAAAGACTCATAGAATACATTCAGGTCGTCTCTTCCGCCTGCTAGCAGCTTTCAACGTTGTTGAAGAGACAAGTAAAGACAAATTCAAGCCGACACCATTTTCATACGCCATTGGTGACGAAAGCACGAAGGTCCGCGCCTCACTTCAGGCAGCGTAAGGATATCCCCAACCATTGCTCTATGTGCCAACTGACTTCGCGGCCCAGAACCAATCAATACATTGAGGCTGGACACAACTTACCCACCTACCTCGCCAAAATCTCTTATCAAGAGCCCACTGACATTAATGTGAACAATTACTCTGATAGTGATCCAGATGGCCTCAACTTTTTCGGGCGACTGCAAAAGTCCCCTGCCTACTTTGAAGCTTTCACTGGTCATATGGAAGCCTGGACAGCATGGAAGACACCGTGGACTAAGGTCTACAACACAACTAAGTTGTTGGAGGGCGCCGATTTGAGTAACGGCTCTCCATTCGTGGTTGATGTTGGTGGAAATACCGGTATCGATATCACCCATGTCCTCAACAAGCATCCAGAGCTGCCTGCCGGATCTCTGGTCTTGCAAGACCTTCCTGAAATCATTGCCAATTCTCAAGTCGATAAGAGGATTACCTCTATGGCTCATGACTTTTTCCTTCCCCAGCCTGTCCAAGGTGAGATATACTACCGTTGGAAATTCCCGGCATTCGACTAACAAGAAATCTGTAGGGAGCAGAGCTTACTTCATGCATGCCGTCCTTCACGACTGGCCCGATGACAAGGCAAAGCAACTGCTGGAGAATACCCGAGATGCAATGGTGAAGGGCTACTCAAAGCTCTTTGTCTACGACATTGTTCTTCCGCCCACGGGAGCCAGTATTAGCCAGGCTACAATGGACGTGAATATGATGTCGCTACTGTCAGCCTCGGAGCGGACCCAAGAGGCGTGGAAGAAGCTCTTGAGTAATGCAGGCTTGCAGATTGTCAACTTCTGGCCTGATCCTCAGCAGTACGAGATGATTATTGAGGCTGAGGTTGCGGGGTCATCGAACGATGTTTCAAATGGTCACACCAACGGTCACTCAAACGGCCACTATAATGGTCACTAATCTACCCTGCAGGTACTTTGAGATATGTAACGCAATAAATTTAACAAGTTTTCATAAAGTTCAACAAGGTGACATTTAGATGAGGTCTAGGCCTAGGTATTGGGAATTGCACGTGTGATTATAAAGCCTTCAGGTTCCTGGGAGGGTGGAGCAAAGCTTAGAAATCGACCCCGGAAAATTAGAAATCATGCAATATTTATCTGGCTTCAATTACCAATGTAGTATTTTACGAACAGCTATATAATGTTCCTTGCTTCATGAGAGCATAAGAACGGGCACCACTTCAAAGTCATTGCCAAAAAAAAAAAAAAGCACTGATCACCCATCAAGCCCACGAATCTATCCTAAGAAATTACAAATATGGCAACTTTCGAGAACAAAGCCGCCTGGATCACGGCCGCCCAGGCCACACCCCTTGAAGTTGGACCTGGCCCGACACCGAACCCTTCCGAAGACGAAGTCGTAATCAAGGTCGCATACTCTGCCGTCAACCCCGTCGACTGGAAAGTGAGATAACGGGTGCGATGACAACCCTTGGTGCCATTTGGCTAATCCAATCTATTTAAAGCTTCAAGATTATTCTGCACCGCATCTCAAATATCCTTACATATTCGGAACCGATGTGGCAGGCAACGTTGTAGCGGTTGGCTCCGGGCTCGCCAGTCGCTTCACAGTTGGCCAAAGAGTGATAGGGTACACATCACTTTACAGAGTCAATCTTCAAACCGCGCTGACCAAAATCTCCCTAGACATTGCGATGGCCTTCTCTCAGGAAAGCCCACCAACAACGGGTTCCAGCTCTATTCGACCTGCAAAGAAATCCTGGTATCCCCAATTCCCCATTCCTTACCTCTGGCAAATGCTGCGGTTCTCCCCTTGTCAATTTCGACTGCCGCCAGTGCACTTTTCCTTGAGCTCCAAGCCCCGCTCCCATCTTTGAATCCTAAGCCAACAGGAAAGAGGATCTTGATCTGGGGAGGAAGTTCTTCTGTTGGAAGTTCGGCGATCCAGCTTGCGGTTGCAGCTGGACTTGAAGTTGTGGCTACCGCCAGGAGTGTGAATCACAGTTTTGTGAGGAGCCTTGGTGCCTCGCACGTTCTTGACTACGAGGACTCGGATGTTCTTGATAAGACAGCTGGTCTCTTGAAACCAGGTGATCTTGTCGTGGATGCAATCAGCAGTCAGGATACGCAGGCCAAATGTGCGCAGATCTTAGCGGGACTTGGAGGAGGCAAGCTTCCATTGATGATGCCTCCCGAGGTCACGATGCCCGACAATGTGAATGCTGTTTTTGGTAAGCCGTTTATTTCAATGTTTTTAACAATATATCCGCTTTCTCACCATGGTTTAGTGAACTCTTTGAGCCCTGGCCTTACTGCTGTCGATATCGGAGACGCTGTCTGGCGGAAGTACATCCCAGAGGCATTGGCTGCTGGAAAATATCAAGCAAAGCCGGACCCCTTCGTTATTACTGGTGGACTGGAGAAGGTACAGGACGGGATTGATCTGCTCCGCAAAGGTGTCTCGGCAAAGAAAATTGTCATTGAGCTATCTGGAGAGCAATAGGGAAGCAAAAGCTTGGTCTTTCATAAGGGTAGCATCGTATAGATAAATATTATTCTTCTTGTGATATGAGGCTGGTGCAAATCAGGAACTAAGCCGAACCTCGGAATTAATCCCGAGATATCTATACGAAGAACCAAGTTGATTGGAAAGCAACTTGGTTCGGTATGCTTTCGATGCCGGCTATTTGGGCCACTCCAAAACCGTTTGTTGGGAGAAAGGATTGATTATTGCAATAGCGGAGGTTGAAATTGGTATTGAGATTATTGGATCTTCTGGAAATTGAAAATTCGGAGGCTTCTAGACCATGCGATCACTCGTTGGCGCGCATTTACCTAGCCCTTCACCCTCTGTGGGAGCTGTTCAATCGCTCACAGGAAAGAAATATCTGATGCTGCGCTTCCATTCATGATTTTAGATCCCCCATAAGCCCTGTGACTATCGCTGGGTTTCGTCAGATCTTTCGCATGGGGTGGTGGTTGTGTCTCTCTTACTGCCATCACAAACATTCTGTTCATCTATTTTGAGTGCTTCCACGGCAGTATGACAATGGCAAAGTCTCATGCCAAAAGTGGCATCCAAATTTTACAACATTGAACAGAAAAAGTGATAATTCCACTGACGCAACCTGGCTCTAATTGTCACTAATCTACCCTGTACTTTGAGATATGTAACGCAATTAAATTTAACAAGATTCATAACGTTCAACATGACTTTTTGTCATTGACTATATTTTCTACAGATTTACGGAGTGCAATGGTCTACATTGGGTCATAATGAGGAGATATAAGTGATTAATGATTCAATTTAGAATCCCTAAATAACTAGTACATGTTTGAAATTATTAAGGAGTGTCCCATCCTAGCGCAATGCAATCAAGCAAAATAGTCGTAGCTCATGTAGAAAGTTGTCGAATCGCAACATGGCCACGAATTCGAACCCATTGGTTTACTCAATAGTGATCTTCTTGGTGGCGGTGGTGGTCGCCTTCGGAATGGTGACCGACAGGATGCCGTTCTTGAGGCTGGCCTTGACAGCGTCCTGGTCGACGCGCTGACCAAAGGCGAAGGTGCGCTGGAACTCCCCAACAACGCGCTCGCTAGCCCAGTAGGTGGTCTTGCCGGACTTGTTTGTCTTGTCAGTCTTGGCCACAGCATCAGATTTGTCGCCCTCCTCGGCTTCGGCCTGAGGCTCGGTGCGGTAAGAGCGCTCGGTGCGACCCTTCACGACAAGCGTTTGCGGGTCGGAGAACTCAATTTCGATATTCTCCTGGGCAATACCGGGCAGCTCACCGTCTAGGTGGTAGGCATCGTTGCTCTCGCGAACATCGAAGCGAGGGTTAAAGGTGCGCAAGGCGGACTGGTTGCCAGAGCGGTGATGGTCATAGTCGTCGAGAAGACGGAAGAGAGGCGAGAAGTCGCCGCTGGCTGGGAAGTTGGTGCGGAAGAGAGACATGGTGGATGTGAGAGTAGTCAAGGATGACTGATGTTTGATGTTTAGAAATAGGAGTTGTAAGCTCTGAAAGTACTCGAGGACTTGTTGTTGTTTGTTGGATGATGAAGGCTTAGAGCGTGGCCAGTGAGGGGGACTTTATAGACGAGAGAAGGCGAAGACCGGAATATTCTACCACGTAATTCTTCGATCATGCGAACCATCCTGGTGCTTCTGGAAAGCCACCGGTTGGTGTAACTAAGTGTTGTCGTAAGATCGTATGATGCTGGTCTCGGCTCGCATCTTCTCCAAGGTTGTGGATTCTTCTCCACGTTTCTACAGTCACGTGACTTAGCCCCCCGAACCGTCCATTCCGAGAGCGCTAGTCTACTGTATTCTATATTTCTGAAAATAGAATTAACAAATCATAGGCCAGCACAGTACTAGTTTTTTTTTCCAAATATATTTCTCTCAAAACGATGGATGCAGGGGCTGCATTCTGAGGTACATTTTCTGTTGTGCTCTTGAGACATTGCCACCCTGCTGTGAGTGGTGCCGGGGATGGGCCAATAGCCAACAAACTCAATCCAAGTATGACGCAAGAAAATGAAGTATGCTGATGGAATGCTCTCGATCAGAAAATATGACAATTTCATTTCTTCGAAGGATGACACGTATTTTCTCAATGATATACAACACGTTGGAACGCCTTGAAAGTAAACCTTATCGCATAATATGTTTGATTTCAAGAGACTTTGGGGCTCTGAGGAATATGACTTATCTTAGATCAGTCTCAAGATAGCGCAAGCCGTAGATGACAGTTTTATTGGGCCACCTGGTTGACAACTACATGACTTACGCGGCCTGTAATTTAGCAGCTGTGCGATTCGTACGAGCTGTCATGGTGGGTATATTTTCCCCTGTTCACTGATCAGACGATTTATGGTTTGAGAGCATACTGTGTACATAGTAATGACAGTGCTAGCTATGCTGGCGACTACATTTTGTATGGCTCCGCTCCTTTTCGCGTTCCGAGGGGAACTGATTCGAGAACGCAGCAAGTTCGCTAATTACAGATCGAGCATGGAGAGCGAGACGGGAATGGAAGATGATTCTTAATTGAACTTGTATTATGATCGCCTGCCCACCTCCTTTTACATTGTTTCAAATGGTTTATCTTCGATTTCTCTCCTCTTTAATGAAAACCTTGCATTGCTTTGCTGGATCTCCCGTAAGATATGATTTTCTCCAGGTCATTGCAGTGTTCTGGTCTCTGATAGCATCCATAGATGTATACTTCCCTTCCCTGTAACTGCCTCCAATCATCACCCCAAGGATCGCTCCCAACTTGCACCAAATCTTCCACTGTTCGCTGAGGGGTTGCCGCGATCCTCCCATAGTCCGCTTTCTTCCCAATACTCAGATACAATTCCTTCAACGCCCGTCTATCTTCCTCATCACAATCCGGCCATTCGCTCTCAGGATTCATGTCGAGATAGGAGTTCCGACCAACGAATGGACTGGGTCCTAAACTACCCTCAAACGCCATATACCGGGCTCGCATCAACGCCGGTACAATCTTCTTTTCCGTCTCAAAGGGCAACACATCTTCATCCCATGATGCACTGACGCCAAAGCCGAATTCACGTAGATTTGGAAGGCCTTCTTGAATGGAAGAAAAGTAATCATGCCACCGGCGAGGATAGACATGGTGGAATTCATCCTCTTCTTTGAGTTCCATGTCGGACTCTGGTATCTGACATTTTGAAACTTCTAATTGAGAGTCGTCTATTGCCACGCCTACCAGAATTGCGCAGTTATCCAGGTAGAGCTCTTGTAAAGTTGATGAGTGTGCTAGTATCCAATCCAGCTGCTTATCATCAACAAATGAGAACCGACCTAAAGTCAATGATTTCAGGTGGGGGAAGTGGACTCCGTCTAGATTGGCTCTAGGATAAAATCCCCAGTAGAATGACGAGTACAATGAGAGGTTCTGAAGGGATCCCATTGTGGGTTTGAGCCATATTGATGGGAGTATTTGCGTGAAGAACTTATGTGGCGCGGGTCTCTGCCGAATATAGTAAGCTTCGGTCAGCTCAACGATCTATTCTAAAACAAGTGATGAAAACATACCTCAAGCTCAGATTCAGGAGCGGCAGAATCAAGTTCGTGCACAACATTCAATCGCAAAGATTCAAGTCCTTGAAGAAGCCGTTTTATTTGAGCAATAATGTCTTTGTTCCGAGGTGAAATATTCTGGAGGTTTTGAATAGCAAATTCTTTCAGGGGTTGTTCCATAGATGCCAGCCCTGCAAACAACCACCGCAAAACCGTTGCCCGATACAGTTCTGTCTGAGGTTTATCGGCATAATCGGGATCCACAGCGCAGTTCTTGTCGAAGCGCAGAACAACACTTTGAAGATTTGGAAGGGTTTTGAGCTTGGTCAGGAGCTTCCGCCAATTTTCTGGCGGCTCCTCTTCACCTTCATCATCTGATCCCTAATGCCTTGCGCGTGAGCCAACATATTCACTCAATTGGAGCGCATCACGCTTACTCCTGATATTGGTAGTGGTTGATGAAACTCACATAGTCATATTCGACAGTGTTAAGATGAATTTTCTGCACTCTGCGTTTGAAGGTCGAGTGGGTTATGATGGACTTGAAAGTCTCGCACCTTTCTTCGTCGTTGTAAAGATGGACGATTCGGAATAAGCCTCTACTAGCATAGGAGGATAGCTGGCGGTTGGTGAGACTCAGAGATTTGAGTGACTTCGTGTCCGCAAGAGACATGACAAGCACCAGCAGCTCTGGGGGGAGCTCGATTAATTGCGTCATGTTTGCACACTGCCTGGCTAGCACCAAGGATCACTTTGCGATCTTCAAAGAAGGGCATCGATCATAATATATGATCGCAGTCCCGATAAGGATATCTCGGTTTTTCCCGGTAGCAACCTGGTCCAGGCATGTCTAGGCATCCTTAGGCAGCAGTGGAGGGTTACACCGGTACTAGTCCCAACCATTTTTAGCTGCTTCATTTATTACCCCAAAACACACCTGGTCGCACTATTTAGTTAGTTAGTTAGTAGCGTTTCTCATGATCTGAATTTGCCGTAATATTAGCCGATCTGGGTCAACTTCGGTCATCTAAAACGCGGTTCGTGACTGGGTTTGTACCATATCATGGACCCTAGAGAGGAAGTGAACAAAATCCGATCGTATTAATATAGGTAGGTTCCTCTAACATTCGAAAGACATCCGCAATCTTGAATAGATTTATCCAAGAATTAGATTTTTTTACTCAGAGTTACCACAATCCAGAATACAAGATTTCGGGGAGAGGTATAATTCAACAAAAAACCTTGGCATCACCAGTAATATGAGGTACTTGTCAAGGGGGTCAATGCGCGTTCACACTTTAGTTCCGCCAAATACTCGCCGCCGCCTAGGTCGATAGCGAAGTTATACCACCAAAAGTCCTCCCGAGCGAACCTCAATGCTGTCGTGAAGTCCCAATATTCAGGATACCAGCCTGCCGATTCCCAGTCAAGGAAGCCTGTAATCCGACCCCCACTTACCATAATATTGTGGTGTTTAATATCGCCGTGGGTAAAAAGAATGCGGTGTGGAATCTTCTCTATACCTCTAGCGACGTCGAGAGCTTGGTTGTATGCCAAATCGGATTTAAAACCACCCGACCAAGAAGGCTCTATAAGGTATTGGTTGAATTCCTCCTCGGATTCGAATGGGCCGATTAGGTGGTTAGGAACGCGAACGCTCCTAATAGCAGTTCCTAGAAGAGAACAAATTCTGTTCCCTCCCCATGGATTCGACCACCCGCGCATCACCTCTAAATAGCTCTTAAGCTCTTGCAAAATCGACGTCCTATCCTCGATACTCAATGTCTCATAAACCTGGCCTAGCTCTTTGCCAGGAACGCGAGTCATTAGAATTGAAGCGGCGCATGCGGTGCATTAGGATGGTCTCCATAGCATATCACTTGTGGTACCGGAAAACCAGCTCTTCTGGCGACTTGCATAGCTAGGGCCTCCTCTATGCGTGTGCCATCGGACCATTTCAATACAAGACCAAATGGAAGCTGAGCAATTTGATTATCGAAGGGGATCCCAGTCCAGCCGCAATAATATCGAGAAAATGGAACCATGTGTTTATGCAAAAAGCCCCAAAAACGACGTAATCGCGGGTGTGTTGGTTGAGGTGTTGGTGGTATTTGCTCCTTCGCGAGTGGAAGCGACTTGTCCGGCCATGTAAATTCAGGCAGGAAGAAGCGCGGTATAAACCAAGGCGTCATAGTGGGGGGAGGCAAAGACGAAGGAAATTGCGGAATCTTTTGGGAATGATTAAAGAAACCTGAGCTGTAGTCCCTTTTCAGGGGCCGTGACTATCTGAGGAACCCAGCTACCACGGATAGCTTATACAGATCTTATACGTACAAATTCCACTCAAGTTTTCCGTCCAGGATAAGCAACCAAAGTAAGTGTGTAGATTTGCCAGATGTTTTGGATTAACATCCGGTGCAGTGCAAGGTGATGAAGGTGGAGCCGCAGTCGCGTCACGTCGCGTCCCCGGATCTGATTAGCTGCGTGATGTCACCTGTCAACAACTTTTCCTAGCTGTCTTAACCCCTGACTATCACGTTATTCACTCGCGGGGTTCTTTCTTTACTCACTTCACGGTGTTTTCAACCGACTATCACCATGCCTCCTAAGCGACAGTCAACCGATACGCCTGGCAATGCCTCCAAAAAGTCTAAACCTGCCGCCTCCAACACCGATGAGCCCGTAATTCCCCGGGGCAAGCGCTGGTCGAAAGTTTCAGGCTCTGCCAATGCAGACGATGGATACAGACTGCAGATTAGCAAGCCTGAGGCCTATGCATACCTCTGCCTGTGTAAACCGCTTCACGATCGCGGCGAGTCCGAGGACGTATGGGACGAAGAGGATGATGAGGATGAGGATGAGGAAACCGCGGACAAGGTCAGTCGAGAAATTCTCAAGTGCTCTGGCTCTGATTCTGACATCTATCGCACATAGGAGAAACAGCCCGCTTGCGATTATGGCGAGACCTGTGTCTGCTTGAAACCCGCCGCAGAGCATCCGGAGCACCCTTGGGTTATCACCAGGGCGGCGACTCACAAGCTTAACACGCTGCGCATTATGGGCTCCTTGCGTGACCCGGATGGATTTGGGATGTACACCTACAATGATCACTTCGGTTACGGGTTGGTGGAGCTGGCGCAGAATCTGATTCTGGATTTTGAAGAGGCAAAGGGCGACTGGAAGGCAGTGGGCCGTGTGCGAGGGGATGGCCCTGTTTTTCACAAAGGGCGACGCCGACCCTTTATTCCAGTAAGTTCCTCTCCCTCTCTCTATTGGCCAAAGGAGTTTTTCGTTGCCGAGGTGCTGAGATGCGATTGAATCTAGGGTGGATGATGGCGAAGGTGTGGCCGCTCTCATCAACACACTTGGAATCATGTTCCTTACTATGCTATCCACTCTGGAACGTGAAGGTCTACTGAAGCCCGACTCGGAGGTCAAGAGTGTCGGGGTGGTCATGGCAGCGTTCATTCGTCTCATTGCCGCTGACATCGGCCCGGATTTCGGAATCGAGGGTGACGGCCTCGACAAAAAGCTGCTTGCCTATGCCAAGAAGCAGAACATTGAGCTTAAAGGCCTGTCCGACATTGAAAGCGAGCTCGAGGAGCCCAGGGCCGAGGCCGAGGAGATCGTTATCCCTGCGGCCGATGCTAACAATGGAGATCCTTGGGCATGGCAAAAGGCTTTGGCGGACTACAAGAAACAATACGGGCCTACTATTGGAGGCGATAAGCTTGACATCACGACCTGGACCAGTGCTGAACGCAAGAAGGCATCTTTTGACAAGAAGGACCCTCTGAACAAGAAGATGATCGATGCGATCAAGGAGGGTTTGATTATGCAACCCGCTTGAGCGCGTCTCGGACAGGTGAATCCCTTTGAAAGGACGCTGGAGACTGTACATTTTCGGTTTTTTCTTTGTATTTTTATCATTTATCTCGTACTCAAATTGGACGTACATTTAAAACCCAAGCCGGAAGAAACTACTTGTCCGTTGGCCATCTACACCGCCGCTGCAGGACGGACCTCCAGGGGTCAATGATCCGGGTTATGTGAAAAATTGAAAGGATCTGGTGTAGAATAAGAGGTTTGGGATATGCTATAGTACAAAGTAAAATACATCAAGAACGTTCACTTCAATTTTGATCATAATGAAGGAGGACCTTGGAAATTGTGGAAAACCTCATTGAACCAAGAATCAAAATCAACTTCTTCTTGGTTCCAAGCCAACTGCATCTCCTCGGGATCAATTGCCGAACCCGTTCGGCCTTCGGGGCTTTCACCAAGGATCTTGCCAAATATGATGTCCTCCGCACTAGCATTCAGATTCGACCGGCTTAGTGTTGAAAAATTGGCAAAGACTCTGTTGACATCGATTGACGAGCCCCGGTTAAGATCCGAAGCACCGTAGGCGGATCCTTCGGCAATGGAAATCGCATCGATGAGAGCAACCCCTCGCTGGGCGAGTATGTCGCTGTTTCGAGAAGCGAGACGGTCGCGAGCGGCGGATACCACTTCTCTGTAGACGTCGACTTTTGCGTTGTTTGGATCTTTCACCAGGGCATTCCCTTCGAAGCAGAGAATGACCGCTGCCGTGATGGCAAAGGCTGTATGCGTCCAGATGGAGAGATCGTCTTCTTCGACAATCGCTTCGTGTTCTCGCAGAATGGTCATGGCAGCCGCGACACAGGTACGTCGGGAATGGCTATATGCTGTATCATGGAATGATCGGAAGAGGAATGGTCGGTGGATCATGATGATTTTTTCAGCTGCCGTGATGGCAAGACTCCGTCGGGCGATACCGAGCCACGGTATTTGTGCCTCTTTCACCTTATCCGACCGTAACAAAAATGAGGGTATGTTGTTGACGATCGCTCGCATCTTCTGATCGATCCGTAAGATATGTTCGTATTGCTCTCGACGGGGTTTTCGTTTCGTGAGTGGACCAAGTCCATCTGCGAGGCCCGGCATCAATGCGGCAAGTTCCACAAGCACTCGGACATAGGTGCTGATCGTCGGCGTTTCTGTCGGCAATTCTACCAGATTGCGCTCATCTGCATTCAGGGGCCGGCCCGTGGAGAAATGCATTGGGGAGATGCTGTATGTGTCGGTGAAAGGAATGGCGAAGTGGTCTTGGATGACCATCTGACACCACACGCGTTTGCCGACTTCTCGCTCGACGCGCTCTTCCCACTCGTCTTTGGTATGGGTCAGGGTTGTTGTGTGTTCTTTGATTTTATGAATTCCAAGACACTCGGCGATGCGAACCGCGGCGTTGAATAGAGTTGCATTCAACTGGCTGAGGCCGAGGTTGTGAGCAACCTCTGTTGATATCACAATGGCCTGGACGGAGTATATTGAGAGGTCGTTCAGGAAGTGTGAGCTGTACAGAGTTTGAATCATCGCGGAGAACAGTAGCTGAGCGGGCTGCATCGCAAGGTAAAGGTCAACATCGGTGAGCGCTCTTAGTTTGCGGCTGTTCTGAATGGAGTTGACGGTGCAGCTCAAAACAGCGAAATAAAGCGCCATCCAGAGAGGATGGTCACATCTCCCCGTTCTCCAGAATAACTCGCATTGCTCGAGGAAGGTCGGGCCGTGGAAGCAGTTATGATGCCATGTCAAATGGCCGACATGGAATCTGATGAGCTTCTGGGCATCGGAGACTGGGGGAATATGAACCATAGACTCCAAGGCAGAGCCCTGTATTTGGAAAGGCCCGCCGTTCATCGACAAAAGCTCCGGGCTGTCTCGACGATACTGGCAAGCGCATCTCCTGTGAGGGAAGCATCCCGCGGAGTTTCGACCCCAGGCAAGATGTTCGATTGCAGTCAGAATAGGGGGATCCGTACTCTCCGGGAGCACGTCAAGGAGTCGATGCTGTATGGGTTTTTCATCAAGACCTTCCGAGGATCTCAAGTCCTCCTGCGCCGAGTCAAGGTTCATCTGATCAGACGCATCACCAGTGCCAGTCTGCAGTTGATCAATCCTGTCTCGGATTTTCTGGGCAACATGAGGCGGCTTCTCAGAAGCAGAATCCAGATCTGCTAAGATTGAGCCTAAGAATTGAATTTCAAACGCATGTTGCACAGTGTCCCGGCGCAGCCGGACTGTTTCCACTGAGCATTCAAGGTGGAGGCGTCGGCATCGGGAGCAAGGGATCTGCTTGTCACATTTGCGCTTGCGCCTGGTGCACTCTGTTCCAGCGTCAGCCCAGTTCTCCACACAGAGGGGGGTAAGATCTACCTCGACACGCGAGCGGCCGCCGCTGCGAGACGCGCAGTGGGGCGCTATCTGCCGCGGAGGTCATAATTAATATGTTCAAAGAGATGATTCTTCGCGTCTCGATGGATTATCGAACGCGCCTCTTTGCTCGGCTCTTGGCTGCGGTCGAGTGCGGAAAAACTCACCCGCGGTTGATAAGCGGGGAAACCTGCGCGATCATTGGTCGCGTCATGTCAGTCCTGGATTCTTGCACACATCACTCTATGCGGCTTTACATTGATGGGATTGCCAAGATACGTAGCAAATTGCTTTTTAAAAGTACAATTACGTACACATGATCAGAGGGATCAGCGTTGCCAATCAAATATCTCATCTCACACCAATAACGACCAGCATGTAGCATGTGTAGCAGGTAATCAGATACCTAGTGCCCGAGGAAAACGTATTGCAATAACAGAAATGCTCTGTTCCAGCTTGCCGACCATGAAATTACCTCCGTGGGTTTACAAGGCCATATAGCTCCAGTGGCTTCAAACTAAATGCTCCATTCGAGGTAACCAAAATCGATGGCTTGACCAAGGAGAATGGAGCCGGAGAGTTCTGGGGCTTCGATGACACCGCCATCGGCTGGTAGATACCAGAGGTTGGTAATAGACGGAGTGATATAGAAACATTCACATGGCTTAGAATGCACAACGAGAGATCAGAAAGTGAAAAAACTCCGTGTTTCTTCCGTTCCAATTATATACTCGCGGCCACGGGACGCACAGACCTAGAGCTTGAACTACAGTATTCTAGTTCTCTTGAATCTTGGTGCTGCCCCTGGCTAAATCCAATCACAAGATCAACGTGGTCCGACGGATACTTCTGCAGGTATGGGAGGGCATATGCCACTTCCTCGGCGGACGGAGTGTGGATCCAAGTATGGCTTAAGTATGGCTGAGTGGACGGGAAGCCCTGTTCTTTTCACCATATGGTCGTATGTACTTCATACAGGACCTCAGAGTACAGTATAGAGAAGTGAGTATAATGATTCGTGTCCCTCATCCACGAGCCTCGTCGGGAGAGGTGAGAGAGACGGATTGTCATTAGGAGATGTAGGGATGTCGCCGCCTAAGGAATCAGGCCGTCCGCCATCATGCGTCATTGGGTTATCATCACCAGAATCACCGGGCTGTTACTTGAAGAACAAAGAACAACAAAAGAGAAGAATACTTCGAAGACAAACATGGAATATTCTAGTATTAAAAGAGACTACTTTAGCAGCATCCTACATTGACAAGTCTTGGCGCGACAGATCGTGGAACCTTCGTGGTGCAAATAGAGACGGTGCCTGAACTCAGCTATTTATATACCTTCGTCGGTAGATACGAGAAGGATTAGATCATAGACGCATCAGGGGACTAGTAATTAAATGGCGGTCGCATAATCTCAGTTGGGTTTGCCAGCTAGCCCTCGGTGAAGGGTACCAACACTCGATCGCCTGACACGCAAGCAAGGAAAGGTTTTGATGTGTCAACGAATACCCCGCTACATGAGAGCACAGATAAGGATGCAGCTGCTGGCAAATCGGGTGGCACCTCCGACAAGACTGTTGGGATTTGGGCAGTGTCGGTGTCTGTGGCAGCAGTGGCAACCAGGCAACACATCACGCCCTGAGCGATCGCACGCAATCCATTACTTGATAGAAAACTCCACAGTCGGCAGTGTAGATTCTCCCAAAGCTGGGGTCAACACCCCTCGGCCCTCCATCTACTTATCTATTGGACGGCAATCGCGAGGGAGCTTGGACGCATCTCGATCTCGAAAACCTTGTCTCCTGTCACTGCCCAATTTTGACACAAGAAGGAGAAACCCCACACCGGGGCCCAATGGGTGAATGAAATCAACCCGGCAAAGGTTGAGACCGAGTCGACATCATAGCAGGGGGGCAGCATCGGGGGAACGCGGGGGAGCACGACATCGTTCCGCTTAAGGCAATCCCACGCGTCCACGCAGTTCCGAGAGAAGGGTCAGTAAAACAAGAGTCTCACCGATCTTCTAGAACGCGTTTTGTTCCTGAAATCTCAGGGCGATCATGTCGGATGATAGATCCAATCAGCTTCCGGGTGCAACACCGGTCCCCGGGCCGGTCCCCAACAGTGATTGGACGGCGTCGCCGACCAAGGACTGAATTAGGAGGCCGATCTTGAATCCGTTTTGATATCTATAAATGCATTTGGGGTCTAGCATGGCCATGACTTGATCCCCGCTACACTGTCCTATATCTTCGCCCGAGTGTTGTTGCTCTTTCCTCCTTCAACTACCTTCCTTTCATCTTTCTTTCTCGCCATCTCTTCACCGGACTGCAGAATTCGGTCCGTCTCCGATCTACGATCCACAATCCACAGTGAGTTGGTTCTGCGACTGATCCACTGCCCCGCGTTCCATTCCTTTTATCTAATCTGAATTTCTTCCAAGATTCGCCTCCAAATACATTCTCCCCTCTGCACATACATCTCCTGTCACTACATACACAACCCTCGTCTGCCACACGGCCTATAAAGTAGATGAGGGTAGCATTGTCGACTATTATCATCAACGGATCATGACCCAAAACCTCCAAGAGACCATGCCGCTGGGCATTCAACGAAGCCGTAGCCGGCTCGGTGAGCTCCTAGCGGCAGACACCCTCGTTGCTGCTGGCTCGGCAACTCTTGTAACACCGGCGGTCATGATCTTTGACAGGTGAGTTCAGTTCCGCAACTGGAATTGCATGCATGGTGTGGGTTCAGGGCTAACGATCGCCAGACTCGTCGTTGAAAAGTCATTCCACAATCAACCTCTTCTTCCAGCGTTCCGCAAGCATTTATGGTTCTCCATCACACAGCCAGCGACCTTTTTAACTTCACGCCCCAGTCTTCTCGTCTGGTCTCTTTATACCGCCACTTTCGCAACGGCCAATGCCTCCGAGACCCTCTTTGAAAAGGTCTACCCCAAGATCGACCACGCCATTGCCAGCATGACTACATTTGCATCCACCTTCGTTGTCAACTCCTCCGTCGGCATCTGGAAAGACGTCAAATTCGCCCAACTCTTCGGCTCCCCAAAGCCGACTTCCCCTCCCTCGGTCGACACTCCAAAGGCAGACGCAACACCCCCAAAGACCGTCCGCTCCATCGGCCGCACCAAGATCCCCGTGGCCACCTACTCAGCATTCCTCATCCGCGATGGCCTTACCATCTTCGGCTCCTTCACCCTCCCATCAATGGTCTCGGCCGCAATTCCGGACTCAGTCGCCTCCCAAGAATATCTCAAAATCCTTATCGCCCAACTCGCCATCCCCGCATCCATCCAACTCATCAGCACACCCATCCACCTCTTCGGTCTGGATCTCTATAACAGACCCCAAGTCATGCCTACCAAGGAGCGACTCGCTCGCGTCAGTCGTGACTGGCTCGGCGCTTCACTGCTGCGCATGTGTCGCATTATCCCCGCATTTGGAATCGGCGGCTTCGTCAATACCGAAGGCCGTCTTTATCTACACGAGCAGTTGGATGAGCGCCGCTCTTCTTCATGAGCTATGCATATTTCATTTTTTTAGAATCTATAGAACAATATACCCTCATTTTCCTATGTCCGTTTTCGCCCTGCCATTCGTAATTTTTTTCGGTGTTGTGTGAGACACGAGACCTTATCGTTTATCAAACCCCACCGATGCCGACTCACCGGCCCGGTTTTGTGCGCTTGGCCTCGGCCTGGACCGGGTTGCACTCTGGGTTCGGGCTGCTTTACGGAGTGACTCAGCTTTTGGGTTGGGGCAGATTCACGTGTTATTGGCCGTGCGATGGCTAAATGTCAACTTTATCCACAGCTAGTCTAACTTGGCAGGTTGACAGCAGCCGGTCTTCAGGACAAGAGTCGGGTCCCTCATCTGAATCAATCATAGTTGACGACCTGCTAGATGTCACTGTGAACGAATATACTGAATGACAGCAATCGCGGGTGAGCAACGAGGCTTTCAGGGAGAACATCAACGAAGCACGTGATGTGACCCTCGAACATTGTCTCAACCTCATGCAGATTAATGAAGATCAAGACCGTCACCAGTCCTCTCTAGAGGGGGTTCTGGACCTCTCAATACCCTTGTCATTAACACCACAACAGCATGAGTCGGCAAGGAACCTGGTGATCAGGCTTGTACGGCATTATGGCCCCGAGAAGACCGTTCGGAATGGCTATCGGCCTGCGGCACTTATCCAGGCTACTCTCGAGCACGTTACATCGCCGGATACCTTTATGACTTTCTTCCTCTCATACATCTATGAGTACCTGTGTTCGGATGAAGGACATACCGTTAATTCCGATATTACTCACGCCTTGGTATTCTTCGAGGGATTTTCTTCATGGGAACCAGAACAAATAAACAAGCTTTACGAAAGCTTAGAGAAGTTTGCTGAGTATATCGTTGCAAATTTCCTCCTTCCCCGTTCGTTAATTCCTTACTTATACATATGGTTGATCTCCAGTGAGTATATGCTAATTCGCAAATGCAGTTAGAGCTTCATCAGTCAAGACACCACAACCAACGCCTACGTCGTTATCATCGCTGCAGAGCTCAACACCGACTGGAACGAGGCAGCTTATATCTGATTTACGGCAGAACTATCTTATCCGCGACCGCCACCGCTGTGTAGTGTCTCGGAAATTCGATAGAGTAGCAGCCAGAAAACGTTTCGCGGAGAATGCGGAATCTTGTGCAGACGATGACGGGAACCTATTGAAGGATGAGTCCAGCGATTAATTTCAATACTTGGAGGTTGCCCACATTCTCCCTTATTGTCTGACGACGGTAGCTTCTGGTGAAACCGATTTAGTATATCCGATTATTGGGATTGGTATTTTGACGGTGCTAATATTGTGCCTAGAGCGATTTAAAGAAAAATGCTCTTCGGATCTTGGACATGTTCGATCCCGGAATAATCCATCTTATTGACGGACCCAAAATCGACAGTCCTATGAACGCCCTCACTTTAACACTAGACTACCACCGGCTATTCGGCGAATTTCAGATCTATTTTGAACGCACTGGCACACCGCACCAGTACAGGATTGACTCGACAGAACACAGTCTTTTCTTACGTGACCCTTTGTTTCCCGTCACACGATCGCTGACCCTAAGTCCTCATCGCACGATAGATCCGCCATCCCCCCGGCTTCTCGATGTACACCGCGCCATTGCACTTATTATGAAACTTAGCGGCGCTGGCGAATATATTGAGAGGGTCCTTCGTGATATGGAGGAGCTAGATGTCAGAGAAGATGGATCGACAAATCTAGGATATCTTGCAGGCTTACGACTTGGCGGGTGGTTAGATACCCTATCAGTGGATTAGGAATTGGTACGATGGCATTAGCATGTCGAAGAATTCATGCATTTCGTATCTTTGAATGTCGCCGGAGTTCAAAATACAACGTGGTTCTGCTCCCGATGGTCGAACTCGAGCCGTCGCAATCTACAAGTATGACGGATGGGCTGAGAAGCTTCCAACGAACAACGAACCAAAAGACGAAACAAAATAAAAACATACAACAGCAGGGATTCGCTGGTGGTCACCCACCCAACTACTAACCTGCCGGCGTGTGGCTTAAGTACGGCTGAGCGGACGGGAAGCCCTGTTCTCCACACCCTATGGTCGTATGTACTGGAAGATTGATTGAAGAGGCTCTTGATGAAAACATCCTGAGACGAGATTGTTATTCTGGAGGTGTATCACTTACGATTTCCCACCCAGGGGAAGACTTCGTCAACATTGAAGCCAGCCAAGGGTGGATTCACCTTCCGACAAGAGCAAATGGCTCGCATGTCTAGATGTCTGTGACGACTGTCGCTGGTGAACGGGACGCACGTCGTCGGGTGGATGCTCGTGCCTGTAGGCCACATCTTGCCTCGTCCGTATGCTGATCTGATGATCGGGTCCAAGAGCTTCCGTTCTACGCCGGATGTGCTCCGAACGTTCTGTGGGACGTGTGGTGCAACGGTATTCTACAGCTGTAAGGGATTTGCGACTGCTTTGAAGACGGGACTGAAGCAGTGGGAGAGAACACGAGGCCATCCAGAGGATTTTATCGTGTCGTGAATAATATGTACATAATCGGTGAATACTAAACATTGCTGACTCCGAGCGGATTCGGCAGATGCAGTACCCCACACCTGAGTGACCCACGTCGCTAAACATAAAATGAGTCAAAGCCCGAAGTATAAGTTAACTGTACTTTCTTGCCCCATTCAATTCTCACCACCATAATTCAATCCAACTCATCCCATCATGCAACTAAACTTCGTCACCCTCGACGTCTTCACCCTCAAAGCCTACGGCGGCAACCCGCTTGCCGTAGTCTTTCTCCCCGAAGGCTCTGCGCTCACCCAGCACCAAAAGCACATCATGACCAAAGAATTCAACCTCTCCGAAACCATCTTCGTGCACCCCGTCACCGAGCACAACAAACGCACCATCGACATCTTCACCATCGAGTGTGAAATCCCCTTCGCGGGACACCCCACCATCGGCGCCGCCTCGTGGTTCCTCTCCCACGCCGCTGGCTCCAACCCCGGCGTCGACACGCTGGTCACCAAGTCCGGCGAGATCCCCATTTCCGTCTCCGACCAGACGACGCAGGCCGTGGCCGCGCGTATTGCGCATAACACGCGCATCCACGCGAACCGCCTCCCGCTCGGTGATCTACTGCGGCTGCATTCGAGTCTGAAGCCGTTTTTCAAGGAGGGTGTTTCGTTCCCGTTGTTTTCGATCGTTAATGGATTGAGTCAGACGTTTATTGAACTTCCGAGTCTGGAGGCGCTGGCGGCTGTTACTACTGCTTCTGGGGGTGAGTTGTTTTCTGTGAAGAATGAGGCGTATCTCGATGAGGGGTGGAGGTCGGGTTTGATTTGTGTTTATTTCTTCGTGAGGGATGTCGATGATGCGGTGATGGGTCAGAAGGTTATTCGCACTCGGATGATGCTGGGTGGTTTCGAGGATCCGGCAACGGGCAGCTCGGCTTGTGGGCTGACGGCTTACCTTGCCTTGACGGAGGGTCGGGCTGGTGAGGAGTACAAGTATCATGTCGTGCAGGGTGTTGAGATGGGTCGGCGGAGTGATATTGGAGTCGTGGTTGCCCTGGATAGCGACAAGAAGATTGAAATGGTGGAGTTGACGGGCACTGCAGTGCAGGTGTCCGAGGGGAAGATCACCGTCCCTGAAGAGTAAATAGAAGGGGAGAGCCATGGAAGTGATACCATTCGAGTCTGTACTCGGGTGGGCCTGTCACGGCTCGATAAGCTACTCTCGACATGACTCGGAAACAACGCATGAAATATATGATATATGGATGGATGTGATGTTTATCCTCAATTAGATGCACGATTGCAAGCTCTCCTAGAGAGCTAATCAAAGCTTCTTCTCCTCAACCAACTGCCTCAACACCTTGATAGTCCCCTCAACGGCCATCTGACTCATTTTCTTCTCCTTCTTCAGCAACGCCTGCATCTCCTCCGCCCCGACTCCAGGATGCCTCCATTCAAAGATATAAGTCATGTACAGCACCCCACCAGCACCCTCACTGACAACGTTGCTGATGCGGCTTCCGTCCGGCTGCTCAAATTCCACGCGACATTTCTCAAACGCAGTCACCGTCTCCTTGACTCTCTTCTGGCCTTCGCGGAACAGGATTTCGCGAACGGTCACGGCGTTGCCGGAGGGGGATGTGCTTTCGCTTAGCACGTCTGTGGATTGGATTGCGGCGGACACGAAGGTCTCGGCGGAGCGAATCTTGAGGAGGAGGCCGGCCCAGATTTGGTCGCGCGAAAGTGGGGTGGAACCCGGCGGGTTAATGGGTGCCGTGAAGGCGACATTGTTTGCGGAGCTCATGGTTGAGGTTGGTTCAATTGGGGTGGGGTTCAATTGAATTGTTTGCTAGTTGATTGAGTGTGATTAAGGTGTCTATTTATGTGAGTGGGATGCTCCTTCGGTGAAGCTGGTGAAGCTCGCGGAGTGACGTAAAGACCGATGTTGCTAAGCTCGGCGCGAACAAGGGCCGAGCACGGAAATCGGATCCACCTGGCATTCCAGGGCCGTGATTGTGATTGGGTTTCTGTTCTGGTAGATTGAGAACGAGCTACATTAGTTGCTCCCAGCTTTTCTTTTTAAAGCATTGGCCATAATCCCATTTTATAAGTAGGAGAGAGTGTTATGACGTCTGCGAATTTTAGTTTTTTGAATATCTCTATGCGCAGCTATGAGATTGCTTCATATATTTATTGCTCTACGTAATATTATAGAATCATTTAGAAAAAGAATATATATCCTTATGTAGAGTACATGAAGCAATATGACAATGCTGTAACTTCGACTCCCTATAGCCCGACTCAAAATCATAATGCAGCGCCAAGAAACAGCGCGGGCAACTTTAGCTGTGAAAGTGCTGGTCGCCGGATTGCAAATCTCAGACTAGTCTGTTCTCTTCTTAACGCTCTTCCATCCCAGCCCCCAACTAAATATAAAGGCTGCCGTCGCAGTCCCAGAGACCATGTAAAAGACATGCTGAACGGCATTATTATAAGCCATAACCACACTATCTACACTAGAATGCGGGGCCACAGATCGTATTCCAGAGACACCAGCCGACATGACTTTCGCAACAGAAACATCTGGTGCGTAGATGGGTAAAAGGTTTGTAAGACCAGTATTGAAAAGTGTGCTGGCGAACGAAAGCCACAGTGTTCCACCGAAGGTCTGGCAGAAATAGAGAAACGCCATGCTGACGGGGATCTTGGACGGAGGAAGATTGTTTTGGACTGCTATGAGAGGCTGATCGGTTCAGAAGTGTTAGTCATATCGGTTAAAGAATAGATCTTAGTGCAGAGAAACTATACATTTTGAAGCGCACAACCGCGTCCCAGACCCGCGAGTATTTGAAACCCGACCCATGCACCAAAGCTGGTATGCGGATGGAACATACTCATTAATCCAGCTCCGACTGCGCATAAGGTTGTTCCCATAACTGCAGGAGGTAGGTAATAACCAATTCGGGTTACTTTGAACGCATTAATTACCCAGTTATTAGGCAGAATAGAGTGTGATACGTACCCGCCAAGCCAGATAGAAAGCCAGAGGCCATTTGAGCGATGACACCCGGTAGCATATACACACCGCTAAACATCGGTGATTTGCCTCGCACTCCTTGGAAGTAGATAGCCAGGTAGTAAGAAGTGACCAAGCTATTCGCATAAAGGAAAAAACAAGTCAGCGAAGAAAAATAGACCACCCTTTGTTTAATCATTCCCAATGGAATCATCGCTGCATCTCCCTTTTTATATTCCCATAACAAGAATAATGCCAGACTCCCGGCCGATCCGCAGAAGAGGCCGATAACCATCGCACTGTTCCAAATATATGCTGATCCGCCCCATTCGAGAGCGAGAAGAAACATAACGAGGGCCGGGCAGAGGAGGAGAAAACCTATAATGTCGAGCTCAGAGAATAAAGATGTGGCTCTCATTTCCGATTGCGGCCCAGGCCCTCTCAGAATGGGTTCGGGAAATGATACGAAAAGAAGAGCAAACACTGCCAGTCCGCCGACGGGGAGATTGATGTAGAAGCCTAGCTTGATTCTTAGTAACTGAGTACACTGTTTTCGGAGAGCCGAGGATACGTACACCATCTCCAAGACGCATACTCCGTCAATACACCACCAATTAATGGCGAGACCACAACGCCTATCTGACTACCTGCGTGGATTAGAATGGAGCGAACGAGGAACTGAAGGGAAAACATACATGATCCCACAATGCCAAAGTAAACTACGTTTCAGGACCGTTAGTAGGACTCCAAAATGTTTCGGGGCCAGACCGGAAGCCAAAATCAATAACATACGAGCTCTTTTCACAAGAGGTACCGAGGCGCATAAAATTGTTAGTGCACCATTTGCCACACCCGCACTCCCCATTCCAGCGATTGCCCTCCCTACTATGAACATATTGGAAGAGGTCGCAACGCCGCATATTAAAGATCCAAGCTCGAAGAGGGCGATGAAGGTCATGTATGTATACTAGGATATTATTAATTCATGTTCATGATTGCAGTGGCAGGCTTGTAACAACAAACCTTGACATTAAATCGCGTATATAACTTGCCTGACATAGGCTGGAGAGAACAGCTTGAAGATGGTGAGTAATTCTTCACGCTTAGTGAAGGAGATATAAAAGGTTGATTTACTTACCTTGTCAATAAATACGCACTTCCGTACCACCCAACACCCGCAGTAGTGTGAAATTCGCTCGTCATTTTGGGGGGTTGCCTTTTTATTGAAAAAAAAAAAAGTGAGTCCACATTATTCAAGTGATTAAGTCGGGGTAGTCTGCGCACCGTAGCAACTATAGACATATCAAGCATGACAAGCACAGCAATCGCAGTAACCGCAAGGATAACCAGTGTCAATTTAGCCCCAGTGAGATATTGGATTTCACCTTGATCATCATTGCCCACGGAACGGTTAACTTGACTGCTACTGTCTCTGGGCTTAAGGCTTTCTCCGTCTCTCAAGACATTTGTCTCTGTCTTCAGAGCGGAGCCAGAATTTATTTCGCCCGGTTGTTTCTCCATGTGCAACGTTTCGGAATATAGTATTGCAATGGTGAAAGAAAAAGGGTTGATGCCGGGCTATCGTGGGGCTGAATTGCGTTTTGCACTTCTCTGGAGGCCAGGATGGAAAAGTACCGGAAATATGTAACGCGCGTTCGACATGGCTGTAGCCTGGAGGTAGATACATCCACTAGTGGTCATAGCACAGAACTGAAAGGATTTTGATTACATGAATGTCAAAGCGTTACCTGGAATAGGACTAGTACTCCGAGTTGGGATTTAACGCCGGCACCCATCCCGAGAGAGCCGCCGCCATCTGTTTGTACGATGTACCCCGTATCTACTGCGTACGTAGTGATCATCAAGAAGGTTCGAACACTTCTGGGGCCGCTTTTTTGCGAGAAATGTGCCCACCCGCTCGCACTTCGCTGTTCTAATCCTTAATGGGTTGCAACGCCAGGTATAGTTGGGTTAATCTACGCGGATGTTTCCGTCAGTTGTCCCAAATCTTCCACAGCACCCAGATTTCTCTAAAGATTGAAACTCTTGCTCAGATTACGCTGGGCTCTCGCTTCAAAAGTGTTAGGCCCCACACTTTAGAAGGCTTACTAGCTAGATGGCGAATCACAAGAACTCTATCTCACCATGCGGGGCATGTTACATTGCGTCTATGATCCTTACGATGCTATACTGAGGACGGGGTAACACAGATGGCATCCCTAGGTGGTAATGATGATCCTAATTATAAACATATCGCTACCCCGATATATCACTAACAGAAGCAGAATGACAAGGCAGCGAGTCATGACCTTGGACTGCGAAACTCAAGCTTCCCCGAGACTGAGCTAGAGCTAGCAGAAGAAGAATGCCCGGGCGAGTGATGAAATTGAAATACGTGGTGTCCCTCTTGGATCGATGGATGATGGCTACACAAACACCGTTCTGACTGTGGCGGATATGGATAGGTTGTAAGTAATTTCCCTCTTGAGTCGATGGGGACGACCATTCGTCCTCATCGCCCAAGGGCACCGGTTCTTATTCTTTCCATTTTGTTCTATTTAGTCTGCGTGGTATACATCACATCCGTCCGCACGGTGTATTTCACCCCTCGGAAAACATCATCCCCGCCATGAAGAAGATCTCTCTGCTGGAAAATCAGCACCGACCCGGTCTTGGGAAACACCCGCACGGCATCCTTCGTCTTGTAGCTATCCATGAATGAGGTCGCACCACCCAACAAGGGCCCCTCGCTCGACTTCACCTCTTCATCCTTATCGGCGTCATCCTGGATATCCATCAAATCCATTTTTCCATCTTGAACGAATAGAAGTCTCCGTTTCTCGGCACGCTCAATCTCAGACATTAACTCATTCATATCTTGTTCCCCTTCCCCATTCAGATAAAGATGAATCGTAAACAACGACTTCTCCTTCCCGTCAGGCGTCACATAGCATCCATCCCAATGAGGTCTGAAATAATCTCCTCCGTCATAGCGAAGGAAGCGCAGTCGCTCGTTCAGACGAGATAAATGCATCACCTCGCCGCGTCGTGCTGGTCCCAGTCCCGTTACCCTCGGCTGGTTCTTGACATTCTCGATGTCGAATTCTCGCATGTACGGTAGTAGTCGGTCAAGGAGTCGTGCTGCGATCTCGGACGAGTCCCAGATGATCCGTCCGCTCTTGCGCGTATCCACGGACATGATTTGTTTGCCGTTGCCGGCGTTGATCATGGCTCGCTCCCATTTTGAAGAGTCCGGTGTGGATTCTTCGGCGAGGCGGAGGAGTTCTGTGCATTCGGATGCGCTCATGAAGTTGTCAATTACGGCTGCAAAATTGTTTTTGAAGGCTGCGATGGGTGGTGTTGTTGTTGCGAAGTCGATGCGCCGGACTGTTGCGGTGGGGGCTGCGCCCCGAAGGAAGTCTTCTGGAATAAGCGCCATCGTGACGTTTCTGCCTTCTTCGCTACTTGATGTTGGGGGAGCGCGCTTTTATATCTGTGGGAATGTCGTATAGGGGCTGAGTCAACCGCCCCACTCAGTGAGGCTCTGTGGCTTGGGGGCTAAGCCTCGTATGGAACAACTTCTGGCAATCCTCTTAACCTCGTTCAATATACACATCCGAAATCGAGCATTATAGAATGAGGACCTGTGAGATTGGCGCCGAAAATGGCCACTTCTGACGCTAGAAACAGCCGCCTTTCCGTGAATTTGGACGGCGAGCTGCCGCTTAACCCCCTGTCCAGTAACCCCTCCATTTTTACATCTTCACCAACACGACGGAGCGAGCGAATAATCTAGGCGCCTGGTATACACGAGGTAGATTAAACATTGATTGATATATTGGGATACGCCATGCTTTAAAGCTCTTGTTTATCTGTACCGCAGTCCATCTGCTTGAACAAACCATCTCTGGCAAGAAGATTTTGCGGGGTATCAAACTCAACAAGACATCCAGAATCCAACACAGCAATTCGATCGAAATCAATGATGGTGTCAAGCTGTTCAACAGTTAGCTCGCTCTTAGGCTCGATAAGATATAGACTCTGTAAGTTGGGTGACAGGTGAAACTGGAAACATACTCTATGCGCGACGCTGAAAACAGTACAGTCATGGAAAGCGTCTCTCATGACTTTCTGCACTCGCTGGTCGGTTTGGGCATCAAGACTGCTCGTGGGTTCATCCAAAATGAGCACCTGGCATCCATCATTGCTAGTTTGTCTTTTAAGAATTGCCCGTGCGCAGTGGAATTGAAGGCCATTGCCGTTGGAATTCAGGCCGAGACTGGCAACGAGAGACAAAGACAGCTGTAACATGGTGATCGGGGTCTTCTCTGGGGTATTTAAGCGTGAAATGGCTGAGATAACAATTCGAATGGCGACGATAGCGATGTTGCCTATACAAAATGGCTAACAAAATGGCTACTACAGGGTGGGGATCTGGTGGCGCGTCTGGTCGGCTGCCTGTCCCTCAAGGGTGTATCAGGTAATTCATATGTCCTTTACAAACACAAACAAAGGAGTATGCAATATGCAATATGCAATATGATCATTCCTACTAGGTATCTTCCATGCTATGTGTACAGCCCTATGCCTTATACCAAACGCCTCATCACTTCATCATAATAATACCAGCCCGTGTCCTCTACTCAGAGTCGCTCTCAATCACGAACCCACCCCGCATACGCCGGCGAGATGGCGCCACGAACGTGTCTTCCTCGTCTGCATCGGCTTCGGGAGCTGCCTTGGACTGTCGATCCCGACTGAAGACGAGGTCATCGTCAAAGTCCATGTCATCCACTGCAGATGTAACGGGTGTGTCCTCGTCCGGCGCAACATGGCTGGTTGAGACTTCTTGTGGGGAACCGGGCGATTGGGCATCCAGTTCGGCCATGAGAATGTCACCGTCGGCGTCACCGTCACCGTCACTGGCTGGGTCACTGGTAGAACCGGATCCACGACGCTGTCGCTTCGGTTCAGCAGTAGTGGTACCACCGCCACTCTTGCGTTTTCCCTTTCCCTTGCCTTTGGCCTTTTCCAGGGTGCCGGTGAGAAGGGCCTTCTTCACGTTCTGTGCTTGCTTTTTTCGCCGCTCTTCTTCAAGTCGGAAAAACTCCTCGTCGGCTTCGGCGTCACTCTCCTCATCACTGGCGTGGATGAAGAGGTCACTCTTGATCTTCGCCTGACGGGCCAAGGCGTTCGAAAGACGCACCTCGCGACGAGCTTCCAGGGTTTCGTCATCTAGGGGTTCTGTCTCGGCATCACCCTTCGCCTTCTTCTTCATCTTGCGCTTCTTCTTCAGTTCATCCAATGCATTGGACTTGGACCGAGGGTTTGGAGGGAACAAAGGACCATCTGGAACAGTATCTTCGCCTTCAGAGTCAGATCCGAAGTTGACATCGAGAGTTCCTTGCACGAGGCTTTGCCGAGCACTGCTTGCCTCTCTCCGTCGAAGCAGCTGTCGAGGATCCTCATCGCCGCCCTCCGGCACGGGGTTCAACAGAGACTTGTTAACGGTCGATACGGTTTCTCGTAGATCTTTGGAGGATAGAGGCGCGGGAACAACCCAGGTAGCACCGGGCACGTCTTCCATACCAACTCGCTCAAACCCAACAAGGCTCATTAGGAGACGCAGCTTCGCATTCGAGAACATAGCACTTTTGCAGGAATCATCACGGGGTTTCACGGCTGGAAGATAGTTAGTTTGGTGTCTCATCGAATTAGAAACGGAACAATTGATAAACATACGAATCATAGGGTTAGGAGGACTATCGACCTCCTCGTCCGGGTTCGCGTTTTCCGCGCGACGGGCTTCCTCCGATACCTCCCAGGCTTCTCTTTCGGAAGCTGCCGAATTCAGAACATCGACAACCCACTTGGCGAGGTCAGCCCGCCCGTCAAGAACGAGGGCACCCACCACAATCCCCACTTTAGCCTCTGGTGCCGCTGCTTCTTTCGTTATGATTTGAAGCTCTGCAGGCGGTCGCTTGGAAGTGGATATTGTTTGCTTTTCATGTCCATATTCGAGGTAGAAGACAGTCGAGTTCATCTTGCTGAAAAGCAACTCGGTGATCAATGCAGGGCGCTGTTCGATCTTCTTGGTAAGTCGGCGAATGATCTGCCGAACCAGTTCCTCCCATTCTTTGAATACGGACTTGCTAGAGTCCATTGCTCCTGGTCCTTTGATCATTCGGTGAAAGAGATTGATGATATCCAGGCGGAAGAGCAGAACAGTCATCTCCTGCTTGAATGCGATACGGTAGAAATACCGGTGGGCTCTCTTTAGCTGCTCCGAATTCAACTCTCGGTAGAAGCTGGTGAATTTGACGAAGGTGTCCACGCAGCTCTGATTGCAGAACTTGGCAGCGAACCGTTTGAAATCAAACGCACGCTCCTTCGTGACTTGAGCAGCATCCACCAAATCCTCGTCTTCGGAGTTTTGTGCTTCATCGTCCTCGCCTCCTTGTTCACCATCTTGCTCGGCCTTCTTCTTGTTTCGTCTGGCCCTGCGACGAGATCGAATTTGCATGTCGGCATTTTCTTTGGAGTAACGTTCCAGCATGCGCAAGAACACATGCGTGAGCTCTGTAGCAGCATCCAAGTAGCCGAAGCCTTGGTCCTTGTAGCCGCGAACGATAGCAATGATTCGATCATGTGTTGTTTCCTCGTAAAAGATTCGGTTCTGGATGTTTTCAGCAATTTCCTGATCTTCCTCGATCGGGGATGCATTCATTTCTTGAACAGTCAACAATATCTGCGTGAAGCAGCGCATCTGAGCAGTCAGATCTTCCCATTCCTTGTTGTCAAAGCTGCTCTGCATGGACCGATTAAGGGAAATAAATGTCTCTTGGTTCAAGACTCCAGCAACCAGCCCATAGCTATCTGGTTCAACATCCTTGGCCGGTTTTCCATTCTCAGCACGCTGCTTCGACTGTCGCGCTCGCCGAGTACGTTCAGCTTCTAGGAACCAGCCAACTGTGTAGAAAAATTGACGTGCATTGATGTCAAGGACTCTCTCAGCTTCGCGTTCAATTGCCTTTCGAAGATGAGTGAAAAGAGGATTGAACCCGGAGTCCAGGAATTCTTCCACAAATGTCCTCAGGTTCTTAGACGCCAACGAGGAGAGATGAGCCGGCATGTTAAAGTTATTATTCTGGACCACGTCCTCTTTTCTTCGTTGCGGGCGAGGTTTGTTCCACTTCTTGCTCTGGTCCATCTTTTGAAGTGTGGTCTGATCGTTCCTTAAAGTATCCTGTCCAGAGACAGTCGACACCTTGGCGTCATCCCGCTTGACCCAGATCATCGTTCCGAAACGCCCATGCCGTGTGGGAGCATTCTTGGCATATTCTCGTCGTACCAAGTTTTCTTTTTGCAGAAGATCGCCGAGCTCGTCGGTCCGCTTGGCCTTTCGCTGATCCTCATCCATAAACAATTTATCCACATTGACACCCTTGACGAGATGGAAAAGAATCTCCAGCAAAACCACATCCTGAAGGCTAAAATCATCGCCAACGTTGGAGCACATGGTCAAGATCAGGGCAAAAGCATCCTGTTCCTGGAAAGCATTGATCGTGGCCGATCTGGAGGTCTCCTCCTCTTCGCCTTCAGCTGCGAGACGTGCGTTGGTAGAGATAATGGCGATGTTTCGGAGAAAGTAGAGCATCAGTTTGAGGATTCCTTCATCTCGAGACTCGCGTTCGGATCTAGGCATAGCCATGCTCGGAAGGGCGATTCGAATGACGGCGCGCAGGAGATTCGATCCGCCATACTTCAGGAGACCGCGCTTGTATTGGACTTGCACTTGCTGGATGTATGGGGTGTGGCGGTGGTGATTGACGGTCATCTGGCTATGAAACTCTACCGGCCAGGTTAAAGGCACGAGAAGTTCCACTACGCGGGGTTAGCTTCCGTGTTCGTCAAAAATCCCAATTCAGTCCATGACATACAGCATGCTAGAGCCACTCGAGTCATATGCTTGCTCTTCTGACCGCTGGCCCACCAGATCGAGAGAATGGGAAGCAGATCGCCGTTCACCAGATTCGATTCTCCGAGACATCGCGCCACGTCCATTCGGTTGTTCTTTTCGTCGTATAATTTTAGCCATCGCTTAATATCGCGCAGACAAGCCAGGGCGTCGTCGCCCAGTACGTAGCGGTCCGCATCTTCACCATTGAAGCCTCCAAGCTAGAGATTAAACGCGTCAGTGAGTGTGTGCGCGAGGAATCAAGGGAACACATACCGCAGTCACCAGACTGTACACATAGCCGCGCACATCAGGGTCGATAACCTGGACATCGTGGCCAAGAGCGACCGCCTCCTGCTCCATGGTGGGTTTGGTTGGTGACCTCAGATATCAGATCTTAGGTCTCAATATCAAATGTAACTCGAAAGGGAAACGCGTCTCAACGCGTCTCGGCGATTCGGAGAAACTCACCGCCCGCTTCTGCCGAGAATAGCCGATGACGTCGGACCAACACGTGAAGATCTATACGGCAGTTTTGACTTTCTCTTTTCTCTCCTGCACAAGTTGGTCATATTCAATCGCAGTCATGTTTGCCTCCTCCCTCCGCTCCGTCTGTCGCAATGGCCCCGTGGCGGCCCGCAGCTTCAGCTCCACCGCCGCTACGAGCGCTGCCGAGGTCAAATCGCTCGGTGTGATCGGTGCCGGCCAGATGGTCAGTAGCATGCCGAATTCAGGATATTCGGGGTTCTAACTCATTTTCAGGGTCTTGGAATCGCTCTTGTTGCTGCACAGAAGGCGCAGATTCCTGTGACTTTGGTCGACAGTTCGCAGGCCTCCTTGGATAAGGGTCTAAAGTTTGCCGGTAAACCGAGCCCCTCCTTTGATCGATAGGCCTCCGGTCTCGCCGAGTCTCGCATATGCTAGAGGGATTGTGCTAATCCAATGTGGCCCTACAGACAAGCTGCTCGAGAAGGATGTCGCCAAGCAGCGTCTTACCCGAGAAGCCGCCGATGCGGCCCGCGGTCTTCTTGTACCGACCCTGAAGATGGACGACCTATCCTCGGTCGACTTTGTTATTGAAGCGGTCCCCGAAATTATGGATCTCAAGCAGAAGATCTTCAGTAACCTCGCTCAAATCGCACCCAAGCACGCTATCCTGGCTACCAACACCTCGTCCATCTCTATTACCAAAATTGCGGCTGCTACGACTACCGACCCCACGGACCTGCAGGCCCCGTCGCGGGTGATTTCGACCCACTTCATGAACCCCGTTCCCATTCAAAAGGGTGTTGAGATCATCCGGGGTCTGCAGACCTCCCAGGAGACCATGGATACTGCCATTGCCTTTGTCCAGCGCATGGGCAAGGTGGCCTCGGTCTCCGCCGACTCGCCCGGATTCCTGGCCAACCGCATTCTCATGCCGTACATCAACGAGTCAATTATCTGTCTGGAGACTGGTGTCGGTGGTCGCGATGACATTGACAACATCATGAAGACTGGAACCAATGTCCCCATGGGCCCGCTGGTCTTGGCGGATTTCATTGGTCTGGACACCTGCCTGGCCATCATGAACGTTCTCCACCAGGAGACTGGTGACAGCAAGTACCGTCCTGCCGGTCTGCTGCGCCGCATGGTGGACGCTGGTTGGTTGGGTAAGAAGTCGGGCAAGGGCTTCTACGACTACTGATCGCCGTCATGCCCACCTGGTATGATGCTGACGACGATACTGTTTTCATTGCGATATACCTTCTGTATGCTACCATCTTCGATCCTCGCTTGGCTCAATCGATACATGTTTGTCATTTAGGTTCAGACTACTGTCGAAAAGTATTATCTTGGGCTTAATCTAACAGCTAGCTTATCTCAGCTGTTTATCCCCAAGTCTGCTTCCGTTGAAGTACAATATCATTGCGTCTACTTACATATAAAAGCTACTCTTTCTTATCAACGTACGTCGAGTGTGCTGCTGGACGAGTCACGGCTGGGCGAGTCATCGTTGAGCGAGTCATTACTGCAGAAACCACTCCTAAATTATACATCGATGGAATGAATACCGATGGGTTCATTACTGATGTACGGGTCCTTGTTGACGGTCATGCAGAAGCTGACCGTTCACAACTACCAATACTCGGTGTCTCTCTGACCTTGAGGGCCTTGCAGGTCTTTCGGTCCTTGCGATTCTCGGCATTACCGGTCTCGCTTCTCGCGCAGGTCTGGCGGCTCTGGGTGGTCGGGATACTCTGGACGTTCTGGGTGGTGTGGTTGTTCTGGCAGGTCTGGTAGGCCTTGCAGGTTGAAGGCTCACCAATCCTTGTCGCGCCGGTCTCACGGGTCTCGGAGGGTTCGGTCTTCGACCATTAAGCCGAATCGCAGCCTCTTCTCTTTCAGCTATTTCCATCGCAGCAATCGTGACAGCGAGGTTGTCGTCGTCTTCAAGTTGATTGGGATGATCCAACATCTCGACTATATGTCTACAGTTGCATCCTATGAACGGGCCACCGCAGATATAACTATTTCCTTGTTACTATTGTCCAGATCTGGTCTCATGCCTCACTCACCAGAATTCCGCACCGCATGTACATTTCATATGGTTGCACCCATTCTGCTTCGACACGATAGCGTGGCAGCTGTGGCATCGTTGCCAATGGTGACTTCGTGCCACTTCCAGTACCTGCTCCAGGCCAGGATCCTTGGAGCATTTTCGGTAGTCGTGGGCAAGATCGCGACAACGTGAGCAGATCATCGCCCGGCAGTGACAACACTTCTGTGTCTTCGCACCTGCCTGCAAATACCGTGGCGGTATCCATTTGCCGCAAACTGTATGTGGGCAGTACCATCGCTTGGCTGGTGGAACTGCGTCCTCGTCTGCTCGGGATATGTATAGCCTCCTCTTCTCGGCGTCCAGGGCCATTGCGACTCGCTTGGTGGGAATTTCTTTGTTGCAACAGCGAACTGGGAATCGCTGTTTGTTTTCCAGAGCTATCTCTCCCATCCTTCGAATGCAGCGATGGCAGTATCCGTGCTGGCAGGGTGCTCTGATGAGCTTCGTAGATCGGACCTGTTTGTCGCAGGCTATGCAGTGTCTGGTGTAATTTAGTAGATGTAGATAATTCGATCTGAGTACTCACTCTTTGCTCGGTGCGGATTTTCTGAAAATAGATTTTAATCTCTCGCCGAATCCTATCTGATTCTTGTGTTGCGTGTGCGCTTGAGTGTCATGGCAGAGGTTCACCCTAGTGCTCGTCTCGGCGGCGTTGTCTCCTTTAGATACTGTCTTATCATGACATGCCGACTTAGATGTCAAGGTCGGTCCCGATGTCAGCCTTTTGGGAAACAGCGGTGGTAGATACGCTATGGCCAAAGATAAGTATGCTGGGAACATTCGGGACACCGAAGAAGTTGCGGGTGGTTTGTCGCTCATATTCGCTCGGTTGATCAGAATACAAAGCAGAAAGTCACTTGATGTTTCATGCTATGGTCTTCTAATGGTGGAGATTGCCGGCAAATGTGTATTTGTTCGTTCAAATGTTGTATGTTCCAGCGATCATCTCGAACAAACCAGATATATAGCACTTGAGATTGGCCCCAGTGCCACCCGCCCGCGTACCAAAATAGCCAACAAGTTTGTGGGTGACCGTGTTATGATCATTTGACCCTCTGATGTGACTATATACTTGGGTGGAAAGGTCGTTCTTCTTCCATGGTTGATCTCATGAAATGGACCGTTCTGTAAAAAATGTCGTACCGAGACAGCGTGTCAGCACCGCGTCACAACCTCAGAATAATTTGCAAATATTCAAGATAGAAATTCCACACATGGTATACTTCACAGCTACCGCTTACAGACCAGGGAAATATTCAAGATAAGCCATGGTACAATGCTAGTAAATTTTCAATAGAACAACACCACCTAAACAAGGGTATCACTATGCATTCAAGTTGCCTTCAAGTTCAAGACCCCCAAACTCCGAAATGAAGATTTACATGACTTTTGCCGGTCAGCCTAGATGGTGTTAGCAAAGCGCCGACCAGCCCATCCAGATCCATGCTCCTGATATTCCTGGCGAGTAATAGCAACTCGGCCCAGCTCTTCCCGATTACAAGCAAGGCGAGCTCCGCCCAACCATGTCGAACGAACGGGGCTAATGAACACACGTTAGTATACAATATTTCACAGGAAAATTCAAAGATATGTAAGTCAACTTACTCTGAAGCCCGACGCACTCTTACCACACAGTCCGACGATGCGATCTGGCGCAGTTCAGTTTCCCTGTAAAAGCGCGGTTAGCGACATTCTGGTTGTAGATAATCAGATAATTGGAGAAGCTTACAGTCGCTCCATGAAGCCCGGAATCGCAGCATTACCACCGACAACTAGCACATTTGCCAAAAGGGCAGCATGCAACCCAGCCGGCAAAACAGACAAACTTTCTAGGATCATGTCCGGAATTCCAGCCTGCTTCATGCCAATATCACCCGGGGTAAACAGAAGCTCCGGAACGGCGAAGCGTTCGTTGCCCAGAACCAGAACATCTTCAGAAAGCACTTCAGCACTGAGTCCGGAGAGCGCACCCTTCTTTTTCTTGGCATGCAAAAGCGGATCGTGTGGCCGCATGAAGCCTTTCTTGCCGGCATTCGGATCAGGAAGCACAAAGTCCACCACCACGCTTTCTTCGGCTTGGCGCTTGCGATTGGCTTTCCAGGTCCTTTCCATGTCGCCGGTGAAGTCATTGCTCACGAAGCAGACGGCTTCTTTGACTTCGTTCATGATATACGTCTCGTCCACCATGTTATATTGTCGCATCGACACAATTTCCTTGAGATAATTTGTGAGGTGTTTTCCACCGATGTCGAGACGACGGACGGCGCGCTGGAGAGCTTGCCCCTTATAGACCGGAGTCACCGTAGTATGTGAGTATCCTGAATCAACGACTAGAAGGCAGTCCGCGGGCTGAATATCGGACTCGGATTTTGCGGCGAGGGTGTCTCCGAATAAAGTGTGGATTTCATTCCAAGCGTTGAGCGTTGGGCCTGTATAACGAGCAACATGTTAGCCATTTCCCCGCCACAGAGCCCGAGAGAACAGCAATCCTGCCTTACCTAGACACCTCGCATAACCCCCAAACCCCCATTCTTCCATCACCATCTCATCCGTATTCCGTTGCAACACCGGCAGGGCATTCGGGCTCTCAGTCAAGACCAAGGTAGTCTCCTCCGGCGCAGCAATTCGAAGCTGCTTATTCCGAGCCGTCGCCTTCTCCTCGAAAAAAGACTGCTCCCATATCTCCCTCTCCGCTTCCCAGTTAACAATATATCCCTTCTCCACCGGCCGTCGGAACGCCGCCTCGTTCCAATCGGTGACATGCGTTGCGAGCTGTGCACCGATCACAATGCGGTTATCGCGGGTCTTGACGAGCGCGTTCGGGATCGAAGTACAGGCTGACAGGGCATCTTCCTCGTCGGAGAGGCCTGGCGCATAGCCCGCTTTCATTGTGTATGCACCATTGTCGAGAATGAAGGTCTGTTTGGGGAGATTGCGGGATGTGCTTGGAGAAGCCGCAGCAGTCTTTGCAGGGGCTTTCGCCTTTGTCGTTCCCATGTTTGCAGATGATTGAATGCCGATGATGCGCGAAGACAGATGAAGCTCCGATGTTTGTTATGTTTGATTTACAGGCCTCAGGCCGCAATCGCAATGTACTCCGAAGGCTGCGATCACTTTTGACTCACTCTGAATTGATTCATTCAGTAGTAAAATAACGAGAATAAAGGTGACTCAATTATAACCACTACCTTGCCAAAAGATCATAATAAAAACAACGCGACTCGAGTTGTCAAAACACGAAGTCAAAGTGGCCCCGCAGAACCCTAATCAGCCCCGCGAACTTTTATTTCAAGTCTTCCATACGCGCCCAAAATTTCTCCAGCACCCCAACTGCCCCCAAACAACCAGAATTGGCACCTTCCACGCCTCTCAAGATGTCCAAACAGTTGACTACAATCCTGGCAACGACCCTCGCCCTCATCGAGCAATTCCAAGACACCCTCTCGACATCCACCCACACCGAGCAACCGTCCCCCAAAGATGCAAAGGCCCTGCCCCTCCTCTCCGCCTCGTCCGCCACCCTCAAAGCGCAGGTGACGAAGCTGTCGCTTCTTTCAATTACCTCGCCCTTCACCCATTCCGCCGTTAGTGGCGTGCTGCGCGCTTGCAATGACACCGTCCTCCCTTCGCTTGTTACCGCTGCTCTGCTCGTCACGCCTGCTGAATATACGAAGGCGTTCCATTCGGAGGTTCTTCTCCTTGTGCGCACGACGTTGAATGAGTTTAATACGCTTGTTCAGCAAGTAAAGAGTATTTCGGAGAAGAAGGATCTGGAGAAGAAGGATGATCCGAAGAAGGAAAGTGAGTTGGCTAGGCCGGATAAGGACGCTGTTACTCTTGCTACGGGCCGTGTGTGGGATGCGTGTGATACAGTCCTGGAGGTTGCGTCGAAAGGTGTGGTGGGATTCGTCATGCACCGCGTCGAACAGTGGAGGGATCTTGTCCGGGATGCGGTGCAGGAGATTGAAGACTGGGATCCCGAAGAAGATGACGATTTCTTCGATGATCTGATGGGCGAGGATAAGGATGACGGAGAGGAGGATGACGATGACTCTGATGACGAGGAGGAGACTGCCGCGCTGAAGGAACAGAAGAAGAATACTCTTCGCTTCCTCAAGCCTATTGTGCAAGTCTACCCTTCTATCGCTACAAATCGGTTGAAGAATGCTGGGGATGCACCTTTATCTTCGGCTGCTGGTGTCACCAGGCTGGAGGCGTTGATGCTGAACCTGCAGAGTATACCTGAGCAGGTTGATGAGGCAGCGGGGGCCTTATATGAGGCTAACGTGGCCAAGTCTGCAAAGTTCTTGAAAAAGACGCAGAAGAATGCTGCACAGGCTGTCGAATCGATGGCTGCGCCGTGGGATGCTGCGGATGCTGCGGGCTGCGACAAGCAAGTGACAGACAAGTTCTCGATCTGGTCGAGTGCGTGGTTCAAGGTCATGGATGAAGTGAGCAAACCGATTGATGCAGCTTCCACTGCATAGATCGAAAATAATGATGTACATGGATTAAATAAATGTTCAAAATGAATATCTGCCAGGCCCATGAATCAAGATAGTAAAATATAGTTGTTATTGGATTATACAGGGAAGAGATCATAGGAAACTAATATACACGGAACACCATCGTGTAGTGGTTTCCACAAGACGAAAGAGAGTGTTGATTCTCAACTGCAGATTTCTCGGCACGATTTGATGCTCAGCCGGTTCAATATTCGCCAACTTGGGCATCCTCACGCTCCCATTCTGGCAAATCATTTTCGCGAATATGCTTCATCAGGAACTCCAAAACTTCGTCAGTACCTTTGGCGACGGTTTGCCATCGAGGAACCCGGAAACGGTTGCCTGCAACCTCGAAGCGTCTCAAAGCCGTTCCACTGCCCCAGTTTTGAGGGTTGCGTTCAGCACCAAGCAGCCCAATCTTGGGTGGCAAATAATCAACATCGTTGTTGCTAACATCCAGAACCTGGAGGCCTTGCACTGCCTCAAATTCTAGGCTTTCAAATTTGTTGTCGGCGGCGATGAAGGTTTTGAGTTCTGGGAAGGTCTGACGAATATGTGGTAGGGGTCCCTTCAACCGGTTGTTCGCTAAATCGAGGATGCTGAGCGACGGGGCTTTTAGGCCAATCAAGAGAGATTCCAGCGAGGTGAGGCCAGCAGCACTCAAGTTGAGAGTCTGCAATTTAGGAAGCTCAAGCGGTGAAGATATCAGCTTAGAGCTGTCCAAGGGATTGTGGGAAAGATCGAGATCAATCAGACCATGGGCGAGGATTCTTAGTGTCGAGATGGGGAAGCAGGGCAGTTTATTATGCTGCAAATAAAGACAGCGAACATCGTCTGCGTTGACTAGCTCCAAATTGTCTGTCTCAAGATCTGTCAGGTCCGAGTAGGATCTGTCAACGACACCACCAGGCTTGACCTTCCAGGTATTTTCCAACGCAGGGGTCTCCGGTGCAAGTGTGAACTGAGTCGCAACTGATCCCTCGTCGTCGGTGTCCTGAGGCTCAGGTTCACATTTGTTTCGCAGGTTCTGTATAATTTCCTCCGAGCCCATGCTCAAAAGCTTGCGATCGCGAAGCGGATTGTTAGCAATCTTGAGCGACGAAAGGCTCGTCATGAGCCCGATCTTTTCATCCAAATGAGTAAGGTTGTTTCCGGTAAAGTCAACGCTCTTGAGACTCTTGAGTTCCACAAATCCTGCCGGGAGCTGTGTAAGACGGTTGTCCTCGGCCGACAAGACCAAAAGTGATTCCCATGAAGACACACGGGGTAAGCGTTTGATACGGTTCAAACCGATATAAAGGTTCTGGAGGCTGGGTAGAGTAAGCGCCTCGTTGGCTGCAAATACTTCCACTGTGTTGCCTGCAATGTTCAGAGACTGCAGATTCTCCAGACGATCCACAGCCTCCGGTATCAGGGTGCCTTGTAACGAGTTCTTGGGAACATTGAGTGTTCGCAGGGGAAGTTTGCTCAATGCTTCGAATGGCAAAGAGATCAACTGGTTTTCGCCCACATCCAATGTCTTGAGGCTTGTCAATTCTACCAATTCTTCGGGCAGCGATGTAAGACCATTGCCACGCAGATCCAGCGATTCCAGTTGGCTAAGACGACCTATTTCTGGGAACAATGGCCCACTCAGCTGATTATTGGCCAGCTTCAAATCTGTGAGAGAAGGTATCTCCAAAATAATTTGAAGTTTGTTCATGCTTATGGCATTGTTAGACAGATTCAAGAAGCGCAACTGGTTCAGTCGTCGAATACCCATTGGGACGGTCTGGAGTAGGTTTCCATGAAGGTCAAGGGCTTCCAATTCGGCGAATTGAGGACCTCGCTCCGCACTGTCGGGATCGAAATCCGCTGGATCGATGTCAGGAAAAGCGGCATCCGCCACCTCTTCCAATTCGTTGTCTGCGGCAATGAACTTGACGAGGTCTACGTTCTCGAACCAATTGGTTGCGTCGGGATCGAATTCGTACATATCGATTACCTCTTTCGGGATCTCTTTTAAAGATAAGGCAGCAATATTCAAAGTACCCGATTTGCGGGCGCTCTCCACGCGATTTCGAAGCACGGCAGTGTTTGAGCCCTTGGGGAGCTGATTGAACGGATCCTCGGCATCAATACTGTCCCATGTATTGACAGGTTTGATCTGAGGCCCAGGCTCGGTCTTTTCTTTCGATGCCGCCGCCTTTCTAGCAGCCTTTGCCTTTGCAATGGTATCACGTAAAGCGTTCGATGACTTTGTAGCTTTCCTGGCTTCGCTTTCAGCCTGCTGTTCTGGGGTGAGTTCATCTTGCAAAGAAGATACAGCAGACACATATCGCGAGGGCGTTCGTGACGCAGCTGAAGGAGATCTTGCTGCAGACGGTGAGTCTGTCTGGGGTTTCCTTGTCTTTCGTACATGAAGTGGTCGCTCTGGAGGACGCATGTCTGACAGCGTAGGTTTTGAGGATGTCTTGCCGGGAGAAGGGCGAGCGGGCGAGGCTTTAGCGGGCCCTTTCAGCATGTTTCGGTCCGAAATCGTCTTCTTTGGTGTGACACTGGTATCGGAGCCACCATTACCAACTACAAGGCTTTGTCTCGATGACGACAACTTCAGCCTCCGGGGACTTTCGCTAGTATCCGGAATATTGCTCGTTGGCAGAGACGAAGTGGACGGTACCGACATGCGGGATCTCGAAGGAAGGCGAAGCTTGGATACAGGCTGTGACAAGAAGTCGCTGCTGGCCTGTCCAGAGGATGATCGTGAGGGCGATCGCGAATATGAAGAGACATTGGATGGTGTCCGTGACGGAGATCGGATTGGACTGGCCCCATTGAAAAAGCTTGACTGCCTCTTCACGGAACCCGGCGAGGGAGGAATACTCGACAGCGTTTCGATTGTCCGATCCGATAGAGTACGACCACGGGCTTCGTCGGCCACTTCAACTTCTTCTTCTTCCACCGCCGGGCTCTCATCCTCTGCAATTTGTATTTGATTCACGTCATTCTGGGGCTCGGTTTGCGTAGGCTGGTCTTCGCGAATGACCTTCGGCGGGGTGGAATAGCGCGGAGTGGAATAGCGCGGAGTGGGCTTCGTGAGGAGGGACTCGCGGGAGGGTCTCCGTAGCCGACTATGGTCCAAACCAGGGTCCGCCTGCAATCGGTCTCTAGAAGGTGAGGGCCGGAGAGACTTCGATGCTGCTGGGGTCGGCAGGGGCAATCTCGAAGTCGGTCTCGGGAGACTACTCGCAGGGCGAGTTGCGGTTCTGTGTTGAATGTCCATGCTGGCGTGGCTGGCTGAATGGGCAGGGTTATAAACGCCACACGTCAGTGAAAAATCATGCCCGGACCGAAAGAATGTAGGTGGGGAAGTACAACAAATCGAACGAATGGCCCGCGCAAGAGCCAAATCGGGGATGAAGCTACGAAGCTAAAGCCGAAGATTGTTTACATTAGACCCGCGACGGAGGCCTAAGGCAACAACCCCCTTGTTACTTTCTACACCTTGCACCTCTCTTTCAGTTTTTATGCCTACTGAAACTCGCTAAGTCAGGTAGGCCATAGGCGCTGTCATGGAAGTTTAAAGTTAATGTTTGATCGCCCCGAGAATGCTAGCGTTAAAGAAATGGAAAGCAGCTTGAGACCCATTCGGCCGCGTGGCATCTCGCAGGCGTGTTTGCGCCTCAGAGCTCCAACGATCAAAAAATGCGATCGCGCCATACGTAGGTAGCTATGTCATTTTGGGTGCACGAGCCACTATGAGACACGGGTGCACCAATGTTTCGCAGACGCCGGGAGACTTAGGACTATGTTGTGGAGCAAGATTAGTGAAATGAAACAGGTAGCTCTCTCATATGAAGATTCGAAAATATTTTTTACATTCTGCCAATGCAATTAAACCCGGGGTAGCTGCTAGGATGAGCTGTGGAAGAGTAGCTAGTTGCCGTCTGGCAGAGGGACAATACCCAGGGCAGTGTGAAGGCTAGAAACTCAGTTCTGCACAATGATACCCACAGTGAGCAAATGTATTCCCAGCCTGGCACTGGGATACTGGGATAGCCACGTAGTATTCGAAGATGCAAGTCCAGCACTGCAACCCATCGCTTTGGGCATAGTGCACATTCCTCGCGCTCACTGGAATGCATTCCATAACTTCTAGATTTTTAATGTGTAGTTTACTCCCTGGGTAGACAGCTATTTAATTTGTGTCATGAGCTTTGCTCTGCCGAACGATGATGTAGTGCCAGCCTGATACAAGACAAGCTTATCGGTTGCCAGATCAACGTGCGCCGAAGCCCGTCGTTCGCGGCTGTTTACTTGCCCTGAGCGTCCCGTGATCGCCGGCCTAACCATATGCAGCAGTGTGGATACGCAAATGCAGGCCGTGATTGGGTGCATTCTATAAATTGTTGGCTGAGGCTGGCAGTGAGCCCAGCCGCATTTCGCACTTGCCGTTCCCAGCCTCCCAGCCCCCTCCTCCACGATATCAACCCGAAACCGTCCCACAACTTCCTCCCTTCTATTCATCCCTCCCCCTGTCAACTCCATTCTTGAACCTTGGACGTCTAATCTGATCTGATCTGAATTGTTCGACTATCAGCGCCCTCCATATCTCATCTCTCCGGTATGCGCTTATCACAGCCCTCAGTGATAAACTCGGTGATAAACTCCGATAACTAACATCAAATCCAGTGCGAGGACCTGCTCCCCACGGTTGACCTCTGTTGTCTTATCCATTCCTCTACATCATCGGTCATGTCTCAACTCTCACAACGGTCCCAAAGTCCCCTCGCTGCGCCGGCTGAGATCCTCGCCCCGGCAACGCCAGTCAAGCGTGCGACTTTGTCTCCGTCGCCAGATCTGAGTGCCGCCGCCCAGGGCCGATCCTCCCAGTCAGACAAGAAATTCCTCTCACCGCCGCCTCTTTCATCATCCGACATGACTCCACCACCCTCCACCCAAATTCCGGGGGCGCCTCTGCGCCGGTCTCACTCACGCTCTCTCAGTCCCTCCCTCATCACTCCGGCGGATTTGGACAAGTCGCTCTGCGATGCTTACGGAGTGTCGGAGAACCTTCCCACGGCTGAGGAGATTGACAACGCCAGTGAGACTCAACTGCGCTCAATCGCCAAGGATCTTCTCGCCGTCGCTCAAGAGGCCCGCATGTCCGCCCTTCACTTCAAACTACAGAACAGCCTTGTCTCATTTGCCAGCAACGAGGCTGTTAAGCGCGCTGAGGTGGAGCACCAGCTCGCCAAGCGCGAAGTAGAGATTATACAGAGCGCAGAGTACCGCAGCCGCTCGCGGCCTGCCGAGCCTATCACACCCAAGCAGTCTATCTCTGCTGATGAGTACTCGACTGCCGTTCAGCGGTCGCGAGAGTTGGAGAACGTCAACGCTCTCCTGGATCGCCGACTGCGAAATGCGAAGCGCGCGATTGACGACGCCACTTCACGCTCTGTGGAGCTCACCGAGCAGAATAATATGTTAAAGAGGCGCATTGAAGACAACCGCCGGCATTTCTCCCAAATATACAACTACGGGAGCCTATCCCCGGGTATGCAAAATGAGCTGCACACGATATGTCGTGGCGAGCACACCGACGGGCTTGCTGCCCTCCTTTTCGCAGACAAGTTCACAAATCACATCCATGAGCCGCAGAGCTCGTACGGTGCTCCCTCTTCAGTCCCCGTCACTCCCAACCACCCCCGCTCCGCTCGCCAGGAACGTCAGTTTATGACACCTGCCCGGGGTACCCAGTACGACAGCGACAGCACTGTCTCTCTCTCTGGTGAGGACGAGGACGAGGGCATGCGGCATCCTCAGATGCGCTCGACTGCCCCGAGGACGAGCTCTCTGCTTCAAACGAAGTTATTTGGTCAAGTGAAGAAGCCCGGCGTGTCACGGCCTCAATCACACAAGCGCAAGGCCAGTTCCGAGGAAGATGGCTCAGTCAAGAGATCCAGAAAGGGAGGAGTGGGTCTTGGAATCCACTCCTAACTTACCCATTCCATCTGGATACGATTGATGACCTAGCGCTGCTCTGCCATTGGCTTTTATTTGCGAGGAAATGTCTCCATATTACGATTGATGAATGATTACGGCACGCCCAACTTGAATAGCGACTGGATTTTATTTTATTTTTGCTTTTTTTTGGGGGTCTTGGAGATACCTCCCATGGCTACCGAGGTATCATCCACTGGATACGGCGTTTGAAATCGGATTTTTGTTTGCAACATAGGTTGCGTTGCTGAACTCGATGCGGAACGAACGAGTTGCATCTGCAGCCGGGAAGCCCTTGAGTCGTGGATAGAACGGGTATTCGCAAATGCATGACCCTGCACGGCTGTACAATAGGAATAGAAATCAATTTTGACAAGCATTATTCGGTCTTCATTTGGTAAATCATAACGAATAGTCTACAATACTGGATTATAACGACTCAACCTAAAACACTTATAACCTCGAGGCCACACGAGGTCACAACAGCCAGGTCATATCAAATCGCAATTCAACTACTTGTTGAATGTTGACAGCAAAGCAACTGGACTACACTAGCCCGAGCTAGTTCAGATAGGGTACGGTCACGTGGTAAGAATGGGCTGAGTCATCATGGCAGGTTAGGGCTCGCTAAGCGAGGCGGTGAGTGGGGGACCGGCGGCCACACGAAAAATGGGAACTTCAGTTTCTGCCGTGAAGGGAGATTTGACCAGCAACCCTCCGACGACCATCAACCGGCTCGACCCCAACCGTCACCATGGTGCGTAACCCTCGATTCTTGTGCTGCGAAGATGAACTGGCTTGATATTTCGACTGCTTGGACGATATTCTTTGTGGCACTTGTGTGTTGGATTCGGAACAATGTTGGCTGATGGACTTCTTCGTGGAATTTATAGGTCGCGCACAACAACCAGATCCAGAAGAACCGTGAGTGATCCCGACGCCTACGATTCCCGCTCGCTCGAATGCCCTGAGCGACGGACTGGAATCGCAATTTGATGAATGTTCAATGTGCTAATGCATTTTTTGCAGACTTCCGCAAGGATTGGCAGAAGCGCGTCCGCGTGCACTTCGACCAGGTACGACTTCGAAAACTTCCCTGATGAGCATCCTCTCTCTCGCCGAACGATATGACGGACAACCGGCTTTTGGGGAGAAATTTTTTACTCGAACTAGGTGGACTAACATACGCCCATTTAGCCCGGTCGTAAGCACCGCAGACGTGAGAACCGTATCGCCAAGGCCGCTGCCGTCGCTCCCCGTCCCGTCGACAAGCTGCGTCCCGTTGTGCGCTGCCCCACCGTCAAGTACAACCGCCGTGTTCGTGCTGGCCGTGGTTTCACCCTGGCTGAGCTGAAGGTAAATTCGACCTTGTCTGGAACCATTGCTTTGTGAGAGCATCTGCTGATGTGTGATTTTTTTTCGAACTACAGGAGGCTGGCATTCCCAAGAAGCTCGCCCCCACCGTTGGTATCTCTGTCGACCACCGCCGTACCAACTACTCCAAGGAGTCCCTGGTCGCCAACGTTGCCCGCCTCAAGGACTACAAGGCCCGTCTGATCCTCTTCCCCCGCAAGAGCGGTCAGTTCAAGAAGCTCGACTCCTCTGCCGAGGACGTCAAGGCCGTCAAGGCTTCCCTCGCCGAGGGCAAGCGTGAGGGTATCGTCACCCGTGTCGAGGCCACTTTCCCCATCGACAACCTCTCCGCCGGCAACGCCATCACTGAGGTCAAGCGTGACTCCATGCCCAAGGGTGAGGAGGGTGGTGCCTACCGCCGCCTGCGTGAGGCCCGCGCCGACGCCCGTCACCGTGGCCAGCGCGAGAAGCGCGCCAAGGCCAAGGCCGATGAGGAGTCCGCCGCCAAGAAATAAATGTGTTAATTTTCTGCTGCTGATGATGATGATCGGGTCGGTTTTCGGATCGGGGATGAGTGTACTGTGGCATGGCGTGGCGCCTCTTCCTTTTCTCTCAAACTGATTCCCTCTCTTCCCCCTCCTCCTCTACCCTTTGCCCCTTTTGTCTCTAAAAAAGAAAGAACTCGGAAGATCCTCTCGAAATGCAAACCACCCAATTTTTCTCAAAATTTTCATCCGCTGTTTCGTGTGTCTGGTGTTTGTGGGTTGGTCCCGGTCAAAAGCCGGTCTTTCCTGTGGAGGCTCGAGGGTTGGGGAGGTTTGGAACCGTTGGTCTGAGAGTTTGTGAAGGGCGCCATACCAGTCGCTCATTAGAAGAGCTTCATATTCCAAGGTTGGTTGCCTCGTGAATAACAAAAAGAGTTCAATGTTCCAAATTTGGTGACTCGTAGTTGTGAGCACTGTCAGTAGATATGTTGTGTAGACATTGCCATGTCACAGAGATGTCTGCTGGTTACGGCATTATCTGATCATAATTCACCAAAAACTACGGCGAGATCTGCATATCAGGTGCTGCTCTTGATTTCATCATATTGCGTTGGTATCATAAATCCACACTTTGCGCCAACGCTCGAAAACAAAAAGAACCCCAGAATATCAAACGCCGAACAAAGCACCGAGCGCTCCATTGGTAGCCCGCAAAATAGCATTGATGTGCACAGTTCCAGTCACACCTTTTGTGCTGGCAACACCTTCCTGGTGCAATAAACCATAAAATAATTTCTTCGCCTCGTTATCAATCTTCTTACTCGACCCTCCAATACCACCCGAAACAGAGACACTGAGCTCAGGTCGTAGCTGAGGCTCTCCAGTCCAATCCTCCAAGACCAAAGCATTTGAGAGGAGCACGTGGATGTCGGCACCGGAGGACTTGGACTTGGACTTGATGACCATCGTACTACGCTCGAGATGAGGAACCAGTCGGCGGAGTTCGGAAAGCGTGATGACTCCATCTCGAGATTCGGGAAGAATTTTCTTGCCACGCGCTGAAGTGCCATTGCCATGCTTCTCCTCGATCTGAGCCCATAGTTGGGCCCGGGATACCGATGCTTCCCAGTACCGGTTAATGCCCCAGCAGAGAGTAGCAACGTCGAGTTTCAGAAGCGGGTTTGCTAATCGAGAGTCGATCCATTTGCGGAGATCCTCGGGGACTCTGCGTTTCTTGCTATCAGTGCCAGTTGACACGGACAAAGATGTCAGAGAATGCGCCTCTGGGTTTGTTTCGTAAACCACGGACACGTTGTATAAGGAAGATGGGAAGGGGGAGGGCGCATTGAATTCCAAAGTATGGATCTCGATTAGGCCGTTTGTTTGGGACGATGTGCGACTTGTATGCGCTCGAAGGGCTAATGGGGCGAACACTTTGAGGTGTGATGGAGACTGCGGGGATTTTTTCAAGGCGAATGGGTTTGTAGGAAGAGGCGATGTTTCACGGGTCTGGTGAGGGAGATTGGCGGAGAATGGGAGCAACGTTGAGAGGAGTGATGACACCGGTGCTGGAGTTTTCTTTGGCGCCGGAAGATTGATATGTGAAGACTCCTCGGAGAGTAGGGTCAGGAATTTGTTGAGTTCCTTCTTGTCGCCCATCAGATTTGCATCAGACTCGACTTTCCCGGTCCATTTGGTCAGTTCCTTCACGTCATCCTTCAAGCGCCTGAGTTCCGCGGCAAGACTCTTGCGCAACTTTTGCTTCTCGAGAACCGCCGGGGACACTTCGTCCAGGGCTAAATCCTCCTCATCGGAGCTTTCCTCCGTGTTGGGATCCTGAAATTTGAATAATTTCAAGGGGCTTGGTTGGAAATGCTCGACACTTCGTCGTTTCATTCGTTTTTCATGCCTCGCGGTAGGGCTACTGCTCAATGGCCCCATTGGTCTGTCGGGTGCCTTCTCAAGGCCTAGTTGGGTCGGAGTCGGGGGAAGGTCCGGTTCGAGAGGATCCTCATCGACAAATGGATTGTCCAGAGCCATATCTTCTTCAAACTCTGGTTCTTTCGTCGCACTGCCCAGTTCTCGAGCCAATTGGCTCTCCGGAGTGTCCTGTTCCGCTGGCGGTATCTGCTTTCTGACTGGAGACTCAAATGTAAAGTCTCCGGGGAGAATCTTCTTGGACAATTTGCGCGCAGGTTTTGAGAATGCTTGAATGCCACTTGAGCGTCTGCTGGGAGATAGTGTCGGCGCGTCAACGGATGCTCGGGGCGCTTTGAGTGGGCTTGAGGGACCTAGTGAAGGCCGAAGAGCTTTGCGGTCGCGAAGTCCAACGATTCTTGGTTCAGGCTGCTCTGGTCGGCCACCCTGGCTTCCTCGGCTTGTTGGTCGCCGGCTTGGGGATCTGCTGAGCGCGCGCGCAAGAACATCGGGGTGTGATTTGGCCAGGCTCGATCTTGTTGGTGACTGAAAGGATGGGCGAGCTGAAGAAGGCGTCACATCGCGACGCGCAAACGACTGCGACGCGCCAACGGCAACGCCCGTTGTCTCGCTGGTTTTTCGGCGCTTTGGCGGCGAGTCCATTATTGTTGGGATTGATTCTAACTACGTTCTTGACTCGACTCTCGCCAACCCGAGATAAACAACGTGTTTGCAGTGTTTGCATCGATGACTTCAACTGCGGCGCCGAGGGATCTTGCTTCCTCCCACACACGATGGGGTGTCTTGCAGCAGGCAGGCACTCGCTCAAAAGGACGAAATTCTGTTCCTTACCACTAAAACATCGATCCCTACCCTCATCATCCTCACGTCGACAATATGCTTTGATTCCGACTCCTCGGCGCATGGGGGCCAATGACCAAGCCGACCCTCGTGATACCCATGATACCTCTGCGAAAAGGCACACTCCCCAGGCATATCCCTTGTCAGGATATTACAAATTGGTTTTGAATGCTCGCTCTCTTTATGAGGCTCGTGCGCCGACAGAACGAACGACTACCCCTCAGAGCGAGGAGAAGCCGAATCCCACGTCGCCGACCGAAGTGGAAACACCACAAGATAAAATGGCAATTGTGTTCGGCACACGTCTTGCAGGACCGGGCCGTCAGTCGCGCTACAATCCTGGTGAGGCACCGCCAGAGTCTATGTGGAAGACCGTCAATGGAGTACCCATTCCACCCCGGCCCGACGAACCGGACAACTGCTGCATGAGTGGCTGTGTTCACTGCGTTTGGGATGACTTCCGAGACGAAATGGAGGAATGGGCGGCAAGAATCGAGAACGCCAGGGCCAAGACGGATACCGAGAAGGGGACAATGGACATGCGCGCGACGCCCAGAAAGGAGGTTGATTCAGCGAGCCAGAGTATGGACGACGACGGCGGTGGGAGTGAGGCCAACTGGACAGCGCAATCTCAAGGTGATGATTTGTTCTCCGGTATCCCAGTGGGTATTCGAGAGTTCATGAAGACGGAGAAGAGATTGCGATTGAAACACCAGAAAGAAGCTTCGGCTTGAGCCCATGTAGATTGTTTTTATCTCGATTCTTGTTCTTTATATCCGGTGCCATACGATCTTGGAGAATTCGGAGGCGCTCGGTGAATGTCGTGCCAGATATAGATGGTATATAGATAGACTGTACATAGAAAGTACCATGATGCGACGAACTATTTTCAAGTTGCTTTTGCATTTACGTGAGGGTTTCTCCGAGCCTTGTAATCGTATCCTCGCCTTCGAAATTAGGCATTCTATGACAGTCGTGAAGATTTCGAGGTCTTACAGTTCCCCAGCTTTGATCAGCATGATGCACATGTGGGCGTCGGTGCCAAGCCCGTTCGCCGCAGCGGGTCCCAACTTTTTTTTGGGCCGCATAACAACTCTCCTTTGCGCGTCCACATCACCGAACGGCTTAGAATCGCATGGTGGCTTTATAGTCTTCCAATGCTCTTTTCCCGGTTCTTACCTCAGGGACCTGGTCTCTTCGCCACGATGCACGGCCACTGATTCTCGACTCTACTGAAACACGACCTCCGCAAAATGCCGCCAGGAATAGGCGCATGCAGTTGCTTGCGCTCTATCAAACGAGTACGAAGTTCCCCTCGAAATGAACGCCTCGTCCATGTGCCCCGATCTAACTCCGGTCCACTTGTACCGCTGTCGCGACTTCGACGAGAGATCCACGCCTGCCGAACCGTCCTCTTGACTCGGAATCCGCTCCGTCGGACGATACACACTGAAACGGGATTTGGAAACAAGCCTACGCTGAAATTATGTCGGACGACGGCAGACCACTTCTGGTGCTCGCCAGCAAACTTCTCCGGCTCTCGCGGGTTCCTCACTACATCCGTGTCAAGATCTCAGACTCCCGCTGTCGAGTCTGACCAACATCCACAAGGCACATTGGAGGATCCACTTTCGGCGGATGATACTTCATTATCCCCTCGTCCCACGGATGCGGATTTGGTAGAATCCGAGAATAATGATATCAAAGCTCTGCGGCAGAAGTGTCGACAGTCACGCAGGTTTAACTTGAATATCAGATTCTCCGAATTTTCCAAATTATTTGGGGAGGAGACTTGTCGGCTTGACTTGTCGATGCCAGGCCAGGACGAAGTGAAAGTGACGGCCTCGGCGCTGGGAAAGGTGGGTCTTGATTATCCACATTATCCACTGCAATTCATATTCTAACAGCATGGCCATCAGCAAGAGGCGGAGAGAGAGGCTTGCCTGCTCCTGATCGCAAAGCTCAAGGAAACTGGAAGTTGGGAAACGTTTTCCTCGCCTAGCTCTTCCCAACCTCAAACTGAGGTCGTCATCAATGATGACCTACATTTCAACATTCAACATGCGTCGAGAAAGCTTCGCAAATTAGCAAGGATCACAGACTCATTTTTGGACAGAGAGACCCCGGAGATCTCGCCTCCGGAGACCTTACCTCCAGAGAGACAGAGCATTACAGTGTCAAATGTCTATCGAAAGAGGAGATCCATGGTCTTGGCTCGGGACCTGAAACACATTCGCGAGTCTCGCGGTCAGCGCGCAAGTATTCTTCAATCGATGAGGGCTGGCTTGCCGGTGAACACTCTCAAACAACAAATCTTGGACCTCGTCAATAACCACACGTACAGCCTGATTGTTGCTGAGACTGGTTCTGGAAAGTCAACTCAGGTTCCTCAAATAATTTTGGACGATGCAATCGACCAGAGAGCCGGAGGGCATTGCAATGTTCTCTGCGTCCAACCAAGGCGGGTAGCAGCGCAGTTTCTCGCACGGCGAGTAGCCCACGAAAGACTTGACCAGTCCGGCAAAACCGTTGGTCATATGGTCCGATTCGATTATCAAATACCAGCCAAGTGCGGCGCTATCACCTACTGCACCACTGGCGTGATGTTGAATATGCTGCAAAACCCAACCGACCCCCTCACCTTGTACTCTCACATCATCCTCGATGAAGTTCATGTTCGCGACATTGGAATTGACTTCGTGATGCTACTCTTGAAGCGCCGCATTGATCAATTACGGCTAACCGGGGCCCCTGCACCTAAGGTTGTTGTTATGAGCGCAACGTTGGACGTCGACCTCTTTACGTCTTATTTTCGCAATGAAGGGCCAGATGGGACACTACTTCCCGCTCCACACATTTCCATTCCGGGGCGTCAATACCATGTCCAACGGAATTACCTCGACGAATTGCTTGAAACTTTGAAGACCTCACCTAATCCAGAAGCATTTGGGGCTTTGCTGAAAGAAGGTGATACTGCGAAGTTCCTTAAAAATCACTACAAACGGTTTCCTCCGCCTAATATCGCCGAGGACCCTACAGAAACTGCCCTGGATGCCACCACCGACGATCTGAGCAAGGATCATTCTCCTAATCCGACTGCTGCGAAGACCCACGATGAAGATCCAATCATTCCCCTTGGATTAATTTGCGCAACTATTTTCCACATCCTTAAAACCACCAAAGGCGGTGCGATCCTGGTCTTCCTCCCAGGCATGCAACAGCTTCTTTCTGTGGAGGGAATGCTGAATAATTTTGCAGGCAAAATGGAGCTCAACTTCCAAGATGAAAACCTGTTTCGCATCCTGAAATTACATTCTGAACTCCCGGAGGAACTTCAAAAATTGCCTCTCAAGGTGCCGCATGGCTGTCGGAGAATCTTGTTGTCAACGGACATTTCCGAGGCCTCTCTCACGATCCCGGATGTCGAGTATGTAGTCGACTCCGGGAGAGTGAATCAACTGATTTCCGATCAATGGACACTTTCCAACCGAATGGCTCTGTGCTGGATCAGTCAGTCTAGTTCCTCTCAACGGGCAGGTCGAGCAGGCAGAGTCAAGAATGGACAGTATTACTTCATCGGCACTCAACAACGCTACAATTCTCTCCGAGTCACCAATGCTCCTGAGATTTTGCGCACTGATATTCAAGATGCGTGCCTGCGTGCAAAGCACATCGACCCGGAATTGACCATCTCCGAGTTTTTCAAGGGAGCTCTTGAGCCACCAGGCGATGATAAGGTCGACTTTGCCGTCCAGTATCTGGAGAGAATGTCAGCAATAAATCTCAAAGGGGGCGAAAGGATCACCCATTTGGGTCAACACCTCCTCCAGCTACCTCTTCATCCGCTCCTTGGCAAGCTGGTACTCTTGGGCATGATCTTCCGTTGCCTGGATCCCTTGCTGATCTTAGCGGTGATCGGTCTGGACGGAGATCTGTTTCAACGGTCCAAGACTGAAGCCCAACAAATGCCGTTCCGGAATCGTCGCCATGCTTTTGCCAAAGGTTCTGCTAGCGATCAGATCAGCACTATCAATGCGTTCAAAGCTATCCGGAAGGAATGGCAGGAGAATGGCCCATCGGCGGCCGCTGACTTCGCCTATTCAAACTACCTTTATTTCAACGACTACCGCGAGGCCTATCGCGCGGCTAATCAAATTCTTGAGCACATGGATCGGAGGGGGTTCATTGACCTCTCTCGAACCACCACCGACAAGACGAATCATCAGTTCGGCGGCCTGGAGTACAATACCAATTCTGATAATGCCCTTCTCATCAAAACATTGCTACTCAATTGCCTATCTCCGCGAATCGCTAACCCCAAGACCTACAAAAACGGCAACGCCTTTCAATATTCCACCCACTCAGAAGGTGACAAACCGACCGTTTATGGTTTCAGCCCTAGCTGTGACGGGAATCGCTCCGGCTCTGTGGTTGTATACGGCAGAAAGAAACAGTTCTCACCCAACATGATGGTCATTTCTGAACTTTCCCTCGTCAGTCCGCTCTCCGCGTGTCTCTTCGGAAGCAGACAAAGAATGGACTGTGACTCGGTTCTTGTGGAGGGTTTCTTGCAAGTAAAACTCAACATGAAAGGTGCGTCGGTTCCGGCGTCAAAAGCTGTTGCACATGTGGTTAATCTCCACCACCGAATTTCCAAGGTAAGTCTCAACCTCCCCGAGGTTCGTTTCTGTTTCACTACTAATGTCGTGTTCAACTACAGGGCTTGCGCACTTATCACAAGCTTCTCTTTACTGCAAACCGCTTGTCTGACGATAAAGACAATCGCTTGATGATCCAAATACTCCGTGACGAATTGTCCACTGCCTTGGTGCAGACAGTTACGGATGTCTTGGGCCGCGATCTCCACCGCATTATCCCTCCCGAGACAGTCTCGCCTCGATGGGAAACAGTCATTGTTGAAGGCGAAATTATAGCCTAGATCGTTCATATTCGGAACACTTGTACAATACTTAATAGACCATTTGCATTTCTCATCGCCTTCCAATTGCTAAGTCTGGTATATCTCGGCAGGTTTCCAGTCCTCGTCAAAGTTCCAGATCTCAACGTCCTCCATGTTGACGAGGACCACAAATTCTTTATCCCCATAAATCCATTCACAAGGTACATTTGGTAACGAGCGCTGGACTGTATGATCATACCGGATCCCGTGAGACGTTGCCGTGCTGATTCGAGGACCCAAGATCTGCAACTTCTTGTTCCGGCCGGGTGTATAGATCAGGTTCTGGTCCAGAAAAGCTATGTCCGATGTCTTGGGAACGTCAGCCACAATGTGCACGTCGACTTGGTCTCTGGTCGTGTCAAGTGTGAAGTAGACTATAGATCCGACCGGATTGAGTCCAGTTAATAACGTATCTCTGAACAGACCCGGGTCCTCATCTGGAAAACCTGTTGCGACAGCACTTTCTGATGACGATAAAAAGGATCTTTCCAAAAGAGAAAAAAAGTATCTTTCCCAGAGAGTACTGCTCTGGCCGTGATCTATGTGCTGACTATAAGACGCTGGCTTGATCCACTCGTAGTCGTTTTCAAAGGGAAGCTTCTGGTATTTTTTGAGCACGGAGTTGAAATTGTCGACACTGCCGATGGCGTATTTCTCGATGCGTAACTGTAATTGATCGGCCCGGCCACCAATAATGGAGAAATTCGGGAGCAGGTCCTCGTGGATCTTGCAAAGAGACGCAACCGTGAACTGGTCTTCGAGAGGGTCCAATGCCAACAAAGCGACGTCTGGACCGACATTGGTTGTGCGAGCAATTCCAGAGTCAAAGCTCCAGTGGACAACATAATTCAAGAACGCCAGCAAAACCTTAGTTCCGCTTATCAAGAAATGATGGTAGGCAAGCGAAGCCAGCCGGAAAGCCTTGTGTTCTAGGGTTTCTATATCCCAAACATGGCAGTACCTGTTGAGAGTTCAATTAGAGGTGTACAAGAACCATAATGGGAGGTTACATATATACCCTTGTCTCGAAATCACCGCAACGAGCTTCTCTGAGATGTTAAGCTCTGAGAGCAGCTCCCGATTCTCCGTCGTTACCCGATCCATCTTTCCGGATCGGAGATTCAAAATACAGACAGACGTTCGACCATCCCTACCATCCAGCCATGCATAGATATTCTTGAAATACCCGACACCGCCAGAGAGCATCAATACGTCGTATTCAATAGAAAAGGGTGAGCGTAGCTTGAACGTTGATGTAGGTTGACCTCGTTCCATGCGAAGTCTCTTTTTGAGAAGTTTTGCGGGAGAAGAACGGTCAAAGTTCTGCGCTGCTGAGTCTTGACCCGTGGCTGCTCGAACAGCAGCCCACTGTACTATAGGTGAAGATAAAACTTCCTGCCATCGTCTTGACACCTGCGGAGGTGCTTAGCCCAGGGATATTTTGTATACGTGGCGACATACCTACCCGTTGGAGAATGAGCAGATCAGCTAGATTCATGTGAGTAGTAACAAGCACAGCGATCTCGATAGGCAGATTGCCTAATATGTCGCATTCGAAAGACGTTTGATCGGCACGTTCTTTTACCCCCCGCCATTCATCACGACGTAGCTGGTCCAAGATTCCATGGTAGCTTAAATGGGTCAGCGATGACTCGATCAGAGATGAACAGAAACACACACACATCTCGACGACTCGAGTTCGGAAGCGTTCGGAAACGGTCCAGGATACCTTGAACTTCAAGGTCCATGATTTTGCAGTCAGTCCGAGCAGATCTGCAGATGTATGAATTGCGCATTCCATCTTTATCGCGGCTCTCACCGCTTTCGATATGCTTTATCGCAAAAAAGTTGCGCACCTCGCTTCTTCCTCCTCACGCTTTTCAACAAATGGCTGCCTCCAAGAGCGAGTCAGACGTTATTCTCAATCGCGCAAATGTTGCGCTTGCCCGCAGCCAGCGGCTCGTCTCATCATGGCTGCCCGCGCAGACCGACGACGAACTATCCCACGTCAAGTCCGAGGAGGAATTGCAGCGCGAAGAAGATGAGATCTTCACTGCTGTACCAGAGACGTAAGTTGCATGACTGCATCTCTCTTATTCTTGATTCTTATATCTTCTAGACTCGGAGTCGGCGCCCCTCTCCCCGAAAAAGCTGCCGACGGAAGCTGGAACCGAACCGAACTCAGCTCCAACGATAAACTACGCAAACAATTGCTTGGAAGGAATTATGATAAAGTCATGAAGGCCGCCGCTGCAAATAAGCCTCCACCGCAGAATGCTGGTCCTGCGTCTGCGAAGTCTGCGTCCGCTACACCAGCCAAGAGCGAAGAATCCGATGACGAGGAAGAAGGCCGGGCGGCCATGGTTGGAAAGAAGAGGAAGGCAGGGCCGGCTCATGCCAAAAAGACGACTGTGGCAGGCAATAATCAGGCTTCCGACAAGGTAGACGGTGATGAATCGGTACCTACGAAAGAGGCGCCTTCAAAACCTCCGTCTAAGGGGAGGAAAAAGGCAACGAGCTACTTGGATGAACTACTGGCAGAGCGATCGAAGAAGCGGAAGAAGAGATGAGATATGATAGTATATTTCTTCCCAGCATCAAGATCTCTCCATTGATCCGGGCTCTTTGGCTTTTCTGGAGCGGCATCACGAACCCGTCCTACGCGACGGGCTCGAACGTCAAGAGCCTTGACCGGCTCACACAGGCCAATGAGTAAATGGCACCGCGCACAAGGAACACCATTCTGCCCGCGCTATCTACAGTCCGTGTATTCTGTCGACCGGTGATTTGTACAGGATATTCACCTATGATATATGAAATTCGCATGGTATCCCCTCAATTGCATTAACTGGGCGCAGGTATAGAATACAAAATTCCATTCCAATCTCTTCTAGATCCCACAGTAATATTTTGGGTTCCACTGACCCCAGAATATATGAGACGCTGAGGATGAAGTGTAAACCCAGAGGATTTTTGTCACTCGGCACCGACAGGTTTCTCCACCTGGGAAATCTGAGGAAAACAAAAGGAGGAAGGAGAAAAATGGACATCTACAAAGGCAAAAAAACACACAGGTTGCTGCCGCTATCCTCCAAAAAGGTAGATGAGTGGCCTTCGCGGTTTTATTTCAAGCATACAAGTGCTGTCCAAGAGGTGGAGACTAGATCCATGGGTTTGCTGAACGTATGTTGATCGAACCAAGAGATTAAGTTCAGCCAAGTATGGCGTTTAGATGAAGTGGTCCAAGTGCTATGGCACTCTCGCCGTATTTCCAATTGTTATGGTCATGGTCTTTATTCCAGGCGTTTTCGCTTGCGATCTTCCTGCTGCTCCTCATCCGGTCGTTCGGCAGTATCAGCGGGATTCAGAAGCGAGTGGACATTGCTTGCCATGCTAGAGCGGCGGGTGGCTGGCAGGGACGATTCTTGACGAGGGTATCTAGATCCTCCGAGTGTCCAGCCATTGTCAGCGCTGAGAATTGATGGGGATGGCTCGGCACCGGCTGGTGGAGTTGCGTGACGGAATTGGTCCTGAAGACGAGCGCGCGGTGCACCCATCTCGTACTGGGCGAGAACATCCCGGACTTGCTGTTCACTAGATGCCGGTGCCCGGTTCGGAGACGAGGGCCAAGGTGCACTTCCGGGGTTACCGGGTGGGAAAGGAGAAGTTCCAGGGGGAGGCCAATCGGGTTGCCGAATGTCTGCAAACGTGTGACGTCGGCCAAGGTGAGGTCCCGAAGGGGTAGTTATCGATAGAGGATGGGGTGTTGGTTGTTGCGGTGCAACGGGAGGAACCTGTGACCGATTATAATTAGGTGGTGCATTGGCACCTCCGATGGAACCATAACGACGAGGCGATGCAAGATGCGGAGGAACGGGTGGTCGAATCATGTTCGATCGAGAGGGGTCCATCATGGACGGCCGTCGGCTATCATCTTGGGGTAATTGGCGAGGGGACAGCGGCGGTCCAGTTTCCATTGGTAAGTTCCCGAAATAGGGTTGGCGAGGCGGCATGAGAGTTTCGGAAGCAGCTTCCATGGCACGGACTGCTTCCAAGTGCTTCTCGACTTCCCTTTGCATACTCGAGACTAAATCGCTGTTAGCAAACTTTCGGCAAAGGGTGAGACGGGTCTTCCATACTGTCACGGTAGAGAGGAGATTCCCTGTCCGGGACAACTGCTGAGAGAAAGCGAGAAATGGAATGGGTCCACTATGAGATGAGTTAGTGAGGGCCTACCTAGGTCAAAAGTGATGGACATACATGATAGCATTTTGCAAGTCCCTCGGCCATGCTTTGGCATCGCGAATTTAGCACCACATTGCCTTCTTCCGCGCGAGCCAAACGATTATGCATGTCATAGAGGGTGTGTTCGAGGCTCATGAGTCTGGCTTCAGTCGCATCCTGAACGGGTTCCGCGGGGGTACCCGGTTGTGATGGAGCAGGCTTATGACCAGGGAATGAGTCGCGATGAATTAAAGCGTGTCGCGACGCACGTCGTTTGATCTCTCGAAGGCCGACCAAGTCACCTCGTTTGAAGTTGCCATTTCCATGCTTAAATTCCCACAACGCAGAGTCTGGAGATCCCGTATGAAATACATCGCTCACTGCCAAATTCAATCAACATTTGTCTCGGTAACCGGGTCAGATCAACGCACCTTTGTGAAACCCGTACATGTTTAGTTGTCGGACGAAAGAAGAAATATTGGTGTGCTTGAAGTATTGGCTTTGAGGGTGTCAGCGACCAAAGAATCCGGAGAGCAAGAGGGGCAATCGAGACTGACGCTAAAACTTTGGAGAACTCCGAGGTTGGTGACATGACAAAGCTATCGTTGGTGCTTGACCAGGAGATAAGGTGTTGGATGCTACTATCCTCAAGCATGCTATCCTGAAGGTTAGCGGCTGCGTCAAATTATGTAGGGGACCAAGAGACCCAGAGCGTACTTGTATAGCTTGTGAATAAAAGCAGTCTGTACCACTTTGGGTTGCTGAGCTGCGGCTGCGGCCCCAACGGCCGGGTTTGGGGGATTACTTGTGTTCCCAGCTTCGGGGCCATTGGAGTTGATCCCGCGGTCGCCATCGGGGCTACTGTGAACGGGCACGATGCCAGTTGGCCCGGAGGGAGGGGGTGTGACCACCATTGCACCAGCGGAGTGATGCGCAGAGGATGGAAGGACCGGAAGATTTCGTGTCTTACCGCGAACGTCTGGAGCTCCGGTGAAGGTATGCCTTGAGGAAGGAGGGTCGGCTAAACCACTCATGTCGCGCGAAACAGGGATGGTAGGGGGCACTCGATGGCGACGCTCCGTGAAAATGCGATGAGCGCCAATGCGTATCGCTCACTCTGTCTCGCGACGAGTGAAGGTCGGGAGGGGATGCAAATCGGGTGCGCTAAGGGTTGGCGCTCGTGGGCGGGGAGAACGTGGGAAAGAAGGGAGTATCGCGGAGCCCGGACGCAGATCAACACCCAAGCATACACATCAGGTCAGTCATCGCGCCAGAGAATTGAGGTCCAGGGATGGGCGGATGGAGCAAGGTTGAAGCTGCGGGGAAGGGGGGAGGGGGCGGAAAGGCGCGAGGTCGGCTCTGGCTGGGAAGCTCAACGGGAAAGGTCGAAGGCTGCCAGGATCGAAGTTGCACAAGGATGAGGCTGAGTTAAGACGCAGAGAGCAGAGTGGTGATGGTGGAGAAGGAAAAGGGGGCAAAAAATCAAGAGGAATGAGCGTGCTGCTCCACACCTTGTACACTCTCAGCTCGAACTTTACTCGTGCCGAGCTCTTCACTGCCGAACCGCGCTATTTTCTCTCCCGTCGCCGACAGCTCTATGCTAGATTCAACGCTGTTCTTACAGGCTCCCATTTTGCAGGCTCCTTTGCCCCTAGCTCTTACACATTTCACGTATTGGGCCCTTCTGTCCAAGGTAGATGTAATAAGTCTGCCGGGTCTACAATCATACTTTAAAAACTGTCTCGAACAAGGTTTCATGAATGCGAACAAAGAGACCTGGGATAAAGTCTCAGGTAACCCTTGAGAAGGCTAGCAATAAGGGGACATACGGTGAAGTGTTGGGAAGAAGCAGAGTCTACCATAAAGGAGACTGAGATTATCCTTGTAATCGTGCTCGGGTCCCGTGCTTCAGCCAGAATTCAAACAGATAAGTTCAATCGATGTGGAATCTACAGCAGGACTTGCTCTGGTGTTCTCGAATTGATCTTAGGAGATCTTGCATCTGGAAAAGCAGAGCTTCTAAATAAGTTACGCCTCTCAGAAAATTCAGATCAATCAACTCAGTTCCCCTTCCAATTAGGAAATGATATAAACGTCATAGAAACACTCAAGAATACAGTGACAAAAGAAAATTAAATGACACGGGAACGGGCACCGTAGCATCACAAAGTCTCTCTAGAATGTCCCTGCGACAGTCCACGGGCCCAATGCATTGCCCCATATGAGATCCTTAGATACCCAGCGTGAACTCAACGCCGACATCGATCTCACGGGCCATCTTGACGACCTTGGAGAACTGGACCGACTTCTCGGCGGCGTTCTGGAGGTCCTCCATGGAGAAGATCTTAAGACCAGACTCGTTGATCTAAATACATTATTAGTATACACCACTTAACCGGGTGAAATGTTGATACATACCAGCTTGTGAGCCTGCTCCATGTTGGTACCCTGGAGGCGGGCGACGATGGGAGTGCGCAGGCCCATCTCTTGCACAACGTTGATCAGACCCTGGGCGATGGCGTCGCAGCGGACGATACCACCGAAGATGTTGACGAAGATGGCGGACACTTTGGGGTCGCTGGTGATCAGCTCGAAAGCGCTCTTGATGGCAGCGGGGGTAGCACCACCGCCGACGTCAAGGAAGTTGGCGGGGCTGCCGCCGTTCAGCTTGATGATATCCATGGTAGCCATGGCAAGACCGGCACCGTTGACTGTTTCTGTATTAGCTATCGAGTGTACGTCAATAGTTGCCGGGGGTTCTTACCCAGGCAGCCAATATCACCGTCGAGCTTGATGAAGTTCAGGCCGTGCCTAGATTCGAAACGTTAGATGAAATGGCCCTCAATGGTTAATAGATAATAGTGTGTCCATACTGGGCGGCCTTGACCTCATCAGCATCCTCCTGGGAGTGGTCGCGCCACGAGAAGACCTCCTTCTGGCGGAACTCGGCGTTATCGTCGAAGCCAAGCTTGGCATCCATAGCCAGAACCTGGTGGTCGGAAGTCTCAGACAGGGGGTTGATCTCGATCTGGGTAGCATCGCGCTCCATGAAGACCTTGTAGAGGTTCTGGATGGTGGTCTTGGCCTCCTCAATGCACTGCTCGGAGAAGCCAAGGTCGGTCGCGATGGTGCGGGCGATATCGTCGGTGACACCGGTTTTGATGTCAATGGGGGTAGAGATGATGGCATCGGGGTTCTCCTTGGCGACAGCCTCGATATCCATACCACCCTGGGACGAAGCGACAATCACGGGGCTCTGGGTACCACGGTCCATCAGGATAGCGAGGTAGAACTCACGGCGGGCGAACTTGCGCTCGCAGATGAGAACAGAGTTGCAGTCACGGCCGGCGGCGCCGGTCTGCTTGGTGATGAGCTTATGACCGATCATCTGGCCGGCGAACATCTTGGCCTCGGTAGGACTAGAAGCCATAAAGTTAGATCCCATCTTCGGCAACCGACACCATCGATACTACTCACGAGTAGATAACGCGGACACCACCCTTCAGACCGTTGTCAAAGTGACCCTTACCACGGCCACCGGCGAGAACCTGGGCCTTGATAACCATATCGTCGTTACCTGGCCATGTTTAGTTAGAAGCGCCCAGGTAGGGGGTTTGCGGGGAGAAGCAGGATATACCGATTGACTTAGCGACAGCCTCAGCTTCCTCAGCAGAGTGAGCGACCTCGCCCTTGGGAACACCGATGCCATACTGTATCCATTATCAGCGACCCGGCCCGGTCACAAAAAAAAAAAAAAATCCTCCGACCGAGGCAGGGATCGGGACGCGGTTAACATACCGACTTGAGGAGACGGGCGGACAGGTACTCGTGGATAGACAGGTTACGCTTCTGCTGCTGGGCAAGACGAGACTGGACGGAGGACTCCTGGATAGCATTTGTCGCATCAATAAACCATCGACAAAAACCGGGTACGGCCCGAGAGTACGGCATCGGGAAGAACTCACCGTCGCAGCTCTGAAAGCCGCGGCAATGGGGCGACCGCGGGCAAGCTTGAACATGATGGAATGAGGAAGTGGAATGAGAGGAGAGAGGGTGAGAGTAGGCAGTGAAGGTATGAAGCCCAAGGGAGTTATGGAAAGTCGGGTCCGGGAGAACAGCTTTCTTTTTCTCGGGATAGCACTGCGTCGCGGGTGCCGCAGCCAACCAGCAGCCGTCCCTGGCTGACTCAGCAGTACCTCGGGCGCAGACGCGAATATCTCCGATTCTTCGATTCTATTACTTCACGGTTACCTATTTGCCGATTTGGACTTCTATTTACTCGCCCTGAGCTTCCACAGCTTGAACGTATTCGTCATTGCCCGCTGGAACAGCCCATTCCATGCCCAGCCTCCGACCAGGAACCAGATCAGCCAGCTGCGGTGTCCTTCCCAGATCCATGCCTTGCGACCGCGGGCCCATGGCCACAACCAGCGCCAGGGCGCCGGGCCATACAGAACCTGGGCTACCACGCTGCGAGCGTAGGCATCATGGGGCATCGCGTTGTACTGACTGTGTGTGACTCGTCGTGTAAACTCACTCTGGATAGGTGCGTACATGGAATTCGGCACCAGTGTACGCTCGGTACGTGCAATGCGAGACTGCACACCGCCGGTGACCACAGTAGTAACATGCACTCTATCGATATGGTTAATATACATTTAACACACAGGATGGATCAAAGCATACCCGAAAGGAGCCAGCTCAACTCGGAGGGCATCACTGAACGAGTGCAGCGCCGCCTTGGACGCGTTGTAAACGGATCCAAACACGTAGGGAATAATCTATCACTCATCAGTATATGTAATTTCAAGCCCTCTCGAACGAGGGAGATAATTTGCACGAACCCCAGCCACGGATCCAACTTGGACGATGGTGCCCTTGGCCTTGATAAGCAACGGCAGGAATGTCTGGCACATGGTAATCACGGCGAATAAATTGGTCTCGAAGGTCTTTCGTACTTCAGAAATCTCCGCCTCCATGGCAGGTACCGTATAGTCTATGATGAGTTAGTCTCTGGAGGGTATCCTCAGCAACTTGTCGACATACTTCGGCCGCTGATTATACAGGATTAGCTATACATACTCAAGCAGAAGCAAAATAATACTCACGCATTATTCACCAAATAGTCAAGACCCTTATCTCCGAGTCTGGTCTCGACATCTGCAAAGCACGCCTTGACACTCTCCAGGTCGTCGACCACCAAGCTCAAGGTCTCAATGCCCAGCTCGGCCAGATCGGCAACGTTCGCGGCATCCCGGGCCGTGGCCAGCACGCGCAGTCCACTCCGATGGAATTCGCGCGCAAGGGAGTTTCCGATGCCGCCGGGAGAACATCTATCGTCGTAAGCAGGGGGGGGCCGGTATCTCGTGCAGGCAGATCTCACCCTGTGATCAGCACGGATTTGCGATTATCCGTAACTCCTGGCATGTTTGATGCGTTGCCTCTAGGAGAATAACAGAGGGAAAATTTGATATTAAGTGGAGGGTTAGGATTGACGTTCGAATGTACCTGAAGTCTCATGCGATGGCGACAGCTTGAGATGCCTCGGCCCTTCCGAGCCCCTTGCAACCCTAAGCCCTACTTCTTCTTTGGGTTTATCGTTTCCTATTCGGGGGAGGAAGAAGTAAAAGACGTCGGAACTAGAATGGGATCTAAATGTGGGACCCCTGTTTCTATCTAGTTCACAGTACAAGGTAATGGCTTGAACCAACGTCAGCCAAGATCTCGAAGGAAATCCATTTCCAGACTCCGCCGACCCAATCACTCGGCTTTGGACCTCTCGTACCTGACAGGAATCTATGGAACATGAATGAATGACATCGACGATCCCTACCGAGCTCGCCCCAATCTTCATCAACTGGGCCTGTCAATCATAGCGGCGATGGATTCCCTCGAGGTCGAGTTATGCTAGGCCGATGGACCGATGGCGTCACGCCCCGCTCTATCAAAGGCCGGATCAAGAGCAAGGCACGATGATTTTCAGACACATACCAAATCTGCAATTTCCTCTACATTAGTCTTACCCAGCCTTGCTAACATGCTACATGCTAGCGACAATATTCAAGACAGCTTTGAGGAAAGACGATCGGAGCCAGTTACCCCAAGTTGAACGTGCCGATTCCCGAGCAAAACTAAACTCGACGAATCGAATCCGGCGACCCAACTCACACCCGCCCCACGTACTGTCTCCATCTTTGACGGTGTGCATTTTGACTCCGGGCTTTTAAGTTGGCCTCCTTTCCCACTAGTGCACATCGTCCGAGAGCCCGATACGCGTCATCCAAGCCCATTCGCAAAGAGGGCTACAAGGAGCGTCCCGGTTTCCACATCGAATGACCGTCGATCCCAGAATCCAAATCTGCCTCCACTGGTCTCCGCATTCGTTTCGGCCCTATGTCATATTAAAAAAAAACCCCAACCGATCCCCCGCGCTATTACTTTCCCGGGATTTCTGATTTTCTGTGATCATTAAGATATTTCGCCTCGATATATGCCCATCTCACGACAGGTGGCACCGGAAAAGGGTGGCAAAAGACGGGAAACTATCTGCGCTTTGGCTCCCAATTCCGCCCGCTAGACCGAAATCGCCATGGATGAACTTCAGGTTCCCCGGCATATGAGGACTCCGGGCGATGATGGTTATCGCACACCTACTATAGAAGACGCCGAGCATAGCCTATCAGAACTAGCTAGCGATGGCCCCAGCGGAGCTGTTCACAGCACAGCTTTGGAGGCCGCTCTGCAGAGAGCCTCGTCCCGGGTGACGGATGCTACCAATAAGGAATGCAATAATTGTCGAGATCAGGACAGTTCCTCTCCCACTCGAAGAGCCTCTGATACGCCACCTTCCCGTCTCAGCTGGAGGCAACGGATTCGCCATGTCACCTGGGCCTATTTCACACTAACCATGGCCACTGGTGGTTTGGCCAACGTCTTCTACGAAGGTAAACGCGGTTTCCTTCCCAGCTAAAGCCTCTAACTAACATGCAGTAGTCCCTTACCGCTTCCGGGGCCTGGAAACTATTGGAATCGTCGTCTTCTTGATCAACATCGCCCTTTACCTTTTCATTTGGGGTCTTTTACTTGCTCGGTTCTATTACTACCCCTATACCTTCAAGGCGTCTTTTATGCATCCAACCGAGTCCCTATTCATCCCTGCATCGGTGGTCTCTTTCGGCACAATCCTCATCAACATCTCCCAGTATGGCCCTGAAAAAGCGGGACCGTGGTTACTCGAGGCAGTTGACATTCTGTTTTGGATAGATGCCGGTCTCGCTGTAATATTCTCTGCTGGCATTTATCTCATTCTGTAAGATCTGGTGGCACTTGATGGAAGTTCCCGTCGCTAATACATTGCAGCTGGACCACCCAAACGTTTACTATCGCCCAGATGACTCCAATCTGGATCTTTCCTGCTTACCCAATGCTCATCATCGGTCCCCATGCCGGCATTCTCTGCACTAAGCTTGACCAGGCCCGTTCCCTTCGTATCATTGTGGGTGGCACTACCATTCAAGGAGTCGGGTTCTTGGTGTCATTGATGGTATACTCGGCCTTCATCTATCGACTCATGACGCAAAAGCTCCCTAAGGAAAACATTCGACCGGGAATGTTCGTTTCGGTGGGACCAAGTGGCTTTACGGTCGCCGGTCTCGTTAACATGGCATCTGGAGCGAAACGCTCTTTTCCACCTGACTTCATGGGCAATGGTCCATTGGCAGCTGATGTATTGAAGGTCGTGGTCGGCTTCTCCATGTTGTGGCTGTGGGGGTAGGTCAATTGCTTCTCTTTCGTCTACTCGGGACTAACTTCTTGATAGACTGGCAGTATTCTTCTTCATCATCGCGAGTGCAGCCCATTGGTCCGCAATCGGCCCGGGTCGATTGCAGTTCTCGATGACCTGGTTCTCGTTCGTGTTCCCGAATACCGCCTTGATTACTGCTACCTTTGCTATTGGAAAGGCATTTTCATGCAAAGCGATCAACATTGTTGGCTGTGCATCAATTCTTCCGCTGCTTCTCATGTACTTCTTTGTTTGTTATAAGATGATCCGGGCCGTTTTCACGCACCAGCTTCTATGGCCCCAGAAAGGTGAAGATAGAAACGAGGGTGGGTTTGAGATTGTTAATCTCAAGCCCGAAGGGGATGCCGTCGGCGATAACACGTTTGTTTAGACTTTGTCTGGTAACTTTTCAACTCAATATGTTCATACATCTCCTGTCATGATTCCCCCGGTTCCAAACTTTGCTTTGAGCCTTGTTCTTTATGCCTTTTTATATATTTCATATGAGTTAAAAGTTCATCAACTTCGATTATCGTTGGTTCCAGCCAACGATCTAATTTACCCATTAAGTGTTGTGCAAGTCGGGCAACTAGGGCCTTTGGTTTAACAGTTCATTTGGGTGCGCCGTGGATCTCTAGGGGAGCAAGAGTAGCTAGCAGTCATTCATTATTTATTACCTTTTCAAAAAGACACTCCAAGACTTCAACGCCACGTCGACAGGCATGAACTCTAATCGGCTGGCGGTGGCGATGGCTTGTCTGTGCGCCTGCCGATTCTTCCTTTTTCCGTTCATCCGCCATACCCGCATCCGGACGGGCCAAAAATTGCAAAAACATGGACTCGCCGGGAATCGAACCCGGGACCTCTCGCAGAATCGCTATAGGCATGCGAAGCGAGCATTATACCCCTAAACCACAAGCCCTGAACTATCAGTATGGTCAAGGCAATAAATATAAAAGAAAAGTCAATTTTGACCGTTCTGCACTGGAATGGGGTAAAGCCATCAGTCAGGTACGCCAAGGTACACATCTGCAAGGGTTCTAGTTCGTAAGAGCGATAATATGCAGGTACGCCATTTAGGGCATCTTTCTCGGACAATTTCACCGTCAAATTCAACACCTATAGCTCGTGGGAAATAATTGCGTTAGGTCGAAATCCGGAAGGGCCAACTGAATATATATGTACGGTCGGTGTAGCACGCTCTTCCTCTCGGATCCGAAATTTGATTGGCCCTGGAAACCAACGATAAAATGATCTATTATTAATACTAAAATGAAACTCCATTCGATCAATTATACATCCATCACCCCAACATCTCATAATAACCCATGTAGTCATACAGAGAGACGACAATTGACATAGAGCAGGGCAGGCAATGCTCCAGGGCTCTCTAGACAAGGCTCCGATAACCCACACACTGAAATGATTGAGGGGTTTCGTTTGCGAAAGGTAGCCAAATCTATCTTTCATGTGAGATAGACGTCAAATACTCCAGACATTCGCCGGAGGAGAAAGGCGACGTTGCCGAGTGGGTCGCAAGCGTGAAGGTCGTTACCACGGACATCAGACTGAGGGTCACCTCGGGTGTTTTTGAGGTAACCGGTGCTCGGCAACCGCGCTCAAGGTCGGCCTCGATCGGTTCTGGAGAGACATAAGAACCCACACACTCCATGATCCGGTGGCCTATGGGAACCGAGAACTGGGACGATACGTGCTCCTGCAGGAATACCCCGCGCCGTCATGGTACACGTAGACATAGAATTCGGAAGAGACAGCACAGTATCCCGTGATGCTCAGTGGGGAATCGAGTTATGAAAATGCGATGGAAGTGGTAAATGACAACGAAAACTTGATATTTCCCTACAAATCACATACATCTACCCCGTAAATGGAAAGTTCGGCGGGTGTCAAGTGTCAAGCGGAGATAAGACCCCGCGCACCGATAACGATGCCGATCCGAAATTTTCTTCTTTTTCTGTGGGATCATCTCTTCCTTTCCCTGACGCGGGTTCCTCTCGATCTGTGAAGTCTCCGCTACACTCGGCTTCTATTCTATCGGTCGCATTCAAGTTTATCTTGTCATTATAACTTTAAAATCAGCCAACATGCCTCAGAAGGTCTATGTCACCTACAACCAGGTATGCCGGGATCTTTATTGCCTCCACATCCAATCTGCGATCATGCCAAAAGAGCCCGGTCGCGGCTGGCCACAAGGTCTCCCTGGAGACCTTCGGGGTCTTAGATTGCAAATTCCGTTTTTCGAGTCCGGGGTATGCTAATCGGAAGAATCGGTAGGTGCACAAGCTGTGCCAGCAGTCTGCCGACACCATCCTCAAGGAGTTTCACCCCAACCTGATGATCGCCATTGGCGGTGGTGGTTACGTCCCTGCTCGTATTCTCCGGTATGTTGCCTGGTCTGTACCGCATTTGGCGCGTATTTCTGATATACCTCTCTTGAACAGATCTTTCCTCAAGCGCTCCGGTGACCCCAATATCCCCATCCAGGCCATCGGTCTGTCCCTCTACGAGGACCTCGGCCGTGACGATCCCGAGGAGGTCCCTGGCACCAAGGTCACCCGCACACAATGGCTTGACCTGAGCTCGCTCGAGATGGCCAACCTGATCGGCAAGAACATCCTCATCGTCGACGAGGTTGACGACACCCGCACCACCCTGGAGTACGCCGTGCGTGAGCTGGAGAAGGATGTGGAGCTGGCTCAGAAGCAGCTTGGCCGTGAGGGCGAGAAGACCAACTTCTTCGTTTACGTTCTGCACGTACGTCGCATACTCCACACGCTTGTGGACCTCGAGTCGATGCTAATTGTCTGCCATAGAACAAGAACAAGGCGAAGAAGGGTGTCCTGCCCACCGACATGATGGAGAGCGGTCGCTACCACGCCTCAGTCACCACCGAGGACGTGTGGATCTGCTACCCTTGGGAGGCCAAGTGCGTATTCCCTACCTGAAGCGCCGAATCAATATACTAACGTCTTCGATAGGGACATCGATGAGCACGACGCCCTGGCCAAGGAGAACCCTCTTGTCTGAGCAGGAGTTTGTTGCATATGCGAACTGCATTCCGTTCTGCACGGCGCTCTGATATACTTGGTGGCTTTTTGCCGCGTTTTTAGCTGCCCATTCCCCGGTGTAGGGCATAACCGGGCGTGTTATTATTACGATATTATTGACGAATCTAGAAAAGTTATCCCCTTCACCCACGAGCCCGTAAAATCACTTTTCCTTTCGGGCACGCGTGACGCATCAGAAAAAAGACGTAATGTTGAAGGGTATCGAACGGATATTTATTGATGGCGAACATAGCAATTAAAAGCACCGTGCTTCATAACGCCCGGTGCAGCCAGCTTCTAGAAGCGTAGAAGACCGTCCCGCGTCCAAACTCTAGATTCCGCAGGCGACCACGCCGGATTATCATCTCCAAAAACCAACATATTGCCTTTGGGAGATTTAGTCGACATCGACATTGCCCTTGCGCAGATCAACCTTGGCCAGTTCGATCTCCCTCTGCAGCTCGGCGTGTGCCTCGGGGACGTCGTTAAATGTGAAGATCGCGAGGCCTAGACGGCCCAAGAGGTAGCATCCGAAGCAAATGACCGCATAGAAGGGGAGCTAGTCGATAATTCAGGCGTTAGTTCCTGCTGTTCTCGGAGACAAGGGTCGGAAGGTCGCGACGTACCACGGGGATGACTTCCTTTTGGACAGTTTCGTTCAGGGGGACGAGCCCGAGGTAGAGAGAGAGGTAGAACTACATGCGACGTGAGCGAGAGTCGTGTAATAGGTGCCAGCGCCGGGACTTAGTGTCAACGTACGGAGGAGACGAGGAGGAGAACGGAGAGAGTTTGCTGAGCACGCGTCATGGTGAAGACGGACAGGGAGGAACGGCAAGCGGTTGACAAAAGAGAAGTAATGGAATCGAGGGAAGTGATACCAGACCCAATTGACAGAGTATAAAGGAGAGACGGGGTCGAGGGTCCAATGTTGACGGAACACAAGAGGCCAACTTGGGGGAAGATGCTTGGCAGGCGGAAGTGGCCCCTGGCTCGATTGTACGACACCGGGTACAATTTACTGTACAAATGTAGCAATGCATTTCATAGATCGGATATTTTGGCTCGATAGATTATCAACAGATCAATTCTTTCAACCATTTAATCATTATCAACACCGTTAGCTCGATATCGCCTCTTCCAGAACACCACGCTTTACCCGAAATGGAGATCCAAGTTGATGCCTGAGTCCACCTCAGGCAGAACTGTGATTCGGACGCTTTGCACCAAGCGAAGTCTCGCGAACCTCCCACTTGCGAAGCCACCAGCCCTCGTGCATGAATCAATGTCTACTTAGCACACCAATGCTACGAGATTAATTGACTGGGCTTCTGTCGTCTGATCGAGTAAGGACTGGGGAAAGAGCCTCCACTCTCCACTTGTTCCCACGCACTTTCGAAGGCAGCCACCTGGGCGCTCGGTCCTCCATATACAAAACGATGTCTTCAGGTGAAATATATACTACCCTGGCTGGCGATGGCTCTGCTATCCGTACTCCGGCCCCGGCGTCTGGACTCGACTTGCCTTCTGTGGATCTGGTTCTCCAAGACCTTCCCCAAATATCTACATCTCTACCATCCAGAGACACAGAGACGATTGACTCTGAAGAACAAGAGATGATGTTTCGTTCCTTGAAAAGCATCATTGAACCTGTCGAGGGGACGGCTGAGGTTGCAGGTAGCTTCGATCTCAAGGAACTTCACGCATCCCTGGAACAAGCGGATGCCGATGCACGTCGCGGCCGGCGAGACCTCGAGTCTCTGCGGAGTGTGCGTACCATTATTGACCGTCTCTGGTCCTGCAATTCCGAGTATCTGGCTCAGGCGGCTGAAGTGCTAGCCAACGGGAGTCGAGACCGTGAGTTTTGAACGATCCCGCTAGATACGTTGGTATTAACAGTCCTAAGCGTCCTGGCGTATTCCATTCGGCCAGTCCGGTATATTGAAGTTCTTCTTGGAGATCATCTCATCGAAGGAAGAAAATGATACCGGACTGTTACTTCACGCTTTGCGTCTTGTTGGCAATTCGTGTGCTGATACAGGTATGTTCAAAAGATCTGAAATTGATTGACAGATACTGAGATCCGATCAGATGAAAACAGGGACATTGTTATCAAGGACAACTATACCCTTGCTGTCATACGGCACTTCTTGAACCCGGAGTTAATTCAGGTTGCGATCCCTGTAATTTACAATATTTGCATGGATTACGGTGAGATAATATTTTCTCCCTGTCAAATACAATGAACTAATGGGAAAACAAGAGCCCGCACACTCTCAGATGGCTGCGAATATGACGGCGTATATACTGCTGAGACTCCTGAAAGACGGTGCCATGAAGGAGAACGATGCTTTACTGAGCTTTTCCTACGACTTGGTTGAGCTGGCTTCGGAGCAAGGTATGACTGCACGGATTCACAATGCTTAGTCTCTTTATGCTAACGCGAATATTTATCAACAGTGCAAGGAATTGAGAACTCTCCCGGTGGCACGATCCTGCTACTTATGGATCTCGCCCAGGACGAAGACATGACTCTCGAGTACTACTCGCCCCTGGTAAATTCTCTCGCCAAATACCTGGAAAACGAAAGGTTCCAGAATGTCTGCATTTCAGACGGCATGGTTGAAGGTGTCCTGGTTACCTTGCGCCGATCTTTCTCCATCGAAATCGACCAGTCTTCTGTGGAGGAAACTAAAGCCATTCTCCAACTACGTCTCAAGATTAACCAAGCCCTGGCCGAAGTTTCAGCATCATCGCTGTTTATGGAGCACTATCCTCTCAATTCTGCCCTTTCGCAGACGTTGAAGTCATGGGTCGTTGCCGACGATGATCAACTTCAGATCTGTGCATGTGTCATGCTTGGCAATTTGGCTCGATCTGACGAAGTCTGTCAAGTGATGGTACGAGACCTGAAGATCCACGAGGAATTGATTTCTCTCCTGAACAGCGACGCGCGCGGAGCGGTCCTTCACTCTGCTCTGGGTTTCCTGAAGAACCTTGCAATTGCTGGTGATAACCGTGTTAGCCTCGCAGAGGCCGGAATCATTCCAGCCGTGTCGCGCTTGTGGGCATATGACTCTGTCCCACAGGTCCAGTTCTCAGCCGCATCAATTGCCAGACAGGTCATTATTTCTTCCGTTGAAAATATTGCTCATCTGCTGGCGCCTCTGTCCCAGGATCCGGATTCTCCGGAACAAGAACGGACATATCTGTCTCTACTCTTGTCTCTGTTTGAGAAATCGGACTCTTCGCCGATAAAGACGGAGATCGGCCGCACTATCGCTTCTATCTGCCGGACCATCAGTCCTAAAGCCCGGGAGGGAGATGAGAAAGCAATTTCCATCTTGAACAAGCTGTACGGTTTGCACGATGGCGTTGCTCGTCCTCTTGGTGCTATGACTACGCAGACCCAATGGCCTGTCGTTCGTAGTGAGGGATGGTTTGCTTTGGCTTTGATGGCGAACAACAAGTCTGGGTGTGTTGAGGTGGTCGATTGTCTCCAGCAAGAGGAGGTGATGGAACTTCTCAAAGCGACACTGAGTGCGGACCCATCGAGCGAGAAAGAATTCGAGGAAACAAACAGCTCTCAGGTCTCCAAAGACCGCGATAATGCTTTTGTTCTTGTGCAAGAGTTGTTGAAGAACGAGGTGAGTTTCATGAAGACCTTTTTTATTCCAATGTACTAATTTGTGTAGTCTGGTGCACTTCCGGCAGGCTACCGGGATACCATTGAAGATATGGTCCGTGATGCCTCGCAACGCTTGAAAATGCCCTTCAATAGCTAGACAAGAAGCATGATGAGCAAAATGAAAAGAGCGTATTCTTAATTCCTGGATATGGTCATCGTATATTAGACACGGATGAACGCCTTCAACGCGGTGTTTCTCGTTGGCTTTGGGCTTTTCGAGGATTTCTCAAATTGCTTATCGGTAGTTGTAATCTATTCTACAATCCACGGCTCCTTGCGCTAGGCATCGGATTCTTCCTTCGGATTCACTTCCAATTGGGTAAACCCAACGTCGTTTGGAGGACGCGATCAATTCCCGACGGAGCGCCATCTTTCGTCCTTTTTGTTTCCCCCCTTTTGTTCATACCTTTCTCAATGCTTTAATGATAATCGGATGAAATGGGGAATTATCTGAATGCCTAGAAATGCTTTATTGTGGTACATATTTGTTCCTTGATAGATAGGAGAGGGATGGAATAGGTCTGTCTCTATAGCTAAGATAGTGTGCAGTATACAAAGAATTATTCTATTATATACTGTAATGCCTGGCAGGCAGGCGACGAAGGATCCTGGGTATCATTTCTTGGTAGACATCACGGTGTCTGCAGGCAAACCTTCTCCTGCGCATAGGCTCGGTATCGGTCCAAAAGATCTGTTGAGTCCAGCCCATCAAGCCCCAAACGAGCCGAGTAATGAGACACTAGACCCTTGCCATCGATAGTGACGTGCGGAAGAGAGCCATCAGGTCCGCTCCACGAGTTGGTTAGATTTTCACTGGGGTGGTCGAAAATCTCGCTAAGAGCCTCCGCATCACGGCCCCAGAAACAGCCAAAGTTCTGGCTGATGGGTTCTGTCGGATCCGTCCATAACGGGAACTTGTAATGAACCAAATCCTTGTACTCGAGATGATGTAGGAAAGAATAGTGTTGCTGAGCGCTGACGGTCCAGTCATGGAGTGAAGGGCCGGTGTCCGTGTACATCGATCCTGCAATGGGATCTCGATCTGAACCTGCTTCCGCGGGTAGAAGCCAACGATGCCCCTGAAAGGGGGGCTTAAATCCCTTTTGGACCCTGAAGCTTGCTGGTCCACGCCACTGTGGAAGACTCGAAGCGCGCCAATCCTGGCTCAGTTGTAACTTGGAACGGGAGGACTGTTTGATATGGTGCAGCTCTGGGAGATATGGAAGGGCGATACCCGGGTGACTATGAAGTGAGGCAAGTGCAGCCTCGTTCACAACGTTGGCTGACACCATCAGTGAGTTGGGTTTGTCCAGTTTCGTTTTCACAATCGTGGGGATGGTGTGGTCCTCAAAAAAGACGACATCGCCGTCGATGCGAATGTACATGACATTGTCTTTGGCAATATGCCACTCCATACCATGACCGGGCGGTGAAATAGCATACCCGGGAGTCTGCTTGACTAACGAATAGAGCCATTCCAGGCTAACTGGATCCGATGTCTGAGGAATAAAAACGACCTGGTCAAGGAAGCCGTGGTTGCGAACCAGATTTTTCTAAGAAGCTGTGAGATTGCGATGCAGGCATGCTTTCAAAATGGACAGGCCGTACCTGTAAATAGCAGTCTAGAATTTCAGTTCGCTCATGATAGTGGAAAGGGACCAGTGCGACGATCTTGACGCCGTGTGGTTTGGGGTAATGGCCCGATCCTTGCGAGAAGGCAAAGAACGGAGAAATATTCTTGTTGAACACCAGCGCAGTCGGATCAATTGGAAACAGAGACGGATTATAGTAGCCGACGACCATCACAATGATGCACAGGTAGCCCAACACACTCCAGAGTAAGACAGTCGCCCAGCCGCGCCAGGCAGACGATCCGTGGTTCGATTCAACATCTTGGGTATCTTGGGTATCCGGGCGGCCCATGGTGAACAAGCCGAGCGAAAATACTGGGCTCCAATGAGATCAAGGAAGTAAACTCCATCGAAACCCCCAGGAGCCATCCCGATCTCATTTATTGTTGCAGAGGAGCGATCCATTTTCGTAGCTCAATGGGTCTTCGGATCCGCTTTCGGGCTACCGAGGCCATGGTCTCTGAAACCGACTTAAACTCCGGAGATCAACGTCTTTGGTTTCTTTCCCAGTCACTTTGTTAGCGGCCGGAACAGGCAAAGACGTGAGTCGAGGGAAACGGACAAAAGCCGATTGAGGAATGTGCACTGGAATGTGCCAAGTCCGAGGACGGCATCCCGGCATTGAATGGAGAGTGATGGCGTATCGAATCGGTGCGTAGTAGAATATTCATTGCTGCAACATTTGCAGTAAGACAAGGTAGATTATGAAGAGTTCAAGTTGCTGTATTTGTGTAGTTCATATTTCATAGTTCAGGCTCCTGTTTACGATGACGTAGCACGTGCCGGTTATCGGGTTATCAGGTTATCGCTCGGCGCTCCTCTTTCTCCTCTCATGAACTCGACATCATGAGGGCGGTCCTCGGCCGTTGTTTCTTTCGCGGCATTCCGCGTATCCCGCGACATCATTCTGTTCCATCATGGCGGCCTATCAAGCGCATCCCGCGACGGGCCCCGGTGATCGGCGGGGTGGTCATGGCCGCTCTCACGCCCAGCGCCTTTCTCAAGCTGGCGGAGGATTCGGACGGCAGTGAAAAGACAGGAGAGATGCAGATGCTCGAGGTTTCACGCGAAGAGATTAGGAAGTCTGTCCCGGCGGGAGCGCGAGGTCTTTCCAGGCTCTGCCACTCGCTTTGGGTCTGCTGGTATTACTACGTTTACGATCCCATTGCGACTGGCTTCCGATTCCTGCATCTAGCAGTTATCTTCATGCCGGTCGTAGTGACCGTGCCTGTGATATGGCTTGGCCGGAAGGTGGGAGGCAACAGCAACGCGCAGTCCGGGACCCTGTGGTGGTATCGCTTCTTGGTCAAGGCGATGGAGCGTGCAGGACCTGCTTTTATCAAGGTAAATCGGCTATCCCAACCGATTCATCCCATGTAAAAACTTGCTAACTGGATGATCTAACAGCTCGGACAATGGGCCGCGTCCCGAACCGATATCTTCCCTCCCGAGATGTGCGGTATTATGTCCTCTCTCCACTCAAATGCTCCCGCCCATTCCCTCCACGATACTAAGCGGACTATCCGAAAGGCCTTCAATGGATTGCCATTTGAAGAGATCTTCGAGGAGTTCCAAGAAGAACCTCTCGGCGTTGGAGCCATTGCGCAAGTCTACAAGGCCAGGCTCAAACCAAGCTTGGCTAGCAGCAACCAGGAATTGGGCCAAGGACCCAGCACCCTCGGCGAGAAAGTTTGGAAGAATGTTGATGTGCTAGTGAAGAGCTCACCTCAGCGGGTGCCGTCGTCTTATGTGGCGATCAAGGTCTTGCATCCCCGAGTCGAGAAAATGATCCACCGTGACTTGCGGATTATGGGATTCTTTGCTTCCTTGATCAATGCTATTCCAACAATGCATTGGCTGTCTTTCCCAGACGAAGTCCAGCAATTCGGAGAGATGATGAAACTTCAACTGGATATGCGGATCGAGGCTACCAATCTCGTTATATTCCGCAATAAGTTCAAGTCTCGCAACACGGCTTGGTTCCCATACCCCTATATGGAATATACTACCCGAGAAGTCCTTGTCGAGGAATTCGCTCAGGGTATTCCACTGGCAAAGTTCCTGGATATCGGAGGGGGTGTTTATCAGCACGAGGTCGCAAACGAGGGCCTTGATGCATTCCTGCACATGCTCCTGATCGACAACTTTGTCCACGCAGATTTACACCCGGGAAATATCATGGTTCGCTTCTACCAGCCCAATGAACTTGACTTGTCCCTTCGCAAAGATACACGAGCCACAGATGCCCCCACCCGGGCTGAGGTGGACGTAACGGAGGCCGTCCTTGCACGACTACGCCCACATCTCAAGGACCGCGGGGCTTGGGAATCTGCTCTTGCTCAATTGAACGACGAGGGCTATCGCCCACAGCTGATCTTCATCGACACCGGCCTCGTCACTGAGTTGAACGATCTTAACCGACGGAACTTCCTGGATCTCTTCCGCGCCATTGCTGAGTTTGATGGCTACCGCGCAGGCCAGTTGATGGTAGAGCGTTGCCGCACTCCCGAAGATGTCCTTGAACCGGAAATCTTTGCACTAAAGATGCAGCATCTGATTTTGAGTATTAAATCACGTACTTTTGCTCTGGGCAATATCAAGATCGGCGACGTCCTCAGCGAAGTCTTGACAATGGTTCGTGGCCATCATGTCCGGTTCGAAGGGGATTTCGTGAACGTGGTTATTTCCTGCCTTCTCCTGGAGGGCATTGGGCGAAGCCTAAACCCTGATTTAGATATTTTCAAGAGGTATGTTGCTACGCAAGCTAAACCGCCTGATAAGCAAACCTGACCAAGTAAATCTAGTTCTCTCCCTATTCTCCGACAACTCGGCTCCGGTTCCACCTTCTTGAAGACGGTCCGCTCGGGCGACACCTCGATGCTTCGAGTCTGGATTGGCTTGGAAGCTCGCGGATTGCTGCAGGCCAGCATCGAGAGCGTAGAACAGTGTGTGAAGTACGACCAACTGTCGCCCAATATCTGAACATAATTCTTTTTTCTGTAACATAGAAACCACCATGATGTGAGAACCAAATGACATATACGTACAGTTAGAAATGACTTATAAGTAGATGTAAACAAATCATAATTAGATCTGAAATATATACATTGGAAGCTCAAACGAAGTCTGACAACGCCGGCAGACGCTCATTGCATCAATACAAGATCGAGACATCATTTTCCATTATCGCCTGGTGACGTAGGTAATCCAAAAGGTGGGTAAGGTAGTTAAAAACATGATATAAAACAGAGAGAGAAGAATAAGATGCAAGAAACCGTGAAAACGGACCATGGAACGCCTGTGCCATGTCTGAAAATGTACAATTGGGAGTGGAGAAGTATCAAACTTCGAGCGTTAGAGAATTCACCGGTGAGCTTGCTCTCTGACAGAAGCACCGCTGGCTCTCCACCAGACATCACCACCCCATCTCATCAGCCGTTCGACAGCGGCAGTCGGGGAGTCCAAAGCAGGTCGGATGTCAAGGTAAAAGACCGGCTCGCCGTTCGGCTCCGGCGGTCCCGAGTAGTAATCGATCACGTAGCGAACTTCTTTCGGACCCGAGGGAGTTTGGCGCTGGACGAACCAGTCGTGCCTGTCGAAGGGCGGGTTGGTCCTGAGTTTTAAGTCAGTATTATTACTGGAGGCCTGCATTGAGAAACATACTCAAACTTGGACGGGTACACCCATCCCAGGGCCTGGAAGATCCGAGCCTTGGGGCTCAGCTCCTGTGGACGGCCTTGGAACCTGATCAAACGAGGCTCAGTCGTCTGGTCCACCGTACCCATATACTCGGCCTTGGCCAGATCGAAGCTCAGGTTCTCTTCCCCGCGGCGGCATTTCTCCCATCCATGATTCAGACCCTTTGCGAAGACACGTTCCCAGCCAACAATTTCATCCCAGGCGCCTTCATTCAAGAAGTTGTGAACGGCCACCATGGACTCCACTGCATCTTGGGGTGTATCGGTGTGTCCTTTGCGCAGCATCGCGTTGTACATCTGCTGGGCAGACGGGTACTCCCAGTTGCCCGCGGAGTCGCCTCTTGGGATCGAAGAAACCTCACGATCAACACCAAGATCAACGGTCTGGTTTGGCGCGCGCTCCTGAGAGATCGACGCGAACATGTAGTTCAAAGGGTTCAGCTTTGACAAAGTGGAGGCTTTTGCTGGAGCGGCCGGAGCTTGCGGAGACTCCGGGGTGGACGATTTCGGAGGGACATAGAAAGGGGAGTCGGTTGAGCGCATCGGACAGTCGCCGGGAGGGTTGGCACTCTTTGGCGCAGCAGGAAGTGCTGACCCCGACTCATGCATTGGGCATCCGGGCTGTCAATGATAAGGGTCAGTCTAAGTCGAGGCCTGGTGAAATCTTGGAGGGATGTACAGGAGGAGCCGCGCTGGAAGAGGTGGGGTGCGGCGCCACAGGCACCTTTGGCTGCGAGTCTGCCCAAAACCAGCCCATTTTGAAGCAGTAAAATGACAATCAGACAAAAAAAAAGTTGAGCGAAATCGCCGCGCGATAAAAGATCGGGGAGAAAATCGCGAGGATGAGTAATCCACACGTGACGCCATCGCCCAACTATAGGCCAATCCAGCAAAGGGTATTTATAAAAAAGAAAACTTGAAAATCGAATTGGGTTGCCATTCTGTTGAAAGGCTGAAAAACGTTAGTAATTAAGGCTTATGACGGATAATTGAACTAGGCTAGTCTAGCTGCTGTAGACGCTTGTTTGGGGGTAGTATCTTAAATGGAGACCGTTTCGCTCGGTATTTAGCTATTATAATTACCATTCAAACGGGCTTTTCATATACAAAGTGTCATATAAGGTTCTTTTAAACATGGCATAAAGGCTGCACTTTTATGCTTCATCCGCGGAGATCACAAATCCCGTCATCGCCTCGTCCCAAATCGATCGCCATTTCACACCATGGGTTTCTGGGACGTAGAAATAGCCCAGTAGGATTTCAGAGACCTGTTCCCATGTTCGCCATTTGCATATCATTGCGATGCGGGCCAGCCGCTCCACAAACCAGGATCGCTCGGTTTGACCGAAAGAGCCTTGAGCTCCCACAAACAGAACCCAGGCATAGAGCCCAAGGTTTTCTTTTCGCAGTGGAAGAAGAAGAGACAGCTTGCAGCTGTCCACGGCCTTGGTGAGATGCTTCGTTAGGGCCCGGCCAAAACCCGCAGAAGGAGGTGAGACAATTAAAAAGTAGTTGAGAAAACAGATAGTTGCCACGCGTGCGACTTCCTCGATAGGGTAAAAGTCTAAGTTGGGGCTCGAGCGGTCTGAGAAATCCGGGTCTTTCGAATAGATATAGCTTAACAGTTGATGCTCTGCCTCGCAATTGAGGACTCGGAAGAGATGGTTGTCGGTTGGATGAATGATTTCAGGAGTCGTTTGAATGGTAGCGCCGTAATAAATTATGTCTCGTACTACCCGTAAGATTCGGATCAATGGAGGGCTAAGTAACGTGTTGGCGAAAAAGCTACTGCCGAGTCGATGGGATGGAGCCGAAGTGGGTGGCCGGAGTCGCTGCTGAACATCAAGGGGTACTGGCTGTGCATCCCAAACCAAAGGGAAGACAGGCTTGACTAGAAGGCCCGAAGAAGCTTTGACATCGGTGCTGATCTAATTAGCCGGGGACTCCAGTCCAGATCAAACAGCTTCGATACACCTACGTGATAATTGCGGTCAACATCGAAGCAGAGCGGATACTTTCGTCCGTAATGCCTCCTCGGAGATCTACCATGCGCCTGAGACCGGTCAAGTGAATTCGTGCCTCATCGAATAAGCCGGCAATCAACTGCAATGAATGAGAAACGTCCACAGCAGCGATTTCAAAGGGGGTCTTACCGCGCCATTTAGAAGGTTGACAATTGTATCGAAAGCTTCGTCACTCAGTGCTCGTTGAGGATCTCTTACTTTCGCATTCATTTCTCGAATAGACTTTGCTTTCATGATGCAGTAGTCAGGATCGTTGGCGGTTCTCTCAATAGGCTGGTCGGTGGGACTTGAGACGCCGAAGCGATTGGCCGATAAGGCTGCGCGATGGGCAGCACACATGCTCATAAGGCCGAAGAAACTTCCCGGATCGGAGAAGGAAGACCGTACCATGAGTTCTACCTCTTTGGTGCCCTCGTGTCCTTTGAGTTCACTCGGAAAGGTCATTGGGACAAAGACGGATTTCCCTTAATCCGACCATTAGACACAGTTCAAATTGAAATAACGGGGAGGAGTTTAAGTTGGCCACCAAACCCCCCCAATAATAGCACGGAGAAAAGGACAAGAGGCGGCTTACAATAGTATACCAGGTGCCCGACCATGGTAGGAAGCTCCGTAGTTCCAGGTAGTGAACAGAAAGGATCGAAGAACCATGAGGTGGGCAGAGAATGTGGACTCGGGTTCAGATGGGAGGACAAAGGATAGCTAGCACTCCACCTACCCGGCCGTCTTCGATGTTTTGAATAGACGAGGCTATCGTCGGACTCTATTTCGACTACAGACGAGGCAGACGAGGCAGACGACTGGGAGGCCGCTCTCAGGACCAGCCTGTGCTCCTCGGGACTTCCCACCTTACTCTGTGATCTCGCGGAAACGGGCTGGTCCCGACTTTCGCGTCTGGAACTTCTTTTCAGCCCGGCGAGTCTCTCCCGCCGGCGCACATCACGCATGACATGGGAGCGGATTGCCTTACGGGCGTTGACATCCTTGATTCGCTTGGAGGTCAAGTCATCATCATGATCGATGAAAGTGAATGAAGGCCGATCCAGCGGCGTGACGGGTTTCGTGTTTGATTCTGAACAGGGTTAGCGAATGGACCTTTATGCTTCATATCTGCAAGATCAAGGATAAAGAGAGAAAGCGCTGGACTTATGGGAAGCGTCGGAGGTCAAGCCAGGCACCCATTGAGCTTCGAAAGTTGTATATACAAGCACAGGTCTCCCAATGAGGTGGGTCATGCAGAAGAGCAGGAAACACGAAGCACGAACCGGAATGGGAAGGCGGAGGCCCCTCGACAGAAGGTTGCAGCTGATCCATCATGGGCCCGAAGGCTGAGGAGAACGAGGGCAAACCAATGAAGAGAATCGCAGCCCCGTAGTGGGGGAAGGCGGATTTAGAAGGGAAAAAGAAGTAGTTACGTTGTCAATGCGGGGAGGGCCAGCCCGATTGAAAGCCACGCCGGGGGCGATCCGGTGATGGCCGGTGTAACCGGGGTACCCCCGCGGGTATGTAGCATTTCATATCCTACCGCCACGGAATCCCTCAAGTGAAGCATTTGCCTAGGTATTTCTTTGAATGGATTCAATGCCTGATATAACCCTCTATGCGCCACAAGATGCCAAATCAAGAAAAGAGCGTGTCCCGCTAACGCAAAGTATCATAGCCGTTCTAAAATTCTTCCTTCTTTCTTATCCCTGCACGTCACTCACGAGCCGGGATAAGAGCGCATACCCGAAGAGTACGGCCAATCCGATCCACACTCGGTTTCGTCGTGCCCATCCCTGCCCGGCTTCCCGAGCCACATGGCCTCCTTCCATCACCGCTCCGAGTCCCGCTGCGCTACCGTTCGGGCGTCGGCGTAGAGCACTGGTCTCCGGTGAACATCTAGTAGGTGCATTGGGATCCGGAAGAATCTGGCCGGTGGTTGTGTCGATGCGGTGTTCTTTCATCCAGGCCCAGTTCTCCTGATCCAGCTCCGCCCACTCCGTACGGAACTTCAATCCTCCATCTCCCGCCTTCACGTTATTGATACCCTTGGATGTTTTCGTTACGCCCGGTGTGACGTTGGCGTGTGAGCCTCCGCCGGTCGAGTTCCACCATCGCGATCGGGCGGCAAGGACTCTGCGTTCGCCTTCCGATGCGCTGACGCTGCCGGTGGTCATCTCTTCGCTTGTCATGAATGAAAGAAGTCCGATCAGGATCGTCGAGACCTCCCAGGCGGGGTTGAAGGATTTCGGGTGAAAGTCGCTAATGCTTAGGCAGAGGCGAGTGGATGGCTGGAATCGACCACTGGGGGTGTGCATGCGAATCGCAGGAGGTGCAAATGGGTATTCCGGAGGGAACATCAGGGTGCCCCAATATTGTCCATTCTCATACGGAGTCCCCGGGGGTCCGGTCAAGATATAGTGCCACCTGGCCAACATTCAGTCCTAAATCTGGGATTTGCAGGGGGGAGGGGGGGAGCACTCACTCGAGGATATTGGTTTCAGAAGGATGCGCCACGATAAATGGCGGGGGGTTCTTTTGAATGTTTTGGTACTCGCGCGTGAGCTGTCGGAGCCGTTAGAAGAGAGTCCGCAATCACATATATCGTAGTGGCCACTCACCCGCTTGAAAGCCGCTTTGGTCGCCATATCTCGGACTTAGTTCAGTCAAGGTACACTGGAGAGACAGAAAACTGGATATATTAAAAAAAGAAAGAAAAGAAAAGAAAAAGAATGAAGGGAGAATCAGTCGCGAGCATTGAGGAAGGTGGAGATGAGGGCGTCGCCGCCTCCGATGCGATCGGCCGGGTCACGTGAGGCCCATTTTCCCACGCGATCTAGCGTTCGCCAAACCACGAAGGTCCTGGCCATTGCCGCCACCACGATGTCCTCCCTCTCTGCTGAAGATGAAGACGTAGGTCTATTTCAGACCCAGCTCTTACAGCCGAATCACAACGGCACTCGCTAATTGTCTTGGTAGATCTTCGAGCGCTTGCAACAACGCAAGGACCCGCAAGTGCTGGAAGAGCAGCAGCAGGCCGTGAATGAGCGGACCCAGGCAATTCTCCAGAAGGCCCAGTCTCGTCTCTCGGAGTTGGTATGTACATATATGAATCGAAGCTATATCAATGGCCGCAAACGCTGTTGGTCAGACCTGCCGAGCTCTCGGCTAACCGTTACTGTTATCAGCTTGACCAAAACTCGACCCTGCCCTGCGCCATCTCGTCGGTCCAGGTCGTCAGTGCACCCCACACACGGCGAAGCTTTCTCGAGCGAATCCTCAACCCCCTTCTGAGCGAGAACAAGGATCGGCCTCTAACCCTATCCGAGGCATTGCGGGAGATTTCGGCAACGGCAGACAAGCTTGGACGGTTTGGTTCGTAGCTCCGGAGCTGCAGGGACACAAACGCGAGATATCCTAACGTTGATTTAGATCTATTCCAGCAGCCCATCTCCGTTCACCTGGATCAGTCGAAAACGAACACCGGCACTGGACTGCGTGAAATCGACGTGATTTTGGCAACCCGAGAGAAATCCCGTGTCCTGTTGAAGACCGGCACCGATCTTGGAAACGCTGAAGGCTCCGCCTATGGTAACCTTCTCTGGCGCAATGTCTTCGGTGGCGCCGAGACACTGAACCTCAATGCTTCGCTGGGCACTCGTACTCGGTCCGCTTACCAGGCCGCATTTGAAACGCCAATCTTCTGCGACCCCGACTTCCGCCTGGAAATTGGAGGTATTGCAAGCTCCACCCAGAAGTCTTGGGCTAGTCACGAGGAGGTTCTCAAGGGAGGCTGGAGCAAACTTCGGTGGCTGTCCCAGTCTGGACACCGCCACGAGTTTGGCTACAACGGATTCTGGAGACAGACCACCGGGCTTGCTGAGAATGCCTCTCCCACGGTTCGTGCGGATGCAGGTGATAGCGTGAAGAGCAGTATTTCCCACAGCTGGATCAATGATCAACGGGACCACCCCATGCTGCCCTCTCGCGGGTACTACGCCAAGGTTTTCAATGAAGTCGCCGGCTGGGGCCCGCTGAAGGGTGATGTGTCTTTCTGGAAGTCGGAAATCGAGACCCAGGGTGCGATTCCCATCCCGATCCCCGGTATCAAGGGTGACAGTGGAGTCAGCCTCACTACCGGATTCCGTGCAGGTCTCCTGTACCCTCTGGGACTGGACTCGGACTCGCGCCCTCAGCTGTCCCGAGTCAACGACCGCTTCCTTCTTGGTGGACCTACCGACGTCCGTGGATTCCGTCTATGTGGGCTTGGCCCCCGTGAAGGACCCGACGCTCTTGGTGGGGACGTCTATGCCGCTGGAAGTGCTAATTTGCTTTTCCCGCTTCCGCGCGTGGGTGCTGAGAAGCCCTTCCGCATGCAGGCCTTCTTGAATGGCGGTAGACTCTTGCCGCTGCGCACTTCGCAGAAGAACTCTCCCACCAACAGCGGTGAGGTGCAAGATGCCATGGTCTCGACCCTCTCCGAATTGCAAAACGGTCTGCCCAGCGTCGCAGCCGGTGTTGGTATTGTATACGCCCATCCGGTGGCACGCTTTGAGCTGAACTTCTCTCTGCCGCTGGTCCTGCGGAAGGGCGAAGAGGGCCGGAAGGGATTGCAGCTTGGTATTGGCATCAACTTCCTGTAGAAACATGTTTCCTGATTAGATTAGCGGAGTTCAGTTATACCATCTCAGCTTTCATATGTTCTTCACGTAACCAAATGAAAAAGGGAGCTGTGAAACCGAGAGTGAAATAGTTAGTCACCGGCAAATTATCTAAGCGAGCTGAATGTTATTCTACAGTGCCGACCGTTATTGCCTTCCATATCTGGAAACACAGAGTATATCACATGACATGCTGACCCAATATGGATTTTGCGTAAATTACCAATTCTGTATATGTATACATGGTAAATAATACCAAACATCGTACCTGTCTGTATGAATCCAAAATTCAGGGCCAGTGGCCTAGTCAATGGCAGTTTGATTATGATTCAATCGCTATGATTCACCTGTCGCTTTGATGTTGCCAAAAAGCTTTAGCTTCGCCAGCCACGTGCTCAGTATAGGTGACAGCATAAATATCTGCACTATGATCACGACATTTGCTGTGTCTTTGGTGCGCGATTTCAATGTTTGAAGAGAATTTGACATGAGGAACCTTGCCATTGAAATTCCGAAATTTTTGCAAGTAGGCATGACATGCTTCTGCGGCTTCGTAGCTTGATAGAAGGAGAGCAAATAGTCCTGGGTCCACAGATGGGGACGTTGAATTTTGGCAGCTGCCTGCATAGTGTGACCAAGATAGTGACATGGCTTTCTCCAGCACCCGACGGGACAATTCTAGAACCGCCCGAGGAATAAAAAATCGTGGATACCCGGTCTTCAACCGCCCGTTCAGCCCATGCCAAAGTGTCTTTCCACTTTGGAAGATACACGCTGACTCCCTTTTAATCGAGTTAGCTTAAGTCCACTGGTTCCCGTAGTGAACTTTGCACAATCAAAGTCATCTCCCTGGGGAAGCGGGTCTCCGACAGTCAGCGCCATAGTTTTTTTGGTTCCCTTAGGAAAGACTAATAGCACAGGAATTTGCCAACAATCACGTAACAGGTATTCAAGTTGTCAGTTCTTGTCAGTTTCATAACAACTATGCAGCCTCCTGGCAGACCCTAGGAAATGAGGTATATTTATGGGAGTTTGAACGACAGAAACAAGATAAGCGTAGCGCTCAATGAAGATAGGCTGAGTGCAACAGCGATGAAGGTATGTAGATGATGCACATTCATGTTCTTACAGGAAATCATCTCAACTAGTTGTGTTGAATCCAGAAAAAAAAGGATAAAAACATCCAAGAACCACAACGAGAGGCGCTCTCACTATTGCCAATATAACTTTCGGCAGAAAATGGCCACTGGCGAAATATTTTGCGCTCAGTCAGAGCCTGGTTTGTTTCCAAATACGCTTTTGTTCAGTCGCCTTGTGGAACTTGCGAACCACCATCGAGAGAGTCGAATTGCGATTCTTGAAGACTTCGGACGAGATGTCGAGGCTAACCACGCGGACCTTTTGACTGATGTCCTCCACTATTACAAAGCCTTTGTGCCTCTTCTGCTCGAAACCATTCACCATTTCCAAATAACGACCAGCGATGTCGGTATCCTGCATATGCCGGGCCATTGGATGCGCGGAATATCGGGGCAAAGATCCTGTTCCTCCTGTCCGGATCTCGACTGGAATATGCGTATGGCATTTGGACACCAGAGTGGATGTGGCAGCAGGTGTTAACGGGCCGGGTAACGTGCATGTTGAATGGGGCCAGCGATTATCGTAAGCTTACCGAATACTACGAGAGCCACCTCCGCCATCTGCCCCCAGCACAATTGGTACCTTACACGGTAGGGTTGCGATCTCTGCGATTACCGTGTATTGGAGGCACACCCTTGGCCAAGTCAATCTGGGATGCGTGGAATAGCATTGACGGCAGCCAACCTTTGATCATCGATTATGGCTCGACGGAAACATTCAACCTCATGACCACCTTTCCGGCAGATCGTTCCCTTCCCACCGTGAGTATCGTTGTATCTTTCGTCTAGCATTTGAGGTTCTCTTGGTCTTCGCTAACCACTCTTGACGTAGAATTGCGTCGGGGAGCCGTGGTCTGGGGTAGAGGTTAAGCTCTCTGGAGGCGATTCAGGAGAAGTCCTGGTGCGGACGCACGATATGTTTGCTGGGTGAGTGAGAAAACCGAAAACTCCTCTGGCACCGATTCACCCATTGCTCACTAGATATCTTCATCAACCTGCCCTTACCGCTTCAACTCTAGATGCCGAGGGATTTTTTCCTACCGGCGACTCCGGCTACCGGCAAGGTTCCAAATACTTTCTCCTTGGCCGCACCTCTGTTGATGGTCCGTCTGTCTCACCGATCCTTGTCCCAGCCTATTACTTTCATTTGTGCATTTCTAGCACGTACTGATCAACCATTTCGAGTAGTAATCAGATACAATGGGTAGAAAATTTCCGCAGTTGAGGTAGAAGATGCTATCGGTGAGCTCGCATACGTAGCCAATGTCGTGGTAGGCCCGGTGTCCGACGCACTGTGTGGTCAACGGGTTGGCGCCATTGTTTGGTTTCACGAGACACGGATAAACGTCTCGCTCGCGCGGCTCCAAAGTGATCTCTATCGCCGCGGCCTTTTCCAGTACAAGCTGCCAACTGTTCTTCATCGAGCTTCTGACAATGCGGAATTCCCCCACACACAGACAGGAAAGCCGGCCAAGAAAGCGGCGCTCCAAGCGTATTTTCCCGATAATTATCAATTTGTATTTCCAGTCGGTGTGGTGGAGATATTGACTGAGGATTATGAAAAACAGCAGATTTTTCGAACCAGTTGCAGCTGTTTCGACTTCAAAGGATGTATCACGTTGCGGAAACCGTGCCTGGGACTGGGCCGGCATTGCCTAAATGCCCTCAGCGAAGCGTGACAACTGTTGGGCCAAGATGTGATCAAGGGGAAGGCTTATGTATGGTATTACTCGATGTCGTCTATAATTGAACTGGTTTTCAATATAAATGTTTCCAATATGGAATGCAATAACGGTCGCCACTGTATAGTATATAGTAACTTATAGTTAGTTCGTCGTGTCCACACGGGCTGAGTCAGCGAGCGCGACCAGCGGACACATCGAGCTTCCCGAGCTTCCCAGGCTTCAGCACTCTTTCGCAAACCCCACGTTTCTGCACCAGACGAGACAACCACGCTCATTACCTCGCCGCCCATCGACAATGGCCCAATATTACCCTCAACAGCAGCAACAGGGCTACGGGCCCCAAGCCGGTGCCCAGAATCTCCAGTTCTTCCCCTCGTCCTACGCCTCAGTATCCGGCCACACAACCCCTTCACAAGCATCTTATGGCGCCGGCTTCGGTGGCGCTCCCAATTCTTCTACGCAGGCCTACCCCGGCGGTGGCTATGGCGGATTCGGGTCTCCCGCTGGTGGTGTGAGCGGGCGCATGGGTGAACAAGGCGGATTGCGGACGGGTTGGTTGGCCGCGTTTGGCACAGAGGGCTATGATGGCGAGCCTCCTTTATTGGAGGAATTAGGTGTCAATTTTGAACATATTCGGACTAAGGTGAGGCATCTTGAAATGGTGTTGTTCTCAGGAGAACGGGGCGGGTCGACGAGTGAACATCTGGACCGTTCCCTTGATAACGTGGCCATACTTCTCTCAATTGTCAGCAAAGGTACTAACTTTTCTATCACAGACTTTGACGGTCCTCAACCCCTTCGCCTCCATTGACAACCACCTTATGGACGATAGCGACCTCTATGGCGCACTACTCTATATCGTTTTGTACGGCACGTTCCTCCTTCTATCAGGAAAGGTCTTCTACGGATATATCTACGGCGTTGCCGTCTTCGGCACCGTTGCCCTGCACCTGATTCTGAGTCTCATGTCTCCCGCGCTCGACACCGCTCCTGCCCCAAACGCCGCCGACCCAACCAACTACAACCCTCACCACAAGCCCTCCCTGTCCAGCGCCTCGGCCGCAGGTCACTTCTCTGCCACCCTCACTTTCCCGCGCTCCGCTAGTGTCTTGGGCTACTGCTTTTTGCCGCTCGTGCTGACCGCTCTCATTGGTATTCTCCTCCCCATGGATACCCTGTTTGGCTACCTTTTGACTACTGCGGCGGTTGGCTGGTGCACGTACAGCTCGTCGGGGATGTTCTGTTCAGTGGCGCGCATGAGCGGCATGAGGGGCCTGGTTGCTTATCCGCTGGCTTTGTTTTACGTGGTCTTTGGCATTATGGGTATCTTTTCTTCTCGGGGCACGGGGACACTTGCGGTCAAGACTGGCGCTGCTTAAAAAAAACGGGTTTCTTTGAAGGCATGAGTTCAAAAGGGAACTTGATGTCTATTGGATACAGCATCGGCTCTTTTGTGGAGGTCGTCCGGTGAACGAATGGGCTACACGGAAGTGTCTTGCATCTAATCATGAATATTACGAGCTTCAACCTGTGCCATATATCATTATGCATTATTAAAATCGTCAACAACCTTCTATCCAGACTCCCCGTAGATCTGTATCCTGCACGCGGTGTAAATGATCTATAATGCACGTCACAATCATCGAGCCGTCTCACCCTGGGCCGGCGCCCATTTGGCCAACCATTCTCTCGCCTTGTCCAAATCGCCTCCAGCAGCTTCAACGCCAGCCACACACCATGCTAGGCCATACGCCTTGCCTCCAGCTGCAGACCCTTCGGCAAATAACATTTCAGCGAGTTTGCGGCGGTGCTGACCCGTCTCATCGGTGCAGAAATAGAAAGGCGCCGTGTTCGGTACATCGGGTTGAACGTTGATAGCTTCGGCGAGGGGCCGAGTTACTTTCATGATATCGGCCACACTCATGCTCGCTGGAGCACCGGCGGCAGATTGCGTTTTCTGTTTCCCCGTTTTGCAATACTCGTTCTGACACCAAGGCTTTCCACATCCGGTCATCATTTGCGAAAGATATCGCCGTTCGATTCGGCGGCGGAGTGCTTTGCCCTCGGGGTCATATGTATCCACGTATAACGGCCCGAAACAGATGTTGCACAGTCCGAGAGACTCGTTACCCGTGCTGCCGAGTGTGCGGCCACAGTTTCGGTTCAAGCATATGCGGGGAGACGGGCGTGAAACGCGCTCCAGGTCATGATGGCGGAGATGGGTGTTCATATCTCGCAGCCGGATGATCTTTCCACACAGATGACACTCTGTGGTACGGCCGCCGTCTACCAATTCATGCGGGGTCAGACCGGAGAGCATGACTTCGGGGTCAAGAAAGTCTGGATCCGAGTCGCCTTTCTGTGGGACGAGAAGATGACAGAACTGACAGAGAATCAGCTTCCCTGGACACTCGGTAGTCCGATGCTGCGCAAGGGAGGGAAGACCCTCGAATCGAGCACCGCAATCAGGGCAGCCGTAGCTGTTGTGAAATATCGAATCGTGGCTGAGTTTGCTAGAAACATTATTGCCATAGGATGAGTCGTGGGGGCAATGCCAATGGTTCTCCCACTCAGATGAAGTTTTCTGAAAAACGTTGTGACACCGAGGACAGAACACATTATTGCGAAGACAGAAGTTCTCATGGAGGACTAGTGTTCGCTGAGGTACCCATTGCCGGCAGTTCTGGCACTGCACGTCGCCAGATTCATGAGCCTCTTCCGACTCGTCCTGTTCCTCTTCGGGGTCATTCGCAGTTATCCGTAAACGGTACTTTACGGGTAGGGGTTGTGATGGCGTCGACTCAGTGCCAGTCAAGGCATGGGCCGAGATGTAGAGAGACTCAGCACCCTCGAGAGCCACATTTTTTGGGCGAATCTTCACTCTCTTGGATGGTTGATCTGAAAAGTCTCCCCAGACATGCATATCCTCACGAGGTCGGCCTCTTTGGCGAGCGCCAAGCGGGCTCGCGAATACACATATGGAAGGATCATCTGCCGTGAGCTCGACCTGGAGTGTTTCATCCCGATTCCAGTCCCGAAGCTCATAGTCCACGTACTCCCCGGGTAAGACCTGGGCTGCCACCTCCTCTTCGAGAGCCAGAACTCCACCGACGGAGCTGCCGCTTGTAGTTCCTGGTGCACGAGCAGCTCGCTCCAACCGTTTTTGCAAGGTCTCCCGAGCTTGCTCCTCCGATAGCGCCACAATGTCGACCTCCAAATCCGTGTCCACGACGCAAATGCCCTCGCCTTCGGGATAAACTTTGTCGAGTAGAAATCGGAAGGATTCATTGCGAGTGCCCGGAACTGTCAGGAGCTCGCCGATTGTCAGAGTCGTAAAATTATCCCGCATATGTCGCTCTAGTAAAGGTTTCCAGTCCTCGGGATCGTATCCAGCTTCGAGGGGACGTAGGCGCACGTATGTGCCTTTCGGAAGCTGCTTCGCGTGTACTGTGACCGTAGGACCAGACCGCGCCGGCTGCCCGTCAATATTACCTACCTCCGCATCGTGTGTCTCGCCGTTTGCTTCCGACGTAAAGTCGTCGTCTTGAATACCAAGCGATTCCCGAAGAAGAGCGCTCAACGCCACTTCGTTCTCTGATGCGGAGAACTCGCGGATCCCCGCATAAACGGAGCGACCATTCTGAGGGTTTACGACGCGGAAGGTGAGGGGATGAGGGAGCTGCTGCTGGCGTTCCTCGATCTGTTGGCGGGCGCGAGCCTCGGCGGCAAAGGTGTGCGGGTTGAAGGGATCGAAGGATGTAGTATGTACGCGTGAGTTCGGAGCGACAGCTTGGAGAGGGGCGGCCGCTAATAGCTGTTCTAGCGCGGATTGCGGTAGGGTGAGTTTATCGCCAGGCAGACGAGGAGCTCGTTGTGGAGGGGCCACTGTCAACCGAGCTGACCAGGTCAAAGTATTCGCCATGATGGAGAAAAAGAAGGATGCATTTGGGTGAATATTTAAGGCGGGAAGCTCAAAAGTTCTGGAAGACTCTCCCCGCGCCCCCACAATTATTAACTACAGTGACAACTTCGGACTCCCGCTTAGAAATCCCACTTTATTGCCATTCCCGACTTCTGATTTAATGGAAACTTCGCATGCGGTGGCGAGCACTGGTGTTGCACCAATCACACTGATTACGTCAGTTGTTATGCCCGTCTACTCGAGCGAGGACTTACCATCGTCGAGGAGCAGCCCTCGTTATGGTCGATGCAATAGTCCCCCCGGCAACTCTGGCAGGTGTGCTGGCAGTCCAGTTTACAATAAGCACACTAGACACTGGATCAGTTGAAAGCTCTCATAAAAGAAAAATCCACTTACGGTAGGGCCGCATTCCCAGCAGTCTTTGCGAACACCTCGCTCGAGTCTCTGTAACAGTCAGTAAAAGCAACCAATTACCGGGTCACCGATATCTTCACCTACCTCTAGATCTGGAAGCCGAGGCCCATTTTGGTCCTCTGGTCGTACGGCGGTCTGATGTGGCGACAGATTGGCCCGTACATGCTGCGGATTGGGCAGACAGTTGGAGCAGAACCACTTGTTGCAGCGGTGGCACCAACGATCGGTGAGGCAGTCCGTGCAACGCGCAATGAGGAACGGATGCTTGCCCGGTATCATTTCGGGTCGTTTCGCGGTCGCGATACTCGAGACGTGCAATGGCATCGGGCTCAGCAGTGGAAAGTGGACGTCCGGGGACTGACCCCAGATCGCCGGACCCTCGGGGGAACTATGACATCCATCACAGCCACGAGGCCCCAGAGCCACCGTAGCCACAGCCGGTTCAAGCAGAGGGGCATCGGGTGCGGGGTTGTCCTCGTTCGCCGATGTATATCGATTGACATCGTGCCGCGGCCCGCGACAGAGCACCGCATCAAAGGCGATGATACCTTCGCACTTCTGTAGAGTTCGTGCCCAGCCCTCCTCCAAGGCGTGTTTGAAGACCTTGCCAGTGGGACTATACCACTCATTCTGCTGCTGCCGTCTCGGGTGGGTTACCGTATCTTCGTCTTCGTTGTCAGACGAGCTGTTCGACGAGCTCTGACTGGGGCTCCGTGAGCTCCCCACCCGCGAGCCCCACCAGTCTCGATAACGGCGCCGCACTACGGGGCGCGGCGGCTTCTGCATTGGGGAGAATACATAAATGCCTTTGACTCGTGGAGTCCCGTCGGGGCGCGTGGGCCGGACCGCGTGCTGAATCACCTGCATGAGCTTATGCTCGTTAAGATGATGACATTCGCGGATGGAAAGGATGTTGACGTTGAACCGGTCGGTGAGGATAATATCGGCAACCAGATCGGCCGGGACTGAGAGGCCGTCCAAAACCAATGTGCGTACATCCTGTAGTACGGATCTTTTTCCGAGGCTGGAGAAGATATGGCGCAAGGGAGCCGAATATACCTCGTCCTCTGTCTGAAAATCATCTGCTTGCAAGGTGGTGGGAAGCTGAGCGCCTCGACAGCGAGTCAGATCGAGATGTCTGAATATGTACGGAGTCTTGATGATCATATTGTGGAGGTGTCGCGACGTCATGGACAGGGCCATCAAGGACGGAACGGAGAGATAAGGCGCCATGTGATCGAGTATTAGACTATTGGTGAGTATTTCCTCAAGAGGCGCTCGGCGAAAAGGAACAGGCTTAGACTGGGGAACGAGCTCCGAGACGATCTCATCCGAAAGCAGTTCACGCACTACGGGCTCGAGACCCAATTCTTTGAGGGTCAGACGACGAGAGCCATAAAATTCGGGGGCACGACCGATGAGATTTTGTCGATAAGCGGCCATGGCGCCGACGGCGACCTCGTCACCAATGCGTGGGGGCAAGGCATGAGGTTGAATCTCCTGGAGAGCGGTGCGGGCTTTGACGAGCTCAGACTCGAGCAGGTGAATGGTAGACTGGAGCACGGCGGGCATGGCTTCAGGGTTGGGAGGAATGGTAGAGATCAAAGAGCACCAAAGGTGGTCGGACATGATCCGGAGGCGGGCTTTTATAGTATATATTCCACAAAGGGCTTCACCGGTGAAGGAATGGGTGGGGGGGATCAGGGACGCGGGTAAATTCCACGGCTGAAATTTGGGACCGAAAACGTCAAGGACAATATAAGATGGACTTTGGACAGCTCTGGTGGAGACGGAATTCGAGATCCGGGGTGGAGAACGCGGAGACAGGGGAGTTATTGGACCATTCAATTGAGTAAGACGATAAGGGAGAGCGCGGAAAGCCCAAATCTAGCAAGTCCGATTGCCGGAGGCGGCCTTTTTATACTTCAGATCCACGTCGACAGTACACCGTACTTCAGCACGAGTACCTAGGATAGGACACAAAAAATCACCAAAGCAATGGGAGTGGGCCCATTTGCAGACAGAGGGGCAGCGGTGGGGAGTACACGGGGGTACCTGGAATGTGTGCCACGGGCAGTCATTGGGAAGTATAGCCAAGTACCCCTAGGTACCCGCCAGGTAGCACCGGTCCGTCCCCACCCCACCGATCCCACCGATCCCACCGAGCCCACTGATCCGCCGGTCACGCGTTGTGCGGGACTCCACTTTCTTCTCCTTCTCGAATCGTTCCTTTTCTTTTCTCGGTGGCAACGCTCAATTCGTGTCTACGGGGATCGTTGCTCCTATCGGTCTCTCGTATTTCCATCTCTGATCTCTGTCCGTGTATCACAAAGAGTCGAATGTCTGAATCTTGCCAAGACAATAAAGCAGCTGTATGATCCGCGCCAAGCAAATGATGGTATCTCTTCGTCGATCCTGGTTCTTCTGTATCAAAAGAATGGTGCCAAGTATTCCCAAGTTGGGGGCTGTGCTGCGATTGTCGTCTCCGTTGACTCGGTATGCGCGTTCGGCTGTCTACAGTACACGTGAACTCGCCTATCCCGCCTCCCGGAATTCCGTGATAGCATCACGGCCAAGACGAAAGGGATGACGGCCAAGCCATTGAACCGGACAGCCCCCCCTTGTGCTCATCTGCAACTCCTCCCTCCAAAACCTTTTGCTCAATCCCGGCCTGCTCCAGTCCGCTGCAGTCTCCCGTGGAGTCTCAATCTCTCTAGAGGGAATGGCTTACGCCAATGCTCCGTCACCCGCAGAGATCATTGTACATCTCGTGCAATTGGCAATCTACACTTCATAATCCACAATTCACGGGTGAGAAATGGTCAGAGTAGGATTAGAACTAGTGGTACAGGATCGTCGATCATCCCCGTCTTCCGGGGAATGAATCACCTTTTCCTTCCCCCCCCGCATGCATGATGCCTACTTCCACAACTTCGACACCGCGACTTCCTTGTCGTCGTGTTTGTTGAGGATCTTGGCGGTAGCCAGATCAAAGTCCTCCTGTGTTACATGTACCCGACGCTCACGCAGTGCATACATGCCCGCCTCGGTGCACACTCCCTTCAGCTCGGCTCCGGAGCATCCGTTCATCTTCTCGGCGATCTTGGTCAGGTTGATTCCGCGAGTCAAGTTCATCGAACGAGAGTGGATCCGTAGAATGTCGGCACGGGCCTCGACACTGCAGGACAAGTAATTAGCGTCGTAAATTCAAGACTGGCAAGGGGATTGGGGGATACTGACGAGGGCGGGGGAAATTCGATCTTCCGGTCAATGCGCCCTGGCCGCAACAGGGCCGGGTCGAGGATGTCCAATCGGTTGGTAGCCATAATGATCTTGATGTTCTTGGTGGGCTCGAATCCATCCAGTTGGTTCAACAGCTCCAACATCGTCCGTTGCACTTCCGAGTCACCGCCTCCCGCCGAGTCTATCCGACTGGAACCAATGCTATCGATCTCGTCCATGAAGATAATACTCGGCGCGTGCTCTCGGGCCATGACGAACAGCTCTCGCACCATGCGGCTACCCTCACCGATGTACTTCTGCACCAACTCCGAACCGCTCACTCGAATGAATCGGCAGTCGGTGTGATGAGCCACGGCTCGGGCCAGCAGCGTTTTGCCAGTACCGGGGGGTCCGTACAGCAGGACACCCTTCGGTTGTGCGATACCCAGAGACTCGAACAGCTCAGGGTGTTTCAGACCGAGTTCGATGACCTCTTTGATTTCCTTGATCTGCTGGTCCAGGCCACCGATCATGTCATATGTACTGTCCGGCACCTTCTCCACCATCATCAGCGACACCAAGGGGTCGACGGAGGATGGCAGCATCTTTTCCAATTTGTAAGAGTCCGAAAGGAGGGCCACCCGCTTGCCGACGGTGAGCTTGCTAATGTCCACGCCATCTGCTATATCGACCACTGGGTATCGAGAACTGCATTAGCCAAGCCATCGCCCATCATTCCTCGAGTTAGCACACGTACCGTATTTCCCCTCCGGGTGTACCTTCACCAGCACCTTCTTTGTGCTCATCACCTTCACCACCTCACCGACGTAGGAGCCAGGTTGCTGAAGCAGACCGAGCTCCTCCCGCAATAGACGCACTCGTGAATTGTAGTCATTGCGCTGTGCCTCTAGTCGTCGCAGAACCGCCTGACCCTGGATGATCTCGAGCTTCATGCCCTCGATCTTGTTGCGATAGTAGTTATCCAACGCCATGATGGGAAGGATGACGCTATCGGAGGGAGGTCAAAGGTTATAGTAGTCGTCCAAAGGTAAGCTTCCGTATGACGACGGAGGAATTCCAGGTCCTCAGACGGAGTAGAAAGATAGGGGTCGAGGTGGAAGGACACGGGCGTGGACAACGATGAGGAAGACTGAGTGAGGGCCGTGTAGCTGGAACAGCTCGAAGCTGCGGGAACCAGCACATGACTAAATAGAGCCTTAGAAACGAGGCATGAAAAGTAACATCACGTGATAAACGAAGCTCCCCACATGTTGAGTCATCAACCGATATCATTGGCGCGTGCCGTCAACGGGTCATCAGGAAGGTCTCCACGCGGCGTGTGCTAACCCTTGCGCTTGCAGCATTCTACACTTTCCCTCAGCTGATGAGACGCAGATGATCTTGGATATTTTATTTTCTCGCCCCGCGATGTGACTGACTCTTTGGGTTTCCTTCTTCATTTCGGATAATTCTGAGATTAAGGGATTGGATATTGCGTTTTGTTTTGATCTGCGAACCCGACCCAAAAAATGGCGGGAGATAAGAAAGATCCCGAGAACCCAGGCTCGACTCGGCCGGCGATGACTGGCAGTGAAAACGTCGCAGGGTCTTCGGTACCTCCTATGAGGTCAACGCCCTCGGTGCGGAGAAGCTATGGTACGAAATTTGCATTCGTGTAACCTGCGAGATAACGGCGATGTTGTTGCTGATGCCTTGGGTGACAGGGACTTTGGATACGTATAACTTCGACACAGCCTCCGAATTACGCCAGGAAGAGGAAGACGAATTCTCCAGTTACGCTTTTACCTCCTCTGCGGCCCCGGACCGGCCCAGGAAACCCTCGGTGACCCGTCGCATGTCATCCAAACGACCTGTCAAAAAGGGACGGGAGTTCTCGACTGACGATGATGTCAAAGAGGTCGAGGAAGATTTCGCCCTACAGCAGGCTCCCGCAACTCCGCAGTCCCCCAGAATTCGTCCCTCGCGTGCACAGAGCTCCATCTTGAGACGACGAATGAGTGCTCGGCCCAGCCCACTGGCCAGAGCGGACTCGGACAATTTGAGTGGGGATGAGACCGGGCTGCCGGATCCGAGCATGGAGGCTTCTGGCGAGCTTCCCTCTATTCGTCTATCCGATGGGGGCAGCGATGCGGAGAGCGTCGATCACGACCAAGACATCGAGGAAGATGAAGACGAAACTAGCGATGCCGAGAGCTTTACCTTGAAGGACCGACAGCAAGCCATCAACGAGACCCATCCATTCGGAATCAGAATCTGGAAACCAGCCATTTACAAGAAGAGTCGCTCGGTCGAAAAGACTGCAGACGGGGATATTCACTCGTCCCCCGGAGGTCGTGTGCACCCCATAGTATTTTGGGGCAACTTCTTATGGTCCTTGGTTTTTGGATGGTGGCTTGCTCTTGCTGCCCTGCTGGCTGCGGCTGCCTGCTTTTTCTTTGCCTATTCGTCCAGCGCGGTGGCTTATGGCCGGGTCTTCTGGGGCCTATCGCGCTATTTGCTCTACCCATTCGGGTCCTTTGTTCTCTTGGAAACTGACGAACACTACGCGGAAGAAGACGAAGGCGAGGGACGCAGTATCAGCGAATATGAGCAGTGGCAGAACGGTGATCTGGAACATGGCCGCCTCTTCTTTGGCCCCCGCAGGGATCGCTCGCTGGTTGGGCGTCGCCGGAACAGTGTAGATTCGGCCGGAGAACAAGACAGCCTCCTGGGCCGACCTCAGCGCGGGCAGGAAGACTCGCAGTTCAATCATTCGAAACGCCGTCTCTTTGGCCGTGGGGAATGGACTCTCGGCCGCGTGGTGTTTTTTGTATTCTTCTATTTCCTCGTGGGCCCGTTGATGCTTGCCGTGTCCCTCGTCTGCTGGCTGCTGGTATTTTGGATCCCGATGGGCCGGGTGACGACCATTCTGGTGAGCCATCTCCGGCGCCATCCTCTTGCGCTATCGTTCCATTCCGATACATCCCACGCTAGACTCAGTACTGCTGCATCGTCGCCCTCTATCCTCTTGTGCACCTATCGAGCTGCCGGAACGAGATACTGGAAGTACACGATTGACGGCACAAACATCTTCTTCATCAACCTGCTCGGGCTGGTCGTTTTCGTAATTGTCGACTACCACCTCCTGAGCAAATTCCTGGGCATGCAGAGCTGGTTGACGCACCCGGGACTTATCTTCACTCTTTCTCTGATCTCCATCATCCCTTTGGCCTACTTCATCGGCCAGGCCGTGGCTTCGATCTCGGCCCAGTCCTCAATGGGCTTGGGTGCCGCCATCAATGCATTTTTCTCGACCATCGTGGAGGTGTATCTATACTGCGTTGCCTTGACCGAAGGCAAGGCCCAGCTCGTTGAAGGGTCTATCATTGGCAGTATCTTTGCGGGTGTTTTGTTTTTGCCCGGTCTATCCATGTGCTTCGGCGCCATCAAGCGTAAAACACAGCGGTTCAATGTGAAATCGGCCGGTGTAACCTCGACGATGTTGCTGTTTGCCGTGATCGCTGCTTTTGGGCCCACCCTCTTCTACCAGGTTTATGGCAGTGTAAGCGCCCTTTCTCATTGACTACGTATCGGATTACGAGCTGACTCCCCTTGTTATAGCACGAGTTGAACTGTCATGCGTGCACCGGGCCACTCGACGCGGAGAGCCGAGACTGTCGCCAATGCTACTTTTCGCAAACCGCAACGGTTCAGGATAAGTTCTTTGAGAAAGCCGTTCAACCTTATGCCTGGTTCGCTGCCTTACTTCTCTTCCTGTCCTACGTCATCGGCCTGTGGTTTACGCTCAGGACCCATGCGGCCCTGATCTGGGCCGAGCATGAAGAGAAAGAGAAAAGGGCCGCCAATATGGGTGCCGACTCGTTGACGTATGAGCCAAGGCACGTGCTTTTCCCATCCGGTGGTCCCGAAGCATCCGGCGCCAATTCCAGTCAAAAGGACTCCATTCGGGAATCCCATCTGTACAAGCGAATCCTAGGCCAATCGCTAAGATATGTTGGTTTGGAGGATGGTAGCTCGGGTAACTGGGAGCAGACGGACTGCGGCTCCACGGCGGATAACAGGGGCAACATACCCCATCTTGTGCCTCCGCGATCTGGTGGCGATGCTACTCGTCCTGCACCAAAGGCTATCCGCGGCTTGACAGGAGAGGATAACGAGCGCCTGGTGCGACAAGTCGCGGAGGTTGCGGCCACGGCGGCCGCAGTAGCTGCTCGAGATGCTACTCGAAGTCGCAAGCTTGGCCCATCACAGACTGCCGGACGACAGGCCGGCCGCGCTCTTGCCGAGCAGGTCAAGCCCCCAGGGGAAGAACAGGAAGACGTTGGCCTCGTCGTAGAGCCCACCAATGCTGGTGGAGGACATGATGCCCCGAATTGGAGTAAAGCCAAGAGCTCCATCATTCTGTTGGGTGCCACACTGCTCTATGCGGTCATTGCAGAAATCCTGGTCAACACGGTGGACGTGGTGCTGGAGAGTGTTGATATCGATGAGAAGTTCTTGGGTATCACTCTGTTCGCCTTGGTACCCAACACGACCGAATTCCTGGTAAGTTGAACTCTCGTTGAAATCGAGCCAAGTGACTAACCTCGAACAGAATGCTATCTCATTTGCTATGAATGGCAACATCGCGCTGTCGATGGAAATTGGTTCTGCCTATGCACTCCAGGTCTGCCTGTTGCAGGTGCCGGCTCTAGTTCTGTTCAGTGCCCTCTATACTCGCGGTATTGATGCAGCCTCCCTGGCGAGCCACTCCTTTAAGTAAGTCCTTTTTTTCCTTCCCTAGTTCTGGTTGGAACCACTCGTTGCTCACAGCGCACGCAGCCTCATCTTCCCCCAATGGGACATGATCACCGTGATCCTGTGCGTCTTCCTGCTGTCGTACGTCTATGGCGAAGGCAAGAGCAATTACTTCAAGGGATCCATCCTTGTTCTCACGTATCTCGTGATCATCGTCGGGTTTTACCTATCCGGATACAGCAACATGGAGAACATGGGTGTGGATCGATTCGATACTCTCGCTCTGGGTGCCAGCCGGTCCGAGAAGTTCTACACCATCGGCCGCTCCACCACCGGCGTGGCATACTAAATTGAATGTATTCTGACGCTCGGCCTTGTTCGTCCAATGGAAGTCCGTGATTCGGTCGTTCGTAACATAATCATCTTTGCATAGCGGATATGACTTGTGATGTCATGATCCAATGGCTCTTTGACTTTGTCCTTGAGACTGTTGGCCTTTTTGTTTATTTCCAGTTTCTCTTTGTCTCCTTGCTGGACATCAGATCAGACGCCTGCATCCGCCACTGATTGGCAGACCGGCATCTGGTGCGCTCGGATGGCTTGCACAAAACAATTGCATTGCTAGACTCAATAAACTCGGTTCTTTTTTCACGCAATCTGTACGGTAACGACCGGTGCCGTATAATGTTATATTACGTAGACAGTATATCCCCAAATCCCAAATGATCCCCTTATAAAACATCGTCATGTACTCGGCCTAAGCCGAGCTCCACCCCTCCACGGCCTCGTCGACCATCTTGCGGTAGGTCTGCTGCTTATAGCATTGCTCCAGGAAGACCTTGTACTTGGTCTGCAACAGTGCTTTCTCCTTGGCGTCCTCGCTCGGCATTACCTTTTTGCCGGGCTTGCTCATGCGGTCCATGATATCCCACAGATCCTCAGTGTTGCCTTGAGAATCGGAACTGGCAGCTTTGGCTCCTAGCATGGCCGCACCGTGGCACACAGCTGCGTGGATGTATCGGGGTATCACAACCGGCATGTCACAAGCGGAAGCGATGAGGCTGACCAGAATATCGTTCTGGCATTGTGAGCCGGACACGAAGATTGAGGTGATACTGTGGCCCGCTTCATTCATGGTCTCGACAATCTGCTTGGTCTGCAGTGCGATGAACTCCAATGTCGAGTAGTAGTAGATCGCCAGACCGTCCACGGTCTTGTCACTGGTTAGACCGAAGATGGAGCCGGTCATGCTGGGATCGGCAATGGGGGAACGGTTGCCCCAGAGGTCACCGTAGAAGAAGAAGTGACGGCCCAGGTAGGACACACACGGTGCCTGCTGGTCTTGTGCCATTTCCTTGAGGTGCTCATTCAAGTATTCGTAGATATTGGCATTGTATGACTCGGCAATGGAGGTGGCGTGGTTAAAGGCGGGATGGGTTTCAATAACGTGCTTGAGTAGCTCTCCGGTTGCCGACTGACCACCCTCAGCCATCCAATATCCAGGAATGATTGTGTCCCTGTACGGACCCCAGACACCAGAGACGAAGACGGGGTCGGGCGACATGGCCAAGTGACAGGTCGAGGTACCCGCAACAGCAGCCAGGCGAGAAAAAGCCTGCGCCTTGTCATTCTTGGCCGCCTCATCGTTCAGTTGGCTGGGGCCAAAGTTAACTTTGGCGCCAACGGTTCCGATCCAGCCGGCATAGGCATCGATCACGCCGCTACCAATGGCAATACCGGCCGGGAGACCGAGTTCTGAAGCGGCCTTCTCGCACAGGTGACCGACGAGCTCACCGGCACTCAGATAGTCGCCGTTCTGAAGGAAACAATACTGGTTAGCGAAAGGGCCAAAACTATCAGGAAACAAGGCTCACCACCCCGTCAACACCGCCCAAGCGCTTGAAGTTGTCCTCGGTCAGGTCACCAAGACCAATATCATCCAGGAAGTCCTCCTGCCAGCCCTTGACACTGCCGTCAACGCCAACGGGGACGTATCCCTGTTTACAGACCACACTGCAGAAGCTGCGCTTTTCGTTGCCAGTTGCGATATGTGTGAGAGCATCCGCCAAATCATAAAATTTGCATTTATCGAAGAGCTCCTTAGGCATATGGTTCTTCAGCCAGAGGACTTTAGGGATCTCCATTTCAATGGACATCTTCCCGCCGACATAGCGGAGCAGGTTGTGGTTGGTGGCATTAATTTTGGCGGCCTCGTCGACCGGACGGTGGTCCAGCCACAGGATCACATTGCGGTCGGAGTCAAAGTTCGGTCCCGTCACCGACACCGGCTCGTCTGTTTCATGGTTGAAGACGGACAGGGAGCAGGTGGCGTCAAAGCCAACGCCGCGCACTGTCTCGGGGCTAATGTTGTGCTGGCTGATAGCACGCTGCACCGCCGTGCAGATACACCGCCAAATATCGGAGGTAGATTGTTCCTGAACGAGTCAATCGTGCATCAAAGGGTGAGTCCAGGCGCAAGATGCCTTACATAGTAACTGTGTTCCGGCTGCCAGAGGCCGATATTCTCAGAAGCCAAGCCCACAATGTCACCCTTCGCGTCAATAATACAAGCTCGGGCACTGCCGGTTCCTACGTCGATGCCAATAAAATGGTCGAGGTGCACCTGCAGGTCCTCGCGAGGGTCGCTAGTGGCCTGGCGAGAGCCCTGTCGGGAGGGACGACGGTAGGGTAGAGAGGTCATGATGCCACCGGGATATCTCGTTCGAATTGACGGGAATTTGGAGTTTAGATCAGGCGAACTGGTAGTTCCCAAAAATGGGGAAAGCACAGACACTCACAAAAGGAGCTGGCAAGAGAAGGAAGAGGCAAAAAAGTGGGAGGCATCGACTTTTGGATGGAGGGGAGAGGATGACAGCATCGGTGCCTCAGAAATCCTGCGGGGAACGCGGAGCAGAGCTGACCGGGTACCCTGGTCTGCAATCCTGTGCAATCGAGATCGAACCTGTTTGAGGACTCTGGAAATCACCTATAGGATCACTGGTATCCACCATAGACCTTGTCTCCATGGTATCTATTAGCTAGAGCTACCTAATCCCCGCGCACGGTGAAGTATACCGGGAGTGGAGCCCCGGCGGTTCCACCGCTCCGGGTAAAAAAGACCACCGAAAGCTGCTCCCGAGCTTCCCTCCTATCTCTCTGTGTCCGCAATCATGCATTTCCTCGCCCTCCTGGGTGCGTTTGCGCTCCTGGTTGTCTCCGCTATTGCCGATGTCTCGACCGATGTCTTCTACTGGCCCGTTGGGGCTGCTCAACCGTCCGTTCTCGCGCGTATCGCCTACGACCGAGCCTCGTGGAAGTCCGAGCTACTGTCCTACCACCCTCCGACCGATGCCCGCGACGGTCTTGTCCGTGTCGGTCTCTACACTTCGACACCCACCAACTCCAGGCAGTGGATCGGAAGCCTCGTCTCGGTGGCCTCGTTAATCGGTGAAGACCGACCCACCCTGCGGCTTCATCTCGGCCCTGCCGGCGACGTGTACCACGTCTCGGTGGCCTCGAGCACCGGAGCCAAGGCGACCGGCGCCCAAGTGGAGATAGTGTCAAGTCAGCCCGGGGTACAACCACACCTGAACCGGCCCGTTGTCGTTAGCCCCGATGGAGGGAATACAGAGGAGGTGGTGGAGAAGTCCTTTTTGCAGAAGTAAATTTCCCTTGCCCCCGCCACGAGCCGCACTCCCCCGGACTAACATTGATTCATCGCAGGTACTGGTGGGTGTTCTTGATCATAGCGTTTTTGAGCATGTCTGGTAGCGCAGGGGGACAGTCATAAAGCCAGCTTATAGAGAAATTATAATCCATGCCTCTTGGGTCTTCAATATCTTTTTTTCTGACATTTGTGGGGAAGACACTCCACGAGAGATGCGACATAATCGAAAGCAACGCTATGCATTTGGTATCACGCATACTCCATGTTTAGATGCAAATCAAAGCGATCCCTCAGCTCTCGGGGATGTTCCTTGTCGGCTTCCTTGATCACGCAGCTCCAATTCCCCCGATTCTTCGTCCACGACCCAATCGCTTCGACTATCCACAACCCGTACCCCCTTCCCGTCGCATCTGAGATTCATGATCAAGAGCCCTCGGTCAGTGATGGCAACGAGCTCGTCTTCTTTATCCGTGAATCGCAGCTGGTGACAGACGGCATCGAGTTGGACTGTGGCAGGCTTCAGCTCGGGAAAGCCGTAAGGTGATTGCCACAACTCCGGGTAAAAGTCTTCCTCGGCTTCTATCACCACGTTGGGCTCCAGCGACCAGATGGAGATGCTCTTCCAACTGGCAATGGCGATACGAGTGCCGCGAACGGAAGTGGCAATGAGAGATCCGTGAGAAGTGCTCGACTCTTGGAATCCTCCGAGCTGCGCCATGATTTCCCAGGAGCCATACCGTCTCCCGCGGTCAAGGTTCAGGACATGTCCACAGTTCTGAGCCATACAGGCGGCTTCGGACTTTAGCAGACATGCCACGGTCCAATGTTCCACTCTGTGGGTGGCGATTCCTATTGCAAGGTATTTCCAGCGACAACGAAGTCCCTGTGTTGCGCTATCGGGTTGATGCGTACCGAAAAAGGGGATTCCGATTGAGAAATTCAACGTGAGTGAGTCTGAGAATTGCACGTTGCACGCATTATTTCGCACACCGGGATGTTGGCCCAAACCGGGGAGGAACTGGATCCTTTGGAACGAGCTGTAGAGCGTGTGAGCTCTATAATAGTGAAGCAGTTGATACCCTCGGTCGTTAAAGGCCAATTTTACAGTTGGTCCTTTTCCTTCTAGCGCGGCATCGCTGAGTCCCTCATCGTTCACCTCTGTGAGGACGTATGAATCGTAAGAAGAACCTAGTAGGGTCAGTATGCGATGTCTTGGCCCTCTCGGGAGACCGTCAAAACGAACAAGTGATTTGAGGACTCCCCGTCTCTCGACCCTCGGCCTGGTTTCCGCTTCCCTCGTCTTCCTTTTCGTCTTCCTTTTCGTCTTCCTTTTCGTCTTCCTTTTCGTCTTCCTTTTCGTCTTCCTTTTCGTCTTCCTTTTCGTCCTCCTCCTCCTCCTCCTCCTCCCCCTCTTCGGAGTCATTATCGTCTTCGTCAGATGCAGTGTAATGAACAACTTGATGGTCATTGGAATGATTTATGTGTTGCCAGGAGATGACAAACTTCTCCTCGTGCACAGCCAGAGCCAGGGGTTCGTAATCTTTATGGTCGGGAAAGGCATAGAGCCGGATTTTATTGGTTGAAGACCCCGGTTTATGGTAGGCCAGGAAGATGCTCCCATGAGCATTGGATTGCAATGCATGTTTGACGAAAGGATGCTCGGTGTCCAGATCCCGATCAATGAATGGTTTGAATCGATGAAGCACATAGATACCGTAAGGATCGAAGGCAGTATGAAGAACTCGGACGTTTCCAAAGCAACTCGCAGGCGACTTGATGCGACGCTCCAGGGTCAGGTCCCCATCCCCGACGTTGAAGAGGTAGACAGTCCTGTGGCCTTTGAAGGCAAGCAATACGCGGTCCCGGGTACCTGCAGTCTCCAGTGTCGAGGCTCGGCTGTCGATCACTTGGCCGTGGAAACCGAAGAGCTTGCGGTCCCCATCGTGCTCAACACCGAACAACTCTTGACGGGCTCGAGACATGAGCTGTCGGAAAAGTTCTTCTAATGTATAAGAGTCAATCCCATCATTCCGACCAGGACTCTGATACAACTGTTGGAGGATGAGATCGCGGCTCTTCGATGCAATGGCGAACAGAGTGCGGTTGCAAAAGGCCATCTGCAGGTAGGTCGGAGGGTCGCAGCTCCGAAGAATGAGCTGGACCAGCTCGGTTGGGAGAGTGAGAAGCATCTCAATACTGGTGAAATGGAATGGCGAGAGGTGGAGTGGAGGGTCTTTGCGGTTTTATAGAGTCGGTGTTTCCAGCGCACGCGCCTCCTGCTGCCTACCACCGTTCGATCGGTCGCAGGCAGAGACGCGGATTGTCGGTGGAGCCAAGTGTCTTTGTTCCTGACCTTCGCCTATGAATTGAAGGATCTCCCTATCACATTGAAGGCATCGTAGGAGGTAAGTGGGTTACGCGAACCATTGGGAAACACCGATCCCTAAGGGTCCTCGGGTCCTGCCGAGCACAACAATTCTTACAGCTCCCGCTCACCTTCGAACCCTATTTCCTTCCAGCGTATATAGGACGATTTCTCCCCGGATAATTACCTGGTGTTGTACCCAAAAAAACGTATTCTGTTAATTCCGTTAATAAACATCTGCAAAACAATACTTCCCCAAATGTGCAGGTCTTGGTAATACATATACACCTGAACGAGATATCTCAAATGGGCCTAAACTCTTTATTTACTTAGTCCCGAGATCCCTCCCGACCTCCCCTGGGTATTTATTTAAACGTCCTGCTTGACATCTTTGCTCACCTTTTTTACGCAAGATATCTCTTCTAAACGTCTCTCAGAATATGCCCGCACAGATCATCATGGCCACCTCATTAGGCCTGCCTACAATGTCTCCTTGATCCGGCTGTAGGTTCCGACGTGAGATGGAATAATTATCAAATATTCATTTCGGAGTGCTACTCGAGTGCTAGCGTTAGGTTGCGAATGCCCAGGTGGCATTTATAAAGTAGTATCCACTACAACCTCGGAAACTCTGGAAGCCGAAGAGAAATGTAAATTGAAGAGAACGCGAAATTTCGTTTGCTTTGATGCTTCTATCCAACCCAGCCAGGTCCGAACACCCAAGAATGCAATCAAGAGTATAATGAATCTGAAAGAAATAGGGGTATCTGCTATCGGTTGGGGATTCGACTTCATCCACTCCGGTCTGTCTGTGAGACGAGCCATTCGAGTACGCTTTCATAACAAAGGACAAATTGACTGAGGTTCTGTACCATGCTGGGCCTCTGGGTTCGAAAGTCCTCAACGGTCTTCGTGATAAGGTCTAGAGTGGGGTCCCGAGTCCATCCAGAAGAATCTGTGGCCCCGGCAACTTGCGACCGCTGTCGCTTTAGCATATCCAGCACGCTGTCAACCGTGCAGAAGGTACCCGTGCGACCACACCCAGCACTGCAGTGTACTAGAATCGGCCTCTCACCACTCGGCTCTGCTTCCTGACTCCCGAAACCTCGAATGCTGTTGTGGCGAATGACTTTATTGCACTGCTCGATCAAATGGAGGAGGTGGATCGGTTGTGAAGTGGTCCCGAAATCAGGCCAGTAAGGGTACTGGAGCTGTGTGATATCTCGGAGCGGCTGGAAAGGGAAAGAAGTGTGACAGAGGCTGAAGTGCCGGACGATGATGACGGGATTCTCATTGGAGTCGTCGGTACTTTGTGGCGGCACATCCGATATCGAGGGCGTCTTTATCGTGGGGTCGCTCGATCGACCTTTGGATTCGACGTGAATGAATCTCTCCGAGTAGGCCTTAACCTTGAATGGCCCGTAGTTTCCAGACCTCCAGAACGGATGACATTTCACCTGTCCTCGCTCGAGCTCGGCGGTCAACGAGACGATAAGCCGGACATCTTGTTCCCATACTACGCGCCAAAAGTCCTGGTCGGTGGTGTCAGTACTATGAAGAAAAAGAAGTAAAAAAGGTACTCACGTTGAATGTATCGGGGACGGGGGCTTGGGTGGCAATGTATCGTCGATTGCTAAACTCTGCCTGAATGTGATTTGCGTTCACATAGTCACAGCTACCCGACGGGATCCCTTCTAGCCGAACCCGGGAATGGTCGAAAGGATAAATATCGTTATAACGGTTTTTGGTGCCTTTCTCAATGCCGGCGACGCGATATTTTTTCGAGGCTCCGCCAGCCGGAGCCGAGTTTCCTTCGTAAGACAACGCTTGCTTCATGCGGTTCAACTCTCTCTTTTCTAGGCCCAAAAATCTTTCCGAGACTATTCGGCCCTGATCTTTGACATCGGAAGCTTCTCGTAACCAAGCAGGAAGGCTCTGTCTTTTGGCTTCGGTCAAATGATCTGGCACTTTGAGAGGAATTTGTCCAACTCCCCCCATGAGATCCATGTTCTGACGGATGTTCCCAAAGAAAGGGTTCGCGGCTGATGATGATTCGGGAAGAGCACATCCTCCAACGACCGGAGCAATAGAGTGAATATCAAGGCTCATTGGAGAACGCTTCTGAGGGGATACTTCTGTCCGTAATTGTGGCCGGTGGATCAAGCGAGGAAACCGACCCGAAAACCCCTTGAAGCCATCTTGCAAAACCAACCCTTGACCATTCCAATCTTCTGCTTGGAATTTGTTAATCACGTTCAAGAGCGGTGCAGCGTCTTTAACGTCGGTGGTGGCTGCGTCATAGACGATGATTATTTTGCATTCTTTCCAGCGGCCAAATTTCTCCTTATCGACGTCATTTGTGAAGGTGTTCGCAAGCTTTTGGGTGTCGAAGGAGCGGCGCTTGAGAAGAGTGGTGGGAATGCATAGATTCAAAGATCCATTGATGTTGGCCTGGGAAAAATGGGCATATGGGCGAACATCTAGTAATAGGACTTCTTGTGGGGAAGTTTGAAGTAGATGAGCACACTGCTCGTCAGAAATCCACTGAGATGGCCCAGGTAAAGAACCTTTTCGAGCAAATAATTAGAACTGTGCTTCGTGTTTCAGGGTAAAGAATGACTTACCCTGTGGAGAGGAGCCAGGGTTTTTCTTGACCACGGGTCCACGCCCATTTGGGTGTTCTTGCCCCCGACCAGTGGCCTCGCTGTGTTGCACATGAATATGGGAACTCTGCGACCCCGTTGAGGTTGTCTCTCCCTCATTATTTGAAGAACGGCCTTGAAAAGCCGATTCTCGGCGTCCCTTGTCGGCCTTGGACTCGGTTCTCAACAAATTTACCAATCCCTCTGACACTGATTCCTGTGAATACAGTTGCAGTTTCGGGCTAGGGAGTGGCATTGAGCCCCAGTTCTTCTGTGTGTGCAGTCCTGGGCTGGAGGTGGGTGGGTTTGCGGAGTTATCAACCGCGATACCGAAGTAGTTGGGACTGGGACGTTCAACGCTGGACTGCAAGCCCGTGTTGGATGGAGAGAGGGCGGGATGAAAGGGCTGTACGGTCCTGCTGTCGCGGGAACATCCCTGTGCACTCTGCACCCATGGTGAAGAGGGTGATCGCCCGGGGCCTGTCATGGCTGCTGGGTGTCCCACCGCTTCGGATACAGGTGGTTTGTAGGAGGAACAAGGTCAGTCAAGACACCATCGGATCGACTCCTGCACGATTGCGATTAAACGATTGTAGGAACAAGGCTTGGGATTGGGATCTCGGGATCGCAAGCTGGAGTGACAGATCACGACCACATTTGCAGGGCAGTGAGCAAAAGACTGACGTCAGATGGAACCGAGTCGACGCAGAAGAAGGGGGAGGGGGAATAATGGAGTTTGAGGAGGCGAAAAGGGTCCAGCCAAAATGGCCAGCAACGACAGACCAATGGATTGGAGGAGAACCTAACCTGATATTAGAGAATTCGGTCCTATGTCATTCCATGATTATTAAGGCACGGGGGTGGCTTTCGAGAAAAATGACGTTATGTGTGGGGATCACGGGAGCCCGCAAAACCCTCTAAACCCTCTCGGTTCGCATCGCAAACAACTACAGTACTGTAACCACAGCCTGGACAACTTGTAGAGACCGGGAAAGGGAAAAATAACGAGACTCGATTTTTATAGGCAGATGGTTTACGGGCATCTTACTTTAGGTCCGACACCAAGAATCAGGAACAATATGAACCCGAGGAAGTGGTAGCAAACACATATTGAAAGTAGAGATATTCTGCTCGAACAAATACAGGATAGTTAATCGGGTGGAACAGATTCATAGGCCGCAATTGACAGCGCATTTTACAAGTCCACCCGTGGACATGTCATAGGTATACACGAGAAAACCCCCCGGGCAAAGCATCCTGTTCATACTTCACGGTACGTTGTTGAGACTAGCGTCGCTTCGTTCCAACCTCTCGAATTATGCAATATCAAGCTGTGCAGTGGGTGTTTGAAAGCAACTTCGAAAACCTGAAGCGAGCCGTCTGACGGCACTGGCTCTCCCAGAACAATCGATCCTGGACGATCAGCGAGGGCGAGGCCGTCATCCGAGGCGAAAGGAAAATTCGGGATCTCCACAGCTATACGTCAATAAGACGGGCCACCAAAAGAGCGTACATAAGTCCATAAGCAATTATTATAGGCCATGAAGATGAGCGAGCTCATAGACGCCGAGTGACCCGAGCAGTCCGATCACATTTCGGCCAGCATGAGAACTTCCCAAGGCCATTCGTGATGCCGAATATAGCGTTAAGTCTCACAGACTGGTTGGAAAATATTGGATCGAGCGTAAGACGGGCGCTGGATACGACGTCTGGCAATGCGCGTGGTCGCGTGGTGTCGTGCTTTGAGATGTGATCCATCACTCGATTGCTATACCGAGTTCCATTTTATATCCTCCCATCTGGCTCACCCTTGAATCTCTGTACTCGCTTTTGTTCCCAGTCGTCCAGGTCCTTGGCCATCAGCCTCTGTTACCAGGTCAGTATTTCATCCAACCAATTGTTGCCCATGATGTGCCAGGAAATCTCCCTACATAATACTCCTCGCGCTCATCTCCGATGACTCTCCTCCGTGGGTTTCGCTTGATTCCCTCTTCTCCATCAGGCCCCTTGAGACCGAGCTTGAAAGCCTCTTCTTGACTGACTTGCTGGACTTTGCGATCGTAACGTTCATACCGCAAAGCCGCTGCGGGGGTCAGAACGAAAGAACCCGCGACGATGACGGCAATGAATGGAAGTCCGAACAGGAGAAAAGGGTGCCGAGAAAGTCTTGCCCGATATAACGCGCCGATTCGTTCTCCCAGAGTGGACGTTGCCGTAGTTGCCCGGCGAAAGGTCTTGGACTGGAACGCAGGCATTGTCGTGCCCGAGTTGAACGAACAAGGAGGCACCGAACAGTAGAAGGTGGCCGGGAAAAGAAGAGAAAAAGAAGCGTACAATAAAGAAATGAAATGAATGAGACAAGTAGAAAGAGCCAGCACCGGTAGACCCGCGGAATATCAATTGTCCGGCCACCGGGACTGAATTGTTTGGGCTCCGCGCATAGCTTGAGCTTCTTCAGTCCCCTTCGAGGTTTTGGGATCTTGCGGCTGGCCATTGTCGCTTTGAAACCAGTTTCTCACAGTGTGCTTTACATTCTTATTCACTTTTCCTCCGGAATCAGAACCCCCACCGTCTGAACCGCGCGCGCAGCTTCCTTTTTTTCCTTCACCAAAACACTCTTGCTTAACCTCGAAACACAATTCCTCCACCACTACAGGTGGTTGCACCGCTAGTCCAACATGTCCTCCAATACGGGCTCTCTCTTCGGAGGAGGCGGTCTTGGTAGCTCAACCCCACAATCGACCAGCCTGTTTGGATCAACAAATGCGACGAGTGCGTTTGGAACTACTTCTGCTGCTGCTCCGCAGGGCACGCAAACCTCTTCGCTGTTCAACCAAACCCAGCCTCAGCCTCAGCCGCGGGCTCAGCAGCCATCCGCCCAGCCTTCCGTTCTAGGGCAGACCCAGACTGACTCTGGACAGGCTCAAGGACGAGTTTCGACCCAGTCAACTCAGCCAGCGTTCTTCAACAGCTTGTTGGAGCGCGGGAAGAAACGGCCACTATCTGCTACGGGACAAAATGGCAACGGCAACTTTGAAGACGTCCCCAGTCTGCAGTTGGGTCTTGATGACATTCGAAGAAAGGCAAGAGAGCTGGGTACGTCGGGAAACAAAGATCCTCAACAGAATGGCACAAAGGCGTAAGTTTGCGTTTTCTCCACTGTTCATCAATTTCGTTGGCTAATTCTCTGCTTGGCTCAAATGTAGTCGCTATCTACTCGCGTCTTCCGGTATCTCTCCAGGACGAGCGTTACGAGACCTACGCTCTCTAGATCCACAGGCATCTTTGGCTACGGCCAGAGAAACTGACAGTTTCGACCCTGATAACCAGAGATTTCTGAGGAACATTCAGCAGCGTGGCCGGCAGGTGATGATTGCGGAGAGCCTCTCTCGGGCTCAGAGGGACTTCGACACCTTCTTGGAAGAGAAAGTGGATATGGATTGGGAGGACCAGCGTCGGAAGATCTTCCAGCACTTTGGTCTTTCTCAAAGGGATGGATCCACCGCCGGAGACCTGAGGTCGACGACACGAGGCGCCTTTGGTCGATCGGCGAGACAATCTAAACAAGCAGGCGCTAGTCAGACACACGCCCCTTCAGGCGCATCCCGCCGCAGTGTCTTTGGCCGCTCTGCCCTGGACAAGTCCGTTATTGGCACACCGGGAACTGGCTTGGCTAGTCGACAACTCTTCGAGGACCCATCAGAGCGAAACGAAGGGCCGGCTGTGCCGTCACCTGACCTGCGGTTCTTGCGGGAGAAGATGGGCCATTACGCTGAAAAGGTTCAGAATTTGAACGTGGCTCGGCTGCAGGGGCAGGCCTACCCCATTCTTCATCAGTTCGCGCAGGTTGAACTTCAAAATGGCGGTGATGTAAGACCCAGCAATTCCTCACCTCGGCCAGATATCGCTAATCAACGTCTACAGGCACCTCGCCAGCTCCTTGATGCGTATCAAGCTTTGATACGAATCGTTCATGAAAATCCGGCTACAACCAGCACGTCGGACCCCGGTGCTGTAAGAGAACGACAGTTTGCCCGTGATTATCTGGAAGAGTCATCCAGATCCCAAAATGGGACCAACCTGAAGAAGCAGATTATTGAAGGCTCAAGGGGATATCTTGAACACACATTTTTCCAGGAGGTGGAGAATGTCATCTCCAAGAACCCGCGAGAGGCACAACTAGGTGGTATTCCAACCGTGATCAATAAGATTCGAGCATACATCCGCGTTCGTGCCGTGAGAAAAGATCTCGCTCCGGATGGAACGGAACTGCAGATGGTCGGGCAAGACTATTGCTGGATTCTTATCTTCTGCCTCCTTCGATGCGGCTTTATCACCGAGGCGGCCGAATACGTGAGCCAAGATCCTGGGTTCCGGTCATTGGATCATAAGTTCGTAACCTACATGACAACCTATGCTCAGAACAGGCGACTTCCGCGGGATTTGCAGCAGAAGATCAACGGCGAGTATCAGCAGCGTTTGCGAAATGCACCCGACAACACTGTTGACCCTTACCGGATGATTTGTTACAAAATCATCGGCCGCTGCGATCTTTCCCGACGCCGTTTGGACGGTGTGAACCAAAGCGTTGAGGACTTCATGTGGCTACAGTTCAGTCTCGCTCGGGAGGACGATCGCTCCGAGGAGGTAGCCGGCGATGTCTTTGGGCTGGAAGACATCCAGACCGATATCACCGAAATTGGACAAAGGCATTTCAACAAAAACCAGGATGGACCGGGCGGACATGGAACGTTTTTCATGCTTCAGGTTCTGGGAGGCATGTTTGAGCAGGCCGTGGCCTATCTTGGTACCTATTCACCGGTCACTGCAGTCCATTTTGCCATCGCTTTGGCATACTATGGTCTTTTGCGCGTGTCGGACTTCTACGCGTCTGGAGAAGAAATCCGTAAGCAACCCCATCAAATCTCATTCTATGAGCATTTTGGCCTCCAATCTCCAAAACCGGCTTGCTAACCTCACGCTTTTCTGGTTTCATACAGTTTCTTTCACTGTGAAGCAGTACCCTCAAATCAATTTTGGGTATCTCATCACCCAATACACTCGAGAGTTCCGTACTGGCAATGTTGAAGCTGCTATTGATTACTTCGCCTTGATTTGTCTCAACGCCGATCTCCCGGGCTCTTTAGGGAAATCTCAGTCATCAGTGTGTCACGAGGCTTTGCGAGAGTTCATCCTCGAGACTAGAGATTTCGCTAAGCTGCTGGGCGACATCCATGCGAACGGTACCAGAATTAAAGGCGTCATTGAGCAGCGTCTCGATTTGATCAACCTGGTGGATCAGCAGGACTTCCTGAAAAACATCACCATTCAAGCTGCCGGCGTGGCGGACGACAAAGGTCTGATCACCGATGCAGTGCTCCTGTATCACCTTGCCGAGAACTACGATCGTGTGATTGATATCGTAAATCGGGCGCTGTCGGACGCTATTGCAGTTGAGCTGGGAGGTACCATGCCGAAGCTACAGCCTCTCCGCCCTAGGGTTGAGCAGTCTCAAGCAGACGCCGTGACGCCTGGAAGCAGTCTTAGCTTGACTACTGTTGACGATCCTGTGATACTGGGTAAGAACATGATCGGCCTCTACAATTCGAACCAGATGTATTTCGACAAGATCCGCCAGATCAATCGGGATGCTTGTGGGCTCCTCCTCCGCATGATGGAGGCGAAGATGGAAGTTGAAGCTGGCAGATGGGCGCCGGCACTTGATGTAAGTTTTCTATGTATACCAAATCACACGCCAGTTCCAAGCTAATGCATCATACAGCACATTGACCGACTGGGCGTCCTCCCGTTGCAAGCCCAAGGCTCCATGCCATATATTCGGAGTGCCGCTCAGGCATTTTCGTCTTTCCCGGATATCATTTCGCGCAATATCGGTCATGTTATCATGTGGAGCATTGCGTGCATCGGGCAGGAGCGTCACAAACAAGTTTCGGGGCCCTATGAAACTGACATGCACCATGGATTCGCAGAACAGCTGCTCAGCATGGCGAAGGATCTCATGGTCTTCTCTGGAATGGTGAAGTACAAACTGCCGCCGAAGGTCTACGAGGCTCTTGCCCGCGCTGGGGCAGACATTGGGGCATACTAGGTTGCAGATGAGCCCGCTTCATGTACTTTTCCCTCGATAATGCAGTATTGATGCTTACTTCAACCCATCTTTTTGTGCTAAGCTTGTATTCCTTCAATGATTTGGTCAACGGACCCTCTTGTTCGAATATCATGTGGTCGTAGCTGGCTGATTTACGGACAAGACTTAACAATCTGCTTAGCAAAGACGGTCTTTGTCGTTTTGTTCTAGTGGCCGCTATTCCCAACATTGCTGATAACCCTTTGCCTCCCCGAGGTAGACCGCCGTCTCCAGTCCCATGCTGAGATACTTAGAAGCGAGGCTTTTGCGTTAATAATAACATCGGAGGTTTTTGCAGCGGTCAAACGTCGATATATATAGACCTAGATAAATCTGTATAAATATAGAAGGGAAGTATCGAACATTGACATGTCAAGTCTCCGTAAACCGAGTTCCGCGGGTGCTGGGCGTGCCAAGCCTCCGGGGATTTCTTCGAGATAACATTGCACACCGTCCGCAAATCTCACTTTTATCTTGACCGATGGAGCCCCCAGTCGCCCAGATGTTCCACCGTTCGCCTCGATCGGGAAATCACTGACCTATCTCTGCGTGCTGCTGGTCCCTGCACAACATGGACCATGTCTCCCGCGCGTCGACCTCGAGCCCACGGGCGATGGCATCGGCAAGCGGCTCGGCTTCTCCGCGAAATGAAAACGGACTAGCGAGAGACGAGGCGGAAAATGCAGACAATGAGTTCGAATACGCACCAGAACACGCGCGAGAGGATGCCATGGATGAAGACCCTCCACAGGCCGAAGATGCCACCCCTCCCATGAACTTGTTTGGCGCGCTTGAGAAGCAAGCCCGACAGGGCGATATCCACGACTCCCCCCTTCACACTGCATCCCATGAAACCAGCGAGACTCAGCCGAGGACCCCGGATGTGGACGCAGAATCTGCCCATAGTCTGTTCAACAACCCACCGAACCTGTCGAGGATTCGCAGGGTCTTGTTCGAGTGCAGAGACCCGATCGAAATCAGCCTCGAGGAGTTTGAGACATACTGGCCGTTTATTGATAATGTATGGGTCAAGCAAAGGTCAAATGCGAGTAAGGAAGGCCATTGTACCACGGACTATTACATGTGTCGGTTACGACGTCCAACACATCGCACATCCGATTCGCGTCCCCTACCGGAGGGAAAGCGTCCTCGCAAGAAACGTGTACGAGAAGGAGGAATGTGCAATTTTCAAATCAAAGTTGTCCGGTTTGAAGGCGCGTACTCGACGGTCACGATTGCGAGAACTCCTGGAAGCAGCAGTGTTCATTCTCATGACCTCGACTACATTGACCGCGTGAAGCGCAACTCGGGACTCATGGAATCTGCAAGGAAGGAATCCGTGAAGGGTTATTTACCCTCTTCGATCTTCACGAAGTTCCAAGAGGATCCGGAGAAGCTTCATGAAGCGGGAGGTCGGTTCCTCACCGTGACAGACGTGCGGAACGTCTCTGCCAAGTGGCGCATACAAAACCCCGAGGTTAAGCTTGTTCCTCATGAAGGCTACGAATACCAGAAAGGGTATGGGATTGTGAAGTCCCAGAATGCCGACGGTACCAATGACGCCGCACAGCAAAAGCCCGTTCAGTCGGGGTCATCACCTCTGCTCCCACCGGATACTCTATCTTTTCCTCAGTTTCCCCTCGATTTCCTACAGCCGTATCTTCCCAATCACTCCGAGCGGCGCGAGTTTCCCCATGTCACGTTATCCTATGCCTCTTCGATGGACTCGAAAATATCGCTGTGCCCGGGGATGCAGACGGTCTTGTCTGGACCCGAGGCAAAATTGATGACCCATTATCTCCGTTCCCGCCACGACGCAATTCTAATTGGCGTTGGAACCGTTCTCGCAGATAACCCCGGACTGAACTGCCGCCTCGAAGGAGCTGGTGGGTTTGGCGGGTTGGGAAGAATGTGGCAGCCACGCCCGGTGGTTGTTGACCCTATGGGCCGTTGGCCCATTCATCCAGAGTGTCGAATGCTTCGAACAGCCGTTGAAGGCAAAGGAAAAGCCCCGTGGGTCGTGGTGTCACCTGGGGCTCAGATCAACCCGCAGAGGCTGATGATGCTCAAAGGCTACGGCGGAGACTTTTTACGGATTGTGGAATATAACCAGCACTGGCGCCTACGGTGGGAGGGCGTTCTTCGAGCCTTGGCCTCCGAGGGTATCAAGAGCGTCATGATTGAAGGAGGTGGCACCGTTCTGAGTGAACTGCTCAATCCGGAGTATACAAACTTCATCGACTCCATCATCGTGACCGTGGCCCCGACGTATCTCGGTCGTGGGGGCGTCGGCGTCAGCCCCGACTCCAAACTCGACCAAGAGGGCAAACCGAATGCGGCGTTGAATCCACGCGATGTCAAGTGGACGCCGTTAGGACAGAACGTCATCATGTGCGGCAAGATCCGCGCACAAGATACCCCGTGATTGATTTCTTTTTTTTCCCCAAGGAATTGAATATTCCGATGAATGGAATAATTAATACACGTAATGATAAATGATATAATCGAACTATTATGAACTGGACCGGTAAATCGGGCTTCTTCGAGCTTTCGGGGGCCGGGGGGAATGCCGCATTATTCATTATTTACCTTTTTTTTTTCTGTCTTGGCGCTCTTCCCTTTGTCCCTTTGTCGCGTCTTCCCTTTCCACCCTTCCAATCTTTAAATTCCTCCGACACATTCCCATTCCACACAATGCCTCCTAAGAGGGCTGCTCCGGTCAAGGCTGCTGCTAAGAAGGCTGCTCCTAAGAAGGCCGCTACTACCAAGGCACCAGCTACTACAGCCAAGGTATCGGCGAAGGCTGCGGCTGCCAAACCCTCTACCAAAACCGAGAAGCCTGCTGCTACCGGCCGAGGTCGCACCAAGAAGATGTCCACTGAGGACACGGTGAAGAATGAGCCCGCTGAAAATTCGCGTAAGACGAAGACTCCGGCGCCTTCCGCGTCGAAGAAGCGCAAGGTCGACGATTCCGACAATGAGGAGAAGCCTCGCGAACAGGAGGAGAAGACTCGCCCAGTGAAGAAACCTCGCGTCACCCAACCCCGTGCGCCAAAGGCTCCCAAGCCCAAGGTCGTCATCAATGAGGCTCCCAAGTCTCGCCTACACGTGTATGTCTGCGGTGAAGGAAGCTCCGGTGAGCTTGGCCTGGGCACGGCCAAGAACGTGATTGACGTGAAGCGGCCACGCCTGAATCAGCTCCTGGCGGCCGACAAGGTGGGCGTCGTGCAAATTGCCGTCGGTGGCATGCACTGCGTGGCTTTGACTCACAACAACGAGATTTTCACCTGGGGTGTGAACGACCAAGGTGCGTTGGGACGAGACACTGCCTGGGAGGGTGGATACAAGGATATCGAGGACAACAGCGACTCGGACTCGGACGATGAAGATAGCGGATTGAACCCAATCGAGTCTACCCCCACTGCAATTCCTTCCAGCGCGTTCCCCGAAGGAACGGTCTTTGTCGAAGTTGCCGCTGCGGATAGCGCGAGCTTTGCTCTTACGGATGATGGTCAGGTTTATGGCTGGGGAACTTTCCGAGTAAGTTGAAAACTGTCCTTTGTGTAGGGATCCGCGCTGATCGCATATTCTACCCTCAGAGCAACGACGGAATTCTCGGCTTCGACACCACCCATCGGGTTCAGAACACTCCAATCCTTATTTCGTCGCTGAAGAACATCAAACACCTGTCTTGTGGCGCGAACCACGTCCTTGCTCTGAACGACAAAGGCAGCGTTTTCTCGTGGGGCTCCGGACAGCAGAATCAGCTCGGCCGCCGCATCATTGAGCGTAACAAGCTTCATGGATTGATCCCTCGAGAATTCGGGCTTCCGAAGAATATCGTGCACGTTGGCTGTGGCTCCTACCACTCCTTCGCGGTTCACGCGTCCGGAAAAGTCTACGCATGGGGCTTGAACAGCTTCGGCGCAACAGCCATTCGTGAGGGTGCCGGTGACGACGAGGCTGCCATTGTGCAACCCACAATTGTCAAATCACTTACCGGTCGGAGCATCACACAGCTCTGTGGTGGCTCTCACCACTCCATGGCACGGACTGCGGATGACGAGTGCCTGGTATGGGGCCGTCTGGACGGCTTCCAGAGTGGCTTGAAGATCGATACCCTTGAAGATGACGTGGTCATCAAGGACGAGCGTGGACGTCCTCGTATTCTCATCGAACCCACCCTGGTTCCGGGGATCAAGGCTAAGGTCGTTTCGGCTGCTTCCGATCACTCCCTCGCCATTGATGCCGATGGCCGTGCTTGGTCGTGGGGCTTCTCTGCTACATATCAGACTGGACAGGGCACTCAGGATGATATCGAAGTTGCCACCGTCATCGATAACACTGCCGTCCGTGGAAAGCAGTTGAATTGGGCCGGCGCCGGCGGTCAATTTTCTGTTTTCACGTCACCTGCCAGCGAGTAATCCTGGCTTATCCTTGGCTTTCTGCTCGATTTCTGAAGTCAGGTGTTGACTAACATTTTTTTTTATTTCTGTTTCCAATATTTTCTCCAATGTTCGGCGCGTCAAATGTCAAATTAGCTCCACTCATGTATCCCCCTCGGTCATAGTAATCTTGAGCACAAATTCCCAGACCCGGAGTGGAGTATCGGGTCCGGCGAGTGCCTTCAACGGAAAGTGAATGCATCAAATACCGGTCATACTTCTACTGGGTAATGCCCTATAGCTAGCCGGGCAGCTGTTTCTGGAGAAAATAGAATCCAGTAGGCCATAGCCTCTGAACAGCAGCTCGTTAACGTAAGTGAAAGTCGACTACCTACGAGAGGTAGGATTGGTACGGAGGACCCTTAGTTCATTGCTGTCATTAGGAATTACATATTGCTCCCTTCTACAATCCCATTTCATTCATGGCTTCGTATTCGGCATCAAAATCATCGCGATTATCGTTCGCCGGCCGCGACTTCGGTTCCGGCATCCCCAAGATGGTCTCGTCCTGTTCTCTTAGAAGGTCTTCCAGGTCGTCGTCGTCAGGTTCCGGATGGCTGGCCAAAGGCCGGGACTCCCCCTCGGGGTCTGGAATGAATAATTCCGGGTCCGCAGCCCCCGACACATTTTGCCAGGGGTCCGAGCAGGTCGGTTCTGTGGGTTTCGTCGTGGCGACGCCTATTTGATCGGAGGAAAGTCTTTTGGGAAGGTCACGGGTGTCTGGCATATCTTGAGAGACCTCGCGATCACCGAACAACGTCGGCTTCTCCTCGTCAATCCATTCCCGTCTCATTGTTTGGATGCGTTTGGAGTGACCCAATTTTTCAATCATCGTCAAGCCATCGGCGAATTTTGCGCGTGGAAACAAGTCATCGAGCCATAGTTGGTAGAAGTTCAAAAGGCGTGCTGCATCCGAGAACTATCGAGTAGGTCCGTCAGTCCTGTATATGCATATATATATATACCAGAGTATCAGACCAACCTCGTGTCCTTTGCCTTTGAATCTGAGTTTTTGTTTCGCTGCACGTCGTAACTTGGGAATTCCTGGTTGTGAAAGCAGACTTGAAAAGAACGGTCAATTCTGGCCGATGACCCGTCGGGCAAGCTACTCACCGACCCTCGTCCAGCTTCGCTACTGGTTGTCTTTTCTTGGTGACTTTGACCTCCTCGTCGAGCCCCAGGCCGAGTGAGGTGGGATCTCCAGATGTTTTGGCGTCCGCGGCGTTGCTATTCGAGGCGCCATTGCCCTGAAAGATCTCATCTAGTCCAACGTCGTAGTCAAACAGATCGTTCAAGTTGACGGGAGAGCTGGCCCTTTCATCATCCATGGTGAGGCAGAGTTATGTTCACGTATCTCAAGAATACCAAGAAAGACGCGTCCTTAGGTTAGGGAACGCGACCGGTCATCACGAATATGATTGGCGGTGGAGGAGCTGTCCGCCCGTCGTGCGCTAAACCAGGAATGGCTAGCGCGGCCACTCTCCTCCAACTTCCGAACTTCGACTCTGCACAACGCTAGGTAAACCCCCCTCTCATCGCTCTCTCCCTTGACCACATCATGGCTTCCGACCCCAGCACGGCCGTTGTGCCCCCCAAGCGGGCCGTCACCGACTATCCCGTACGAATTGCCCCTCTCCGTTTGTTTGCCCTTGGCTAATCCGTTCTCCAGCTCATTGACTCCGACCCGTACGACCTTCCCCGAATTCTCCGTATTTGGACCGAAAGACTTACAATAATTCCAGGCATCTGCGACGCGTGTTCGGATATGCTCGTCCCTCAGATTACGCCGTGGGTGCTGGAGCGGCAGCTGTCTCTCCCATTGCCTTTTGGGTCATGGAGCGAGTGAGCCCGTCGCATGTGGGCCGCGGTGGCTTCTCCCCTGTGATGCGCCTGGCAACCGCAATTGGTCTCATCGGTGGACTTCATGTGTTTTACCAGCGATCTTGCCGTATGCTTTCCAGGCCCTTCTACCCCAATTGAGTTACTCATCAGATCGCAGAGCGTTTCTACGGATTCACCGAGAATACCCGGGAGGTCGAGATGGACATGAGGGAAATGGTTGATAAGGTGAAGAAGGGACAGCCTCTCTACGGTGCCTCGAAGGTCTCCGACTATATCCAGGGTGTGGCTGCTCGTAACTCTCGCTACTCGGAGCTGTTCATCCATGTTCTTCCGTGGTTCAACATCGTCAACCACGACCAGGTAAGCCTTGACCTTTACGTGCCTCTTCGGATTTTGATTATCATTTTCTAAACTATCGGCTAGCACGGTGTCGACACTGCTAAATACTACCAACAAGCGGAGCGGGAATTGGAAGCCGAGCGCGTCAAGGCTGCATGATCGCTTGAAAATAGGTCGAGAGTTTGGCCTGGAGTTACAAACTTTTTGTACACATATCTTTTTTTGTGTTTTTTCCCCCACGGCGCAGCTGCAATTATACAACTTTTTGTTCTGATGAGGCGATCTACACGGCTGCTTTGCACGATTCTTCCTTTCTATTAATCCACGTAGTTGGAAAGATATTGATTCGTAGGCTAGTGACATCATTCGTGAGTTTGAGAGAGAATGTTTAGCTATGAAATTGGTGGGAGAACTTCCTCGTCCTCGAATCTCGTGTTGAGTTCGCGATTCTTTTTCGGCCGCGGGTTGGGCGCTATCAGGAACGTTAGTATTGGCTCTAGCGTGATTCGGTTCAGACTCTGACCTTTCTCATTCTCTTGGATGTAAAAACGACGGAGAAGCATAATGGCTTCCTTTTGATATAGCCCACCATACACGGGGTACGGCGGGTCAAGGGAGACACTGCATCAAATAATCAAAAAATGCATCATTTCGGTCACAGGATAGGTGGTCACCAACTCGGAATGAAGTGACAGCACGCCTCCGGTACCTCCGAACCGGTCATTAGCACAGCCGTAATACACGCTGCGGATGCGATACTGCTTGAGGGCTGAGGCACACATCACACAGGGCTCCACGGTCACGTAGAGATCTGTAGACTGCAGAGTGGACCTGGGGTAGGTTTGAAGTAATTCCGCAATCGCAAGAAACTCGGCATGTCGGGTCCCCTTGAGTCATCAGCGACCTTGTCTCTATCGCCGTGCACGGCCGGAGAAGACTTACGTTCATGGATCGGTTCGTGTCATTCATACCCGATCCAACGATTCGGTCGTTGTGGACCAGAACACATCCGACCGGGGTCTCGCCTGACTGCAGTGCTTTTTCACCCTGTAATATATGTTCAGCGCTGAGTGCGTTGACACGGGGAGGGCTACTCACCATCAATAGGGCTTGCTTCATGAAGTAGGAGTGCCGCGAATCCTCCGCCACTGTGGACGGCACTAACTCACATTCCGCGCTGGGCGGATCCATGGGGATTAGAAATGGCAGGTGGAATTTTGCCGAGTGAATAAGTGTTGAGGTTACAAATCCATGGCGCTGTTGGGGGGCTTTGGAAGTGAGTTGAGGGAGAAATGAACCACACGCGGAGATTTCCATCGGACCGCCATTGATCAAGGGAAAGCGATGGCCTCCCGCATATCTCTGTCCCCTTCCCCAGACAATTGAAACCATCATCCTATCCAGTTTATGTAAATTAGAGAGAACAATATTACTAATTTAGGAATCGAATCAGAAAAGTTGAGGGTCATGTCCTATTGAAGCCAAATGGGAACTTTCTGGTGCGCTTCAGTTCATCGGATTCCCGGCTGCCAGGTGCATAGGTTATTGAATTAGCATCCTAGTCACCCGGGGTAACGTTACAAGAGTTAATTGATACATTATCCAATCGACTTTTTGAATGCAAATCGAGAACCGAAAGTCGGTGTTATCTTTTTGCTGCCTCAGGTGTCAGTCTCATCTATCAACTCCGCGTATCTGCCTTTCTTCACCAACCCGCGTCTACCAGCCTCTCAGCCCAGGGGCCATGTTTGATCTCGATGGCAGCTAATGGAGAAAATGCTCCGGGCCAAGTGCCTGAAAATGAGCGGAGGCCCGCAGAACCAGCCTCGTCCATCCTCGCGGCACATTTTGCCCCGCGTCTCGCATCCCAAGGGCACGAAGGGCATGAAGCACAGCGACTGTCGCGAGAAACATTCTCACAACTTCGTCAAGAACTTCTTGGCGAGAAGCACAGCCAGCTGCGCGTTGATGAAGGCATTACCGATATCAACAAACTAGTTTGTATCGTTCTCCAGGCCGGCCTGGAAGCTAGTCCTAACAGTAGCGCCTCGGAAGAGGATCTGGAAGGGCAGGTCCTTGACTGTCTGGATATCATACAAGCAAGCATTGAGAAAGCCCCGCAGGCTCTGTGGGACATTTCGGACCCGCTCATACTGGGCGAGGAAGTCCAAGCGCCGCTGTTTGCATGGTTGATTTTACGACTGATGAGGTTGGCCTGCATCTGGCAATCTGAAGCCGCTCAGGAGAAAATTTGCCTGGCTCTCACCAGCATAGCTTGCCTGCAACATAAACAGGCTCGTTCATCTCCTTCATTCAATGGCATTCCGGCATTCCTCCGGGTTTGCACGTCGGGTCTGTCTACGCCTTACTCCTACCGTCGATGGAGTTGATTGAACTGGGCTGACAGGAAGCAGATATACTATGCTCACTGGAAGCACCTCAGGTTCATTATTGGCGAAATATTCGTCCCGCGAAGATATCCATGCCTGCGCCAAATGGGTCTCTTCTCACAGACTTGGACCATCTGCGCCTTCCTCGCGGTCTGCTGGGAAGAAGTCTGGTACTGGGTACTTTCCACCAGGCATTCACTCTCACCCTTACGTTGCTGGATTCATTCAGCCCTAAAGTGACAAATGAGAGCCCCGACAAGTGCCAAGATCTCATTCTTCGTCAAAATCTCCCCTGGGTGCTGAACGGATACAATCGTCTACGAAAAGTATTAGTCAGATGGTTGCGGATTACAGGATCGAAGTTGACTCCAGAGGGAAAGAAGGCCTGTTTACAATTTTTAGCATCCACCCGCCGTCTCTGTGTGTGTCGATCTGCACCGACTCTACCGTCAGACATGAGCTTGGCTTCAACCTGGACCCAATGCATAAGCGAGCTCATTCATCCAAGTATCAGCAGCTCCTTCCCTGCGATGCAAGTTGAACTAAGCAACTATCTGGATGAATTTGTGCAAGCAACGGGACGGTCCAAGTCATCTGCTCAGCTGTTGAGGGAAATATTTCTACCGGCCCTGGCAGAAATCGAAGACCTGAACTTTAGCCTCCAGTCAATGGAGTCTTGTCTATGGGTAAGTATCGTCTCGAGCTTTATTATCTCAACGTGATCTAAACTAATACCTAGGTCTCGCTTCAATCTCTTCGCGCTGAACTGCTCGCATCGACACCCGCAAGATGCCCCTCCGGAGTTGTATCAGGAGTTCTGGATGAGAACTTAACTCTTGCCAGTCAGATACATGGTGTGACAGGCCAGGAACAGGATCAAAATGATGAAACACGCGCATCGAAGCGGATATGTCTTCTAGTTGAGCCCTCCGGTCAGAATCTTCTACAAATTTTAATGGCAAAAGTCTCTTCGCTACTGGGCTGTGATTGTGTTGGAAACTTGACAGATTTGCGCGCTGCCATTCAGTGAGTCCTGAAACCTTACCAGTCTTAATCCCAGCAATAGCATATGATCTAGTATTAACATTCGACAGGACCACATTCGAGAGCCTCCCTGAACCCCGCAAATCAGATATTCTGGAGGTAATGGGCAAAGTTTCCTGTGCCATCACGGAAAATCTGGCGCAGAAGCCGTTGGAGATTGGGACCCGAGAGATTTCTATTTGTCTCGTCTGTGATGGCGAACATCTTCAACCTGGAATTCTTCCGGAGAAAGACATCCCTCAGTTCGAAGATTTGTGGTCAATATTCAATTTTATCTTGCCGAAACTCGCACGCACGCCTGGTCCACGCATCGCTGCTATGGTAGCTTTGAAGAGAATCTTGATGCACTTCCCTAGCTCAAACCAGATGCATCTTTCATCATCTGCAGCTGGGGAATTCTGTCTCCATTCCCTTCGAAGCTCTATCCGAGAACTTCGGGTCGCGACCGGGTATGTTTCGGATACTACTCGACACAAATGAATATGCTAATCTGCAATCAGGCATTCAATGGTAGCATTTGTGCGGTCAAATCTTCAGCCGGACATTCGCCGAGCAAATTTTGTTGTCGTATTGGAATGGTTAAAAAACCTGACCGAGAAAGATGACATGCCACTACAAGAAACATGCGTCCTGACATTGTGTCGACTTGCTAGGTTTGTCCATGTCCTTACCTTGCTCTCAGACACCCATCTCACTGAGTTCAAAATAGTGTCTCAGAAGATGAAGAGAAAAACATCATTCTCCTTCGTCTCTTGGAGTATCTCGGTCATCCAAACCCCTACGTCTGTGCAGTGGCCTACAATGAGGTACGTGAAGCACGCTCGATTATCGCATTGTCCATTTAGCATGGATTAAGTTGTTATCCTTTTCTATGCGGCTTTGAACAAGCTAACAGACTGAAATAGCTGTCTAAGCTTGCGCAGCAACTTGCATTGACGCCCGCTGGCTTGTTTCGGCCGTATTGGAGGACCCTATCCGTGGTTGTTGTCAAAAACCTCCAGGCTCGGCCACATATGGCAGAGCAGCTTTGCGAATTGCTTGGTATGAAAGTTGACGGCTTCCTTCGCTTGACAGAGGTGCATGTTCTCCCATACTTGGTTCTAACAAGAAAACGGGACATCATTTGCAGAATCGGGGCAAGTCGCAATGAAGGTGAATCGCCATTTGACGTCTGTTCTGAAAAGAACAATCTTGCTGCGATTCTTGCTTTTCTTCTGTCTCAGCAATCTAACAACCCAGAGGCGATGATCATGTCTTTATTGGCTGAAATAGATCCTGCTTTCAAAAGTCGGACCCTAGCGGATCTGGTGCGGATCGAGCCAATTCTTATTGCCTGTGATTTACTGAAGAGCCTCGGGGATGCTGGAGAGCAGAACAAGGAAAGGGTGAGTATGCTATGTTTTTCGACTCGCTATAAGGTAGCAATTGTGAATTATCTGCTAATCCTTATCAAATTCAGTTCCATCAAGCACTGAGCCGCCTGGCCACATTCGTTCCGCGGAAGTTTGCCCATGGGAGTTCTTCAAAGAAGACAGATTTATTGAGTCACTTTATTGAGGAGCATGTTCTCGGCATCATCACCCAATTCGCAAATGCGATTAACGACTTTCAAGTGAGGCAAACTTTGGCGGAAAAAAGGCGAAATCTCAAGGCAATTGAAGAGATGATCAACATTGCTCAAGGCCATGTTAGCAATGCATTACCCCAAGTCTGCGCCTGCCTCCGGTCTGCACTTGATATTGAGGAGCTATGTGACCATGCTTTTGCGGCCTGGAAGACCTTAATCGGCTCGCTTAACGAGGAGGACATCGAACCGCTCATGGATCAGACATTGGCGATTGTCATCAGGTACTGGGACAAATTGACAGGAGAAAGCCGAAAGCATGCCTACCAGCTCATTGACCATATCTTGACGAATCACCCGAACTTGGTACGAGATACTTTCAATACCATGCCTTCGCTAGCGTCCATCCCTGAGATGGCTCCGTTCGAAGCGAAAATCAATGAATTGAGGACGCAAATGGACGTTCGAAGCCAGTTCCTAGCCCTCATTCGGCGCTGCCAAAGTGAAAATGCCACAGTCGTTGAGCAGGCTCTGGAGGAATTACTGCCTTTTCTCTCGGGCAACGAGGAATTCTTGCATGTATCCGTTCTCAGCGAGCAACCGGATCCTGTGATCGCACAATTAACGAGGGCATTGCTTGACTGTTGCGTCAAATTCAATACCAGTTCGGACTCGATCACTTTATTGTCCTCACAATGTTTAGGTCTCGTGGGATGTCTTGATCCGAACCGAGTAGAGACAGTCAAGGAAAAGAGAGACATTCTTGTTCTGTCAAACTTTGACCGAATGGAAGATACGGTAGAATTTGTTCTCTTCTTCCTCCAGCATGTTCTAGTGGAAGCTTTCTTGTCAGCGTCCAACACAAGGGCTCAAGGATTCCTGGCATATGCCATGCAAAATCTTCTCAAAATCTGCAATCTGAACATGGCAGTCACTCAACGGACTCGAGATCTTCAGGGTGATGAAAAATTTCAACGGTGGATGGAGCTTCCGGAAAGCGTCCGAAACACTCTCACGCCCTTCCTCACCTCAACGTACACTGTCACCGTCGTTGGAGCGACCTCCAAGGTCGCATATCCTTTGTTATCCACCAAAATGACCCATAGCGAGTGGCTTCGAACTCTTGTACAAGATCTGCTCCAAACTGGGAATGGCGACAATGCAAAGCTCATATTCGCAGTATGCAGCCGAGTCGTGAAAGGTCAAGATATTTCGATTTCTTCATTTCTCCTACCTTTCGCCGTCCTCAATCGCATTGTCGGGGGGACCGAACAAGAGTTGCAGGACCTCCAGCTTGAGTTGATGAACGTTCTTTCGCACCCCCTTCCTGATACTAACAACAGTGTCCGCGAAACCATCATAAGTAGTAGCCAGGTATGACTTTTCCGGGCGTTGAGATTGAATTTTTGAGTACTGATTCCAGTTTACTTTCAGAGCGTTTTTGAGGTCTTGGACTACTTGTCGCGATGGCTCCAGGGGAAAAAAAAGCAGCTTAATAGTCTGAACTATCAGTCTTACCAATCCAGTCGCTCCCACAGAGATGCCAGCCGAGATGGGCTCCTTGACAAATACACGTCGCAGGTCAAATCTGTCGAGGCCGTCTTGGCTTCAATTCCGCCAGAGGTCATATCCAAACGGGCCGTTGAGTGCAAATCATTTTCCAGGGCTTTATTCCATTGGGAGCAGTATATCCGGAAATGTAAATCACAGCCGGAAATGCAAGAACGCTCCAGCACCGAGCCTCTTTACCAACGACTGCAGGATATATACAGCCAAATCGATGAACCTGACGGCATTGAGGGCATTTCAAGCCATTTATCTGCGCTTAACATTGACCAACAAGTCCTGGAGCACCGCAAGGCAGGAAGGTGGGCCACTGCGCAAAGTTGGTACGAACTCCAGCTCGAAAAAGAACCAGATAATGTCGACGCTCAATGGAACCTTGTCACTTGCCTCAAGGAATCTGGCCAACAAGGTAGCTTCAGCACACTATCTTTATCTTTCTTGTCAACCTCTTGCTTATCCTAATTAGATGCCATTCTCACTCGCTTCGAGATTGTAAAGGACAACGAATCTGCGGCGTCCCGATTTCTGCCTTTCGCAGTAGAGGCATCATGGATAACGGGCAGGTGGGATAAGCTCAAGGGCTACTTGGAGCTATGTGCGAAACAAGGTGCTGGGGACTTCAACGCGGGAATAGGATCGGCTCTCAACACTCTTCGGCAAAGAAAAGCAGAGACATTCACCTCTATCATCAATAGGCTCAGGCTCAACGTTGCGAAATCATTGACTGCCAACTCCGTGGCCTCGCTGCAATCCTGCCATGACGATATGCTCCGGTTGCACGCCTTAGCAGACGTCGAGTCCATAGCTAATGCGGGAGCTGCGGGTTCCCATCCGAGCCCAGAATTACTTGGGGCCTTAGATCGACGTTTGGATGTCCTAGGCGGTTATCTTGCGGACAAGCAGTACCTTCTTGGGTTGAGGCGAGCAGCAATGGAGCTAGCGTGAGTGAACCTGGTCCCCATAGCCACCACACTTGTTAACATGTCCTTCAGAGGCGGTTTTGCCAACTCTGACATAGCCTCAGCCTGGCTCACCAGTGCTCACTTATCGCGAAAGGGTAACTTCACCAGCCAGGCGTATCACTCAATGCTCAATGCAGCTTTGCTGAAAGATCGATCGGCTACCATTGAACATGCCAAACTTCTCTGGAAAGATGGACACCATCGCAAAGCAATTCAGACGCTGGAGGGTGCGATATCGGCCAATGAGGCCACCGCCGCTACATCTTCCTCGGCCGATTCCGAGGCAGTGTCATTTATCTCCAGTCGCGGGCAGAACGCAAACGTCACGGCTGCCAGGGTAGGACCAATCAATCAATGCCATCTAAAATCAAGAAACTAATTCACGTATTTAGGCGCATCTTTTGCTGGCCAAATGGACGGACAGAGCTGGTCAAACTCACTCCCAGGCCATTGTTCAACGATATCGAGAAGCCATCAAACTGTATCCAAGGTGATTTGAACCAGCTAGCCGTTGGCAAATATTGGCTGATTTTGGAGTTTAGGTGGGAAAAAGCGCACTACTACTTGGGAAAGCACTACAACAAGATCCTCGACTCGGAAAAGATCAAGCCCATGGGGAAGGAGGCTCAGATATAGTACGTATATCCTTTGCCATGGGCAGGGCCAGTTCACTATTAACGGACTTGTTCAGCTTGAGTGGGGAAGCCACGAAACTCGTTATTGACAACTATCTTCGCTCACTGACCTATGGAAGCAAATACGTCTTCCAAACGCTGCCCAAACTGCTGACACTCTGGCTAGAACATGCTTCAATTGTTGACCAGCCAATTGACCCGAAACGAGGGGACAACGAGTAAGTGGCCCTCGGTAAATCTAAACAATACCTCTGCTTTGCTAACCATGGACGGTGGGAAAACAAACAGAGACTTCCAGAGACACACCAAAGCTCAGCGACAGAAGAGCTTGGATGAGATGCATGCTCAGCTCAAAAAATACATCTCGTCTCGCCTGCAAGCTGCGTTGGTAATCAAATATTGCATAGGAGCTCTTTTTTTAAATAATAGGCTCACACAAGTATAGCTCTTCACGATCTTGCCCCAGGTGGTCGCTCGCATCTGTCATCCCAACAGCACAGTTTATGACCTTTTGACGCGAATTGTGGCCAAAGCCGTCCATAGCTTCCCACAGCAAGGACTATGGACCGTCCTAGCAGTGGTCAAATCCTCCAGCAAGGACCGCGCCTCCAGAGGTTACAGCTGTCTGCAAAAGATCACGGTATGTTCGGTACTCCCGTGGATGACGAGAGAAATGCTAACTCAAACAGGACTACACCAATAAGCACAAATCAGAGTCATCATCGTCCGACATTCGCCGCATGATCAGCCAGGGCCAAAAGTTCTCGGAGGAATTGCTCCGGCTATGTCTCGCACAGGTTGAGGAAAAGGTTTCTCGGGTCGATCTTGCTCGTCACCTCGGGTTTAACCACAAAGTTGCCCCGTGCCGCCTTGTAGTACCGTTCCAAGCAATGCTAATCCCAAGCCTGCCCACCAGTCACGATTCAGAGTACCTAAAAGGGTTCCGGCCCTTCCCACGGGAGCCGACAACCATAGAGGGCACGTTGAGATCCACTGTTTATTTGCGAGGCCGAGCTAACTGGTAACAGCCGTCCTGGACGATGCACAGATCTTGAACTCACTCCAAAAGCCACGCAAGATCAGTATTCGAGGATCTGACGGCAAAATCTACAATGCACTTTGCAAGCCCAAGGATGATCTACGCAAGGACCAGCGTCTCATGGAATTCAACAACATGATCAACCGATTTTTAAAACGAGACGTCGAATCAAGCAAGCGGCGAATGTGTAAGTCCTCTATTCTCGCCCAGCCCATTATATGTGGAAAACTAACACAACGGAGATATCAAAACCTACGCTGTGACACCGCTAAATGAGGAATGCGGCTTAATTGAGTGGGTTGACAATCTCCGAACCTTGAGAGAGATCATCATCAAAATTCTGCGTGAGCGCGGTGTTGCACCAAATGTGAGGATTTTCTGTTCACGGGCTTCATTATTTGACTAACGAATTCACGAAATAGTATACGGAGATCAAACACTACCTGAACGAGATATGCGCAGACCGCTCGATGTCCAAGTTGTCACTGTTTACAACAAAGATCCTGGCCAAGTAAGACAAACGCCTATTTATTATAAAGACTACTTGAGGCTGACGAGGTCGAAGGCTTCCTCCCGTTCTTCATGAATGGTTTATCGAAATGTTTCCCGAGACCGAGACCTGGTTCACGGCAAGACTGCGTTATACGCGGTCGTCGGCGGTGATGTCAATGGTTGGATACGTTCTAGGGTAAGTATCATTATCGGCCCCAGCTGTTTCGGTCCGCTACGACATACTAATCAAATGGTTCGTCTGAGTAGGCTTGGAGATCGACACGGAGAGAACCTGTCGTTCGAAGAAGGAACAGGTGGTATCTTGCATGTTGATTTCAACTGTCTGTTCGACAAAGTAAGAAAGCCTCAGATGCCCGTTTTTGCTACGCAAGTGCTCATAATACGCAGGGTCAAACATTTGAAAAACCCGAGGTGGTTCCGTTCCGTTTAACAAACAACATGGTCGATGCCTTTGGCGCCTATGGGTACAATGGTAGGTTCGCTAGAACTCATGTGTGGGGAATGGCAACTGAATATCGCGACATAGGGCCTTTCCGGAGAACCTGCGAAATCACCCTCAGTCTTCTGCGACAAAACGAAGATGCTTTGATGACCGTCCTCGAGACTTTCTTGCATGACCCGACCACAGACTTCATTGGGAAAAGGGTGAGTCCAATCCGTTCCGTCGCAAAGGTCGACCACTGACGCCGGTTTCATTACAGCGTCGCACCCATGCAAATGTCCCCGATACCCCTGCCGGAGTTTTGGAAGATGTCCGGAACAAACTTCGGGGTTTTATGTCCAAGCAGCCTATTCCACTTTCGGTGGATGGCCAAGTGGACGAGCTGATCATGCAAGCGACCGACAAGAAGAACCTGGCATCGATGTATATCGGATGGTGTGCCTTTTTCTGACGCGGCACCCCGATTTTTTTATCCTTTCCATGTAGTTTCGATAGTCTCAAACCAGTGCCATGCCAGATATTAGAAAGTCTCCTACCATCTTGATCTTATTAGATACCCCTGGAACAACTCCATCATTTATTCGATATCTTCAAGTCCGTGCTGGACAAACAGGGAGCAGATTCAAGGAGCACACGTAAACGCGGTCAGTGGGGATGTTGAGATTTCTTGAGGGAGTCTAATGACGATTGTGGCTCCGGCTTCTGTTCGGGCTTCGGCTGCCACTGCGGCTGCTGTATCCGTAACTACTGTAGCTGGGACTCCGGCGTCGGCGCTGCCGTTTGCTTTCGGTGCGGAGGCTGCCTTTTCTCGGTGGGGAGCCTGAGCGAGAAAACGAGCGGGAGCGCACGGGGGATCGTGATCGTGAGAGAGAAGGGGGGCGGTAAACATCATGTCGTTCAGCAGGCCGCGCCCGACCATGCCTTCGTGGCGGGGACTTCGCATACGATCCCTTGCCGAACCTGGGGCGACCGCCATTGCCTCGGTTGGAGGCAGGGGGAGGTGATCGTGAGAATGTCCGACGTGGAAGAACAATCGAGACATTCAGAATAGCCCCGTCCAGTTGAGCTTCGTGCATGTGAGCAATGGCAGCCTCAGCATCCGCAGGGTCGTAGTACAAGATGTAGGCGCTGCCTCTATTGGTCATGACTAGATATAGCCGGTCAGAAACACACGATTCAAAAAGAACGGAGGCGAAGCTTTCAATTCTTCGAGAAAAGAGTCTCACAGGATCTGTTCATGGGGAGGTCGAGGTACTCGATCTCGCCAAAGCTTCCGAATATTTCGCGGAGATGATTCTCCGTGACGTTCTTGGTCAATTTCTCTACCACAATCTATCAATATACCTGTTAGTAAAAAGTTTTCGCGGAAGAGGTTGGAAACCCTCACTTTTGCGCTCCGCGGGGGGCTTTTTGGGCTGGGCGTTCTGCTGTAACTCCGGCTACGGTAGCGTCGACCACCTCGACTACGACTGCGAGACCGTGATCGGCCACGGGAAGAAGATCGCGATCGGCTTTTGGGACGGTCGGAGCGATCCTGGTCGCGCCCCGGAGACGGGCTTCGCGTGAGACTTCGTCGCGAGTCTCCACGCGAGGATCTGGAGCGACGCAAGGAATGAGAGCGCGCCGGGCCATGCACGGAGCGCATGGGCGATTTCCCTCGAGGTGATCGCACGGACATCGGGTGCCAGATGTGGTGAGGTTCTTTGGGGGGTAGTAAAGAAGGCGGAGGCGGAAATACAGGTGGAGGTAAGGTAAGGTAAGGTGAAGGTGAAGGCGACGGCAGGCGCAAGTCGCGATTCAAGGGCGCAGCTGCAGGTCAACGCTAGCCGCATGAGGTAATCACCTCTGGTACCTAAATCATACTGCAAGAATCCCATGTGGTTTGACAGACAACATTCGAGGATATAGTTTCTCTATCTCTCTCTCTCTCTCTCTCTCTCTCTCTCTCTATTTCTGGGCTCTTTACATAGCCCATCCTATCCTCCTAGGACTGCGCATCTCTCCATCGCTCGTACTCCGCAATGACGCCGTTGGTGATCTGCCGCCGCACCTGGCCCAATGCATATTCAAAATGCTTCAGTTTCACATTTTGCTCTTGTTGGGTCTCTTCCTCTTCGTCCAATGCCGCATCTCCCGCAGTCTCACATATGCTCACCATCTCCGCTCCCGAATAGCCCTCGGTCACGGTCGCTAGTTCGTCCAGATCCACGTCCGGATCGACGACGGATTTGCTAGACCAGATTCGAAGGATTTCCTTCCTCGCCTCGAAATCTGGCGGTCCAATATAGAGGATGTTATCCAAACGACCGGGACGCATAAGGGCTGGGTCTAGAACGTCCGGCTTGTTGGTGGCCGCGATGACCAGTACATTCCTCATTTCTTCGATACCATCCATCTCATTGAGGAGGGTCGTTAGAACATTGACACCCCCGTTGGAGCTGCTGCTGCGTCGCGCAGCTATGGCATCGATTTCGTCAAAGAAGATGATACTGGGCCGCGCCGCTCGAGCCTTTCGAAAGATCTCTCTCAGCGATCGCTCAGACTCCCCAACGTACATGCTCAGAATTTCCGCACCCTTGACTGCCAAAAAGTTCAGCCCAGCTTCTGTAGCCAGGGCTTTGACAGTCAATGTCTTGGAGCAGCCGGGGGGGCCGTAAAGAAGAACGCCCTTTTTGCTCTTCACGTTGAGCCGCTGCATCCGTTGAGGATACTGCAATAGATCGTTAGCCTCAATATCGGCGAAGTTAATGCTGACACTTTTGTCTTACCTTAAGAGGTCTCTCGACGGCTTGCTGCAAGCGCTTCTTCACTTCATGCTGCCCGCCGATATCTGACCATCTCACCTTTGGAGTCTCCAGGAATACCTCGCGCATGGCTGTAGGACGGATTTCTTGCAAGGAGGACATGATATCTGTCTCCTGTATCGCTAGGTCGACGCTGATCTCCCGGTCGCTTTCAAGTCTAGCGGAGGGATCAGAGTTCTGGGACAAAGACAAGGGTTTAGAGTCCTGTTCGAGCAATTGCCTTTGCCGGGCTTTCCGGCAAATCAATTGCAGTAAAGCAAAGAGATCGGCGCCGACGTATCCATGTGTCTTCTCTGCGAGAAACTCAATGAAATCATCGGTAAGTCCAGCAGAAACGGGTCCGCGAATGGCGCGAAGAATCTCTGCCCGATCCTGGGCCGTGGGGACCTGTAGCTCGATCTCTGCGCCAAACCGATGTGGGGTTCTGAGCGCATCGTCCACGTTGTTTGGATGCCGTGTTGCGGCCACGACCAGAATAGATGCACTCCGAATCGCATCCAAGTTTTCACAAAGAACGGAAGCTAGTGACTGTGATTCCAAAGAGGTCCGTTTCGGTGCGACAAAGTCCAGCTGATCGATGATGATGATACTGGGCTTTGAGCGCGCGGCCTCTTGAAAGGTATTGCGAAGCTTCAGCTCACTTTCGCTGATGCTTCGACCAAGCGATGAGGTGCCAATTTTAAAGACTTGTTTCCAGCCGGCCTTTTCAATCTGCTCCAACAGGGCCGTCTTGCCTGTTCCCTTCGGTCCATAGAGAAGAATACCGCGGCTGTGCTCGTAGAATGATGGCATGACCGGTTTGCGTGGATCAATGTGAAAGTCGGACAAGCTCTCGTTGATGTCTTCGATTTGCCGCGCGAGACCCCCTAGATTCGTAGCTTGAACAGCAATTCTTGAGGAGGAAGGCTCTTCGGGTGCTTCCATCTCCGTTCCAATGCAGACCTTGGTAGTCTTCGTGAACCGAAAAATAGTGCGACTGGTGCTTGAATTCTGGGTTTGTATATTGACCAACTGGAAGCTCCTGCGCTGACCCTTGAGTTCTAACTCGAAAGTGAGGCCGGTAGCGAGGACCTCGCATCTCAAAAGTTGAAATTCCAACGCCCATTCCCAGTGGCACCGTTCCTCGGCAGCTATGGGACCATGTCTCGCGAATTTCTCGGAGTCGGAACAGTCGAGCAGGAAGACTGCTTCAATATCTTCGAGAGCGCCGTCAATCTTACTAATGGTGACTTTTTCTCCGATCTTGATTCCGTAGCAGTCCTGGAGAGCCCTCGAGGTTTGCACCACGGTGCTTTGTATATTCTCCACTGCAGTCCACGCAATCGCGGTCTTCGGGGTTCCTTCGGCCGATGTCAGGCAGCAGAGGTCATCAGCGCGGAGCCTCAATGCAGCTAGGGAGGATGAAGATAGGTAGACTCGAAATGCATCCTTGAGATCACTCCGGGCCTGTTTCGACAGCGGCCGAGCCGTGAAGCTGCGAACCTCGGACATCCCGCGCAGCTCCTAGCAGGAAGGCGTCGAGGTACGTTGCGGCATACGATTATCGGTAGTGTGCAATCATGTGTTCCTAGAATCTTCTGGTGGTAAGCTCAAATAGTTCAGGCATGCGGGCCGCGAAGGCTCCCGTGAGAGTTTTACGCTGAGGTGACCAAGAGCACAACCGACTTGGGCAAGGCGCGAGAATCGAAAAAGGCTCACAAATGTATAAGGGCAGCGTACAAAGGGGCGACGATTACCAGCAGACACAGAAAGACAACTAGGAAGATTTAATCGATTCAAATTCAGATGGTGGGGGAAAGACCTTATCGGCAGGTTGATAAGCAAAAAAGTGGGTCGGGAGAGAGAAACACGAAGTCGAGTGCTTTGGAGCTATCCATGGGGCTACGTCGATCTACATAGGATGATCTCCTATACTCGAGGGCTATTCCCTGTATCTGACCTTGTTCCCATTTGCAACCAGGAGGTCTAAGAGGGTTGGAAGACACGTTCTAGCGTTGAGAGCCCAGGTGGAAAGTACGCGGCAGGGATAATGTTTTCTTAGCGGGAAGAGTCACAAAATATAGACAGATATGTATGATACTTGGGGTGCAACGGGCGCCAATTCTCCATGAAACTGGATAATCAGATCTTAGAATATGAAAATTGCGAGCAAACAAAAGGATATGTGGTAGCTGCGTAGGAAACCAAGGGCGTCACGAGAAGAGATCAAAGGTAAAGGTAAAGGAAAAACTCGCGCAAAGGTAATCAAGGACAAGTAGTGGTACAGAGTTTAGCAACACTTCCCCCCAGTGCCGCCATTCAGACCCGAGCCCTGCTGGTCTATACTGACTCCCGGAGCAGACTGTTCGGTCTTGGAGGTATCCATGCCCTTCTTGATGTCCGACGCAAGGCTGTAGAATGCCTTTTCGATGTTGATGTTATTCTTTGCAGATACCTCAAGGAATGGAATGCCGAGTTCGTCAGCCAGCTGCTGGCCTTGTTCGGTTGAGACGGCCCTCTTCTCCTCCCAGTCGCACTTGTTTCCAATGAGGATTTTGTGTACTCCTTCACTGGCATGTTGCTCCACGTTTGAGAACCAGGTTCGAATGTCTTTTCCAGACGGTCAGATCAGTCTACCTATACTCGGGAGAAGGAAAGGAGGAGACTTACTGTGGAAAGATCGCTCGTCGGTCACGTCATAGACAAGGAGGATGCCCATCGCGCCGCGGTAGTATGCAGTTGTGATGGTACGGAAGCGTTCCTGGCCCGCCGTGTCCCAGATCTGCAGTTTCACTCTCTTGCCATCCAACTCGATGGTGCGGATTTTAAAATCGATGCCGATCGTGGTGATGAAAGACGGGGTGAAGGAGTCTTCGCTGAACCGCAAGAGACAGCAAGACTTGCCCACGCCCGAGTCTCCGATCAACAATAACTTGATCTGTGGCACCGGGTTCGATTAGCAAGTGGGTCGGTCCGATCTCGATAGAACTCACCAGGAAATCATAGTTTCTTGTACCCGCCATGATGGGAGTTTTTTGGTGGTTACTGCGGTGAACCGGGTGAGGAGAGGGGTGGTGGTGCCGGATAGGAGAAAGTCAAAATAGTGGCTGGCTACGGAAATGAAACAGACCAGCGACCGTGATCAAATGGCTTGAAGAGTCACTGTTTTCGTAGATGACAGTTCGGCGGCCGCAAGGTGTGGATCGCAAAAGCGGAGGGAGAAGGTGGACAGGTTGCGGTGTCTCCAGGGACTTTATCAGGAGGATCGGGGACAAGGGTGCAGATTGCCCACGGGCACAAAGACAACAAGCACGGACACAGAGTCAAGTGGAGGAACCCTCTGGATTTAAGCAGGAGTCCGGTCAAAGTTCAGCGACAAGAGCAAAGGAATAGTCACAGCCACAAGGATGAAAAGGGTGGTCAACAGCGAGTGGAGGTGATGACGGGGTTGGACTGGGATCGATGACCCGGTTACGTAAGCCGGCCATGAGGCCGTCTACATTGCCCACGGGGACAATCGGGACTTTACAGATTGCTCAACTACTAGATATTCGAGGAACGATGTTGTACTCGGGTAGATTACGTTGATATTATCCCCATACAAATACCCGGCGCGAGAGTCTAATGGAAATGCGCCCATCGCATCCTCTCCACCACCCGAAGCTGCCTGTCGACTCCCCCCTCCACGTCCAGTAGATCTTGGATATCTTCCCGGAACTCTCGGTACTGCATGCCTCCCAGTACTCCCTTTACCTGCTGAAGAAGGGCCTCGGCTTCGTAGAGAAGTCGCCCCGAGTCCTTGTGGGAGATCACCCCGTCAGAAAGGGGCGCAGAGGTCAGCAGCCGAGTGACATTTCTGGTTCCGTTAGCACTGTACAATCTCTAGTTCTGCGTTCCATAAAACCTACCGTAAGCCACGTCGCAGCTCATGCTGTCGCTTGCCTCTTCGAAGACCTCGTCGGTTGCCGAAGAGCCCAGCCATCCACCGTAGAGTGGCATACGAGACCAGAATCCCAGGCGTAAGCCCAACAAAGCTATATGACTTTTGTTTAGTACATCTCACGCGGGCGAGGCTGTTGCATCAAAGCAAAGGAGGTGCTTACCCAAACACAAGCTCCTGGCTCTTCAGAAGAGCATTGATGCCGCTGATAGCGATCTCCACATCCACCTTGGTTTTCTGGATCTGGATCAGAAGAGCGCGAATGAGATCGCCTCGAATTGTTCCAACAAAGGGGGCACGCAGGTCCCTCTCGTAAGCCTTTAGCACTGGCGTCAGATCCCCCTCCTTCACGGCGTTTGCAATAACCGCGGTATCCTGCCCGGCTAGGTGACTTTGGTCAGGGTCGGGATGGTCACGGACAAAATCGATCACCATTCTCTCCAGGCTGGTTCGATCGGCCACCAGGCTGTCTTTACTCATGATGGCAATCTCGCTTTTCTCATCGTGTCGGATCGTTCCAATAAGTTTGTGGATCGGCTCCACTACCCAATTACTGCCAAAGTCGATGATGGTGGCCCCGATGTTGGCAATCCATTGAATGATCTCGTCCTGGCGATGAAGTAACAACCGCAGAGATGCACTACTCGACATTACCGCCGTCAATACCGGTATCCAGTACCGGGTGAGTTTTGATGGGCGCCCGTGATCACTGATGAAAGCGGACATCGAGGTTTTATGTTTGGGCAACTGTTCCTGAAGAATGTACGTGAGGCGCTGGATCAGATGCATGGGCTGGCTGGAGGAGAAACCGCTCTGCATTTGCAGGCTCGTCGTGTTTTGGTCCAGAGTTGCAAACACCCGTTGTTCGAATTCAACGGTGTTGGGCTGGCTTGCCACCTCCTGCAGGATGGCTTCGGTCAAAACAACCGTCCTGTTGACTGAATCCTGCCACTGTCTCCGGTCCGCGGTAGAATCGGTGGTGACGAATTCCTTCGCTTGGAATGAATGCCATCCCTCCATGAGGAGTCCCAAGCTACTGGTATGAATATCCTTCATCGACAGTAGAAGATCTCTTTTTTGACGGATTCCAGACCGGCATGATCGGATGGGGGAAGACAGGGTGAGATGAATGGGATATTCGGACATTCCCTGCATACTTTGTCGCGCGATTTGGTGGAAACGGGCCCATCTGGCGGCAATAGATCTCGAGAGGGAAGCATGAGCATCATGGGCATTTCGCACTGGAGAGAGATCCTTTGCCCAGTGCCATAGGCGCACGGGCGATATCTGAGCCGCGTAGAGGCCACTGTACCACACGGATCCCAGTACCTCATTCCAATAGTAGGTCTCTTCGTGGAGCTGCAGGGTGTCATCAAGTAGAGTATTCATGACCAGACCTGATGTCTGGACGGCCGCCTTGGCAGCGACCAGCCACAGATAATCGGCTGCATCGTCCGTCCAAGCCTCCGCGGCGAGTGTAGAGTGCGATAGGGCAGGATCCGACAATAGTTTCACCAGGCGACTGGGTGACAAGAGCGGCTGCGTCTTTGAGGTCACCGAAACAGAATTGACAACATTCTGCAGACGGCAAACGTGCGGAGTGGGAACATCGTCGGTGTACAAGAGCTTCTCCGGGGGGGCGAACTGCTGCTGGAAGCGATCAAGTTGGGCGTTCAGGGCGCATGCATTTCTGGATAGAGTCAGACATGGAAGAATTAGGAATTGAGCCAGCGGACGTACTCCTGAACAATCGACATGACGCATCTCGGAGACGGCTACACAGCTCTGAGTTCGGAGGTGAAAGTGGGAGAACGTCATGATGCAAACACGGCACATGGTGCAAACGAGACAAACGGCGTACTGTTGAGTACACGGTAGGGCGCATACCATTTGGAACGGTTGGAAAGTTGGAAAGGGGGACCGAGTGAGTTGCCTGTTACACCCGGTATGAGGTTTACTGTGTACATGCAAGTGATTCTCAAGGGGAATCCACGTTTCCTCGTGATAGACCATCATTACCGTTACTCCTAGGACACGAACATGCCATGCAACAGGCCGTGTGGTGTGACCCCGGAGCATCAGCCATACACAGGCCCGGCAAAGCCCATTATCCCCTGAGTGGGGCTCGGATGGAGATCGGCTCGCAGTGGTCTTATTCCTTTCCCTGATTGCTGGTCTCGCCACTCCGGGATTTCGTCCCTGCGTTCGTTCTCCGCCAAAATAATTGCCCCGTTCCGCCCACCTTTTTTTTCCCTTTTCTTCAACACCTTCTCTCCCACACCTTTTCTCCTTTCCCTTCCATATTGGAGAGAGAAAAAACCGCAATGTAAGCATCCCCTTTCCATGAACTTGAACACGCGCTTATTTCCGCAGGAATTCGACCGTGTTAACCTCCAGTACCTACTGGGGCCAATTCGAGGAAATCGGCAAATACAACACTGAGCTTAATGTGGCCGAGCGCCTCTGGGCCGCCTGGTATGCCTGGATGCAGAATGATGTCCTGGCCACGGGAATCATGTCGTTCGCCATGCACGAGCTGGTCTACTTCGGTCGGTCGCTGCCGTGGATCTTCATCGACACCTTGGGTTTCTTCAAGAATTACAAAATTCAGAGCGTGAGTGCACTCCACAACGGAATTTGCAGGCAATGGAAGTCTAACCCCTCTGTAGGGCAAGATTCCTTCATTACGGGAACAGTGGGATTGCGCTAGATTCGTCCTCCTGAGTCACTTCACAGTTGAGCTGCCTCAGATCTGGTAGGTTTCGGCATTTTTGTCTTGTCTCCGATCGGTGATCTAACAACGTTGCTTCTACAGGCTCTTCCACCCTATGGCTCAATTCTTCGGTCTCTCCACCTCCGTTCCGTTCCCTTCCATCTGGACTATGGCTTACCAGATCGCCATCTTTTTCGTGATGGAGGATACCTGGCACTACTTCTCCCACCGTGCTCTTCACTGGGGTCCGCTCTACAAGGCGATTCACAAGATTCATCACCAGTACTCTGCACCTTTTGGCCTGGCCGCGGAATACGCGTCTCCAATCGAAGTCATGATTCTGGGATTCGGCACCGTCGGTTGCCCCATCGTGTGGTGTGCGTTGACTGGTGATCTGCACATTCTGACCATGTACATCTGGATCGTCTTGCGCTTGTTCCAGGCCATTGATGCCCACAGCGGCTACGAGTTTCCCTGGAGTCTGCACCACTTCCTTCCTTTCTGGGCCGGTGCTGATCACCATGATCTCCACCACGAGAAGTTCATTGGTAACTACGCGAGCAGCTTCCGCTGGTGGGACTACCTCCTGAACACCGAGTACACCCCGGATGCCCTGAAGCGCCGCAGGGAGCACAAGGCATCCGCGAAGAAGGCTCAGTGAGCCCGCATCGACCCCTTGTCACGGCAGCGTGCGGTCCGGGCACAAGAGCTTTTTTATCTGGAGCACGGGCTCGTTCGGACTCGATATGCCTTTCGTGCTTTACTTTGTACGAGATGGGGCTTACCCAGTCGACTTTTAATGTATCTAATATTACGGTGATCTTGCATCAGTTGGGTTTCGCAGGATTCCATTGGAGCCGGAACTCGTTCGGCGTTGCCCGTGAAGCGACACTTGAAAGAACCCACGGTTATTTGAATAGAGATTTTTGCCATGATTCTAAAGAGGCAAGATGAAGACAGTAATAAAAACTTTTTCTCACTTTTGTCATGACCTTAAATTGGGGGACCAAGGAAATGTTAAAAGTGGGCGACCCCTTAGAAAAGGAAGATATATTAAATAACTTTCTCCTATCTGTTATTAGTTCAACAGAGAAGTGGAGAGCTAGGAATAATATAGATAGATTTAGGGGTCTAAATAGGAGACTTGAGCGATTATTAGATGTAATCTCCTTAGATTGGGCTATAATTACCGCAGACTTCCACCACTTATATTATCTTGATATGGGATGTATACCAGGGGGAAGAAGAGACACGAGAGAAGGATAAAAGGGGCCGGGATGCGGCGTGATATAGTGCGTACGCATCGTTGGCTACGATTAAGGGATCTGAGGGATACAACTGGGAACAAGATAGGGCGCGCTGGCTAGATGCAGTTAACGATTCAAATTTTTACTATATAGAATAGTTAGAAGCTATTACTTATAGGGGAAAGAAGAAATAGGAGATTAGAGATGTGAAAAGGATACTAAGAAAGAATAAGCTCTTTTATACTACTTATAGATAATTCGCGTATTTTATAGAAGACTAAGATACTTAATATATCCATACTAAGTCGATTAAATCTCGATAGATATTATATATAGACTAATTATAATTACTATAGTAGTAGAAGACAAAGAAACGCTAATAAGTAGTTACAAAGAAGAATAGAAGACGATCGCTCAAGTGTCGAGATTATAAGAATATAAAGACGATCGCTTATTATTAGAAGAAGATTTAGGAAATAAGTAGCTCTTACTGAAATATATAGTTAAGAGCTACCTAGAGCTAAGAAGCTATTAAAATAAGAGAATTATCTCTTTATTATTAATTTACTAGTAAATAGAATTTAATTTATAAAAGCACTAATTAAAATAGGCTACCGTTCGTATATAACTATAAATAATTCTCTTATTTAGTCTCCTAATCTTCTATATATTTATATTCTGTAGATGACCTTAAGTTCAAGGTTCTAGCCAAGAGAACCCCTGGCTTTGTAGGTGAAGATCAAGTTGAGTGAGAGGGGAGAGCTAGGCATCTAGAGTCGTCCAACAGCTCCACCACTAGGCAAATAAGCTATGGTATGCTCTATGACTCCCAATAGAGTGACGTTCGACCGAAATCACGATATAATGGCAGACCTATCTATCCAGCCAAACCCTAGCTCGAAGCCCATAGTGATTCACGCCGAGGGCTTAGACATCCTGTCAGGATTTTAGGTGTCTGCATTTATAACTGCAGATTTCTAGAGCTTCCAATTCAACATAGAAGTTCCCGCTGAAATTCCCGTTCTGCCATTTCTCACCGCCTTTATCTGATCTTGCAGTTATCTCTCATTTATCTCTCACTTTGCTCTCACTTCAGCCTTTACTATGCTTTCTCTTTCCATTTGCCTACCGGACCGAGGTTATTAGGCCTATCCTGTCTATAGCCGCGGGTAACAGCACGTTTACCTACCTCGGGTAACAGCACGTTTACGGCAAGATTACCTCGGGCGAATATTACCTTAGGTAATTAGCCAGATGAACTGAATATTTCTGTCTATAAATATAGCCTAGAAACCAGACTAAATAAAACAAGAGCTTTCATCTCAATTCTCCTCTCACTACCCTTCCTCTCTATTAGGGCAGACCAGAGAGATTCTCTCTTATTATCTTTATCTTTATTCATCTTCCAGGGGTAAGTTACTACGCTGCAGTAATAGCTGACCTCTACGGGAGGTAGTATTTCTCTCTACAAATATTTGTCCTAAGGACTGCCCTGCCGCATAGGGACCCTTAGGCATTTATTTATCTCTCTTATTTTCATATACTACCAATCCCGACACATCCTAACTAATATAGGCAAGATTCTATAAGAACGTTAGATAGCGTTATCGAGAACTAAGGAAAAATTAACTTTATAATATATTTTAACATACACCATCTCACGATCTATAGCTACTAGTAAGAACAAGTATATATATATATATATTCCTCCTTAATAAATAGATAAGATAATCCTAGGAAAACCCTAGCCTAAGGACGTAAATAAATAGTACCTAGCCTAAAAGGGTTATCTTAATATTCATATAAAGAACGGTGAATAGACTAGATATTAAAATAGAGCGAATCCTACTATTAGAACTGTTAGAATAAAGACTCGAAGAGTATTAGACGTAACCACTTAGAAGCTATAGGATATAACGTTAAATAAAATAAAAACTAAGTAATTAAGGATTAGAAAGATTATAATACTAGATATTAAGAAAGCTGTATAAATAAAGCTCTTTAAATATTATAGAAATAGCTTAAAGTATTCGATTACTATCTTATAGAGAAACTCATAAATTATTAGCTAGAGATAGATTATTATATCCTTTTAAAAAAGGATAAAGCTAGTAATAAAGTTTCCTCTTTATATAGACATCTTTATATAATAAATTAAAAATAATTATTTATATTATAAAGACGCTTTTAGACCTATTAAGAAAGAAATTTATATAAATAAGTAAATTATTAGCTATATCTCTAGTGATATTAGTCTAGAAACCTAATAGAGGTATCTAATTCTACATAGACTACTAAAGCCTAAATAAACTACTTATCATTAAGGACTATTATCCTTAATTAGAGAGACTCTATAGAATATAGTATAAGCGAGATAGCTTATAAAACTATATATTATTATTATATTCTATAAGATATAGCTATCCTAAAGAAGAATAGAAAACTATCCTCTAGACTATATTTTAATAATATATTAATAAAGTCTTATAAAAGTACCTAAATAATTTTATCTTTATATATATAGATAATATATATAGATAATATTATTATCTACCTTAATAATAGGTTACTTAAAGACTATTATTAGAAAATAAGTAAAATCCTCTAAAATTTATAAAAATATAATGTTATAGCATAACATAGATAAGTCTAAGTTTAAGTAGAAATTAGTAAAGTATCTAGACTGTATCATATATAAGCTAAAAAAGATATTTATAATCTAAAGAAAGTAGAAGCTATTTAGTTGTAGAAGGTCTTAAAAGATAGTTAGAGATATATAAAGCTTTTAAGCTAATAT